AAAACAGCGAGGAAGGAGTCTGGCAGACGACCGTGAATGGTCTCAATACGCTTTCTGAGGTGGTGACAGCGATTGAGGGCATCGTGAAGAGTCTTGTGATCGTTGGCGGTGGTCTTGGCAAACTCGTCAACAAGGGCAGCTGTGGCGTCTTGTGAGATTCTCGGAATGTGCTTCTCGAGCGCCTGCCACAATTCGTAAGGGTTTCCATCGTCAACCCAACCCGCTGTGCAGAGTCTGTCAAGAACCGATTCGCTGGCGTTCATGAGGAGACCATTCGTGACGTTACGGTTCTTTCTCCATTCCTCTGCAGCGATAGGGTCAGCAGGGCGAGGGACGTCAGTCTCGAGGAATATCTCGAAGTCGTATCCTCGCAGGGTCGCTGTAACAAGCATGCGCCATGTGTTCCAGTTGGATTCACCTTTCAGGCGAGGAAGAGGCGTGAAGACGGTCTTGAAGTCGTTTTGAGACATCTTGAAGTGAAAGTGAGGGTATCACAACAGTGCGGGACAGACTTATAGTCGCACCTCGATCACAGGCGTTTCTCCGAGGCCGCAGCTTTGGAGGCGTGTCTGTACGTTAGATGGCTTACTTTCGCTGCCACCTACGCGTGCTGTTGGATTGTGTAGGAGGGAGAATCTTGCGTAAGAACACGAGAAATGGGTGGAATTGTGAGATCCGACCGTAGAAATACGGTGAATCGAAGGGAAGAATGAATACTCGTAGAAGATACGAGAAACTGATGGGCTGGTTCGAAAAACCGAAGCTGAAATGGTTGAATTCTCGTGAAAAACGAGGAATCGAAGTAAAAGTTGTAGTTGTGACTGAAAAGTCTGTTGTTGACCGTGGTGTTCGTGAAAACCAGTGGGTTGTGGTGGTCGGTCGCGTGCCACGTGATATTCGTGCGCGCCAGGCAGCCAATGTCGCGTCAGAAAGTGAAATTCGTCAGCGAAGAGGAAGGAAAGAAAGCGAGAAAATCGCACAGAAGGGTAAATAAAGCGAATAAAATCGCAAAAATTCGTGAATCAATAGAAAATTGACAGACGAGTAGAATAATGGGTAAAACGACGTTATTCCGAAAGAATAACGCTGGGCTCATAACCTGTGGGCGAAACCAGCACAGAACGCTCAGAATGGGAAAAGTGGTGTTGTTGGTTGGAAGAACTAACTAACTGGCTAGAGGGCTGTGGAGGCTGGCTAAGACCAGTGGTGGCGGCCGTCAGCCCACGTGACGGGCCGGCGAGGCCTGCCACCCACATATAATCTATATTCGTATCAAGTTGGCAATAGTAAAACTAAAATACATTACACAACACCCCTCGCCGGCGGCAATGGCTTAGAGGGGTGGGGGGAAAGGGTTGGGGGAAAAAAAAAAAAAGGTTTAGCCAACATGTGCCATGGAGGAGGCATTAATGGTAATGCGACCGCAAGGGCCTATCCGCCTAGGGGTTGAATCGGGCAATGCTTCAGATGGTCGCAGAAACTTATGGGTGTTGAACTGTCAATCAACAGGAGCACTACGCTGTAGAACCATGCTATCGGACTAGACTCAGCAGTGCTATAGCAAGATGGGTAAATGCTTAAGAACCGGTAAGCAGAGGGGGGGAAATCGTATGAGCCCCTCAAGCAGCACCGCATTACATTTTTCTTTTACTGATCTGCCGGAAACAAGGGGCGACATGAAGGCACACGCACAAGCATACGACCCCGGCCATCACCAAAGGCCTCGACTAACTGTTGAGTGTTTCGAACCTTTGCCGGTGGTTAGTTAGGCGATGTTGCAATGGATGGAGAAAAAACCCGCCGATGGTCATGGCGGGGCGGGTCGGATTGACTTTTGACAATAAGTGGGGGTCCCCTCAGTCCGAAGTGCCTTTTTGCCCACGAGTTTGTCATCCAGAAACGGCACATTGAGGGATCTTTTGTTGATCCAAGCTCCTACCCTGTTCTCTCTTCTGTTTTCTTTGCTTGGTTTACGGGGGTGGGGGGCAACAACAAAAAACAAAAAACAGGTTTTTGACTGGTTTTCCCAAGAACTCAACCGATACCGCAGCATCCGTCCTACAGTGGTGTGGATTCACTGTACCAGTCCAATATACAAAAGTCCGGTCCGTTACTTTCGGTGCCGAAACCGCGGCGGCCAAAACCCAGGACCAACGTCCAAAAACGGCGCCGTCGCCGGGTCCGCACACTTTCAAGGTTACATTGCCGACACAGTACGGTGGTCTGACACTACTGCCCTACGCATTCGTCCAAGGGCGTCCCTAGGCCTGCATTTGATCGTCCCGGGCCTCCGGACCCGTCAACGCCTTCCGGAGCACTTTGCTCAGCTTCTTCGTCGCCTCATATATGAAGTTGCGACTCCAATACTGAAGCATCTGATCATTTTGCACCCTTCCCAGTGGGATATCGTACGTTGTGCCAGCATCCACTTGGTGAAGCGGACCTGAACCTTGGAATGCCCTCGTCCTTGTCGCTTTCCTGACCTCGGCCTTCGGGGTCATACAATGTAATTCTGTGGAATATGGTTCGTTCACTGCCGATGTTTATTCTACCGCTTACCCGTTGAAGAGCCCTTGTCCTTGACGCTAAGGCCTTTCTGGCGGGGACCACCGACCTGATAAATGACCGCTATTCTCCATTTTCTGTCAGTTTCTCCTGGGGCTCCAAAAACCGGGGTATGCTGCCAGGCTGGTCCTTGACCGACTCCGCCGTCTGGTCATTCCCTCGCCCTGGCACCACAGAATACAACGCTCCGTACCCGACAAAACGGTGAAGCGGAGAAAATCAGAGCAGTCGTCCGTCGTACGATGTTTGCGAGTCATTCGGATGATGTCAAGTTGTACGTCGCTTAGAGAGAGTTGAGATACGCGCACGAATACTTCCTTCCAGGCCACGCGCTGCAATCTAGATGAAGGCTGATTGATGGAACGGTGCCGACATCGAACCCACGCATCACTGTTTCGGTACCAGAGACCCGAGCAGCCGACGTCCTGGTGTTTTTAGAAGCGGCTCTGGACCAAGCTGGTCCCTGGAAGCGCAGGGAGCGGCCGCCGGCAGCAGTTGTCATGGACATGCCAAGAAACGAATGCTCGGGTCGAGCTCCGCTCATTCTGTACCTTAATTAGACGAGGCACGAGAGAGAGAGAGCTCATTGAAAAGACTGGCCAGTGTGCCGGTGAACTAACCACTACCGAGAACCAGGGCTTTGGGTGCTGCTGTCGGACCCAAAATAGCTGTCATAATGAGCAATCAGCCGTCTCACCGCTTCGACCGCTATACATGCCTGGTGTCACGGCCGACTGTCGATCAATGGGGTATTCTAACACGTGCGGCAACAGCAAGACATTGCGACCGCTTTGACCCTTGGGCGGGGGGGGTTGAGATCCATACCATGATGAAAAAGTGATAGGATACTTGACTGCTCTGGCTTCTAGGATGTGAACGCTCTGGCCACAGTGTGTTCGCTTGACCCTCAGGGTCATGTTAGTGGAGCGGAAAAACTTGAAGTTGGCTTTCGTAGTTGGGAAATATGGCCAGGAGAAGCTAGCGACGAAACAGCTGACCCTTGAGTGCGTTGGTCTCGCTTGACCAGGGGACGACACGAGGTTGATGTTGAAGAAATCGTCCACGGCCTTGGCGTCGCTATTAGTTACAGAGATGGAGGCGGGATGGCGAATTTACACGTATTGAGTATTTTGTCCGCGTTATTTACTATAAGGAGTTACCCATTACCTAGATGGGGCACTCACTAAACAGGATGCGCAAATTGGGTCACGACGTGCAAAAGTGGAAACAACATTGAGAAGGCCATCTTTCCATTTGGCTACATATCTCATCACTGCCTATCATCATTTCTCTGTTTACCCAAAGGAGACATGCAGCAGGCAAGTAAATAGATAGGAAAGAAAAGTCTGAGCCCGATTCCGGGTGTACATTTATGCGCAAGGGCAACTAGCTGTTGGGCATCTTTTTGCTCCTTCCGCAATGGTAATAATATTAATTGAGTCCTGCCAGGCTTGGAGGAGAGTACCAGTTCATAGCTGTGGCAGCTTCCTAATGAGCGTGTAAACTCTCTTAAAAACCAAGTGGTGGACTTCATAGTGGCTTTTTCTTGCTTTCATCTTCACCCAGGTTCAATAGATGGAACAGTGATTTTGCTGTTCCCTAGCAAGTGTTCCATTTCTCGAAAAAGAAACACGTCCATACACACATTTTGAACAGAGCACGCACTGCATCCCTTCCACTTCCACATTAACTTAATCGTATGTCTCTTGGGATGTGCCTACCAACACAAAGTTAAACATGTCACTATTGGCGCGAATATGTATCGTCGCTGCCCGTTGAAACTGAATTATCGCTGATGAAGCTTAAACGATGCTTCCGTGCTTGATCAACGGGCTTGCGCCTTCTGCAAGTCTGCCATGCTGTTGCCTCCTTTCAAACCTTCATGTTCTCAATGCAGCTTCTGAGACTGGCTATTGCACAATACTGTCGACTTGATCAATTTCCTGCTTTTTCGGTCGGTGCCAGAATAATACCCAAGCAACAATGAGCGTATTAGCAACATCAACGCATGAACCATCAACCACGGCGGATCTGACAAACAAGGCAGACAGTTTTCATGTATTCGCAGGACAACAATACAAATTATACGATTCGAACTGCCCTCACACCACACCTCTTGAAAGTTAAAGCCATGGGACGTAGAACCGTCATGTGGCACCCAGCACCCAGTATGCGCAACTCCCACGTTCTCTTGGGAAAGGGAGAAAACAAGGCTCTCGAGGCGCCAACCACGCCGCCCGAGGTTCGCTTACAGAGCATTATCATACTTGTCGTTGCACTCATGTCGCTTCTTGGATCTCTATGGATTATACTAAGTTACTGGGCATGTTCTCTTGCGCTCTTGAAACTTCATGACGCTAACACATGCTAAGGTATTCCAAAATCTGCGTTCGTTCCGCCACCGACTTATCCTTGGCCTTGCCATCAGCGACTTCATGATGGCCTTCAATTTTCTTTGCTCTGCGTCGCTGAACATTGCCGATCGGTTCATCGGTGCGCCGCAAAATGCCAGATTCTGTAGCTATAACGGCTTTATAACACAGATTTTTGTCATTCAAACCGACTACTGGATACTACTTATCGCCGTGTGCACATATTTCATACTCACCGGTCGAAGACGGCCTTCAGCCTGGATCGACTTCTAGAAAAATTACATTTGGGCCGCCCCTTGGGTCCTGTCGATCCTATGGGCACTACTTGGTCTCGGTGCTGTTGGCTATGGTGACATAGGTGCTTGTGAGTACCGCTTTGACAGAACTTAGATCTCCCTCCAATTCTTAACGGATATTAGGGTGTTGGTTTACTTCAGATGCAACTCGCCTAGTCGTGAGCTTCATCCCTCGATGTAGGTGAGCATAAAACAACGTCCCGCGGCGAGACTAACACTTAGGTTAGGGCTTATAATAATTGTTGTCTCTATTCTCTATGTTTCTCTTTACGTTAACGTCAAACGCTTGGAAATCCAATTAGCTCCCATGGTGAACGCAATATCTCTCCATCAACGTTTCTCTGGGGAAGCAGCCCCAGTCGTGAACCAAAGGAGCAACTATCGGGGCCTCGTGGGAAACCATTCTTCAGCCTTGAGACTCAAAAAAGCAAGAATAGAAAGACACCCAATGACTCAGAATCTACTGCTGACTGCACCTAGATCGCACGCCAAATGCTCTTATACCCGCTTGTGTATGCAACTATCTGGTCAGTTCCTACCGCAATATGGATATACCAGGCAACAAGAGACAGGCGAGTTTCTTTCGAGCTACAAACTGTTGATAAGGCAAGTATTGTTATCCAAGGCCTAGTTGATGCCATCATATATGGCGTCAACGAAACCTCAGTAACGAGTTGGCGCGCCCGCTTGTGTCGACAAAATGCCCCTATTGTGGGAGGAGTCAACGCCGTCACTGCACGTAATCCAGCGACAGGTATAAGCGATGAGAGACCCCTCCAGCCGGATAGACTAGGATGAGGACTGTCTATTATAGATTGAACTGGGTCAGGAGTAGAGGGAGCTGAGATCGCAGGTACTGATAAATCCACGGAGAGCTCAACCCACGTCAGCAATTATTGGGCGACGTTTAGGGGAAGAGGTTAGAAGCTCGAGACTCGGAGACGAGAAGCAACTTGTTGGTGGCGCACAATCAAGATGCTAAGTATTGTGCTTGTCAATCAATGTCTAACAAGGATGGCATCGTGCAGACTAGGAAATGCGGGGTATCATTAATATAAGAGCAATGTCTGCATGCTTTTAGAAACCTCCTGGTCACTACGTGAAAGAGCCAATTCGGGTTTAATGCACCTTAATCACACATTGGAGCAAGCTGTAATGATTTGGCCCAATGCCTTTGTTAGTTGCATTGTATAGCATCCAACCACATACCATGCGTAAGGTGGCAAACGATGTAATTTGAAAGCTCAAATTCAATGCACATGGTCTTGACAAAGTCAGACATATAAAACGATCGTGGATTGCCATTTGTATTCAGGGGGAAGCAAATAATCATGCCCCAGCGAAAGTAACCTTAATCATAACCACAAGACACTTTCTTCATCACTCATTAACGTCAACCGAGCCCCCTTTTTCATAATTAAGAAAACCAAATATCCTCAGGATGAGTTCTTTTTCTAAGCCTTGGTGCGCGCGGTCTCGGCACTCTCTACGACGGGAACATCCTTCGCCAGCTTGGACTTCTTGACCATGCGCAGACCTCCAATGGCCATGACGAGACCCTGGATCCCGAGGATGACGACGAGAGTGACGAGGGCACCGATGACGCCGGCGACGGGGGTGGAGATTCCGTTGCTATCCTTGTTGGAGTTGTTGCTGTTGGCGTCAGTGTTGCCGTCCAGACCAAGGGCAGTGGCGCAGGTGCCGGTGGAGTTGCCGCAGGCAGTGCACCATGCCTTGGTGTCCTCGACGGCGAACTGGCGCATCTCGCTAACGAAGGTGTTCCAGGGGAGCAGGGTCTCGGACTGGCCGAAGAGGGGGTACTCGGTGAGCGAGTTCTCGCCGGCGGGGCCGTTGGCGAAGCGGAAGCGGACGGAGACGTCTGCGGCGGCGGGAGACGAATCAGTGGCGTTGGTGACGAGCTCGAAGACCATGGACGAGGCGTAGTCAACGACGCCCTGGAAGTCGGCGGACACCTTCTGCAGCTGCGCAAGGCCGAAGAAGGAAGAGAAGGTGGCGTAGGCGCCGAACTGGATGTTGGCCTTGGCGGACGAGGCCTTGGCGGCGTTCTTGAGCGTCGAGTTGAGCGCCTGCAGGATCTGGCCGGCGAGCACCTTGCCGGCGATGGCGCGGATGGGGTCGGTCTCGTTGTAGGCGAGGTTCCACTCGTGGACGTCGGCGTACGACTTGAGCTGGCGGAGGGTGTCGTTGGTCAGGAGGTCCGAGGAGGGGATGCTGCTGTTGTGGATGGTGGCGACGTTGACCAGGTCAAAGATGGTGTAGGCGTTCTCGAAGTTGGCCTTGGCGGAGCTGAAGGTGCCGTTGATGACGGGCAGCAGGCCCTGGTAGAAGTCGGCGGACTCGGCCTTGACGGAGAGGTACTCGGGGGACGCGAAGTAGTTGTTGGAGCTGACGACGGCGTTGCCGCAGCCGCTGCCGCCCTGGAGCCACTCGCTGTTCTCAGCGTCCTGGCTGGTCGCCGCCGTGCTGACGGCGTTGACGGGGACGTACTGGTACCCGCCGAGGGGCGCCTCTACGCTGGTGCCGTTGGCGAGGATGTTGACGGTGCCCGCCGGTGGGTAGAAGCCCTGCAACCAGGCGTAGGCGGACGACTGCAGGACGTAGTCGGTCGGGGAGGTGACGGACAGCTGCTCCGGGAGGACCTCTTCAGAGCTCAGAGAGCGGATCTGAGCGGAGGCGTTGGAGCGGACGTAGCGCTCGCCGTAGTAGAGACCCGAGCTGTAGGTCTCGGAGGCACCGAGGTCGGTGAAGCGGACCGGGGGCCACTTTTTGGCGGTGCGGTCGCCGTGGCGGTGGAAGACGTAGATGCCGAGGACGGTCTCTGCGGCCGCGGGCACGACAGTGAGACCCAGGGCCAGAAGGAGTTTGAGTTCCATTATGGCTGACTTGAAGGGAGTTTCGGGCTCTGAACAAGAATTAGTTCCTGGTTGCCCTTAGTTCTGCCGTCTTCCTTATGATTGCCCGAGGTTGTCCGAAACGGATCCTGACTGAGAGGTCTCTTTTGCAGTCGACTGGCCCGCTACTCTGCCTTTCAACTATGGAAGAGTGTGGACGACGGAGGGAAAGCCGGCCAAGAATTTATACTAGTAGCTGAAGAAGGGGGGGATTGGCTTTTGCTTACCTAGTGATGTTGTTGATTTTGTGGATATCACGCCGTCAGTAGGTCGTCATTAACACAAATGGGCTCTGGATCGTGACAACGGCTATGGAGACCCGATGCTAGCCGGTCATTTATTCTCCGTTCTGGAATTAAAAGTCCAGCAGAGGAAGATCTGCCAAAATAAACAATGACCTTGAAGATGAAAAATCTCGCACGTTCCGAGAGAACTCGCAGCAGCGCCTAACAACGGGCATCACCAGCCCTTTTATTCATCCCTAGTACTCTGTCACTGCATCTACTGACTAGTTAGAAAGCAGCAAAAGAGATCACTCAGCCCACATCCTCCCGAAGCACATAACAGTCATCGCGGTAGCCTGTCGCTCCACCGAGGCCTGACCCGCTTCTAGCTCCGAGCCAGTCGATGGTTCGCGATAAAGGAGGGGTAAGGAAAAGCTACTAGCCACGGTAAGTAGCCATTGAAACTTATCACCGGTCACGTCCTATCAAGGGCGTCCAAACGGATCGTGGGATGGATTTGTGTTTGGTCGGGATGAATCAGAAACAGGCAAGTTGTGCGGCCAATTAGTCAAATGGCCAGCCAGTGTCTCCACTTGAGCTGCAAGCTATCATCTGCAGGCTGATGGAAGTGGATGCCGGCTTGGCTGGAAAGCTTGAGTACGCCGCACGCGGCCGGCCGATTACAGAGCCGCTAATCACGTTGACAAGGTGAGTGACAAACAGGTTCCTCGTTAAGAGTGATTTAAACCAACCATGGATGCCGCTGCATCTCCGCTCCGCGGCACGGTATCGGCCTGTCGGGCGGATAACTGGAGGGTTGAAATAAATTGTGGCACCGACTGCCGATGAATGATAAACGTAAGATGAAAAATTCAGTCTCTTGCAAAGAAAAATGACGGTTGGATGGTTCAAATTATTTGATTCCCGCATTTTCAGTATCTAACTTGCAGGGAGGATCAGCAGCCGCCCCTGCGATAACAACTTACGATCTTGGAACCCCGAAGCCGCTCTTCAGTGTCCGCGGACTTGCTGGAGTTGAAATTTGCGGATCCACTATCAGAACATGCCCTGTCATCCCGTTTACAGCTTTGATGTCGTCTTACGTCCACTCTTTACATGTTTGGAGATTTCACCCTTGAGCAGGAAGTCCGGGTACCTCATGTCCGCATCAGTTCCGACGGCTAGAGCGCCCTGTCTCCTCCACGCACCGCCGTCGACGGGGATCACCTGTCCGTTAACGAAGCTGCCGGCGTCGCTGAACAAGTAAACAGTGGAGTCGGCGATGTCCCGGATAAAACCCCACCGGCCCTGGGGTATAACGGCATCAGCCGCGGCCTGGTCCGCCTTGCTGCTGGACAGGCGCTCCATGCCCTCCGTGTCCCTGATGGGGCCAGGGGCGATGACATTGCTAGTGACTCCGAAAGGACCATATTCCAGTGTCACGGAGGCCATAAGAGCGTCAACGGCGGACTTGGCGGCTGATACGTGGGCTTGCAACGGCATGCCGGTGTAGTGAAACGTTGCCGATACAAAGATGATGCGGCCGCCTGTTAAGCCATTCTTGCTGGGCGTGGGATTCTTCTTTGCCGATTCAACAAGATAGGGCATTGTGGCTTTGATCGTGTTAAAAGTGCCTAGGACGTCAATATCGATGACGGCCTTGAAGGCATTAGGGCTCATGCTGGACATTGGCGAGATGAAGTTGCCCGCAGCTCCCGCGCTGCCGTGCTGTCAGTCATAAAGTCAGACTCATTGGAAGTCGGCACTTACATAACGAAGTCGATGCTGCCGAGCTCCTTAGCACATCTGTCTGCGGCATCCTGCAGGCTCTGGGGCTAAACGGTGACATGTCAGTCTCAGTCTGAAGTCTCTGAAGGGGGGGTGCAGGTGGATCATCTACATACATTCCTGACGTCGCAGCCACCTATACCGATGACCTTGGCGCCGGGTCTCGCGGTGGCCAGGTCCTTGGCCATAGCCTCCGTCTTTTCGACATTTCGGCCGATAATGCAGGCATTCGCTCCGAGGCGGACGAGAGCGCGGGTTTGCGCACTGCAAATGGTTCCAGCGCCACCGGTGACAAAGGCGACTCTGCCATCTGCAGTCACATGTCAATCTCAGCATGGACATCAACGCCAGCAAGGGAAACATACTAAAGATGCCGTCCTTCCATACCGGACTCAGGTACTCGGATTCAGGTACGGGCATGGCTGCGAGATGTCTTATTGAACGATGACGGTGATGATGCGGTTTACCCCAAAGCAGAAGCACCGAGTGGGACCTGCTTCTTCGATGACACAAGGTCGGATGAGCTGCGAATGCAGGTACTTTAGAAAGGCAAGGGAATAACGTGGATCCGTTGTCCGCACAATTCAGGTGTTATACTGATACTAGTCCATGTAACACAGGAAGAAGAAACCAAAAAAAAAAAAAAGGATGGTTTGGAGTGGCAGCCGGTTTTGGGCGTTCGACGGCAGTGCGAAGCTCAGGTTGCGGACGGCAGTAACGCGACGGACCTCGGTAAGGACGGAGGGCGGAGCACTGTTGCACGGTGAGTTATAATAGTGATTAGTTGACGTCCTTGCTTATGTCAGCAATGTTGATGCCGAAAGTTAGGGAACCTAGGCCTAAGAAAACCTTAGTCCGGCAGTCGCTGATTGGTGAGGTGAACGTCGAGAAAAGGGGAATCTTTCCTCCTAAACATACTGTGACGCTGGGCCCCCCGGCCCCGGACGGGCTTGATTTTAGTGCGCTTCTTCCCCAAAAGCACAATCGGAGCTGTGTCCGTCTCCCCAAAAACACCTTTCCCGAACGCCTCTAGCGGCTGCTTCGCGCATGAACCTGGCGACGACCTCCTCTCCCCGTGCCAGATGGGATTCCGCCTTGAGTTCTGGTCTGCGCACATTAAATCGGATCATTATATGTAACTGGCGCTTGGTAGTAATCTGTCATCAGGTACAACAGTGTGTCCATGAAACTGGTCTGACCTTGTTCGCGAAGTTACTCAACAAACAAATCTCCATAGTGGCCTTAGTACAGCTGCAAAATTGTGGTGGCTATATCTCTCTTCTAGCCGCAAGTTCTGTGACAGACTTGTAGCAACTTTCATAGTTTAACTTCAGGTATTTATTCAAACGAAACCAAGATGAAGATCCGTGTTTTGTACCTTTCTTGATAGACAAAGGCTCGGAGTGTGTTGGCTACGATAGTCTCTTTTTTTCAAGCCAATATACTTGGCCAAATGTGCAGGCTGGACCGGGTAGCTAGCTCGACATCCCCCGATTGGTTTTCTGTGACAGCAAGCTGTGCTGCACAAGCAACTAGTTCAGTCGAACGAAGACCTGCAGTGCCTAAGGCCACTTTCTGTTGGTATGTAGGTGCGTGGTATACTTGGCAAGACAAACATGCCCCACGGGCACACTGAACCCTTGTCCAGGGTGCAAATTTGGGAGATATCTCCGGCCAAGGAGAGGGGTACCCTTCTCTTCAGGTGAGCAGTGTTCTAGAGTCCAAAGTATCATTGGTCTTGTGGTCTGCTGACAGACAATTTGTGACTGTCCAGTGAAGTAATTCTCGGGACCATTGATGCAGAGACAACGCTGAACGTATATCAAGTACCTCGATTATATCCGCGTAAACACAATAACTTGAAATATCTTTGATTAAACCAAGGTGTATAGTCAATGGTTGGTAATTGCATAGGTTCATCACTAAACCTGGTGAAGCTATCATATATGTCCAGCTGAACGGATATATTTAATCAACAGCATGCCATTTGAGGCTTAAATCGGCTATGAAACGCCAACGTCTAAACCGAAGAAAGCGCGCACCCTGTTCAATCTTTTTATCAGCCCCCTCGAACAAGTCGGAGACAGTCGTGGGCTCGACATATAGGTGATGCTTAGGGAGATGTATTCAATTTGAGACACCTAATCCAGGAATTGTACGAGACAGGAGTTTGGCATAGTATAAAAGGGGCTGGACTCTCGTCTTCTCTTCCTTGATCATTCAGCAATCAATTATCTGAGGTTACTGTCAGCATAAACCATCAGTTTCTGTGACATTGAAATTTAGGAATTATCACGTATATGGGTCCTTCGATTGGATGCCGTGAAATAGCAATGCCACTCATTGCTTTTCATTACAAACGCGTTTACTGCATCACTACCTCCAGGTTTCGAGGAGCTTTTTGCGTTTCGTCTCGGATTTGTATCCCTAGAATGGACCAACATGCATGCAAGTACCTGCCCGCAGTCAGAATGGGAATTGCGGCCTCCATACGTTGCATAAGGCATTCTCCACCACCAAAACCATACGAATTTAAATCAATAATAGGCTGGAATATATGGAACCAGCAGCCATATTGTTTGTTGGAAGTGATGAAACGAGCAAAACCATGGCTGGTCCTGTGTAGCCGATTGGATATTCAACCGAACGGCTTCAAGAAAGAGTCAGTCGCCAGGTACTCTGGTATCAATAGTTGTCTTCATTCTCTTCATTGCATACTGCAGTTTGCTGTCTTGTGGGTACATCAATTTTAATATTAGCCTGCATACACTGTCACCTAAAACAGGCATGTTGATATCTGGTATTAAGAGGGGTAATTATGTGTCCCATAGATAAATAGCCCGTCACAATCGCCAGCCTCAAAGTTAGTTTTTCGTCATCCTTATTCATAATGTAGAGAGGTGAGCACGACCAAAGTGATTTCCCTCTCCTTCGCGATGTGCAACGACAGAGACAACAGCCAGACCAATGGTCCCATCATCAGCAAAGATGATGAGGTAAAGTTGATACATTCTCATGGCGGTAAAGATATAAGTTTTAATTGTGATCTTAGGCTTTCGAGGACAGCTCGTCTGATCTAGCGTCTGTAAGCGCTCAATTCTCGTCACAATATCGGTGATTGACATTAGCATGTTGTCGACACCCCACACCAGAGCCTGGCTTCTTCAAGCACGAGTGTATCTAGTTCCATCTTTAATTACCGTGTGGAGAACGGCAGGACATATCACAAGTACAAGGACGGCAGTGAGGTCTTTTCTTCCCTTTGAATCTCAAACACAGCGCTAATTTCCTCGTCTTCAGAATATATCTACCCCAATGATCCCAGGGAAATTGAAAGGCTAGGTAACCACCTCTGACCGGCTGATAATTCCAAACTTGTCTCATGGATGTTCCTAGATTTGCAACACGCTTTATGTCTTATGACTCTTCGAAACGCCCTTGGTCGTGCTCCTCCAGCAGCACCGGGATCCAATGCTAAGCGTGTACTGGACATAGGAACCGGCTCCGGGCTATGGGCGATTGACTTTGGAGAAGAGCATCCTGAGACTGCGGTAGGAGTAGCATGCAACCATCGGTACCACGTCCCCTTTACTAACATGTATCTCAGGTCTATGGTGTAGATCTCTCCCCGGTGCAACCACGAGCGTGCAGTTGAAGAATTCTGCTCTACTTTCCTGTAACTAATCATTAATAGTGTTCCTCCGAATGTTCAATTTGAAGTCGACGACATCGAAGAACCTTGGACATATCAAATTCCCTTCGACTACATTTTTTGCCGGTTGATGACTGGGAGCATTGGTAACTGGCAGGCATTTTGCAAAAAATCTTTCAAGTAGGTAATCATCCTCTCTACAAGGGCATTCTGCTGTTCATTAAGTCATCTTGAACCTGACGGCTGGCTTGAACTACAAGATGTAGTCAACCGTCCTAGTTCCGATGACGGAAGCCTGACCCCAGAACATACGGTATCTAAATGGGTTCAATTGACAGAGGAAGCCTCCGAAATCTTTCAGCGCCCTTTTCTAGATGTTCTAGGTCTTGCAGAGGTCATGAAGGAGGCCGGGTTTGTTGATGTTACTGTCGAGAAATCCAAGTGGCCGATGAACGGGTGGCCGAAAGACCCTCATTACAAGGAGCTTGGAACGTGGGTAAACGCCAACTTCATGGAGGGTATCGAGGCTTGGACTATGGCGCCGTTCACCCGAGCTCATGGCTGGACGAGGGAAGAAGTCCTCGTATACATGATCCAGTTACGGAAAGAATTGAATGACCGGAAAATCCACGCCTACTGGCCCATGTAAGTTTCTGGAATTTGTGAAATTTACTGTAGGTTTCACAGGGGGTGAAACAGGGGGTGAAACGGAATTCCGTTCGTCAATAACAAATAACAGTAAATTGGTTCTAATCGATGGTTCATGATGATTGAAAGTGGTGTTGTTGACTAGAAGGTGGGGATATTCCCCCTTGGCCTGTCACGTGGGTCTGGGAGGCTTGGGCCTCTCAGCCTGGCGGGCGTGTGGCTGGAAGTGCCACACGACTCCGTATTCCAACTATCGCAACACTGGAAACTCTCTTTTTATGGTGTTGAAGCGGTTGGAATACGTTGTCCCTATACAGTTCCGTCTCCTCGTCAATTCGGCCTCCTATCCCTACTTTCTCCCGTAGTTACGGTCTTGTTACCCATCCCTCCATACGTATCGTTATCGTGTTGCTATCAACGAATCTCTCGAGGGCTCGATTTGGTTTGCTCTTCGTGAGGGCATCAGCAGGGTTGTCTTCGCCGTTAATCCAACGAATTTCTTGTAGTTCTCGTCTTTCGTACGATTGTCTCAACGCCATGATATCGATCATGAGTCGCTTTTCTTTGGTAGTGCCCAGCTTCACGAGACACTCGTACAGCGAATAGGAATCGGTACAGACAACTGTCTGAATCGTTGGTAGGTTGAGGTGGTCAGTGATTGTCGCCAGGGTTGTGGCGAGGGCGTAGGCCATATCGACGCCAGCGACCATCCCGTAGATCTCTGACGCTAATACGCTGCGGGTGACTCGTTTACTCTTCGTAGAGCTGTAATGAACGAGGTTACCGTGAATCGTGAATTCTCCGTTGTTGCTGTCAGAGGAAGTGTCGTTGGCTAGGATGATCAGAAACCCTAATTGGGAGGAGAGGTCGTGGTTATTAGCGAACGACCCGTCAACGAAAACGAATAGCTTGGCTGTTGTAAGGTCGAGTGGGATAAACGTTATTCCTCGGTTAGGCGATTCTATTTGCCATCGAATCCGTTGATTCAGTGCTTTTATCGCTTCTGGCGAGGGGTCTTGGTGTTGGGCAGCAGTGGATAAATCGAAACAGGCCTCGGGTTGGCAAATTGACGCGATGTACGCCCCTCTGGCGCGTTGTTCGACATATTGCTGTTTTGGGTTGGGTTTAGTAGTCTCAATACATCGTAACTTCTTGGCTTGTCCCTTTTGCCTCAAATTGATCGAATTGTCGGTTGACAGCGCGATTATCCCTCCGTTGAATTGGAGGGGTTCGTCAATTGTGAGGATATTCTTCGCTTTTGCCGTAAAAGCCGCTTTTTCTAACTGTTCGTCTTCTAATTGTGAGAACGCCTTGTCTGACAAACCGAGGGTATCGTCGGTTTGCATGCCGATACAGCCAAAGTGTGGATTTTCGGTAGATGAGATCAATAGGCATGGATCGTACGAAGAAGTAACCATCTGGAGATTCTCTCTGTGATGCTTGTGATACGTTGCCCACCAGTGGGTTCCAGCTTCTGCGATTCCGTACAGAGGCTTCACAACCTCCATAATGGTCCCTTTTGGGTACTGGTCTTGAATTTGCTTCGGTGGGTAGGCGAGAATAGTACGATTGAGCCTTGTGGAGGATTGAACGTAGGCTTGTGTGATATCTCGAAGCCATAGTTGTTTCCCTTCTCGTAGGAGTGACGGGGTAATTGACAGAATTAGCCGTTGACTCGCCCGTTGAATCGTTGGCGATTGGGTCAATATAGCCTTCTTGCTATCGTCGGCGTAACCCTGTATTACAAGTCTCGATTTCTCGTAGGGTTCGGTTGTTTTACCCTTGACTTCGTTGACGATACGAGATCGGAAGATTCGTACGTTCTGGTGCCTTCTCTTATTGAACTGGGTGAATTTGAACACTCCTCTAGCGATGAGGCTGTTGATCTCTTGTTTAGTTGACTGTTCGAACGGTTCGCCTGGTGTAGTAATAACACCTTCTCGTCGTAGTTTGATTGCTAATTCTTCGTCTGCTTGCTCCTTAATCGATAGGAATATTTGTTGATAATCCGGGTCATCGTTGAATTCCTCTGTGAAGTGGGCGATTGGCAGTGGTCTCTTCCGGGGTCTGCCCGGGCGTCTTCTCGGTGGCTCCGGTGCCTCTTGCGGTTCGTCCGGTTCACTGCCTCCGCCGGCGACGATAATTTCGTCGCGTACTACTTCCTGCTGCGGTATCTCAGCTTCGGGTTCTTCTTCTTCTGGCGCGGCGATGGAATTAGGTGGTTGATCGGGATCTTCGTAGTATGGTTTGACTACGGTAGACCGGAAGGTCTTCGGACCACGTGGCGTATCGACAGTACAGGTTTCGCCGTTTATGGCTGCTAAAGTAAACGGTCCGGTCCAGCCCTTCTTTTCGCGTACATCGTACATATCGCCGCTGTATTTCATATCGTCGGGGTATAGTTTCGCGAATTCTGTTAATTGCTTTCCGATACGGTCTGTTGACTCGTATGGTTGGAAGTCTGTTAACGGAGAGACCGTGGGATGTGGCGGTCGGTACGGTAGTTGCCACTGTTGTTGTTCTTGTGGAGGAGGTGGCTGTAGGGTTGGTTCGACTCTTCCTCCTGTGCTGTTGGCTACTGTTGCCGGTCTCGTGATCTCTTCGTGGAATTCGGGGTCTTTTATCAGAGCCTTCAGGTTGCGATATCTCTTGACGCCTTGTTCGAGTTCTTGGGGTGACCAGTAGTGGAATTCTTCCTTTTTGAGGGCTAATGCCACGTTTTTCGAGATTTTCTTGCCATCCATTTCGACGTAGACGCCGTTACCGATTAAATAGTCTCTGAAGAATCGTAGGATTGGGGGAGGTACGTTCTGGAAGTCTTCTTCTGACCAGTCGGCGAAATCGGGAGAAACTTCGTTCCATAGCTCGAGGCCCGTGAGATTCCTCTTCTCATAGGTCTCAAGTAGGAAACCCATATAGGAACCCAGTTGCTGTGGGCTAGCGTTTGTAAGGTCGATTGCCCAGTTGCCCCATACTGCTGGATCGATCATACTTTCGATTCTCTGTGGGATGGGGACTGTTGATTGGCTTTTGGCAGTGACGCCGCTCGCGGGCGATCCTTCTCGTGAATTTCGCTCCATTCTGACAGTATAAAAGGATTACTTCTGTTTAGAATCTTGAATTCTAATCCTCAACAGCGTCAGCTGCGATTGGTGCAAGATGCAGGCCTGGAAGTGGGAGTCAAAAGACGATTCGGGATATTACGATTCTAAGGGGAAAGAATCGTGAAATCGGGGATTTTCGTCGGTTCGTCGTTTGTTTCCGTCGGCGCCGTTCTCGCTGATGTTCTCGAGGGGTGTGAGGGTATACACAGGTCTCGAATTGGTAGGGAGAGAGTTCTACCGTAGATTCTCTCGTGAATCTCTCTTTCTCGCTTCGGGCTTCGCTCCTCACTGTTGGGAAGTTTAGAATCTAGCGGACAGTTGGCCTTATGACGCCCACAACCACGTGCGTTTCTCCTAAGCCGCAGCCTCGGAGGCGTATACGTATAGCTGTATAGGCGGATTACCGCCGGTAGTCTCCGCTCGCCTTTCGGCGTGTTCTTCTTCTGGTAGGGAGGTCTCTTGTGGCAGGCGCCTCGCGGTTGGCACCTCGTCTGGGGATTTATTGAGAAACTAGCGGGCGCCTCGTGATTGGCACCGCGCGTGGGGGATAGTTGTAGTTGGGGAAGTTGTTGTCCCTTGTGGGATTCGTGAATCTTCGCCCTTGTGGCGTGAAGAGGTTGGAAGACCGTCGATTCGGTAGGTCTCTTCTTCTGGTGATTGAAAACGCGTGATGGAACGCTCTTGCCAGCGATAATTGGCTGCGATTAACCTTATCCCGCCTAGGGTGAGCGTAGCAGTCCCTAGGTTACTCGAATAATCGGATTGCTGGTAGATTCGAGGAAAAGAAGCTTTCTTCTGCTGGTTTCCGTAGATCCCAGTTACTCTCGCTTCTTCTCTCGTTAGCACGAAATCCCTACTTTTACCTGGGCTTGGGTATCCAGTTCAAGAAGTCGTCTCTTCTGGTGTTGACCTTGCTGATCTGCGGTTTGTCCGTAGCAGAGTGGTAATTGTGAAGTTAACCAAATTAATGGCAACTGTGAGGTTTACCACTGATCAGTGTAGGTTTCACAGGGGGTGAAACAGGGGGTGAAACGGAATTCCGTTCGTCAATAACAAATAACAGTAAATTGGTTCTAATCGATGGTTCATGATAGTTGAAAGTGGTGTTGTTGACTAGAAGGTGGGGATATTCCCCCTTGGCCTGTCACGTGGGTCTGGGAGGCTTGGGCCTCTCAGCCTGGCGGGCGTGTGGCTGGAAGTGCCACACGACTCCGTATTCCAACTATCGCAACATTTACTGCTCTGTCACTACCTTGCAACTTCGATTCGGCGTTACGCGAGCTAATCATCTCTAGCTACTCTATTTACGGAAGAAAACCGACAGATGCTGAAAAAGGGCAGGCTGATTAATTTTGATTCCTCTCATTATGTTAAGCACTGGCTCAAAAATTGGATAAGATGAAAGATATATTTTTCAGTTTTATGTTATTACGGATTCGGTGAGAGAGAGACTAAGTGACTGTCAATGATGAGCAATTGGTGCTTGTTATGCAGCTGGTAACTGCACTATGCATCTTATGCAGATCTTATGCAACTTGGCAACCTCGGTGTATATTAAAATGTCAACGCAAGGAGCACGGATAATTTTAAGCACAGCTTGCCCCATACGGGAGCTCCACATCAGGTACCCACTATGCAGTAGCCAACCAGGCGTCAGCGAAACAAGCAAAAACAGCCCCTCTCTTTTCTTTTCCCGCGCAAGCGGCAAGCGGCAAGGCGGGAACGTCGTCAGAAAGCGTCAATCAACCCATCCCAGACCTTTCTCACCCTTGCCTTGCCTTATTTCCTTCAATACCTTAGTGGCCAGGTCCAAGCCAAGGTCAGATCAGGTTCAGTCAGGGAGCAACCGACAACCCCTCCATCAGCGACCAACCGACCCTCCACCTTCAGGTAGTCGTCAGATTTCAACTCTACCTAAGGGAAACTTGGACTTTTGCATCTCATCATCGAGCTTCTGCAACTCCCCTTCTCCCACCTGTCTCATTGTTCTCCGAACCATCCCTCCCCACCGCCATGACTTCTAAAGGAGTCTCGCTCCTGAAGTTCGTGGGAACTGTTTCCCTCGGTCTTCTGACTGTACGTTGCCGCCCTTGTTTCCTCCTGCGCCCGACCATCCCAACGCCTGGCCTGTCACCGGATCGCCAGTGACGCCACTATTCCCGTTCCCCTCCACCTCCCCGCACCCACGCCGTGAATCCCGAAAACCCGATGATGGCTCCTCCGCCATTGCCTCACATCCATGATCTCGGCATCGCATCGTGTCAAAGGCTAACGTTCTTCTTCAACAGGGCCTTTCCTACTCCCTCTCGACCGTCACTGTACCCTCGATCCTTTCACTCCCCTCCGCATCCGATGCCGCCCGCGCTTTCCAGAACCTCTACCCAAGCGCAACTACCCGCCTGCGCGTTCTGACCGGCGTCTCTACCGCTTCTTTCATCTTCGCCTTCTTCCTGTCCCCGCGCGCCTTCCGCCACCCGTACCTCGTCTACTCCTCCGTCCTCTGTTTGACCTCCGGCCTCGCCGAGCAAATCGCTCCCTATGTTTTGAAGAGCTCACCCGAGTCGTCCAAAGAGGCCATCGCTACCCGTCAAAGGGCCCTCCGTGAGCGTGAGGAAGCCCGAAAGGCCGCCCGCATTGCACGCCAGGAAGCGCGCATGGAGGCTAGCTACGAGGTTCTCGGCGACAACCACAGCGACGCTGCAAGCGACGGTGAGACGGCAGCGGCGGCTGCCGCTGCCGAGGAGGAGGAGATTCTCAACGGTGAGGAGGTCCGCAGCGAGGTTGAGGGCTTCAAGAGGACGCAAATCGTGCAGACCGCCATCGCTTCGGTTGGCTTCCTCCTGTCCGTCATCGGCATCTGGGGTGACGGTGCCATTCAGGTCTTCCAGACCGAGACCGTCATCGTTGGTGTATAAGATGTGCCGGGATGAATGATGAAAGAAGACGGTGTTTCTGCGTTGAGTTTTCCTTTGCCGTATAGGGAGTTTTGAGATTGAGAGGGCCGCAAATACGATGCCATACTGCTACTGCTGCTACGGGGAGCTGTCTTACTCGTTACATATTCTTCTCTATTACCCCGACTAATGAGAGTCGGAGAACATGACACAAAATAGACCATTGGATCCAACTATGCCAGAGACCTGCGCAACTATACCTGTGCTTATATCACCTCGGCAGAAGTAGGCGAACACACCAAACTTGTTGATCAATAAAGGGCCCATTCTTGGCTTGACATGTGATTCTAATGATGGTATTTTTTGCGACATGATTTCGGGCTTCAATAAATTGTACCGGTCCCTTTTTTTAACAGCGTCAAAACCACCCAATCCAGTCTCTTTTTTCCACTTTCAAGACTTGAGTCTTTCGCTTCCTGCCATGTCATCCTGAGCGTCCTTGATGAGGAAACTGTGAACATGTCAGATTTACCAGTCTAACGCCAGTGACATGCCAATGACCAAAAAAAAAAGAAAAAAAAAAAAAAAGAAAGAAACTTACTTGTACATGAGTATCGTCGGCGGTATCGTGCCCAAATGCCACAGACTATGCGCGTCAAGAGCTCCCCACAAGGGCGGGAAATCGAACAGCTCCAGGCTCATGACGGTGATGACGCTGGCGACGACGATACTGGGCCAGATGGCCCATCCCCTGCGCGACTGCCTGTACTTTTTGAAACTGAACCATAGCCACATGATGTTCCCAATCATTCCGATGACGACATTGGCGGCCATGTTATACGTGTAGTCCCACCGCACGCCCTTGAGGAACGCAACGTGGCCCGCATACAGCGCCAAGCACAACAGGGTCCAGGCACGCAGCACAGAGCGGCGGCGCGGGGTCGGACGGTCGAGGCGCATGACGCGCACGATAGTGTAGTACAGGCCGTACAGCACGTTGGCGCCGGCGGCGAAGTAGTCGAGCTGCTCCGTCGCCGTGAAGTCGCGAGTGTGGAAGATGGCGCTGAACACCCACGAGGCAGTGCCGACGCCGGCCAGCCACTTGTACCACGGCATCAGCGGGTACGAGTCCGGGACGACAGCACGGAGCTTGCGCAGGCCGCGCTGGTGCGCCCAAAGATTGCCCAGGCTGAAGAGGGTGCTAAAGGGCTCCTGGCAGCCGAGGAAGCGGTAGAAGGGCCATTTTCCGTGGAACTGGACGATGGGCTCGCCGGCGGCGACGCGCTTCTTGGTGATTATATGTTGGCAGGTGTAATCGCATTCGGAGGCGCAGTTCCAGAGCAGAAGGCGACGGTGGAGGGCTACGACGGCGCATTAAGGTCAGCTTGTTTGTTATGCCTTAAGAGTTTACGGAAGGGAGTGAGTTGGGCTTTGTAAGGGGCGGGAGAATACGTACGAATTGGTGTGGGATCTCGACCCGGAGCACAGTTCTCATCGTGGCAGACCTGGATCGCAAGGAAACGAAGGACAAGATGTCAGTCAACGGAGGCCGGGGAGCTAGCTTGGGATGCGCGGACGGGCGCGCGTGAGTGTAGTGTCACCAACTTGAACGCATTCTCGGAACTCTGGCAAACGGTCGCCGACTGAGGCCTCGACTGTCGCTGCGAAGACGAAGAGGACGGCGAAGAGAGCTAAGAACAGAGGAGACTGCAATCGCCTCCCCGCTCGTGGGAATTTCATGGCGCGGGCATTTATTGCTTTGCGGCCTATGTTTTTGTGATGCGTCGGCGGGAGCGGTGGGATGTTTGCAAGATTGTTTAGAGAGAGCTATACGGATAGATAAGGTACCGTTGTGAGATTGGGGACACAAGGGTTCGGAGGTCTCGGACACTTGTGCTTGTTGTCTTGCCTGCTGTCACTGGGATTACACTGGTCGAAGGAAGGCCCGGGTCGTTGGTGGGGAATTCGCTAGTTTGATTGGTCTGATCATCTGGGTACAATGACATGGTACTTCGTGAGGTCCACCTCTTCGTCCTTCGTAACAAACTCAAGTTTATTCTATTCACGATGACTTGACATCAAGTATAAACTAAAGTTGTAGGCACTCGAAACATTTTTCTACGTTTGGTTCTCCGGGCGAATCACTAAAGGGAGAAAGCGGTCGGCCGGCATCACGCATTACTTGTCGGTATTGCACGGCTGCCAGGGACACATGCAACTCATGTCCGGGAATGAACTTTTATTCGTTGCAGAGCACGCCAGCGCCTAGAAAGTCGAATCAAAACAGCTGATGATGTCCTATCTTATTATAGCCAGCAGTCGCGAAACCAGTTTCCAGGGATGGATTACGTTGACCAAGGTATCTAAGCTAAGCGCATGCTGTCAACTTTGTGCTTCTCGATTCGAAGTAAAGTAGCACCCTCGCAAATGACATCAAGTTAACCATCAAGGAGAATATTAAGTATAGAGTAGAATCCTATCAGTCTATAAATGACAAGTAGGCGGCTCCGACATAGTCTGTGCTCTACTTGTCCCCTAGATTTTGAACCTTTTTGGAGAGGAGTCTTGTGTATGGCAACTAGCATAAGACCGGGATCTCTGTGGCACCAACAACAGTTTCCAGACTTGTTCAATGCTCTGTTAGCCTGGCTGCAAGCTACTTATTCCGCTGGGCCCACAAATCGGGATACATCTCCTTCATCATAAACTCTGTAAACCGTCGAAATTGTGATTTCTTGGTTGCACGACGTGTAAAGTCTGCTTCAGAGGAGTACAGCTGTCCTGGGCTTTTTCTCGCCTCGTCCGTTGCGCTGATAAACGTCTCCCACAGACCCGCATTCGCCTGAAACCCGCCTCCATAGATTCCATCGCGGGAGCCAAGAGTGTTTATTTGGGGGATGGTGAGACCTCCCGTAACTGACCGTGGATCATTGGCAATGGTTTCAGTCAGGACATCGTTTGTGGGTTCCTTGTCAGCTTTTGTGACGCCCTCGTACACTTCATCGGGCCAAGGGTTCGGAAAGTCGAGATCCCAAACAGTCCCTTTGCTCAAGTGGAGCTCTGCCTCTGCCGCTCTGCGCTCTATATCTTGAAGGTAGTAGGGGTTGGTGCTCTGCTTTGCCTGCAGCCACAAAAGACGGTGGAGCAACGGTTTAACCTCATCGTAAACATCCTGATAGTCTGCAATGATACAGGCGATGCCTATCTGGACCGACATGTCATGATGTCGCCAATATAGTTCTCTCAACGTGTTCTTCCTTGGCATGTGCGGATACCAGATAACCATGGGGATGTCAGAGGGACCGATCGATGCATCAATACGAGACAAGTCGTTACTCATGATGAATCGAGCGTGAAGTGCCTGTCGGAGTCCAAACTGTGATATTCTTTGTTGGGGGTACATTTCATCAAGACGAGGCTCTAGCCATCTTGCGAATGGTACGTGATGGTAAATGCCACGGGCGACACACATCAGTTCATTGGTCACTGGGTTGGGTCGTCTCAGCCGTGAAAACCGGTCGATATTTCCTTCATAAGCGGCCATGTTGATGAGAACATCTTTATATGTCGTTGGAAGATCTCGGGGTAGTGGCGAATACAGCAGATCGACGTGTTCCGACGGCATTGGCCCAAAGACTCTTCCATGACAGGTTTCTTCTGCAATACTGCTCTCCTCGGTAATGTCGAAATAATGAGGCGTATCGCGTGCATATGGCCAAGTTTTATAAGAATCTCTGTGACTGAGGGACGAGCGTACCGCAGTATCGCCATTGAGGAACGCGTCAGCAGGGGGGTCGTTGAGCCGAACAGTACATGTGTAGTCGTCCATGACCTTGTACCTCACATTTTGGCTGGTAATGGCGTGGAAGATCGAAGCTCCGCTCTTCGTGTTGTCTTTTGCTTCTTCAGCAATCGAGACATCGGGCAGAAGATTTAGCTCGTGATACAGCTTGTTGTAACCCGCCGCAGCACAGGCACGACCGACGTTGTACCGCATGTCGGGATATCGACGGACGAGTTCTCGGTAGGTATCTTCGCTGGCGATATCCGGATGCCAAATGCAGTAAGGCTTGGCAGCATCTGTGTCCATGACGGGGATAATATTGCTCATTATACAGCGAGCATTGCGTGCACGCGCATGTGAAATAGTTGTTGAAGCAGAAAGTTCGACTTCTTTTGAAAATGCCAGTTTCTCGTGATGGCGTATTCCATATATGCTCGCGGCATGCAATCTCCCAAACTGCAAGAAGGCATCCTCCAAATGCGCCCGTTCCTCTTCTGTCAAGGTGTTGCCGTCTATTGATGAAGCCCCGCCTGCCTTGCGCTTGTAAAAGTCGAAGTAATTATTTATTGTTGTATCATCAGGTAGTCGCTCACCGCGCAAGGCAGCAAGGCATTCCGCGTCCAAGAACTCATGGTCTAAAGGCTCTAGCACGGTGTCGTTGGGTGCTGGGGTGGTGTCATCAGAAATGTAACGCTTCAAGGTCTGTATATGGGTTGACTTCAAGCCATGGTGTTTACGGGGGAGAGCTGATCTTAGACCATGGACAACACTGTGTAGAGTGCTGGTTGAAGACCATGAACGGATGGCAGAGTTTCTTGTCTTGGCAAAATCGTGTAGAGGATCGAGGGATGTGCCACCTAGACGTGGCAAAACTGACTTTCGAGAACGACACAGGCAAAGCATCGCTCGACGGTTGAGTATCAGCGAATATATCGAGGCACGGCTTAAGATAGTAGTAAATGTTATCAAAATAAGGGAAGAGGAAGTACAAAGTCCACCTAAAGATATGTTGAGGAGTGGAAGGGGAGAAAACTAAAAGAATATGACTGAAAGAGAATAGGGGGAATCTGGGAGTCTCGACAGGAATTGTTACCCTGAAATACTTCTTCCCACCAGGTTTGTAAAATGAGAATGGTCGCTCAATGGAGCATCTAGGGTAATAGTTCTCCAGCACCCTTACCTTCCTGATTCGGATGGACTATGCTCCTCGAGATTCCAACTGATTTAGAGTCGAAAGCCAGACACCATGCCCCAACATCATAGTATGCGTGTCCTGAACTTGGGAGCATACAATTTTGTTCGCCAGGTAATTGCGTCAATGACTCATTGTTTAACATCTCGGAACATGTTTGATTGTGCAAAGCAGGAACACGGCGGTTTCTTCCGGGCCAGACCAGGTCAAGATTGTTGCGCCATATTGCGGACGCCGAACCCATGCGAGAAAGATACCCCCCTCGGACTTTCATTTAAGTGTATCCGTAAATTATAGCCAATATTTCATTGGGCCGCATCCGTCAAGCTGTTGGTTCAGTACCGCTGGCCGGGCTTGACGTGGGGCCATACGGTGCAAAACTGAACCAACACGACAAGACCCCTGCCCGTCATTAAGGAGCCAAGATTGGCCCCACGATCATGGCCACAAGTCGCCCCGACTTGGCAAAGCTTGCTGTTTCTTCTGCTCTAGGACTTGAGTTTTAGTTCTCAACGTGGGGCCTGTTAAATTCCCGCGCTGTGCCGTCGGTGAGGCTACTGGGGTACACAGGGTTGAGCTGCGTAAGTTGTTTAACGGCATCCTGGTTCCCTTGCGGCAATTATGCCAGTCGCTTCCGTCAGATTCTCGCAGGCAAGTCCAAGAACTGCCAAATGGGCTCGAGGTTTCAGTGAGCTCCTGGGCATATATAATCCCACAGCAAACGTTGGGATTCTGGCGCAGTAAGGCACGGATAGCTGGTGCTTTAGGTGACGACCAAAAGCAGATACACATCACACTTCACCGGGCCAGAATATCTGGATCAATACTCCATAGTAAACTTATTCTTGTTTCCGTCCACGAAAAAATTCGTCCCAAATCTTGAACTGTAGCCATATACGTAAATTATAAAACCAGCTGCGAGATGGATCATAGACTGACGCACTGTGAATGTGGTGTTCTGAATTAACGCAATTCTAAAACGGATTACCTTTTTATATACGCATCAGTAGACATTGGCTCCAGCTGATATTCGTTTTAGCCCACATTAGTTTCGATACTTTTGAGGCGGCCTCTGCCTGAAGTTATACACATGGCCCTCGGTCCTTCCCCAATCATTTGAAGACGCTAATAGCTCAAGGTTGGACCAGAAGTTGAGATATACGATTCGGCCCCGAGATTCAACCATCAAGTTGTCTTTTACCGTCCCGACTTGAGGTTATGCCGATGGCTTTGACGGTGCAGTGATGTTGGCATTGAAACCTGGCACATACTCCATCAGAATCCCCTCCGCGACCAGCATTTCGTGGCTGATGCCCTCAACTAGGGGTATAGAAATGATGGAATAGGCTCTGGGCAAGTTCTTCCGTTTTTGATGAGCGGCCAACAGGGCTTGCAAACCGGCTTTGCACACCAAATGTCGTTCGACCTCTTTTTGAAGCTCGTTCTTCTTCTCACCGTCATCGACGAAGTCTTCGCTTTGGACATGATCGGACCAGTCATCGGCCGCACCGCGACGGACAAATTCAACAAATTCCTCCTCGATCTCAGGCGACCATTTGCCCGAAGCCGCCCGCCCACCAATGCCGTCCCGAACAGCGGGCGCGAAGCGACGATCGAACATCTTCAGAACAGCTCTCACAGGCGGTCCAGACGGTCTCATAACTGAGACTTCCATTACGTTCCAACGGGATGATTGAAAGACTTGTGATATTACCATCTTCAGCTGCCCCTGAAAGGGAGGGTTGCCGTGTGCGCGAACGGTGAGCATGTTTCCGCGCCAGTACGGATGCCTGAGAAAAATAATTAACTATGTCTTCAGGAAAGAGCTGAGTCAAAAAGTTTATAGCATACGGTGAATATGCCAATCTGAGCCAGTCTACAATGCTCTTAAAGGCGTTGCCCACTCTCCTGAAGATGCCAAGAAAGGCATCTCTGATGTAGGCCGCGATGGACGACATTGCGACTTATGTGCGAATTAATTGATGTATCTGAAGTCCCCGGGCATCGACTTTCAATAACGTGACAGTGCGCCCCGTGATATCGGACAACTCCAGTCGATGATTGATTTGGCGGTGAAGAAGTTTAATGGAAAAGATTGTCTGGCTGGAAATGCATATAAAGGTGGGGACCCGGCAAGCTTCCCAATTAGGAAGCAAGCTAGAGCTCCTGTGGGGAACTGCCAAAGAAGGTGTGGCGCTGGTAGCGCTAGTCCCTCCCGGGTGCTCCCACTGGTGAACCACCGTTTCTCTGTTGTGCTAGTGCCTGACGTTTTGAATGCTGACTTCGCCAAAGCTTCAACCCCTCAAAACCCCACTACATACTATGGCCTCCTTTCTCGGTAAACAATTGCCTTTTCTGAGGGCCGTGGGAGTCTACGTGAAATGAGATATACCCAAGCACCTCTCCTGGATAACTCTCAGATAGGATATTGTTCCATACATCACCTTGACAGAAACTCGACCAAGATGCAGCGAGACAGTTGATTGGTCTGAGCAGCTGTCCCACACTGGCGATACTGACCGTAGTTCATGACTCGACAGGTCGTTTCGTAGTTCGAGCTTTTTATATGTCTCTCAACACTTGTACACTCGTTTCGTTCACAACCCAAGAACCAACCTTCTGTCATTAACCCAAGAAGTCAACCTGCAAAAGGAGATTCTGACCAAGGTCCGAAGCCATTGAATGAATGCTAATCACACCACAAAAATAGGTCCTCTCAACAACTATCACCTTGTGTATTGTGTTTTACTCTCATGTCCGCACCGCCAAAGCCGCCGCACAGACACCTAACGGAAGCACGACATCCCTCCCGCATAAAGTTTCATCACGCTAGATGGAAACTCGCCCAGCAGCTAACAAGCTCAACTCTTGCCCCACCAGCACGATTTCTCACCCATTTCCATGTCTCCTCCTATCAGAGGAATGCTACAAGTCCCGGGCGTGGGAGGGCTTCAGCTGATACCCCATCCCAACCATCAGCGCCATTTGCTTCGACCAGAACAAACAACAGTGGCAGAAGATGCGAAACTCGACTCTTTTTCCGGATAGAATTATACATTGCACCTGCAGCATATGCAATGTGCTTCGGAGTCTACGTACACGTGGGAAGGGTCCATCCAGAACTACCCGCTGCGGGAGACAAAGTTTTCTCCTCTTTGCGATGACTTTACTTTAGATTGCTGTTCTAATCTGAGTCTGTCTGAGCGCAGATGATATTCAATGACTGCACGGGTACACTGGATGCAACGACATGTCATTTGCGATCCACGACTGCCCAGCGGGACGAGGACCGCGCACCATGTGCAAACACGGGGACACGCTGTCTTGTTGCTGTCTTCGAAGGTTTGCGGAAGAACGAAACCGCCAGGAAAGCCTGTCGAGGGCTGCCGAGGAATGACACGAGGAACGCGGTTCGTTCATGCTGATGCAAGACAGCTTATGCCACCTTTCAATCCTGACGACCGACAGTTCGGTTTCAAGCCCCCTTATACGGTGACTGAGTTGTGATGGAGTCGATTCAGTCTCCATTTTTCGTTTGCCGACTTTGGCTGATGTGCTGGGTTATGTAGACGCACTTGAGTCGGCGATTAATGAACCGTTTTGAATTAGTAAATGAAAAGGAAAAAAATGTGTACATTCTCATCAATGCTACAGAGCTTGTTTCCCAGGTATCTTGTCGCCAGGAACCTAATTTCTTTTTTGGTGTGCGTCCCCAATCAGCGGATCAACCCCTCCCAACGCCAATCATAGTAATAACAGCCTTCCCAAGTTTGACCCAAGCCCGTAATATACACAGCAGAAGAACTCGTCCCTCATATCGACATCATCCTAGCTAAAAAGGCGCAGGTATGGCCAGCAGCCAAGTATCAAGCCACCTCGACGCCGCGAACCCGGCAATAAACCCTCCCATCGCAATCGAAAACATGACGGCGGCCGTCAGACTCGGGCTGACGTCGTGGTCGATCCACCTCTTGCGGAACCTCAGCCTCCCGACACGCATGTGGAACATCTCTTCGACATCGACGATGCCGCGGTAGTTCGGCTTCAGCTGCTTCGACTCCCGCGGCGTGTGTTTCTTTTGTACCCTTTATCCCGCGTTGGGAGTTCATCCCTCGCTTTAGTCCCGTCTGGTCAGTCTCTTCAGTAAAGCGTGCCCCCCCTTCAAATACGCGTACAAAGGGGAACACGAGGGAGGTATCGACTTACAGCAGTGTGAGGCAGACGTCGCCTTGCAACCTCGCCTTCAGCTCCAGGTCGACGTCAAGGTTCAACCCGAGCTGAAGCCTGACGGGCTTGGAGTCAGCTAGGCGCTGGACGACGGGAGGCTGTCCCAAGTTGCCCTTGGAAGTGACTTGTTTGTTGCGGTTGCGGCGGCGTCGTCGTCGGCTGCCATCCGAGGAGATGCTTGAGGCACCAATGCTGGAGGCTGAGTCGTCTACATTCTGTTGCTGCGGCTGCTGCGGCTGTTGCTGTTGTTGCTGGTACGGAGTCAGCTGGGGGTTCACATTGGAAATTCATGGTATCAAGACAATCTTGCTACCTTTTTGTCCATTATGGGCGCCATATTTTCGTCGGAGGCTTTCTTGGGGGCTCTAGAGGGGATGTAGTAGGGAATCATCGATTACGATTTGGTTCCCTCGAGGATCGAATACGGACTGAAACCAGTAAATAGAGAAACAAACGGCAGATTACCTTCAGCTCGGTATGAAAGAAGACAAGATATAAGTGTCTGAGGATGCCAAACGTGAAAGAGAACGACAGTCGAGGTGTTGAGACGACAAGTCACCTATATAACTGTTCCCTCCCGAAACCGACTCGGCGCAAACCGCCACCAGACAACCCCTCCCCCAGCACCTCCTGAAATCTGTTTCCGAATATCCTACCGCTTCCCACTAGGGTGAAGGGTCGAGGGGCCTTGGAGAAAAAAAAAAAAAAAAACCATCCCAAAAAGTTCTGGATATCCCACTTACACGGACCTCCCTTCAACAACAACCCCCTTCGACAGTGCGTCACGTGATGGGTCGATGGTGGAGTAGAACGGATCGAAACCTCGTACGATGCCGACCAACGATGAAACGGCAATGCAACCTTCTACGCTGCCTATCGACCCAGCGTGCGAGACATGGGTGGTCCCCCCGTAACATTATGGAAGGGTTCTAGACGCCGCAATGGCTCGTTCTGTCGCTGATGGGAATTTTTTTTTTTTTCGTCTCGCCTTACAGCGCACCTCGCCGAACCTTTGGGCCGTACCTCCAGGAACCTACTCTGCCAACGACCCCTAGCATTTTGAATGTTGACCAAGGGTCCTCGTTACCGGCCGATATCGTCGGGGTAAAGAGGGTCAAACACTTGTCAAGAACCCCCCTATCGTATGTTTTGATTCTGGCTGAACGCCCTCGAACCTCGCTGAAGTGCAAATCTTCTCGGGGTAGGGGCAGGGGTTGGGAAAACGTCTAGATTGCGGGTCGAACCGACCAGTTCAGTTGCGTATTATTTATCAATCCTGTCTAGATGTGCTCGCCCGACATGCAAAAACCGCTGGCCAGGTTTTCGAACAACGAGGAGGAGAAGCAAACGAATAACTCCACACATATGCGCCGCGCATACCATACCCAACCCAGCCGCCACCCAACCAGCCAGCCCCTAAACCAAAAACCAACCAAACCAAACCAGTTTACCCTGTTCCGTCCAGGTTTCCTCTCCTCCCTCCCAAGATCTATGAAAACAGATGCCCTCTTCGCCACCTCCTACGAGGTGGCATTACCAGTTTTTGTCCATTGTTGAGAATCGCATTAACAACCAGCCTGGACCTTTCCGTCTTTCCCGAGGTCTAGACTTCTCCGACGCCAGTTGGGTGGTCCAGAACTCGTGTACGTCCGGTTAATCATCCCAAGCTCGGGGGCAGCCCCATGCAACGCTTCAAATTTCAGACATGGAGAAAAGAAAATCAGATCAAGATTTGCCTCTTCCATGTAAGCAGGTGTTGAAACATTGACGCTTGGTATCGGACACTTTGAACTATTTTGTCCGTCTCCCCTGGATTTCTTTTTACTTCCTCTCTTTTGGCGACGTCTTTACTCTCATGTGCTCAGCAGATCCCTCACCGACATACCACGCCCGGCACCGCGAGCGGTACTCGCGCTCTCGCTGCCCACAGTACCTCTCCGGTCGGTGTTCAACATCAATAGCGCTGCCGTCGCCTCATGGTCGAGATCACGCTGCGGTGCCAAAGCGGGACTGGTAAGCGTTGAATGTGACACCGAGGCGATGCCGTGACCGTAAGCGTACGGCTGCGGACCGAATGCGGGGGACGTCGTTGCCGACGATGCGCTGTAGCTGTAATGCCTCTGATCCGCCGTTGACACGGAAGGGTAAGAATCGTGGCGGTGCCTCGAGTCCTGTGCGAGAAGCGCGGGCGACGGCGACACGGATGGCTGCTGGGACCGGGAGTGTTGTTGAGCGGGGAAAGTGGGTGATGGGGCCTCGGAGCCGGTCATTTCGACGTCGTCGGGTTCTTGCTGGTATTTGGGGACGAACTGCGGGATGGAGCCCCACGGGTCACGTCCCGAGGGGGTCTGCAGGCCGGAGTCGGTAGGTGAGACACCCTCTGATACGTCGCGCTGGGCCTTGAGCTTGGCTACGCAGTCTTCAAGATACCTTACATATTCGATAGAAGCCTGCACAGGGCATCTCTGTTAGTGTTCTGCTTCAAGACTCAAAAGACACAAACCCAGTTTTCACTTACTTGCAAAATGGCCAGCTTATGCATCTCGCCAGTGCAGGCGGGAATCATGCCTTTCAGAACGGCAAACTCTTCATTCATCTTGGACCGACGACGGCGCTCGATCAAGCTGTGTGCTGTTTTCCTCGCAATCTTGCGTCCCGCCGCGCTGGTCGCCGAGGGTTGCTTCTTCTTGGATTGTGCAGTGGTCGATGCAGCGCCCTTCGCCGGGCCTGACGACTTGGCAGCGGCCGGAGCCTCTTCGGGCTCCTCTTGTGGCCGGGGCTTCATTTGAATGATCTTGCGGGACCGAGTTGGCGGTGGGGGCAGGGCGAAGTTCTCGCTTGCCGCCTTTTGTGCTGCCGAGGATCTTCTCCGTGACTTCACCGTCTCGCTGGGTTGGACGGGATACGGCGTAACCGTTGACGGGGAAATAGGCTTCAAGCCAGCATTGGGCGATGACCTCGTGTCGGTGGGCGATATTCTCGAGGCGTCTTGAATCATTGCGGGCGGGGGTAGCTCGAAGGACAGCTGCAGTGAGGCGAGGCCTTTAGAACCATCCTGACCCTTTATGTCGGTCGAGGACGCCGGCGTGGGTGGCAGTGTGGGACGCGGCATTGTGAAGTTGTGGATTTGAATTGGGGGGCACACGAGTGTCTTTGAGGGATAAACAGAAAACTTCCCAAAAGGAAATAGTAGAAAACGGCAGACTGAGGGAAGGAAAATCGGTGTTTATGCTATACGACAAATTGGTTGACGTCTGTGAGGTGAGGCTGTGCCCGCGGGATCGATGCCGGATGGTGAGGCGGCTTGGTCGACAGTCGTTTTGGCTTGGCGTTGATGAGAAGCGCCCGTCAGGGTGCCTTTAAGGGGTAGCAAGGTCCGATTCGCTATGTTTGTTACAGGACTGGGCCGTTGTTGCAAAAGAAAAGAAGGGCACGCGAGTGTTGAGGAGTTGAGGGCATAGCTGACGGGGTTTGTAGAAAAGTGAAAGGGGGAGGAGGGTTAAAGATACGGCATGGGAGACGGGATGGGCATGGTAAGGTATGGGATGGAAGCACGAGTTGAGGCGGCGTACATGCACAAGTAGCAGACTGACTCTCTCACTATCCTTGGCTTGGCCTCTTGTCACTTCCATTACTCCTCCGCTTTCCCTCTATCTACAACCCCGGACGGTGGCTACTCTCTGTTAAGGCACTGGCCTCAACGAGCAGCCGGCCTCTTAGCAGGCTTCTCGCAACCCACGCCCCCCCCTCCATCTCTTTTCACTGGGGAGGGGGGGTGGTCCATGTTCGTGTGTACGATACCCTGATGAGGTTCTGGGGAGGGGCGGTAGTGGATTGTAGTTTTGGGAGGGGGATAGCGAAAGAGGAAGAGGGAGAGAGGGCACGCGACTCCAAGCCTGAAGTGCCAGACAGGAACCCATAACAACGGAGGAAAAATTAAGTAAAAAAGCACAGCCTGGCGGTCTTGGAGATAGGAAAGATGACGAGCACGAAAGAAAGAGCCAATCAGATACGCGAATGCCGGCTCCTGGGCGAAGAAAAGGGCAGGAGAGGCATCATCGAGTGTTCGAGAAAGTGGACCAATCAGAGTGGTGGAATCGAGCACATGGGGTTCCTGAATGGTAACTGCGCGCCCGCAGAAGGCTTGCTCCTCCATTAGAGGGAAACGTCAATCAACACGGCCACACAGGCCACATGGATCATCGGGGCCCTTGTCCACGCCCACGCCTTCGCTCTCTGAGCTTTTCTTGGTTGTAGTCCGGGGGCTGGGCATCCTAGTCTGATGCACTTTTTTGCTGGGTCTGGAGGGGGCCTGGGGGAAGGAGCCAAGAACCAGAGGCACGAGACATGTGCTCGAAATGCTGTTCGGCGGTTGGTCCGATGGCAAAAAAAATTGTCCCGTCCAAGGCACACGATATTTTTGAACTTGCTCCCCATATAGGCGAGCACTGGCGAGATGGTCGCGCTGTCGCGCACATGTGTGCAATGTGGTGGGCGGCGTTTGGACCTCTCTGATGATGGTTATTGGGTTGAACCGTATACACATAGTATGAGCTAGATGATGGACCCTGTCACAAACCCAGGCCCGCTCATCAAGTGAGCACGTGGGCAATCTGCTCCCTTCCATCTCTCCCCCAAAAAAGGTCATTGTCTCGTTTGTGACCGATAACACTTGCGTGTCTGACTCGGCTGGTCTCATGTCGGCGAATTGCCCTTTACCTCCGTGTGTGCATCACGTCCAAGCGAGAACGGTGGTTTGATGTCTTCTGGAGGCCGGCCTAGCAAAGGTCCATTAGTGAGCGTGTTGAGGGAATTGACTGCTGTGACAGCTTGCTGCAGATGCCTAAAATGGGCCAAGTGAGTTGTCATTGCAGGGCCTCGATCTGAATTCCCTCTTTCTGCATTTCCCTTGCTGCTGCGTGTGTCTCCTCTCTGTCTCCTCAAAAATAGAGTTTGGTCCCAATTTTCTATACAGACGGAAGCTCTCGTGCCTCTCTCCAATCACCCAAGGAGGAGGACGTGGACCTGTCTGGTCCCGATTCGGCCTAGTGCCCGAACCCTGAAAACGGGGGCAGGCATGGGGGTGCAGGGGCCAACCAAGGCAGCTTCCCCCAGGAAGCTTGTCAATGTCAAAATCTCAACTTCATCATGCGCACGTGACGGCATAAGCTGTTGCTATTTGGGTATGGGAACCATCAACCTTTGACAGGAAATTGCTCATATACAATCGTTCCATAACCATGTCTTTTCCCCTCACGCTAGCTATCAAACGTGTTCATGCATACAAAAGTTTCATTTTCAACTAACCCCAAAAAAGTTACTTCATTATGATCGTAGCAATGTGCAAAGTGCTTATACCCTCGAACCGTAGTGAGAGTTACTCCGGAATTCCCAACCTTATCGCCAAACAGATGAAAACCAGTACATAGTTACAGCACCTCCTAAGCCTCTTATACCTCGTTGCTGGGATAGATGACCTTCGTTGTCGCCAAGAACTCCTCCTTGATACTCCTCAAGCTGACAAAACGGCTGAGCAGGTTTTGGCTACCCGCCTTGTCGTTCGTACCACTGGCTCTGCCACCACCGAAGGGCTGCTGACCAACGACTGCGCCAGTGCTCTTGCAGTTAATGTAGAAGTTGCCCGCAGAGTTGCGCAGCTTATCCTCAGCGAACTGCACCGCCGCCCGGTCTGCGGCGAAGATGGAGCCAGTCAGGCCATACTCACCAGTCGAGTCGACCAAGTCGCAGACCTCGGAGAAGGCGCCGACGGGGTTTGTGGTATCATCGTAAACGTAAATGGTGAGCACGGGTCCGAAGAGCTCTGTCGACAACAGCTTGTGGTTCTTGTTGGTCGTCTCGTAGATGGTAGGGTGCACGAAGAAGCCCTTGGACTTATCATACTTGCCGCCCGCGACAAGGGTGAGTTCCTTATCGTTCTTGGCGTCATCAATCACACCGGACAACTTCTTGAACGAAGCATCGTGGATGACAGGGCCCATAAAGTTGCCGTGGTCAGCAGGGTTGCCGATGGTGATCTTGTTCACCTCGTTGACCAAGCCCTCCTTGAACTTGGGCCAAACCGACTTGGGGACATAGGCTCTTGAAGTTGCACTGCACTTCTGACCCTGAAACTCAAAAGCTCCGCGAATAGTCTGCTTGACAGCGTTGTCGATATCCGCAGACGGGTGGATGAGGTGGAAGTTCTTGCCTCCCGTCTCGCCAACGATTCTCGGGTACGATTGGTAACGGCCCTCGGCGACACCAGCGCCAATAGCACCATACAGCTTACGGAAAACAGCAGTGCTACCAGTGTAGTGCAGAGCTGCGAACTGCCTGTGCTCCAGAACCACCTTGGTGACCTCTTCGGGATTGCCGGGCACGAATTGGATAACGTCGCGCGGCAAACCGGCCTCAATCAGGATGTTGTACACCAACCAGTTCGACAGAATGGCAGAGTCACTTGGTTTCCAGACAACGACGTTGCCGAGAAGGGCGGGAGCACCGGGCAGGTTACCGGCGATGGCTGTGAAGTTGAATGGGCTGACGGCGTACACGAAACCCTCCAGAGCCCTGTACTCGACTCTGTTCCAGACATTGGGAGAGTTGTGCACTGGCTGTTGGGCGTACAGCTCTTCGGCGTACTGAACGTTGAAGCGCAAGAAGTCGGCCAGCTCGGCGGCGGCATCGATCTCGGCCTGCCAAGCGTTCTTGCCCTGGCCGATCATGGTCGCAGCCATGATGTCATAGCGATATTTGGTAGAGATAAGGTCGGCGGCCTTTAGAAAGACGGCAGCGCGGTCGGCGAAAGGAAGCGACTCCCATGCGGGCTTGGCCGCAAGGGCAGACTTGATTGCGGCCTGGACATCGGATGGCGATGCCTGATGGTACTTCGCGACGGTGGTACCATGGTCTGCGGGGTTGAACTGCTTTCCAACGCTACCTGTCTTGATCTGCAGAGCTCATCAGCACACTGTCAGTTATTCGAGCGGTGGGAAGTAATTGCTGACCTCCTTTCCACCAACGACAATTGGCACCTCCAAAGGAACCTGCTTGTTGAGTGTCTCGATCGCAGCAGTCAGGCCCTCGCGCTGCGCTGAGCCTTTGGCGTAGTGTTGCTATGGATTCATCAGTCAGATTGCTATCCCTCTCCACGCTGCTAACATCAAGCTTCTTCGATCGGATTGGGTCACCTACGTTGGGCTCGTTGGCCACCTTGGGCACCTTGAAGGCAGCAAAAGTCGCCATTCTGGTTGTCGTCCTTGTCGCAGGAATGCTCAATCGTGTAGACAGTCCCACAGCCGATGCAGCACCAGCTCTGCGTCCAACAGATGTGATGCAGGAAGCGCTGCGAAGCTGGGAGTTCAGCAGTCCAGAAGCTCGTGTGGCAGCCATGATGGGCGATGGGCTAGATATCCTCAGGCGAACGTCCTCTGGGAAATATCAAGTGACCGAAAGGAAGGGAGGGAACCCGAGCACACACACACACAGAGTGGCGAGCGTAAGCGATGAGCAGAGATCGATTGTCAATGGCTCGAAGATGGAGGAAGGAGCAGGTGGCTTTTGGGGAAGAAATTGAGGCAAACGACTGGCTATTAAACTTCCGTGGCGTAACGTAATGGAAAACTCGTGAGTCGCGAGATATGCACTGTCATTCCTGAATACCGGTTACTTACAGCGCGCAAGTAACGGGTTGCCGCGGGTTAAGAATGCCCGGACAAGTGCACCATGACGGGGAGCTTATGAGGGGCTATGGGGCCGATAAGGATGGTCCCAGGTGCCATTGCTGTTTGCGGGGTAGATGTAGGCCAATCATATGCATCAATTGTGTGCAATCGGGACCTGGGGATCGAGATAACGGCGCACTTGGTCGGCTCAGTGGGTCTTGCGATAAGGCAAGTCTGCCATCCCGATCCCGACTTTTGCGCAACTATCGGGATCGGGATGATCATCCGACGTGGAGACAATGGCTTGCTGGTACATATTGTAGTGTCAGCGCCTCGCTTTGTTCGAACAAGGATATATATATGGCGAGAAACAAGTATTAACCCGGGCATCTTAGCCCCTTTTGGCCTATCGTTATCTCTTTCATGCTGTGAGAAAGAAACCGTTGTAAAGCAAAAATAAAAACAAAAAGGCACGCATGATGAGAAAGCCCCTCAAGTAGTGAAACTCGGCAGGTTCTCTCCAATTGATGCACACACCCACATTCCACAATCTACAGCCGCTCGCCACAAACTGCCTCAGTTGATCCTCCTCTTCTCTCATGGGTATATCACATTATGTCAAACCATTTTCGGATAGCTCTTCCGATCACGAAATAGGAACCGACAATTTTCCACATGTCGGATACCGGAACACACATACACACACGCACGCATGCACGCATACATTTCGCCCTCCCACAGTAACCGTAACAGCAGCACCGGTCACGAAGCTCTACTCTCCATCTCCGTTCGGGCGCTGTTGCGGAGGAAACGGCTCCACCGGCTCAGGTGCCTGGTTATACTTAAGTTGTGGCACAGTGAGACCGTAACCCTCCGTGATGCCGTCCGGGTTGTGCTGATCGACCTCGACTTGGATACAAATATCCAAGCTGCCGTCGTTGCCGGTGCCGTGCTGCTTCGTTGCTGCTCTGTGTTTGGAACCGGACTCGATCTCGCCGTGATGCAGGTAATCGTGTCCACCTTTGCCAGAGATGGTTGACCGCGCGTCACCGTTGATCGAAGGTGCCGCAAGTCCGTTGTTGGGCGAATTTTCCGTGAGGATTGCAAAGTTGCGGCTGGGCATGGTCACGTGGTTGGAGCTCGACGTCTTGCTCGAGCCACCGGGGTCCTTATCGAAGAATTTGAGCAGAGTCTCATCAGTATCATGGTTGAGGTGATGGATCTTGTTTCTTCTCGCCAGTAGGTTTGCAATGGCTGCCGGAGGCGGCTTGTTAGTGATGGCTGACGAAATCACGTTTGCCATGTAGCGATGATCATTTTCCGTGGCGATTTTCAGGCGAGGGTGTGAGTAGAAGCGACCAAGAGCCGCCAGATGCACGTCGCCGCCGAGGATAGTGATGCGCACAGAAAACTCGGAAGAAATGGCCTGCAGCCTTTCAACCAGAGCTCCCCGCTCCTTCTTGTGTGTCCTGGCCGTGTAGTGATCGTCGAGGTCGTCGAGCAAGTCGATGCTGCCATCGAAATGATTGAACACGCCGCCAGCTTAAGTTTGTAAGCAAAGTTGAGGGTATGAGAAAATTAGAATATGCACGCACCGAAACCGAATCTTCGGTTCAAAAACTTCACAGGTCCCATGATGGGACTCCTGAAGACATTTTCAAGCCATGTTAGACGCTAATAACTCATTAGCCTATACATCGTCGACTTGCCGTGAGCAGAGTAGCTACTCACAGGATAAGCGATGGGAATGCCCAGCAACAGAATCAAGTGCTTCAACGGCCGACCGGCTTCCACGCAAGATTTCAGCTCGTGCCTGAGGCGACTGAAGATCAGGTCGTACGTCTCGGGGTAGTTGATTTGGTGCCGTGTCCGCTGCGGTACAGTTAGCTAGAACATCCTGTTGGCATGTCTTAGGCAATGCCTACCTCAGTTCGAGCGTCGATGCCTAGAAAACCGATACGCGCTCCAAGTCGAGCATACATGTTGTGCGAATGTTCTGCTACGTACGGCTGTGGCGACATGTAAGTATCCGACCGGCAGAGCCATCAAGAGACACTTACACCAGGCTCTGTCCCAACAATGTAGCCAGGGTCGGACTTAGGGGGCGCTACATAAGTGTCCATAAGCTGGTTAGGGTCGAGTCCTTGGCCCTCGGTTGCTGGTGTGAAATCTGCATCCCAGTAAGTCAAAAGCCTACCAACTCCCCACAGCAGCTGCTTACCCGAGGTGTAGGTCGATCTTGGGGGAGGCAAGTGGTGCTGGAACAGCATGTAGTACTTGTGAGCCGTTCCGCCAATGCCCCTGAAAACATCACATCGCATGAAGTCGTCGACATAAGAACCGAATCCGTCAATGATCTGTAGCTGATTAACTATGCTCAAGTGTACTAGGCATGTATTGACATACGTCATGGTCATCCCAGATATTAAGCATAGGAATTTGACCATTGGCCGTAGCGAAGGGCTCGGTCGAATACCTGCAACCTATTAGCTCGGCAATTCGCGCTCGCAGCCTTGTACCCCCACTTACCATCGAATGTAGTTCTTCAGATAGTAGTCATCGCAGGCTTGTCGAAGTTTCTCAGGAAAGGGAAAATGTCTGCGCTTCTTTGGGTTGGAAATTTCGGTCCACTCGCGCAGCGGTCCATCAACTCGGATACCGTCATTGTAAATCTGGTCACCTCCTCCGATCCTATATAAAGTTCAGCAACATAACCTCGTACTACCGATCCAAGATATCAAACGCACATGACATGGAATGGCCGTTCCTTGTGGTGCCTGTTGACATCATTCCAAAGAGCGGGACCACTCCAGGCGTCCTCATCCGTGCCGACACTGAATCCGTTGCAAGAATGGAACATGATACGCATCGACTCATTAATGGAGGGAACGAAGAAGTGGTAGCGACCGGGTCTAATGCTGGAGAATCGCATGTCAGGGATGAGGTACTCCCACTTGGCCTCGGCCTGCGAGAGCGGCAAGGACAAGTCGAAAGCCCAGAAGGTGTTGCGCGGGTCAGAGTAGAGACACTGGCCCTGGATTTGCGTGCCGTTCTCGTCTGCGCCGTTTGAGCCGTTTGCGCCGTTTGAGCTCTCGCCGTTGACGGCACCGTTGACGGCGCCGTTGGTACCGTTGACTGCCTCCACCTGGGGAGCAGTGTTATGTCTGTCAGCGGAGCCTGCGGGGCGCAAAATCAGGGTCGGCGCGAAACTCTGTGTTTTACCGCCGCCCTTTGCGACGATCAAGACACTTCCGTACCAACGCTCTGCATCCATCCGTCGGTAGTTGAGGAGCGGACCGCATGTGATCTCCCTACCGTCGGGGGCATTTGGTTGCTCGTAGGAGTGGGCGGTATTTGAACGAGGCTGCTCCTCGCCGGCGGCCTCACCAGCGGCGATCATGATGGGCTTGAAGTTTGGCGGGGCATTGGGATTCTCGGGCTCGACGCGATCACGGTTGAGAAAGCTCGCAAGATCAGTCGTACTTCCACGCTCCTGAGGATCGCGGGGTATGGCATGAGCCTGAGCGGCGTGGCGCGCGAACGCTGAGCTTTCCTGATGGCGCCATCTGTTGTCCGACGCATAAGGGTTATGTTCGACGTCATCCAGGGAGTCGCCTTGGGGGTGAGACGCCATTGTCGCGGTTTGCGATTTCCTAGCCGTGTTCTTTTGCGTTGGTTTCGGTCCTGAAAAGAGAAGCAGTTAGAAGAGACAGAAACGTCGAGAGCGGGTGGTTCTGGGCTCGTAGTGGCTCCTCACAATGTCTCAGCGCACAAATTAGCCTGCCAGGATCTGTTTGCGCGCCAGTTAGCTTCCGATAGCTGGGAAGTCGTTTTTTTTGTTGCCTGCGATCGAGCAGCAACGGGGTATCTAGAATCAGTTATCGGGAGAGAACGACGCAAGTTACAGTAGCGAAGTGGTCTTGAAGGGAGTTAAGGGGAAAAGGAGGAAAAAGGAGCAGAAGGGGGTCAAGAAAAGGGGATCGAGGACAAGAGGGTGTCGTCAAATCCCACTATGAATCGCACGAGAAAAGTGTGTTGTGCTGGATGGTTGCTTGGTTGGGTAGTGCACAGTGACGCGAGCTAGGAACGAAATAGCAGGGATTGTCATCGGTGGGTACTGTCCCCTACGCAACCGCTGCGAGCCACAGGCTAAAAATTGCCTGTCGAGCTGCACAATTGCAATGGGCAGACTGGGGGGACCTACTAGTATTAGGGTGACCCCTGGGACGAACTACTACGTAGTGGACTCGGGGGTAGTCGTGGAGTCGTTGTGGGACTAAGATTGTCAGCAAGGTAAGGAAGATTTGCAGTTTGAGATGAGCCCTTTGTTGCTTCTGTCGCAAGTTTGTTTGTGCACTTTCACACTTGGACTTTCGAGGCGGTAAATCCATGACGGGATGGAAATCTCCTACTCGGCAGCGCTGGTTTTCGCGCTTTCGTTGTCCTCCTCGACTTGGCTAGTGCCAGGCGAACCGGGCATTCAATCCAGCCCACGATCCTTGCTGCAGGCTTGCATCAACCCAGTCCCGTCCGGCTGACCCCATGCAGTCAGGCAAGATAAGAATGGGGTCCGAGGCATCCCTCTTACACCCCATTGGCTTACGCTCGTGTAAGCATCCGAATTCTTATACACGTATCCATCCAAATACGCTTGCTACTGTTGGGTGCAAACTGCTATTATTACTATGTAAAAGTAAGCAATCGTCCCGTCTTTTACGACTGGCTTACTTACATCCGTCCATTGAGTAAATGTTCGAAGGAGGCGGGTGTTCCACTCATCGTCACCCATTTTGCCTCTCAGCTGGCGCCTCTGTTTCTCGATGTTGCCAAGGTCAACGCACTCGTCAGCTCCCCTCCTGTTGGTGTCTTGGATTGGGATGATGAGTGGCCAAAGCTCCTACCAGCTTGTTTTTGGCAAGCACACCGTTCCATGCCTGCAGGTGGTTCCCGGGCATCGTTCCAGTCGGAGACCAGACAATGTAACCCTGGTTTTGGGGCTATTTTTGATTGCGTAGAAGCCAGCTGCAAAGCATAGCAAAAAACTTACTACGTAGAGAGTCTAGAGATTCAATGGTCCAGAAAAGGTGGATTGGAGATGCGCTGTGCATGGGAGGCCTGCGAAAAAGGTACATGCTTTGACGTACATATGGACACATCATATGTAGAAGGTCGTACTAAAAAAGCCCCCTCCCCAGCTGCCGCGGCAAGCTGCTGATGATTTGAATGAATTTTTGAATGAGTTGTTGATGTGCCCTGCCAGATGTGGCCTGGTTTGCCAAGTGAGATTGGTCAACTACGTCAGGACTTGTGGCCCTAGGAAATGAAACAGGAATGCCCCCACAAGGCCAAGGCTTAGATGACCCGCTTAGAGGGACTCCCCTGCCATCTATCCCTGATCAGCCGCTGGTAAGGCCTTGAGTTGTTGAGCTTCGTCTTGGCCTCCGCCATGCCACATGCCACATGCCGTGAAATCGGATCACCGCTGCCGGCGGCTCTCTTGGCGTCCCGGTCCTTGTATCCGTAAGATATCCACTCCAACGCCGGTGTCCACATCCCGCTCTGTTATGCTCCGGCGTATTTCCCCGATTGCTGGTCCTGCTGCCGGCATGCTTTAAGTTGCCATCTCCGGGGTTCCTAGAGTTCAGACCGACCGGTGAAAGTGGACGTGGGCCCATGCTATAAAGGATCAGCTTACAATCGTCGCCGCCAGCACATCATCATTAAATGACGTCCTAGAGCCAGGTTCAACGACACCATGTGAGCTTAAAAGCCATGTAAAAAAAGCCACCCCCACTGAAAGCAAGTGGGGTTGACTCTTTTTTTGGTCTTACACGCAATTGAATTTATATCCAGAGTTTCTCCACGAGAACTGTCCTAGGTATACCTGGAACTTCAATCGCAGCGTAACTACGCACCGGCATAAGGGCTTTCATGCTCTCCATATGGATTTGATCGTTAACTGCGACCTTCAAACAGCGCTGGTCTTAAGCGATAAGCCGTTCCAAGCATTGGGTGCATGACAATGTTGGCTCAAGTTATTTTCACGACAAAACAATGTCACATTCAATAAATTGAACCATGATTTTTATTTCCACGTATTTAAAAGGATAATGTCTATATTGAAGCCACAAACTTGGGAATCGTAAATTAAATAGATACGAGTATTTGCTAGCTTATTTGTTTGGCTCATTTGCCTTCACTTCGCCTATTGCGGGGTAGTTCTAACAACTGAATGCTTTCACGACAAGTTCAAGCTCTAGTCGGGGTTCTTTAAGAAGGTAGTCTCGTAGAAGCAATCATCTCCCAGGTTTTATTTCCATTGGTTCTCGTCCAAACCATGCGCTTAGAAATATAGAACAGGATGAGTAAGGTCTCAGTAACCCGCAACCTTTGGTGGCTGCAGGGTTAGTGTGAACTTCATGAAGCCATCGTCCTGGCAAATGTTGTTTTAGTTGATAAAGTTAGCAGCTGACGTTTCGTTAGCCACATGACGCACTCCACATCCTAAGACCCATTCAGATTGCCTTTATCCCCACAAGCTTCTTCTCTTGCTTACTCCCCTCAACAAACTACAGGCGTACTCGCCAAACTTAGCTGGAAGTTGAGTGAGCAAAGACTTTGCCTTTGGATCGTCCCCGCCTTGCTAAGGCGCAAACATACAAGCAGTCATTCACGTGAATCGCGGGAAACCTTTGGTCAAACAATTTATAATGCCTTATACCTCTTCATCTTTGTACTTATTTGAAGGCGTATCAAGCGCTTTTTTAACAAAAATACGAGAATCGGCGCATTGGGTTCGAATTTTGCCGTTATCGCATCTATGTAGAACAGTTTGACCGTGCTGATTGATATCTCCGGCGTCTACGAGATTTCTGCGCCCGTCCCCCGCCATCCCAAGCGGACTCCTGAGAGCTCTCGCCACGGCTCTCGTAGTAGGATTTAAGCCAGCCTTCATACTTGAAACAACGGTGCACCAACCATGGTTGAGATCTTTAATGATGCTGTTGTCCAAAGGTCAAGTTGGTCTTTCTCAAGGCACAGAGAAGGAAGGCAACGAAGCCTCTTACCGAATATGAACTCGGTCTAATGGAGGTGGGTCTTCAAGGCAATCGCGAGTTTACAATAAATTGTTGAACCTTGCATCTCTGTACAACTTAGTTAATTCGTCTTATAAGTGACATGATCAAACATATAAAAGATCCCATGGTAGTGGTTATACGTAAAGGTGGTAAGTAAAACTCTGCAAACACCGTTAAACCTCGCATGACGTAAGTTGTTGCTATGCATAACCATAGCTGGCCTAGAAACGAGGTTTTGACGAATTGCATGCGACTGTTATAGTTGATGAAAATTGCCAGAATCATAACGCCAACTGAAGATCGTTGTCCTCCACTCAGATGCTGGTGGAAGTGTATCATGACAAGATTGCGAAATTGGAATGAGCAAGAGATGTGAGTCCTCTACGGACCAAGGCTTAGCAGAAAATAAGAGTATTCGTAAGGATCGCTTTCATCTGGTAAGAGAGTAAGAAAGAGGGGCTGAATCCCGTATCGAATGGCCGTCTGAAAGGATTGCAATATGTTGAAGCTCACAGTCTAGACCACCGTTCTGCCTGGAGATCAAGTGGCGAACCTACGCTAGACAGTCCAGGTCGGACCAAGTCGGGTAAGTGTTGCACGAGCCTGAAGCCATCACAAATTTGTGACGAAACCGAAATTTGAGCAATTTGGGCGATCCAACACATACTCTAGGCTACAACCAGCTTTTCTACGTCTTTCATGAGGCTCGAGCTGGGGCAAAGTTATGGTTGAGTCAATCGTTGATTGTCCAGGCAGGCATCAGCAGGCTCAAGCGGTGCTCGGCAGGTTCGAAATGGTGGGGTACCCTGCAGGTCACCAGACTTCGTGTCAAAAGCTCTCCACGATTTAGGCAGCATACCCCCCTGTTCCGCGTCTTTTCCTCCTCTGGCCTTCGTTCCAGCGCGTCTTGTGCCTGATGCGGCAGGGTTTCACAAGCCACTGACAGCAGCTTCCATGCACGAACTGGAGGCAGGGTACTTCAGGGTCTGAAGCCTTGGCGTCGCAGCCATCGGAGGGGCTGAATTCCTTCCTTTGCAGTGCAGCGGTGTCGCAAATGTGAGGTACTTTCCAAGAGACGCAATTGATGGCGAGCAGCAAGGTAGATCTTCTCGCTTGCCATGTATTTCCTCACCTGAGCTTAGATTTCACCCAGAAGATCATGTCCCCTCTTTTTGTCAACAAACGGTGAGGGCTTCAGCTCTCCTGCAGATGTGCGAATTGGTATAAGACAGCTTCAAAATCCTCTCTCTAGTTCTGCCTCAACTTCACTCCCACTGGCATCTGCCTCCTTCCAACTCTTTGCCCTCTCTGTCCTGCCATCTGTCAATCGGTACAGGTCTATTATTTGTTCTGTCATTCCTCCAGCTCGCTTGCTCCCCTTCTGTCCATTTAACTTTGACATCTGTAGCCGCTCAACAGAAAGCCGAGCCACATTCCACATCCAGGCCTCTTCAGTTACTGGGTGAAGCTACCATCTTCCATCATCCTTCTCACCAGTTCTACACAGAAAAACCATCAAGCAAAGACGATATCAACATGTCTCTGCCAGAGCTTCAGCGATTGCCGGTTCCTCACACGGAGCTGGTCAACTACATTCACGACCACCCAGAGACAAAAATGGTCGAGATCATGGAGCCTTACCGCAAGTACGAAGCCCAACTCAGATCAGTCTTCGCTCAAGACCGTGGAAATCCAGCTCTCAATGACCCGTACATCAATCTTGTTCCATTGTTCAATGAGAATACTAAGAATATCAAAACCCGCGCCCGTTTTCTTGCGTCTGAAACTCAAGAGGAGAAAGACCGATACATCATGGTGCTTCCCGATGACAAGCGCCGAGCCAATGGCTCTCCTGCTGTAGTCTCCTCACTGAAAGACTTTCAGAAGAACTTCAATGTCTTCTCAGAATCGTCTCTTGTCGACTTGAACTGGGACAATGTCGTTGCCGCTGGGTCATCCGTTATCAACACTCTCTTGCCTGTCCCCACCGAGTTTAACACCACCAAGCGGAAGCTGAGAGAATACTACCACGAGAAATTCTGCCCAGCATCTGATGTCGACCTCTTCCTCTATGGCCTTACCCATGACCAGGCCATTGAGAAGATCAAACAGATTGAAGCCGCAGTTCGAGATGCTATTTTAACTGAGGTCACAGTCGTGCGCACAAAATACGCCATTACTATTGCGTCTCAATATCCCACTCGCCACATTCAAGTGAGCATGCAATTAACAGCGTACTTCCCGCAAAAACTAACAAGTTATTCAGATCGTTTTGCGCGTGTACAAGTCCATTGGAGAGGTATGCTGCTCGCTCTTCTTACCTCCATTTGTATATACCGTGCACATTTTTACAGAAACCTAATGAGCTCTAGATCTTGACTGGATTTGACATCGACGCAGCTGGTGGTGCTTATGACGGTAAGCAAGTATGGGTAACCCCTAGAGCCTTGGGAAGCTTCATCACCCAGATCAATCATATCGATCTCACCCGCCGAAGTCCCTCATATGAGAATCGTCTGTCCAAGTACAGTCACCGCAACTTCGAGGTCTATTGGCCTGAGCTCGACCGCAGCCGCATTGATCCCACCATCTTTGAGCGGAGTTTTCAGAGGACCCTTGGCCTTGCAAGGCTTCTGATTTTGGAAAGACTTCCCACATCTTCTGTCCGTGAAGAATATCTCAACAAGCGCAGACAGGAAAGAGGACGCCCAGCGGCAAATCGCTACAACCCCCATCAATTGCATGGCAACATCAAGGACAGTCATGAGGATGAAGTTGCAGACTGGGTCGACGAGAATGATGTATCCAACTATCATACCTTCACAGTTCCTTATGGTCAACAGTATGTTTGGAGCCCATGATGAACATGGAAGCATTACGCTAACCGAACTAGCTTCCACGCAAAGAAGATTGAGAAGCTGTGTTACACCCGAGATCTCCGTGAGCCTCACGACCTGCGTATCTTACCAACCAGCTGACGATTGCACTAGTTCTCAATGCGGAGTGGAACCAACCCAAAGAGAGAGAAGTTTACCTTCATAGACATCCTGCCTTCTTTGGCCGTGTCGAAGACGTTATTGAAGACTGCTGTGGATCTTGCCCGACGCCAGTGACTCCTGAGGAGATTGAGGTAGCTGAAAAAGAAGCCGAGATCTACATCTCTGGCAAAGTCACGTTTCTTATCGACGATCCTGGCCGACAGCAAATTGGTTCCTTTAACCCTTTGACCCAAGACGACTGGACAGATATGGCCTATGTTGGAAACACGGCACGGCTTTGTCAGAGCATTGTTGACGGCGATTTGAATGAGGTCATGGATTGGCTATCTCAGGAAGGCGCTGATCTGAACAAGCGCGACTACACTGGAAGATCGCCCCTACATCTTGCCGTCATTAGTTCCACGCCAGAAATTGTGAGTTGTCTCGTGGAGCATGGGTCTAGGCTGACTGCCCGACTGGCCGATGGTCGGACTGCGCTTCATCTCGCCGCCGAGCGTGGCAACGTGGAGATGATCAAGATCCTAATGGAGAAGAGTGTTGCCAATGAGGAAGAGGAAGAAGAAAAGCAGGATCGCCGCCGTAAGGAGAGAAACAAACTGAAGGATCATGCTACTTCGCAAAACATTTCGTCTCAAGACGATGAAGACATGGTTCTGGATGATCATGACAAGCAGGGATCTGATGTGGAAGACTCCGATATCGACATGGTCGAGGCCGGCAATACTGAAGCAGACTCGATGGTTACGGGCTCTTTTGTCAACGTCAAGGGCGACGAGGAGAAGAGTAAAGAAGACCTCATTCTTGAGGAGGAGTCGACCGACGAGCCGGACTTTTATAAGGTCGACGTGTTGGCTTGGGACGTTCCTTGCTCGCCTCTTCACCTTGCCATTTCCGAGGGACACGAGGAGGCTGTGAAGACCCTCTGCGAATTTGGAAGCGATGCTCTCCTTCCAGTCAAATTTCTTGACTCAGAGAAACAGCCAACAGCGGCTATTCTTACGCTTGTACTGGCTTTGTCACTCCCTCTTGAGAAGGCCAAGTCCATGGCTCTTCTACTTTTGAAACTCGGCGCTACCTCGTCACAGGCTGACCTCAATGGTTGCACGGCATTCCATCGCTACGTGCAAAATGGCAATCAGGAAATGATCGACACGCTCTGGGAGAACGACAAAACTGGACTCAAGACGGCGATTAACCACATGGTTATGGGAAACCAATATTGGAATCCTCAGGCAATTGCTCCCATTCATACAGCTATCGAGAACGGCGATTCGATTTTGGTCCTCAGGTTGCTCGAAGCTGGCGCCAACCAGCAAATCGACTTTGATACATGGCTGAAGGCCGTCAAGTTTTCTAAGGCGTCACACCAATTGCGCTCATACGAGGAAAATCAGAAGATGTTCAATCGTTCAACGACACAACCTTTAATTGTCGCCATAAAGGGTTGTACCAATCCCGAGATTGCCCTCAGGCTGCTTGAGAATGGCGCGGACCCGAACACCTTGACGGCCGAATCTCACCAAGTCATTGACGATGAATGGCAAAGAAGATACAACAAGGGACAGACAATACTTGATCTTGTTCGACAACAGCTGGAGAATCTTCGCAAATACAAAGGGGAGAACCGAACTGATAACAAACCAGTTTTGCCTGTAGGAATGGACAATTATCTTCAGAAATACGAAGACGGGACCTACCAGCACTGGATGGTTTCTGAAGACATCAAATTGCAGAAATCTACTTACGAGTCGAAGAAGAAAGATCAGGAAGAAAAGAAGAAGAAAAATGCGGAGCTCAAGGGCGCTCCTGAGAAGTTGGCAGCCATCAAGGAGGTTATTGCAGCTCTTGAGGAAGTGGAAAAGTCTATCTTATCAAAGGGCGGAAAGACATTCCAGGAGCTTTACCCTGATATCAAGCCCCCAGAGAACTACTCAAGGAGTACTACGCCACCTGAAGAGAAGAAGCCAGTACCATATGAGCACATCATCTCTTTTAGGGGCGTCACCGATGTTACGGAAACAAGCAAGGCCGCATACTTGGATCTGTAAGTTCATTCGGCCACTGGCAGCCTCTTTTACATCTACTAATAATGGACAGTTTCGAAGCTGCGTGGACTGGCAATATTGACAAGATTAAGGCTCTTACACTACAAGCCTGGGGTAAGGATCAAGATGAGCCACCATTAAAGATTGCGGTCAGTGATCACACGGACAACACGCCATTTTCCTTGGCGTTCCTTCGCGGCCATTTCGAAGTCGCATTGGCGATTCTAGAGATTGTCATGGCCCAGTATTCTCCTGAAGAGAAAGAAACAACTCGATACAAACTGGATACTGGTGGTTCAGATGAGGAGGATGAAGATTCGTATGAAAGCGATGCAGATTCTACTGATGAGCCCAAGATTGTTTCAGAAATCGTCGACAAAAAGTTCACGATTGAGAATATCGGCCAAGTGTCAATGCAGGTGAAATCCACCGTTAAGCCCATTGATTTCCTAACTCGACAGGTCAGACACTTCAAGATTGGAGGTCAAACAGACTTCGACAATCATCGTGCCCTCGGAACTTTGTTCCAATACGTTCTGAGATCGGATGATATGACAGGTCTAAAGACGCTTCTCGACATGGCGATCCATTTTGCCGGCCAGAAGCTGATCGATGGCAGCCAGGATGACGAGGATACTGGCGGACGGTTCGATTTTCCAGAAGGCGATTTCCTCTGGGCTGTCAAGCATGGGAAGACGACAGCACTGGCTGAAATCATCGGTCGAACTGGAGCGGGTATTCCGCTCGATGAACTTGTTAAAAAGAGTGGCGTGGAGATGAAGAAGAAGTCGAGGTACTACCAAGGCTTAACAGTATATGGAAAGAAGAGGCAAGTAGTAGACTGCGATGACGAATGAAGGTATTCTGACAATATCACAGAAAGGATTGGGCAACAGCCGGGCGTAACATGGTTGTACGGTCCACAGGAATGAAAACGCCGCCGCTTCTCCATGCTGCCCTCGAGGGCAGCCTTTCAAGTGTAGAGTGGTTCCTCAGCGATGCACCCCATCGCCATTACACCGACTTTGGAAAGTCTAAGGCAGCTCGTGAAGACCATAGGTTTAAGCACCTCATTCAATCTCCTGGAGGATATGACCGAGCCGTTTCTACATGGCTAGGTATCCAGAGTAAGCATATCAACCTACCCGTGGCCGTTCTGTGCTAACATTGGCCTCAGATGAGCTTGTTCTTCATTGTGCTATCATGGCGACCCCAAGCGAGGAAACCAGCAAGCTTGTCAAGTATCTTGTCCAAGCCTGCCCCAATTCCCTTGAGTACAAGTCAACCCTTGGGGATACGCCCCTATGGCTGGCCTTCTACTTTGGTAGACTTGATCTTGCCAAAATACTCATTAAGGCAGGCGCAAATCAGATGACCCGAAACAATACGGGTGACAACATTATCCATGCCGCTCTGAGTGGCTACCCTAAGGCCGACCGGCTCAGTCCTGTATTGGATCTCATTGACTCTAGTATTATCTCTCATTTGTTTCAGCAGCGCAACAACCTGCATGAAAGCGGTACCACACCGTTGCACTCGTGGCTCACAACTGTCTGCAACACATATGAGGTCAACTGGAACAGGAAGTACAGCTGTGATGAGCAGATACTGGAGGTGCTTAACTTGATCTTGGAGCACTCTGAGGGCTCCGAGCTGGAAATGCTCAACGGCGCGGGCGACACACCCCTCCACACTGCTGTCATGCTACGCAACAAAGTCCTAACTAAGGCTCTGTTGGACTACAAACCCAAGCTTTTGTACCGAGAGAATGCTGTTGGTCGCACCCCTGCCGAAATTGCCCGCGAAGAGGTCACTGGCGAGAAGCTTGCCGCACCGCAGGCAATCACCCTCTCCTTTAGTTCGTACAACAACGACAAAGATCCCTCCTCCCTCGTCAACCGCAACATCAAGACATTCATTGATAAAGACGGCGAGAAGGATATTCACAGGAAGTTCAAGACTGCTTCTGGAAAGCAACAGGTATGGGAAGTTGCAAGTTCCATCCTCGAGCGCTTCCCAGACAAGCGTCGTCTTGTCTCCCTCAACGAGGCCAACGACGTCGCCAAGCGGCTGGGAGAGAAATACAATGCCAGCCGATACTTTAGCATCCAGGCGCGCAACGACGAATACGCTGACCCCGAGGATAACGAGGCCAAGGAGGAGAACAAGGATGATTTCGCGGCGCAGACCCGGCGGAACCGGGCCGGCTTCACATGGTGGGTGGCTGGAGACAAGCCGGAGGCGAAGTGCTCTTCTTGCAGAGAATGGCACGATTGACAGCGACGACAAAATAACAAAAGACGTTGTCCGCAACGCATGAGGGAGTAGGTACTGCAAGGCCTTGAGGAGGAATGGCGGAGTGAATGACGTACTCAGGGACTTGCTATGGATTTGGCGATGGTTAGCGGGGATTCAAACAGATGCCTTTCATGACTTTTTATTTTATCAAGCGCACAATAGAGAGAATAGCTATCCTGGCCAGGATGACAGAATGACGGACATTATGCTGGAGTTGTTAGCTTTTTCTTTGGTGTTTGAAATGTGTATACGTGTGTACTGTGGCGGGGAGAAGAAACCCCTTTCTGAGCCACTTTTACAACTTTTGCCCATGACGCGTATAAAAGACCGTCAAACACGAGATAAATTAGGTCATATGAGGTATGATAACTTTTACTTCGTTGCCCTACGCTTTTGTTTAATAGAAGAGGGATTAAGAAAAAAAAAACCGAAGAAGACATATTCTCTTGAGAGAGCCACTTTAACTCCCCGGGTATCTCAAATGAATTCCAAACCCTTAAAACCCCCATACTCTCAGAAAACAAGAGACCATTGATTGCTCACCATAACCTTTGGACAATCGATTAGGTCACTTTAAGTAGACCTCAATCGTCTCCATATCGCCAATGTCGGCTTCCTCGACCGTCTGGCTCTCCTCGAGCTCGTCACCATCAAACATAAGGGTGATGGGCGCGTCGGGCGCCAGCCCACGCATCTTGCGGAACAGCTCCATTAGGGTACCAATGGTCGTGGACGGCCTGACTGAGGTCTTGAGCGGTTCGTCCGTCTTGGTTTTGAGCAAGACCTTGATCTTCTGCTCCTCCTGCTCGGCCTCAGCCGCGGCATCACTACCGCCGCCGCCGCCGCCTTCTCCCTCGTCATCGGAAAATTCCCCGAGATCGTGCCTCCTTTGCCGGGCCACCCGTCTTTCATTCTCGTCCCATAGCTCTTGTGTCCACATCTGCAGGTGCACGTTTGTCCAGCCGTCTTTGAAGCCGTCGTAGTCGCCTGTACACTTGCGGTACTCTCCAGGGAGATCGAGGCTGCGCAATGTCGTCAGATCATACAGCCTGTGGCGACGCCAGGCGAGGAAGACGCCCGACAGTTCCTCTGGCGGGAGGTCTACACGGCCTTTGTGAACGTCGATCCAAGCGCTGCGAAGGACCTTGAGTGGTTTCGAGAGGGTGAAGCGGAACTGTCTTTGGCCTGCGCCAGGGATTTCTGACGTAACAAAGATGTTGACCGTTTCTGTTGTTTCCGCCTCCCTCTCTTTGGCTTGCTTCTCCATTGCTTCTTTGCGCGCTTTTGCTTGCCGGACGTATTCGGCCATGTCATCGTCATCATCGTCCTCCTCTTCCTCTGCGCCCGCATTGTTTTTGACTTCAAAGGGATCGTCGTCGTCATCGTCTATGACCAGTGGCGAAGGATCGCGTTGCGAGCTCTGCCGGCGTGGTTGCCGGATGGGCGAGGCGTCGTAGATGTCGTCTTCATCGTCGTCGTCGTCGCTATCGTCAATCGAGATGACAGGCTTAGATGGTAACGGCTCCTGTTTCCGCGGCGTTCGGGAAGCTGCGGCACGTGTCATGCGCTTAGAGGGCGTCTCGGCATCGTCGCGCTTAGAGGGCGAGTGCCTGATTCTTGACTCGGGCGAGTCGTCGCTGGTTCGCGAGCGTTTTGACGGCGGAGTGCCTGGCTCTCTGTGGTAGGATATGTTAGTAACAAGGTGGGTAGCGTAACGCGGTTGCTGGTGAGTGTACCTGGCATCCTCATCGTCATCTTCAAAGTTGCCAGTCTTGATCTGGTCACGGCTCGTCCTTGATGGAGAGTTTCTGCCATTTCCTACTGTAGACACTTGTGAGATTTTCTCTCGCTCAGTCTGTTTGCGCTTCATGCGCCTCTCTTGTTCTTGAAGCTCCTGCTCGAAGACGCTGGCACCGCGGTTGAATAGATTGGATCCGTCATCGTTATCTTCGTCATCGCTCTTTGACACCGGCTTCGGGTTGGACTTTTGACGCAAAGCGGTGGGCTTGAATGGCAAGCGCTTCTTCGGTTTCGCTGCGTCGGCCATTGTTGAACAGGAATTGTTGAGATGTCAGGCCTGGGGAAAATTCAATCTACTTCGCAAACGCGATGCGACAAGGTTGTAGGGATACGACGACTAAGCACAAGATGTTCGTGTGAGTGAGTGTGCGTAGGTTATAACTAGATTTTATAACCGGAAAATATTCGAAAGTCAGGAGAGAAGACGGGAAGTTCGGAGGCTATGCCCGAAGAAAAGAGGCGGCGGGCAAAAGCATCATGGCAATGCCACAGGAAAAAAGGCGCCCACGCATTATGTTTGAATTTGGGGGGTGGGTGTCGCCGTGGTGTGTTTCTGTGGTGAGTGCGCAAGAATTGATTGTTGGACCCCACCAGGAGTTGCCTACTCTGCACATTTCACAGGGTGGGGTGTGCGCCATTCGGGTAGCCTTACAGTGCGAACCACCCTGGTGCCTGGGCTTCCAGGTCGCCCCAGGTGGTCCGGTGCACTAACACTCCCCCCAGCGAATGAGGTACGCGGGTACCTGTCTGCCCCACTCGGGCCGGCAACCGCATCACCGCCAGCTGCCAGCAATCTCGAACATCTTCAACGACCCAAGACCAAGATCCATCAGCCTCATCCACTCACTCACTCACTCACCCGCGCAACATCGACCCGACAGGCACCGAACGCTCCCTTAACTTCCTCTCACATTTACGCAACTACTCTTACGATGGAGAACGGTAACATCAGCCAGGGCGAGGGCAAGGACCCCTCCAGCTTCCTTAGCGACATCATCGGCAACCCCGTCACAGTGAAGCTCAACTCGGGCGTCGTCTACAAGGGTGAGTAACCACACCCCGACCATCACCTAATTAGGGCACTGCAAGACGCAGCCATGTCTACAGTAGTGGAATGGTTGACTGACAGTCTATACAGGTGAGCTGCAGTCGGTCGACGGCTACATGAACATCGCGCTGGAGAAGACGGAGGAGTACGTCAACGGCGTCAAGAGGCGGGCATATGGCGACGCGTTCGTGAGAGGAAACAATGGTGAGCTCAGCTGACTAACCCATTTTGAAACTTTTCAGACTGATTGGTTGTTTCTAGTTATGTACATTTCTGCAGACTCTTAAGTGACGACGGATGAAGGCTCATGCGGAGGACGGAAGTTCTGGGGCAAATGCGTCTACAAATATTACTCAGAGGCGCTGCTACAAAAATCTATCAAGAAATGAATATACCCTCAACCCATCCAGCAGTTCCTTGTTACTTCCGCAGTCATGAGATGCCCGCCAAAACTACAACCTCGAAGTCCAGGCAAAATACGTGACCCCGTGCAGCGCGACCTCACCCTTCTCGTTCCTCTCGACAGTATCTCGACTCAAAATCTCATCAAACTTGTCCTTGAAAGCCTTGGCCTTTTCGCCCTCCAGCACGGCAACCTGACTCAGCGTACGAATGCGGTTCCAGACCGCATCGGGGGTGAGCCAGACGGTGAACGGCACCTTCTCCTCGCCGACGGGAACGCTAAAGAGCGGCATTCTGCGCCCACCCTCGAGTACGATGTTGGCGACAGCCTTCAGAGGGTTTGGATCGAGCTGACGGTCAAAGATGTCCTTCCAGACGAAGTCGCGAAAGCGGGGCTGCCCGTCGGACCCGAGGCTAAAGACGAGTTCGTTCAGAGACTGTTCCCAGGACGTGCTAGCATGCCAATGTTGCGGTTTGTTGTCTGTAGATTTTCTTAGTTTTCTGATCTTGTCAATAGGGATTCTGTTGTTTCAAGAAGAAACCCACAGTCTTCAATGTTCCAGATCAATCCCAGTACGGCTGTCGGCCTCAATACGCGGTGAATCTCCTTCAGAGCTTCCTCTTTCGCGAACCTGCGTCGCTCAGTAGCTGCCAAGTGATGTCGTTATCATCCCAACCTCAACTTACCAGTGAAAAGCCTGCGAATAAAAACGAGTCAGCCTTCCTTTTATCCAACGCTCTCCAGTCTACCCGTTGGTACTATGTCCTATCTCTCCTGGTCCAGAGGTAACTGCAAAGAAAAGGGGGGGCAGCCAACCTGTCCAACAACACACGCGTCACCCCACTCTTCATCCAAAGGGATCTTGGCCGCGAAGCCATCCTTGACTTGCGTGCCCTTCAACGACTTCCTCTCGAGCTCCGCGCGCATCTCCTCATGCGGCTCGATAGCCACGATGTCATAACCCTCGTGCCGCGCCGCCAGCACCTCCGTCAACTTGCCCGTGCCGGCCGCCAAGTCGAGAACATTAGCATGCGCGGCGTCGGCAATCTTCAAGTGAGTAAGGAACCGCTGCATCGCCTCGGGGGGATACGACGGCCGGTAGGCATCATACGAGGCCGCGTCCGCGAAGCCCTTTGTGCCGGGGTGGAGCTCTGTAGAAGACATCTTTGCGACTATTTTATTACCCCGTTATCCTTCTGTGCAATCTTAGTCTTGGGGTACAGTGCTTTTGGTTTGATTCTCAGGTCAAACTCACGGCCCACGATGACCTAAGATCAGACGGTGCGTTTCGACGGGAGAGACGAGGTGCAGAATGTGGCAAAAGCCGAGGTCCAAGATGGCGCCCAATAAAAAAAAAAAAAGTAAGGAAGTGAGTAAGAGCGATATCGCCCAGGTTTGATACGGAAAAGTCCAGAATCTTATAACGAGATGCCGCAAAGCCAAGGATCCTTCTCCGTCTCGCACGTCATGTCTTTTGAGCCACTCATCTCAACGTGGGGGGGCGAGAGGGGAGGAGGGGGCGGGGCTCATGGAGGGACGTGGAGTTTCGCATACCCGGCGCGCCGGTGCCGAAATCGCGGAGGTTCCTCCGAAGAACGGAGTTGATAAAGAGGGCGAAGTACATTACTTGGGGGGGTTTGGCAGCCGAGCGCCATTGCCAAAATTACGAATGACTTTACAGGTGGCTGCTGACTGTTTCATGCACGCTTGGTAGTTTTTATGCCTTTTTTTTTTTCAATGGCTCTTCGGTTTTCAGGGTTCTATACTAGTTTGCAGGGTATTCTCATCTGATTTGTGATATAGTCACGCATATCCAAATTATCGGGCATTGTAAATTTTAACTATACTTGATTATTATTGTGTTGTTCTATCTGAAATCGGCGTTGTTAAAGATAGTCAGCTCCCCTCCTTCCATTTTGGGGGGTGGAGGTAAGGTTGGATTTGGCGAGGGATTTCACGATGTCCCATACGCTTGTCTTTCTTCCGTCATTGTTTTCAAAACCGTTAAACGCCTTCGTGTGCCTTCCTTTTCGGCCACATATCCCTTAGTCCTTCTCGCCTACCCAACTGTTGTTCTTCTTGTTGTCGTTGTTTTTTGGCAGGGTTTATATGATACATTGATTTAATTTGAATTGAAGATGAAGCAAAGCGGAATGTTTCCAGCTTTTGCAAGCCAATACCTTCTCTGATATATCCCGATCTCCTAATCGCATCGCGCTTTACCAGGGCTGCACGCCACTTCAGCTACTGCTGCTGCTTCCGCTACCGCTGCTTCGACGGCTACCCTGACCAGGAATGTACTCCTCAGGCATAAATGTCACTTGCTCGACTTGATGGGAGCCCAGGAGGCTCTGCTCGGGACGAGGCGTGGTAACAGGTGAGCGTGCAGGGGTTGCGAAAGGATCGGCATTCTCAATACCAGGAGAAACACCAGGTGAGGTTTGAGGGACGGTAGCATAGCCCTTCTTACCGTTATTGGGAAGCTGGAGGTTACCGCTGAAGGAGCGAACACCGCCACCCGTCTTGGGCTCAGCAGGGCTTCCACCGCCGCCACGAGCGTTGCTCAAATGGCGATTGACAGGCGGGCGGATGGGCACCCTAACATCGACACCGGCGTAGGATCCAGAAGGTTGGTCAGCTGAGCCAGACTCATACGGATCCTCGTTGTGGCCGCGGGGCTGGTATGTCTGATAGGCGGCGGCATCCCCGTCTCCTTCAAGGCGCCGCAAGGCATCAGCCTGGCCTATGTTACGCTGGGCCATAGACTTGGGTCGATATGTCTGCGGAGCATAGCTTCCACGTGACGATGTCGGAGAACTGAAGGGATCGGGGTTCGGAGACGTAGGTGAGACGGGAGCCATGGAGACATACTTGCCCTTGGCCCTGGCTGAATTCGGGGGAGATTCGGAGGCCGGGGTTGCAGGACGTGAGATCCAAATGCCGTCAACCTCCACACCAGACTGAATGGCACGGACGCCGAAAGGAATCTCAGATTGTTTCCGCTGTGGAGGCAGACCGGTAGATTCCATTTCGGATACATGAGCACGTTTCTCGGCATCGATAATCTCGAGCCTCGCCATTAACCGATTCGTCCACCATAGCTTGACGAAGCCAATAATAAACACGATACCGATGCAGCAGGCGAGAACCTAAAGATGGTTTGTTAGAGTTGAGAAGATACGACAAACGTTGTAGGGACTTACGAAGGTCATCTGCTGCCACAGCTCCCAGTCGACGAAGACTCGGTGGGCCATGGTGAAAGGTGGTTAAGGTGTTGATAGAAAGATGGCTTCAGTTGGCTGAGCAAGTGGTGTGCTCAATGTTTGAGCTGGCAGTTAAGGAAAGTGAATGAAATCGGATGAGGGGGTGGGTAGTCGAGGTGAATGAGCGGTGGAGCGCAGCTCCGTCTTCTTGAGGGAATGGATGAAGTACAGAGAAACTCTGTTTGGACTGAAGTCAAGTGCCACCCTAAGATGGGATGTCCCCTCGTCTGCTTTCAGACAGGGCTGAAATCGAATGCGGTGAGTAGCAGTTCGGATGAACGGTGTAAGTGGTAGGCGGTCGGTCAGGCCAAAGATTTGTGGCGCTTATCAAGAAAGAACCCCAGTCGGACGAATTCGCTGTAGTCCTCCCACTGAAAGAAGTAGTATGATTGGTCTCTGAAGTTGGTGACTGTAATACCGGTGAATGTTGTAAGGTGATATCCAAGATCAACCGAGCGGGAAGGGGAAAAAAAAACGACCCCGATGGTGTCGAGTGTTAGTCAACCAAGTTGCCAAGGAGAGCAACCTTGTATTAAGAAGGGCACCAAGAAAACTTGAAAGATATTAGAAAAGCCCTGTAGGTGAAGAGGAAATAAAACGCGGATGGGAGGTAGTGCCCAGGGTATGAGTGGTCAGACGGGCGGTGGGAGATTTTGTATGAAACGATGTACACGGATAGCAGCAGCAAACACAGCTCGGCACATCACGCCTAGACGTCTACGATGGGCAACCTCGCGGGAGACCCTGGCCTTGGGCCTGGATAAGCGCTGGACTAGGACTAGACCCGCGGCGCCCGTGAGCCATTGTTCAACTCGGGCAATGTGTGTCGACAGTGGCTTGTCGACTTCCGTTGTCCTAAGTGGAGATGGGAGGATTATCAACTGCGTGAATGAAAAAGAGGCGGCAGAGGACGTGCGAGCATGGGCACAACCGTAACCGTCAAAATCTTCCTCCTAGGGTGGGATTAGAAGTCGGATATGGTAGTAGTCAGGCCGTCGGTTGCTACTAAATGTTGCTCCCATACTCATGTCCACTGCATAGGAGAGGTCTGGATCGCCCTTGTCCCTCCATCTAGATCTCCAATGTCGCGGATAGCGACAAGACACTAATCCTGTTACCGTTTGGTTCATGGCGTCTAGAAAAGGTCCTCACTTGATAAACCGTCTTGGGTTCGCCATCGACTTATTGAAATGCTTGGGTTCGGCTTGAACGCATAAGGCGCTTGATGATGAAGCGAGCTGTAGTGTAACGCCACCTCTCAGAGCTGCGGGAGCTTCAAAAGTTTGAAAGAGACCAGACACGATGCCGCGACGGAAGAGGTTGTCAACGTCCGTTTGCGTAATGCAAGGTACGGTACAGGAAAACTTGGCTAATTCCTTAGCGCCGATTGAAGCTCCCCAGACAAGCCACACCTGATTTTCAGACCGGGACCCTTGAGGACTGCTTCCTCTTATCCAGTTACCCTTCCGCGTTTTGTTTGCTCATGTACGTTTGCGGCTTCAATACAAGACCTTCAGGCATCCATGTTCTGGCACGAACGTGATTGATTCTAGACCTTCTATGACACTTTAAACTGTCCAGCTATTGGGAGCTTATGGAGCTCAAGTTTACACCAGCGAGTCATCATTGCTTTCTACTCACCATCAAGTCCAAGACGCGTCTTGAGAGCGTGTAATCTAACACAGAAACGGAACCAACGCGAAGCGCAAACCTGAGGGCCAATTTGGTCCCGTCGCCCCTGGAGAGCGTAGCTCGTAATGATTACTGTCCGACTCCCGCATATCGCTGCATGTGGGAGCGGATTTACTCGACATTACATTGCATTACGAGTGGAGCGCAGCGATGTCGACCTGAAAACAACGATGGGTCTTGGCAAGTTGTCGACGGTGTACGATCGAGTGCGACTCTAGCAACGGGGGAGTGTGTTTGAGTGTCTCTGCTCATTAAGGCCGTTAGAATCCCACTGCAGTTCGTCTGGTTTGCTCGGACGTCAAGGCTGCCGATCATATCATATGCTTCTTTTCATAGTTGCTTCGAGACCATGGCGCCGGCCTAGCGCGCCACTATGTGGCCCAAAAAGATGCTTGTAGAGAACAGACATCGTTATTCACCACAGCAAGATATCGAAATTGACGGGCCTCCGCGCCAAATGGGTGGGTTGAACGGCTTTAACTCCCCATTTGAAGTCAATGCGTTTGTCCGGCTGCCCTGGCTCACCCCTTCTCACGGACACTAGGAGATTACTCTTGTCCCAGCGAAGTGAAATATCTGTCGCCCATTGCTGAACGAGGGCCTAGGTTGCGAAAACGCCGTTAAGGTTGACAAATTGACATTCCGTGAGGCTTGTCTGCTCTCGTGCCTTCCGTAACTATAATTCCAAGCGCCATGAGCTTTGAGACCAAGTATGTCATCATATTGTCGATGTGTTTATCCAAGAGAATTTCTCGATAATCTTCAAAAGGCACTTCATCTCGTTAATCTGCCTTTGTGCACATACCTTCGAGGCATCAGATCGGCACTGGGGTAATTCAGAGCCTGTATGCCTCACTCGTGTGCCGTACTTTACCTTGAAGCAGTTTGCCCCCACAAATGCCCACGTCTTTGAGATTAAGACGACAATGTTGCCCACATTCCAGTACAGTGAGGGTGGTGAGAGTAGCCGGCTCTTCCTTTGTCTGCTCGCCGATCAGCAGGATGCCTCTTGGTCAAGTCCAGGGTCCAGTCCAAGTTGATGAAAGCAATACGGTTCGTCAGGCTTTTACAGAAACAAACCATGGCCAGATCCTGAGCCGCTGACGGTCCTGTTGAAGATCACAGGAGATTTGGGTCAGCTGGGCCCAAGGTTTTGCCGGAAGTCGGCTAAAATAACAATACCATACTTGTTGTTGTCAGTCAAGGGGATTTGCTGTGCGGTACTCAACAACACACGACGCATCAAGGCAGATTTTCCGTACTGGTCTTGGATCATTTTCTTTATTGCTTGCCGATCACCAACTTCCGGCGATATCGCCGGGGAGACAGCTTCGCAACGCCCAGCTTTCAGGTGCAAAACCAATCATCAGCTGACCACTCGCGTAACGCCTTTGTCTGTTATTGGGACCGACTGATAAAGTCCATCTCTCCAGGGTTGTTTTATGAAGGTCCGATATGACCAAGGTGCCGGGCGCGAAAACCAGTATCTCTGACGCTCAGGCCAAGGGAGCCTCCGCCGTCAGCTGTGCTGATGGGAGTTGCAAAGCTATGCTTGGCAGGCTGAGTTCGTTGGGTGGCCATTCATGCGATCAGACGGATCACGCTATTGATGAGGGTCCCAACCTGGTGGGAAGTATTGGGCAATTCGAGGAGCTACTGTGTCCTTGGATTCCGGTGAATGATAAATGTTGGGCGCACTGGCTTGCTGAAGATTTCTCAAAGTTTTTACCATGTTAATTGTGGCGATACCCCCACCAAGATTGAATGAAACCGTCGTGAAGACGAGAGAGCCAGGGCTGAAAATCCGGCAGCTGTTGGTCAAAACAACACGATGATGGGCCGATCTTGCGTGTTCATTGGGCTAGTTTCTTCCGCATGCATCACTTGGCGTAGCAGGTGATGGCAAATGGCTTCTTGCTCTCTGTTTCGTGGGATGTAGCAATTTCGTTAAGAAGGGGTGGTTTCCTTTAAGGGCCAGCCAGCTCGATATGTATTACACAATCACATGGTATACCGTGGACTGGGCACATTTCAAAACCTCAAGTTGCCAAGTATGTCGGTCTAGCTTCGTTCATTTGCTACTGTTGGGGCATTCGGTGCTTGCAGACTCCGAAATGTATAAATCGGCGTGCATAGCCGGTCTCCTCGTCGGCCGATATCCATTATAAGCCCTAGCGAGTACCGGGATTTCAGATGTCGTGGATACTGTTCTGTTCAAGTCGGAGGTGAGTTGGTGCCGACAAGACGGGGGACCTTACGACTTGTCTGAAGAGGAATCCTGTTCGGAATGTAGTAGGCCGTCCGGGCTGCAAGCTGATGAAAGCGCCATCCGCCTGATAGGCGCGGTGTGCGCATTACGCTCCGATGCGGTCAATCAGGGACGGCTGGACGGACATGATGCAGGTCCGCGGCGGCTTTGGGGGCAGAAAGGAAAATCGGTGCGCCGATCGTGCGAAATCCTTCAAGCCCGATGCCGAGGCATCCGAGGAGCACAGTTTGCGAATCCCTCAGCTGGGGTACTCTGCACCGTGCAAGATCTCTTTACTATGATGCACATTCTCCGTGTAAATAGCGCCGCGGAGACGGGGTGATGGGCGGTCTTGGGTTCTGAGTCGGGCCTGGTGACTCCAGTTAGTGCCCAGAACCACAAAGGAGGTCTCGGCCTTCTTACTATGTAGCACCTCCACGCTGGCACACGCTGTGAGTGGCGGGTTCATTTAACCGCTGGAGCCAGGATAATCAGGGCAGCGAAGGCAAGACGTAGTGGAGGGGGACACGGCGCTGGGTTGATGAGGAGTGGATGACGGCAAGCGTCACCCCATGATTGCGGATGGAGGGCAGGGCATTTGTACAGGGGGCAACTTACCTAATGCCGAGATACCTTGTGTTTTGCTGTAGTCAAGTTAGCAAATCGAGTACCGGCGCACACCGATCGGCCAGGGAAACAATGGAATAAACACATGTCATTGTGCCTACTAACCACGATCCCCTTGCCCTACAAAAGCTTCACAGCAGGTTTAGTGTGACCTGGCACCTGGCAGCCCTGGGTAGGCGATAGACTCGGTGCCTTCCCCCTGCTGTGGTTCGTTCCAAGTTTGTCAGTTTCCCGAATCCCCGTCATGTATGTATCTTCCCTGGCCATCCAGGGAATAAGGCTGTGGAAATGATGGGCACGACCGTGCCTTCATACTACGTTACTACATAAGATAACGTTAACAGGCGACGGCGACGGCGACAGCGACGACGACGGTGGGGGAGTTGAGTGGTGATCCGCGGGTCGTGATGCACCCATCCACTTAAGTAGGGTTCTCGGACTAAATCAGGTCCCCTAAAGCCCCCCTCCCTCTCCAGTGTCCGCTCTACCCTGAAGATTATGGTAAGGTCCAGAGGCCTAGGTGGTGTCGTTACCTCATGATCCAACGGGGTGCACCTGCAAGGAAGGTCATTCGTCATTTCCAAGTCTGAAAATGGCCCCCTCCTCCTAGGCCCTGAGCGGTAGTAGTGCGTTTATTCCTGCATGTGGATGTGGATGTGTGGACATACCTTTCCATGTCCATTTGCCGTGCCAGACTCGGAGCGGGAAGAGGGATGGAAGACATGGCAGAGACAAGGGATGGGAAAGCACAGCCCAAAACTTGCAGATTCCCGCCCGGCGATATTCTGCGTCTTCCTCATATCCAAGTCCACTGCTGTCCCATCTCCTCCCGTCATTGTAACCCCCATTAGTCTCTCTCTCTCTCTTCTCTTTTACCCAGAAAACATCCAACCTGCACTCGCATCTGCATCTGCATCCGCCATCCATATCTCTGCATCTTCTGCGCCTCATTGATCGCCCACAAGCTGCGACCTGGTCTCTGTCTCCAGACCAATCCCACCTTGAATCGCGCAACCAAGCCACCGTCTGACTGTCTACTAAGACAGGTCCCTGGCAAGGGCAAGTTACAACACACCAAGTACTAGCACACACTCAGCAACACCCACCCAACCATACACAGAGGCCTAGCCTGAACGGTTAAGATTGGCCCATATAGTTCATCGCCATCCCGTCTACCCTTCCCACCCCGCCCCTCCGGGCCCACCGATCGATTTCTTTGTCAACGGTTCCAGCATCACCCTCGGACCTCGAAAACAGTTTCAAACATCGTCTCTGATTTTTATTTTTTCTTATACCCTCTTGCTCTCTCTGCTACTTACATACCAATCCGACCCATTGTCTGCCTTGAATTCTGCGCTTCATCGCCCCATACCCGACATTGATCCTCGAGAACGCTCTTTCCGACGTTCCCGCCAGCTTAGCCCACCATGCCCTCCATTCGCAATCCCTTTGCCCGTCGGCCGGGTCCAACCATTCTTTCTCCCGACGGGAATGCGCATTCAGACGCCCAAAACCCCTCGGCACCTGGTTTCGAGAGGCAAGATACAGTTGGCTCCAAAGCTTCATCTTCGCTGAGCGTACGGAGTTCCAAGAGCCAGGACAACGGCGAGTACAAGATGAGCGGTAGGCTATTCCCTCTGCCTGCCTATACACCCCACCATTGTCCGGGCAGGTCTGTCTCACGGGACCAACTCACTGACTCTTAACCACTGTATAGTTGTGAACGACAGCGGAGTCTATCTTCCCGTATGCTTCTTTTAACACCCCGCTACCGTTTAAGACACCGCTAATGCATACATGCAGCCATCTCCAACTGAAGAAAAGGGCTTGTGGCCGCGCAAGTACCTGAATTCCGGTCGCAACTCAACAGACACTCGCACCGACAGCGGTGAGATTGAGCACTTCTCCATCTCAAGAGAGTCTTTTGACTCGTACAGACGGTCATTCGTGCGTCCTGTTTCTCATGCACTTTATCGTGACATTAATGCTCACGGCAGTTTTCGCGCAGGATATTTCAGCACGAGCCCCCATCACCCAGTCCGATCTTCCCACACGCCAAAGTTTAGACTCAGCCCGATACCCCCGTCTACCTCGTTCTGCGATTGACAGGCGATCCGACAGAGACCTACCCACCGCTGATGAGGGCTTCGAGGACGTCGGATTAGAAGATCATAGACACCAACCCAGCCGCAAGCGCGGTCTGTTCTCGCGCTTCGGGGACTCTGACCATAAGGAGCCCAGCGCCACATCTCCCAACTCGAGCGTTACGCGCTTCCTGACCGGACGAAAGCGCGCTCAAAGCGGAGGCCAGGAGCTAGGCACCATTGAGCGGCCAAAGTCAGCGGCCTCGATCGAGACTACCGAAATCCACTAATTCGACCTGGCAACTTGTTCTTGATTTGTACATACGACACCCTGTGCACACTTTTGACGGCGTAGGATCTGGGCGTCACTGGCTGGGTTGGGTCCAGGGTATAGGATGCATTCGCTATGACAGGATTAGAGTTGGGCAACCCGCACACTCGTAGGGCTGGGCCGCGTTATGCATACACGGGCGGCAGGACATAGGCATGTTGAGCAGAGCCCTGTGAGGCGAAATATCCCAGGGACGAGCTCTTAATGATAATGATAACAGTTAACACCTTCAGGCTTAGGTGCTTCGCTGTGCGATGACCAATATGCAAGTGGACTGGGGCTAGACTGATGATACCCGCGAATCAGGAAGTCAAACGGTCACGCTAGAGGCCCAAGTCGGACGAAGGGCGCAAAATGACACACAATCCGAATACCGGAGGACCAGCGGAGACGCTCCGGACAATTTTTTTCCAATTGTTGGTCAGCTTTTTGACGTGATATCTGAAGAGACTGTTCCGAAATGCACTTATCGCACCATGACCCGTTTTCGGGGTTTGTCCCTGACCCCACCTTCATATACGTAATGGAGGGGTAGAAAGGGTTCCATGCTGCTGGTGACTCTCTAAACGCATCCATGTCAATAAACCGATAACTCGCGTCCCAAGTAGTTTAAACAGCCTCTGCCCTCTGCTGCCGACGGAGATCACTGCCCCTCTACTGATTGCAACCCCGAGTTTCACTTGAGTTATCTGCAGTCACACCATCGCATTGCCCCCTCATAAAAGAGTAATCAAAATGGCTGCAAACATCCCCGCGGACGGCACTGCCACCCCGGCTGCCGGCCCCGGCTCGGCCCCGGCCGATGACCTGCGGAAGTTGTCCCTCGCAACCCGTTCTGTTCATGCCGACGACGGCATCAGCGCCCACCGCGCCATCGCGCCGGCTATTCACGTCTCGACGACGTTCAAATACACCCCTAACCCGGACGAACTCCGGGCAGGGGAGAACACTGACGTGAGTCGTCCTGGGGTGAATGAGTGAGAGAGAGAAAGTTCGTGATGATTAACAGCCCGAGCAGCCCAACGCCCCAGGAGACTCACACATCTACTCTCGGTACTCGACCCCGAACACGACCCGCTTCGAGGCCGTCCTGTCTTCCGTCCTCGGTGGTCCCTCCCTGACGTACTCTTCGGGCCTGTCCGCCTTCCACGCCATGCTCGTCTACCTCAACCCCAAGCGTGTGGCCATCGGCGGTGGTTACCACGGCTGTCACGGCGTCATCCGCATTCTGACCAAGCTCAACGGGCTGAAACAGCTCGAGATCGACGAGGCGTCGCTGGACCAGCTTGAGGCCGGCGATGTCCTGCACATCGAGACGCCGCTGAACCCCACCGGTGAGGCCCGCAACCTGGCGTATTATGCCGAGAGGGCGCACAAGGTCGGTGCGTATCTCACTGTCGACGCGACGTTCGCGCCGCCTCCGCTGCAGAACCCCTTCGACTTTGGCGCGGACATCGTCATGCACTCCGGCACGAAGTACTTTGGCGGCCACTCGGATATGCTCTGCGGTGTGTTGTCGGTCAACCCTTCCCGCGCGGAGAAGTGGCTTCCCGAGCTGATTGTTGAACGGTGCTACATCGGCAGCGTCATGGGAGGTTTGGAGGGCTGGTTGGGCGTCCGGTCGTTACGCACGCTCGAGCTGCGCGTCGAGAGGCAGAGCAAGTCCGCGACGAACCTCGTCCGCTGGCTCGACGAGGAGATCCGCAACAACCCCAGCGGCGTCGTCGGCAGCGTCGTCGACAAGGTCGTCCACGCGAGTCTGCAGAAGGACGAGTGGGTGCAGAAGCAGATGCCCGGCGGTTTCGGTCCCGTCTTCGCCATCTGGTTGAAGGACGCCGAGGACGCCAAGAGGCTGCCGAGCAAGATGGAACTCTTCCACCACGCCACTTCCCTCGGTGGCGTCGAGAGCTTAATTGAGTGGCGTGCTATGAGCGACCCTAGCTGCGACAAGCAGCTGCTTCGCGTCAGCATTGGCGTCGAGGGGTGGGAGGACCTGAGGGATGATTTGGTTCAAGGCTTCAAGAAGCTGGCTGAAGAGAAGAAGGCCAGGTCGTAGGTTCTTCGAGGTCGTTCCTTCCGGGCGAGATGCGAATTTTGTATAATGTAGAATCAAGAACCGGGAGATCGAAAGATAAAGAAAGAAAGCAGAAATCCGCCCGAAGGCTCACCACACCACATTTCGGTATAATTTTCCTTCTTGCTCTATATTGCAACATTTGGTACATGAACAAAAGGCAAACTGAACGTAGACAGCTCCTAAGCAACTTTCCGCAAGCCACAATCCTAATGGGGTCGACCACCGTTAGCATTCTCTCTTTTACCACTAACAGAGTAATCAGTGGACCTCAATGGCTCGTGTACAATCCCCCCATTGCAGCCAGAATGAGAGGCTATACTGGACTACCTTGGAAGCAGGACAGGAAACGATTAACCCAGCACACTCTATTTCTACGTCCTCGTATCTAAAACGCCCGTCGTCTTCTTTATGTTTCCTTGCCCTTGAGATTCGCACCCCTTTATAGTGGAATAGTCAGCGACCCATCCTCGTTGATACAGCCAGCCAAGCTGTACCTCGTTGACTCGAACCTATATCTGTGCGTCAACTCACTGCCTATGACGCAACTTCACACCCAAGAACAGGCATAGATGGGTGGCAAAGGCAAGATAAAAGGAATCATTGCCAAAAAGCAGGCGGGATGAAGTGGTAGAAGACTTACGAAAACTGAATGGAGCCGGTGACCATACATCGGCATGCATCGCAGTACTTCAGTATAGTCTCTCGACTTTTGTCTCCAGCCGCCTTCTCCAGCACACCCGCTGCGGCCTCGAAGGCGGCAACAGAGATAGAGAGGTCAGCGAGCAGGGCATCAACAGCTTGTTGAGGCGATTTGTTATCCTCAATCATGAGGATTGGGACGGCGTTAACAATACTCTCAATGGTACCGCCCGTCACTGGCTGTGTTTCTCATGTGTTAGCTAGTGTAGTGTATGGCGCAGCAGCAATAAACCTTTCCAATACAGGGAAACCGGGTACTAAAAATGATTATGGCTTACAATCTCTTTCTTGAGGGAAAGAATATCGTTGCTGCTGTGTCTTGTTAGCCACCTGCTCATTTATGCTGCTTTGAAGGGGTTGTATTTGAAAGACTTGGTTTCACGCTCCAATTAATTGATCTTATCATCCTTTCCATTCCAAAAGAAATATGGTGCGGTACTTACATCCAAATGCTTCTGCTGGTCTCTTCCCAGATGGTTTGCAGCTCCACCATGTCACGAATATGTTCCGGAATGCTTTCTCCCATGCTGAATTCAATAAGAGCACAGAGAGTCCAGACAGCTGCAGTTCCGTGTCGTATTTCTTTGTAAGCCTCAAAGTCAGGAAGCAGACCGCTAAGTCGAAGACTTTGCTCTTTATCGCAGTTCCCGATGTAGCACCGCATTTGTGCCATGAATTTTTGTCTTTGTCCTATAGTGTTTGGTCAATATGCATATCCTCATGTGTGGGTATAAGGAGGTCTTGCCTAGGGTGTACGCCTTTTGCAGTTCATTCCCGATGGTCTTCAGCTCAGCGTTAACATGGTCGCACTTCACATCACAACCGCTGTCGGATGCAAGACCAAGAACTTCCTCAAGAACTCTTGTGGTATTATTACGGTGTGCTTTTGCCTTTATGAGGTTGTCGCTCAAATCTCCGGTTCCCTGCTGATCAATGGCATCATCCCAACAGAAGAGCCAGACGATGTAGAGTGCCAAAATCTTGATCCGGTCCCAACCTGAGTAAGGGTAGTAGCTAAAAGGTTAGTATTGGTGAACGCTCGCGGGGAAAGAAGGTGCTTACAGGCTGACGAATCTGGCATAGTTTGCCTCTCGATATTTCTCTCGGAGGGCGGGATATTTGATCAAGCTGTAAAAGAAGAATAAAGAAAGATGAGCTTGTGATTTTTAGTGTGAGTTTATGGGGTTTGAGGGATGGCTTACCGATCAAATGCGTCTTCGACAATGGGGATGATGTTGGTTTGGTGGGCGTTGGCCTGTACTGGCCAATCCTTGAAGATGTCACGAAGATCAGGAACGTGAAGAGTCTGCCCACGAAGGGACCTGATGACTGTTTGAGGCTCAAAAATATGCGAGCCCATTTCCTGGTTTATTTTCACAAGTATTGTGACCCTTCTGTATTCTCGTCTTGTCAGAATGGAAGAGAAAAAGTGTGGGCTTGATTGCGGCCTTGGGAAACTGCCTCGGTATATTTGCTTTCCGGCTTCTTAAATAATTTTGTGGTGAATCGAAAGGTCCCAATCAAAGAATTGCAAGAGTTTACTCCTAATTAAAGGCGTAAAATTTGATTATTGGCAGTGGGAGGTAGACTTGTGTCCGTTAGGCAGCGTCCAGGAGAAGAAGTGGTCACAGATAGGTGATATGAATGCCCATTTGAACAATCTTTGGGAAATCCACCACCCAAGCATCGCAGGTTCGCGAAGGCTCTCAGAAAATACGCCCAGGCCCATTGATATCAAATAAGCCTGGTGAAGAGCCCGCTGACCTAGCGGTGTAACTCCTATCCAAGTGTGAGGACTTTGTGTGGATATCTGACATTATATACTTGCAAGATTCTGCAGGTTTGCGGTTCAGAGCTGCGTCCTATCATTTTCTTATAATTCCTCCTATGAAAACAAGCTATGGCCCGTTCTGTGGCACCTTCTTACTAAAGATATGGGCAACTACAGCCGTATTTGTGTATTCTTATCTGAAGAAAAAGACGCGGGTTGTTTTTATAGCATCAATACATGTTAACAATCGCAGTCATCCTCGCTGATGAGTCAGAGTCTAGTGACCAAACTTCTGTTTCATCGTCCAGTTTCTCACTGTCTCGATGAAAACGACTGATAGAGATATGTTATCCTCAACTTTGTAGTACAACAACATTTCTGTTTAGTAGCAGGGAGCAAATGGTGGGCCACCCCTCTAACCCGACAATTCGATACAACACGGCCTCCCGGACGCGAGGGCCGAAGAAGATTGGAATTAGTCTGAGATCCTTTGGTTACACTGTCAAGCGTGTATAGGGGCACTTGGTCTGCAAAGGTCAGCTAGCTACCCGACCCGCATCATTTTGTGAGGAACCGATCTCGGAATAATAGGCAGCATGTCACAGGCGGCTTCTGCAGGATCTCAAGACGCACATAGCCGGTTGACCAGCATGTGTAGACGATTTAAGTGGGCGGGTAGGACACTGCTCGGCACGAGTTTATGGCATGGCAGCCGCCAGCTCCTGTCCGTCAAGGACATGCGGCTGCCGACATTGTCTTGCAGACAAGTTCCGTGTATACTGTTGTTTTAGCCAGTCCAATTTCGCATCTCCTCTGGCTCGTGTGTAGTACCATACAAATAGCTACTAAGTTCATAGCACCGTATCGTACAATATCCGGCCTGCTCCTGTGGCAACAATGCAAACCATCCGTGACTTGCATAGTGTACCAGAATTCCCCATTCTTATTCCTTGCAAGGTCCCACGGAGCGGTACTGCAGCTTGGTAGCGCATAGCTTCATGCCTTCCACCTTTGTAACAACGATATTCTTAGAACTTGAAAGGGCGCATGTAGCCATCGACCATACTTGCAACCTGCGGTTTTGTGCGATATGCGTAAGACTGTATTCCTCGTTTGCGTTTAGCGGTAAGCAACGTGGCTTTGGGCTGCATTCCTCCATATTGTGACGCCGAGGATGCACACCATGCAACGCCTCGGCGGCTTGATGCAATGCTGCCGAGGCCGGCTCCGACAGACCTGCAGGCACTTGGAAGCCAGCTCAACACTATAAATGCCCTCGAATGGGGTATCCTTCCAGCGCTCGGAGTAAAGTAGCGGCGTGGGAGGTAAATGTACTGCACTCCAAAATATCGTAACAGTGGCGTAACCATAAATGTCATTCTTGACCCCGGGCTCATCTGTCTGTGTCAACCTCCTTCAACAGCTCCGTCAAATTCATGATCCGGTAGCCTCGTCGCCTTAGCTCTGGAAGAACCTGCCGCAACATAGGTATGGTCCAACTTCTTCTGTCGTGGCAGATGATAATGGCACCCGGTCGCGCCATGCTCAAGATGTGGTTGGTATTGAGTTGCCAATTGCTAACTTGAGCGTCATGTGGATATACACTCCCCAAAACCATCCTATATCCTAGCTTATCGACCAGCCTCCGCATCCTGTTGCTGAAGAAACCAGATCCCGGCCGGAAGTAGTTAGCGGGCATGGGCACATCTTCATAATCGTAAATGTTGCTGATCTTCCTCCTCACCTCCAGTATCTCCGCCTCCAGCTGTCCGTCGGGGAGGGATCGCGAGGCCTCGTCGTGCATGGCATGATTGCCGAGCTCGCTGCCGGCCCTGATTATCTCTCCCATATCTTCCTCGTGACCGTCCATCTGTGACCCGATAAGGAAGAATGTCGCGTGGGCGTCGTTCTCCTTCAGAATCTTGACAATTTCGGCGGTATGCTGCGACGGCGCGTCATCGATGGTTAGACCGATGATCTTCTCCTTCGTTGAAACTTGCCACAGGACATCGGGCCATTTCTGCGCAAAGTGATTTATAACGAAAGCTGGTGGTTTGTAGATGATGTAGACGGGGAGGACCAGCATGAGGGCGAGTGTGAGGAGAAAAAGCATGGTTGCCATTCGGTTGCGGCGCGCCCGCCTGCGAAACTTGGTTGGGAACCTGAAGAGCGATATTCGTGCCATTTGCCTAGCCGTTCACCTTCCACAATGTTAGCGGAAGAATGAAGCGGTCGGCATTGTTGAAATGGTTCAAAGGGTAGTGAAACAAAACGAAACGAAGCTGAGCCCGGTCGCACAGCTTCATCGCGAGAGCTTGCAGGGGTTCCGTTCCAGAGCTGGCGCCTCAACTGTCCGTGTCCCATTGTGGCTGCCCAGCGGGGGATGGGCAACGTGGCGGTAACCAATGAGTGCCCATCAGCTACTGACGAAACTAACCCACCACATGAAACTTCACTGTGTCTTCAACTCTATCAAACTGACACGGTTTATTTCAACTTCCAAGCTAACCACCAGAAGAGAAGTTCTTGTCTGTTCTACCACGCCACATTTTACGATCTATTAATCCTTCTAAATCTTACTGCGACACGTAATTGCGATGACTTTATTCGCCAGCTTAGTTTCTATGGTCTAGTACAGTTTTGGCTCTTCCGATCCATCGCCGCCCACCTCTCCGCTCTACCCCGGCATAGGCACCTGTCAGATTAGGTAAACCATGATATGAGGACCATGGGCAGCCGACCATGAGGAATTAACCCCGTCGGGCATAGGAGTTTTGTCGTCATTATGTGAAAGTTATGAATAACTTCTATCATTGCGCAAACATCTCTCCAGCCACATCTTCCTGCGCACAGCCTGCGATGGTAACGATCGACACAAGTCCGCCTCAAGGGCGACGATGTGGAAAAATGTCTGCGCCGAGTGGCGATTCAAACCCTCCGATTAAATCATCCAATATTCTTCAATCTTTTCTCGCAGACAAGGCCTTGAGTAGATTCTGAAGCATCAGGAATGATGATCAGGAATTCTGACATGTCTGACAAGACAACTAGCGTTGTTGCCTAAGCGGGTTCTTTCTGGGGGCATCCTCAAGCTAAACCTCAGTCCAGCGCAAGAATGTTTCCATGCTTAATTAGTCGATGATGGAGCGCGCCCCCTGTACTCGTCTGTAGCGATCCAGGTGTTTGTCATCCTCATCGGGCATGTCCGGCAACCCACGGGTGCTCCATCGTGGGCTATTCTCGGTGTCTTGATGGCTCTTATCTGCATTTCCTAATTTGCTTATGGAGCTGAATCACTCGCATCCAAGAGAACGACAACTGAGATGGTATGACTATGGACGTGGGAACACGGCTTTTGACAGCTGAAAGCCGTCTGCTCTCACACTTTCTGCATACTGGCCCTCCATTTATTGTTTGATGAGCTCGAGTCAACTTTGTTTGCGCTAAAAACAACATGGAGGGCCTTGTAGGGCTGACGGCAAGGGTCATCCTCTTGAATCCTTCTCCCTACCTTAGTCGACCGTCTGGGGAAGGTTAAGCTTGCAGCAACCATGTCTAAGCCACATGAGCGGGTTCATAGTGCACACAGCTTGGTGGTAATACTTCCGATGAGGCCGGTCTTCTTGGGCCTCAGTTAGGCCCGCACGAGTTCCCCTGGGAAGTTGTTAGCCCCGGCAAATACGGGATGTTACTCGTCTGCTAAGTTATATATCAAGCTCTGTCCCGTACTAAATCGAAGACACTTTATATCCGTCAAGATATCTTATATGACTGTCCACGAAATAGGCACGTTATCAAAGGTGACGAGTATCGTTTGAGACAACTCTTTCCCATGAGCACTTGCCTGCCAACCTTACCAAAGCACGTCGAGAAGAAGAAGAGCCGCAGAAATAGCCTCCAAAACCGCCTAGAAACGTCTCCTAACGAATGGACTTCATCAGACTTGATTCTGGATTGTGAGAAGTGCGACTCTTCGGAGACCTTTCAGTACTGGACAAGTTCGACAGGGGCCCGGGTTCTGGATGAGGAAGATATTGGGGCTTGGCTGCAACAACAAGATCGCAAGTCAGCCGAAACGAGCATCGTGTGGGCCGTCAACGAATTCGACCTCGTATCTGCATCATCGCCAAGTCAGTCACAGTCTTCACAAACGGGGAGTCCGGGGGCTATGAACGAAGTATTACACGGGAACGTTGCAAAAATGGAAGAAACAGACCACAAGTCTGACATGCCGATGATTCTGCGGGGGGTTGGGGCTTTTACAGAGGATGTTGAACCTGCGACTTCAGAGAAGGAGAAGAAAAGAACGAGGGTGTGGTGAGTTTACACGAATGATTCAGTAACCGAAAAAAGAACAAATTCCTGACAATGGCTGCTAGGACGAAAACGAAACATAGGCCGCTCATAGGATGGGATAACTTATGGCTGTGATAGTACAACATCGTACCTCCGCATACTGGCATTGACGGAAGCGCAAGATGCATTGCGAAATACTATCAGCACATGAAAGATAATGAAAGATACCCTTTTACATAGTACAAGGAAAGTCGATGCGGAACGAGCCGCATGATGCACCCCGTTCTCACTTTGAGAATTTGATGGAATTTCCAGTTGTGGTAAATGATGCCTCTTTTTTTCTTTTTCTTTTTTTGTATTAGCCGCCGGCCCCCCTTCCGATTCATTCGCCCCGAAATTTCCGAGTTCAGTAGTCGGCACGCCGTGTTGAGACCCCGAAACACCGGGTCTGAACTCTGATTCTTCGGCCGACTCGGGATCTCCCATGTACGCTTCTTTGAGTTTCGCCATGAGGGAAGAACAAATCTCCACTAGCAACGGTTTCCTGGGCTGCCATCCCAGCCAACCGAATGCAACGAGAAGATGCGATGAACACGGGGTCAACCGCCAAACTCTGTTTAATGGCAACAAACTTTTGTTTATCCAGCTCGCTTTCTGCCTAGCATACCACGCGGCAACCAAGATGGCAAAATCTAGGTTGCAACGTATCCTTTTCCTATTTCAAAGTTTAAAGTGAGGCGACACGAGACCGGATGATACGTCGTCAAATGACTGGCATCGTGAACTATGAATCATTCCGACAAGGGCTCCTGAACCCGTCCACTTCCCATATGAAAACCAAGAAAAAGACTCGATAGCTGATCGCATATAGCGTCATTGATTATCTACGGAGAAGATCAGGAAATCCTCCTGCGGGCGCCTTACCAAATCTTCCCATAATTCTCATCACGACTCCCCCCTCCCCCTTTTTTTTTCCGTATGCCAAGCACCAGGAAGAAAGATCCCGACCTCAGATCAAACATCTACCTTGCGGTGATCGGCGGTTATCCTTCTTGGTTGCTGCTTGCATCGTCATGCGGAGGGGCGGGCACCCAACCCTGGTTGGAGATCAAACAAACACTGTGGGCGCCACCACGACGGTACCACCGCATGTTTGCTTGGTTTTCCTCCCTCGTGTCTTTCCAGCCCTCTTACTGATGACTCTGATAGAGACGAGCAGGGGTTGCGTAAAGCGGAGATAGTGCAGAAAGAAAGCAAAGGCGAGATCTAATTGAATGTCATCTTCCTTCCACAAATAATATCCACTTTCTCATGTAAATGAATCCAATGGCATCCCCCCCTTAATTTTGTGTACTTCCGCTACTTTCTTCTTTGCAGTTGTCATGGCTACAAATGTAAGTCTCTCTTTTTTTCCCCTTCCTTGCTTATCCTGACACAGTTCGCCAGAATGTCTTGCTGAAGTGAACCCTTGTGTGAGAGGAAACCGAGTCATATGATGCATTCGGCCTCTTCACCTGACGTATCTCGAGGGTGCCAAGGAAAGAGAGACAGGAACTGGGAGGGGGGACGAAAGCGGCCCAATCGAACGATTAGATCCCCAGGCCGGGCCGTCCGTCACATGGGAACCTCCCGATCTCGCAAATCGTCAATCGCGGTACCAAGGGCCCGGCAGATGCATTCAGTTAGAGCATCTTCTGAGTGCCGCTCTTAAACATCTCAAACATTTTGCCATGCGAGAACGGGACTTGTCCCTCCGCACTTTCCATGCTGCCTCGCCTCCCACCAATTAGTCATTACAAGCCATTCCAGCCCCTCAACGGTAAAGGTTTCTGGTGATCTCTGTGACGATTCGATTGATCCGTCGTCGAAGTTTGTCGATAAGAGGGTTGCAGAAGTTTTAAGAGTCAATGGACAAGTCCATTCTGCCGATCCTTCCGCATCTCGACGGGTCCGGCAAGCTTTTGGCACAACCACCCCGATTCTCCCCTGGCCGCTGGCAATTACCACCAATTACACACCGCGCGGCCCTCAGCCCGGCAATGCCGTAGTAATCTACAGAGTAGATGACTTGCTCCCCACGCCAGTGTGGGACATCATGCGCATTACAGTTCAACCAGAAAACCATAAGCGGCAAGGCCAGATTTATGAAGCAGGCTACTGCTAGCATCAGCAGAGGGGGGAAATTCCAGTGTACCTAGAGAGCCGGATGAGGAACAGTTTGGGTGTTTCGGCACTAACGCAGAGCCTCGGCGGCGCTGTCTCCGGTAGCTCGGCCTGGGTGGTGTAGCTAACATTCGCGCCGTCCTTACCGCTCAGGTCAACCACGCTGGGAGGATTTCTGCCTCCTCTCTGCGGCCTGGGCTGACTGGTCGTGCGTTGGACACACCATTCTCGCTAAAATATGTCTGTGGGTTGGTGGTTATTTTCTTGTCTTCTCGTAGTCCAGGATATGGCCCGACCGAACGGGTTGCCCAGTTGTTCATCAGATGAAATGGGGGAGAGATGGGATGGCTGCTGCAGCGCACGGTGAGCCATGTACAGCTTAACTCTCTGCCAACCAACACAGACCAACTCAAACACAACATCACAATTGAACAAGTGAGGAGCAAATACATACGAGATAGACAAATGAAATTTGCTAGTTATCAATAAGCAATAATGTTTGAGTCGCCGTATAACGCACTCGGGGGGGAATATCCACGCGTCATTTCAAAAGATATATACACAGAAACGCCAAATTAGCCCGCATGTAGTGGGCATAGGAACCACCAAATAGAGCATTCCCTACCATTCCGAGATACGTCCGCTCGAACGATTTTTCGTTGAGCCAAAAGTCCATTTTTGTCTTTCATCATCTCCCGAGAGCCTCCGTAGAATGTAAAGGAAATCCGAGGTCGTGGGCCGGTTCGCTTCTTTCAATTATGTACAACGAATAAAGCATTTAAGAGTCGCAACGATTCATTGAATCAGATCCATGCGGCAGCCATTGGGCGTTGAGGTGAATGGCTAGCCACGGTATCAGGGAAGAAGCTGGTGAAAAGAGTTTGAACTTCAGCCAGGTAATCCTCCGCGGCGAACTTGCGTAGACCCTGTGCCTTGAGGTTGCGCTCCTCCTCGTCCATAACGTGATCCTTAATGCCAAACTCTTCTGCGATCTCCGTAACTTGGGCCAGCTCACGGCCAAAAGGGTGCGACTCAGTGGTTTTCTCCTGTCTCGGCTGCTGTTGCTGGAGGAATGCGGGACTCGGCATAGGTGGAACGGCCTTGGGCGCAGGCCCGAGTGAGTTATGAGACATGGTAGAGGCGGCACTCGAGCCAGACGACGCCCGCGAGGAGAAGGTCATGCTGGCTTTTGTCGATATGGACTTCTCAGAAATCTTGGATCCAGTTGAGATGGTGCGCGAACGGGCCACCGCATCGAACGAGGCCTTCTTAGTGTGTGAAGGCGCACGCTTAGGAATTTCTGGAATCTGGGGGACCTCAGGAGCAGTTGCTGGGTTGATGGCATGACTCGGTGCAACGAAATAACAAGACAGGTGGTTCGGTTCGTGGTCTGTGGATCGTTCGTGAGGAGCAACGTCAGGGCTAGTAGGAGGAGAGGATGCGGCGGTGTTGATGCCTTCCGACTCTTCCTCTGACGACTTGGTAGATGACTTGCTGGAGGAGCTCGTTCGGGGTCGGATATCGGGAGCGTTATAAGACAGCATGTTGGTGGTGTGAACAAGCTCCATGGGCGCGGAGATCTTGTGCCTGGCCATTGGGGCGGCCTTGGTGGTCTTGCTCCGCTGCATGAAGTTGTTGCTGCGCTCCTTTCCTCGGGCAGCGTCAGAGAGGTCAATACTCTGCTTTACCCGACGGGTGGTGAAAGCTCTTGAAAGAGACGACATTGTGGTTTTATGTGAATATAATCAAATCCGGTAAACTTGGCTTCTAAACTGGGACAGGGCGAGAGAAAAGGCTGTCTTGAGGGATGAGTAGGCAGGCTTGAGTAGTTATCGCGGGACGCAAGCGCCTGATCCGGTAGCAAGGGCCTTGTGTGTAGTGATGAACTGCGAAGAGCGGCAGATGATGGTGACGGAGGGCTGGATACTGCACTTGTGATTGGGCCTGGGAGCTTTGCTGGCAGGTGGTGTGGATCTACTGCTGCACGAGTGCTGTTGTCAAGCGGGCAGTAGGGAATGGTGCCGATTATAAGTGAATGGGGGCGGTCAACCAGTGTCAGAGGGTAAGTTTGTGTCGTCTGTTCACGGTAGTGATGTGGCGACACCAAACGATGAGATGACGGCTTGGCCGTGACGGATTATCCTGCGCAGGTTGCGTCAGGTTGACAATTGTGCAGTATGGCACAAAAGGTGAGGAGTCCAGTCCTGAGGTACTTTGAGGTACGATAGTTCGGCGTCGATCCGGTTTAGAGTGGTTTAGTTTTGTGTGTCTGGGTGTAAAAGAGAGTGACTTCTGACTCGGCCTCGAGTGGGCGTGTAATGACTGTGAGTGGTACAGATCAACGGAAGTTAAGATGACGAGTCTTTGTTCGTATGTAATGACGGTCGGTTTAGTATGTATAGCCAGCCGGGAAGGAACGTTCAACGTGTCGAGCGGTAAGAGCAATGTAAGTTGAGTTGTGTGTAGTTTTCCTTGGTATTGCAGAGATTGGAAAATAAAAAGTTCGAGCCCGCGACAGTTGTTTAATATCTCGAGTACTCCGAAGGAGACGATGAAACACGTAAGAATAGAAAGACACACCACAAAGGGAGAGATGATGTGTACTAGAGCAGAAACGAAAAGGGATAGGATCCTTTTTCCTTGACCAAAGTGTGGTAGGCGGTGGAAAAGGTTGAAAGAAGAGAAAAGCAGAGGCGGAGGCTCAGCGTGGGGAGGGAATACCACAGTAATAATCTAACGAATATTGCGGGTGTACCGCAAAGTAAATTGTCCTGGCTTTGGCTCCGGCTCCTCGCACTTTCGTTAGCTTTTCCCCTTCTCCTCTCATCTGGCCCGGCCCAAATGGAGCTTCCTGGCAATAGGCCATGGTCGGGTCCACGACCACGACTGCGACCTGGGGGATGTCGCTCTTTGATTGCGCCATAACCTGTTCTGGTTGGCCCTGAGCACTCTTACTCGCAGGGACTGGAGCCAACCACTGGGGGGACTGGCACTTGCGACCTGGCGTCATCCTTGCCGACTTTCCCTTTTTGCCCCTGTCGCAGGTGGAGCACCACGCCTTAAAACGGCATGGTCACTGAGGGTCACAGTGTGTTCTTGTTGTTTGTGGACGCAAGTGGGCCTGCCGATTATCCTCTTTTTTTTTTTTTTTTCTTCCCAACCCTAGAGCCAAGGAAAGAGGTCTATGCGCCAATGACAGTTCGCGTTTGTCTTGTTCTTGGTCGTTTCTTTTCCTCTCCCCCCTCAGCCCTTTTGGGTATGACCTTACGTCGGTCTCGCTCCTTTTTTTGGGTCTCCTGGCGCCCACCCATCCAGGAAACATTTGAAAGGCGGCAAGACTTGGAATGGTGGACCTATTCGTCCAGCGACAACAGTCTAAACCACTGTCGAACCGTCGAGCCGCCACCAAGGGGGTCACTGTGATCTGCCTTCTGGAAGTATGCCCGACATCGTCAGACCAGTCCAGCCGAGACCAATCCGGCGCATCCTTCGCTCCCTTTGGGCAAATCGTTACAGCCTGTTGCATCGTTTCTATTTTTTTGATTGGACACTCTCTAGTACACAGCGATATGTCCGGATACACCACATCTGAAATACAGCATCTACTGCGGGCCTACTCACAATTTCTCGCTGGATGCACATGCGCTGGACAGCGACCGCCATGTGTTCCCAGCTGTCTTATGTCGCTTGGTGGTACAGCATAGTGCGTGCTGCAGCTCCTGGTTGTCACACAAGAGAAAAGCAAACCTCTATTGGCAGAAGTTGGCTTCTCCCCAGGAAAGCCTTGCGTAGTTGCCAGACTGTCGCAAACTCAAGTCCGAGTCTCACACTGATACTACCATTTATCAGGGCAACACGCAAAGAGGAGCCATTCTTCCTCACCGCCCGCCCGCCGGTACCATGACCAACAGCTCATGGGCCCCGAGGTTGCCGGCCCGTGTAGCGACTCGCACCGCGCAACCCTGGAAGGAGGATTGTTCTGTTCAAGATGGGCGAGCCGCGGGCCTGCGGCGAATCATCAACCTGCAAGGTTCTCCGGAGGGGTTCATCCTTGGACTGTGTGCTGTGATTCCAAGAGCTAGCTTGAATGTTGAGTTGTGGGTTCCCCCTAACTTTTTGGACCAGTGAATGCCATCGATTCTTTCAAGGCTCACAAAGGCGTTAAGCAAGAACGCCCAAAAGCCGAGAGATCGTGTCCGGTGGTTCCTAGTCGTTCACACCAACTTGATGGTGCTGGAAGGCGTCATTGGCTGAATGTTCTATCCGCCTCCTCGTCCACTGGCAGGCCCCCCTGAAGTTTCAGCGTTTCAAACTGCGCCATCCCACCCTGGTGGCGCTGCTCGCCTTGCGTGCCTGCGCAAGCGGCCCCAGAATCCCTGTTGACGGCCTCCACGTTATCAGTCAGGGCTCCCGGGCCTAGCGATTTGACTTGTTCATCAATCCACAGAGCTCCATCCCTTGCACATCCTCCAGGGGCAAGTGGCCGGTGGTGGTGTGGAAACCAGGCGACTAGAACTGATTTTTTCACCTCATTCCTAGAGGAGGCAAAGGCTCGGAATCCAGTTATTGGGGAAATTCCCTCAACGACATCACAGCAGATCGAGGGGGCGGCACTTTATTTCGTGGTTCTCACCCTTGGGTTGCTCAGCTAAATATTTTGAAGTTTAAACGAGATGGACCTCGAGACCTCTGTTATCAAAAGCCGTACTTGGCCCTACTCTTATGTCGTTGAATATTGTTCCACCAGCTTTCCATATACCAAGTGTGCATGAATCTGCCAGGTCCCCTCCGTTACTTGCCATTTTATCAAAGCATCTTTCAACTACTGTCTGAAGTAGTTCCATCAAGTTGGCCTCGTCATTTTCAACGCCTAAACAGGCCGCGCAGTCATGGTTTCATCTTAAAAGATGATCCAGCTCACATACATCATCCTCTAACGAACCGTTCTTCGCCAACTGCTTTCCCAGTTTGAGCCCACTGTTTGGCAGTCTTGGCTTCTGTCTTGACGAAACTGATCTGGTCTATGCTTATTGCTGTTCGGACGACGGCATTTGACTTTGGATGAATGGAGACTAACTTCTCCGCTTGAAAGCCACTCTCTATTTTTGACTTTGTCTACTACGTAGCAGTCCGTCCAACTCCCCCATTTTCAGCAATGCCGTTCAAAAGTCATCGTTGCTAGATTGTAATTTTGGCCTATAGCTACCTCATGCGGCGTAGGTAAGATATTTGGCGGCCTACTCTTGCGACCCAACTGCCTAACCTGTTAGAAGAGATTCCGCAACACCACATGCGAAAGCCAAAAAAAAAAAAAAAAAACCACCTCAAGCAACGCATATGATGATGATACTTTTTACGTTCTCTACTTTAATCCTCATCCTCATCCATTGATTCGCCATCCTTCTCACCATCGTCACCCTCGTCCTCGCTGGAACTGCTGTCGTCCTCCGCAACACCGACAAGTCTGTCCTCCTCAGTACCCTCCGGCTTCTGGGGAACACGCTCAGCAAATGCGTGGCGAACAGCAGCGTTGGTGCTCGTATCCCAAACATGCATGGTTCCACGGCTACCGGCAACGGCAAGTCTAAAAGCCACTTCGGGATCAGGCGCGAACTGTGTTGAAAAGACCTTACCGACGTCCAGGTTACGAGAGACAACCATGGACGGGCCTGAAGGTTGAATGTTCCACAGCTTCACAGTCTTGTCAGTTGAACCGGTAGCCATGAAACCGGGCACAACGGGGTTAATGTCGAAAGAAGAGACCGACTCGTCGTGCGCTTGCAGCGTCCAGACGGCCTTGGTCGCTTCAGGGGTTGACGGCGCGTTGCGGATGTCGTGGTAGTGGATAATACCGTTCTCCGTAGAGACGTAGAAGAAGTTCTGGTCGTGGGGATCCCATCGGATGTTCTCAACATCGCTCTCAACACCCCATCTGGGCGCCTTAGCTTCAGGGGCTCTCATGTCTGCGGCGACAACTGTTCGGTCGTAGCTGCCACTCAACAGAACAGTAGACTCAACCGAGTGCCATGCCAGAGAGCAGACCTTGTCCGTGTGGTAAGTGTACGACTTGGCACACTGGGCCGTGTGCAGATCCCAAAGCTTGACCGTCTTGTCCGCTGAGGCGGAAGCCAGGAGGTTTCTGTGCTTCCTGTTCGCGGCAAGGGCCAGAACGGCGTCGACGTGGTACTCGTCGTTTGCCTTCTTTGCCTTCTTCTTCTTTTTCTTCTTATCTTCGGCACCTTCGCCAGCCTGGCCCAGGATGGCGTTGGGGTACATGCAGTCCACGGTATCCAGGTCCCAGACCTCGATGTCAGGGTCCATGGTACCGACGGCGACAAAGTTGGCCGTCGAGTTCTGGTCGACGCCGGCCTTCTTCACAGGGATATCAAGCCACTCGACGCAGAGAGGTATCGCGGGGAGCATGATGTCGTGGTGGACGTAGAGGTTGTCGGCGGCGTCCTCGTAGACATAAACCTCGAGGTGTGCCATCTCGTCCTCGACCTTGGCCGCGAGCAGGAGATTGTCGGTCGCAAGGATTTGCAGGTCTTCACGATCCTCATCATCGTCATCCTGATCGCCCTTCAGTGTGATGTACGGGTCCTCCTTGTTCGACTCGTAGTAAGCCAGCGACTTGATGTTGCCAAACATGGCCATGCCTTCGCCCTGGCCAACCTTCTCCTCGTTCTCATCTTCCTCGTCGGTATCATCGTAGTGCTCCAAGTCGTACTCCTTGAGGTCATCGTCATCAATGTTGATACTAGAATATGTTAGCGATATAGGTCTAATGCGACAAAAATAGCGTTGTGAGAAACCAACTCTTCAGCTTTTGAGCTAGGGGCTGATGCTGCCTCATTTGCCGGTGTCGGGCCCTCTGCCTCATCTTGTGCCTCCTTCAAATCCTCCTCGGCGTCGTCCAGTTGCAGCTTGGCAAGTTCTGCTATGCGCTCGAACTCAGCCTCGTCGAATGTGTACTTGGAGGGGAAGGGTGCCGCGAAACCGCGGGGTACCCAGCTGGACGCTGTGATCATAGACATCTTGAAGAATGCCCGACGATCGGCTATATAATGCGCGACTCAAATGCGCAAATTCTAGCTAACTTGAAAGTGCAGTCGGCGAGAACAACTAAACTGTGGAAAAACAATTGAAGTCGGTCTGCAGAGCAGGGGTAAACTTCACGGCCCAACTATGAGCGAAGAAAAAAAAAATTCGGCCCGTTGGTGGGGTTTATCTTATCGACTTATCGATAAGCATCGTAAAGTTGAATACTGGACTTAACTTGTAGAAGGAAGTCAAATGGCCTCAGACTCTTCTATCACATATTAAATCGGTCAATACAAATAAGCTACCCCGGTTACTATCGCATTTTTTTAGGCCTTTTACTCAATCATACTACAAAGATAGTCTGGAAATTTTACGTGCAGGCTTCGAAAGCCAATGTCTCATCATAATTTCTTAAATGGTACTGGATGCAATTGATGACTTTATGCATAACTTCACTGATCTCACCATGGCATTGGTCTTGTATTTCCCCTCTTATGCTCTAAAGTTCTTCTCAATCATGTTTCCAAATACATTCCAACTGATCCTGAATTCTTAGGAGAAAGGAAGAATACCAAATGTTGGTGACTGTTGACGCTAGTGGGTGTTATCGGAGTTTAAGCATATAGGCTAATTTTATTGCACTAAAGCACTCCGACTGACGTCTATTCCGAATGGCTTAGTTGCATACTCCTATGTGGCCCCACATCGGTAGTTGCTACATCAGCGCTTCAAGCTTTGTTTATTTGCCATCAGCTTTGCATGCATTGTTGGTCGCATCTGCCATCCATCCCGGTTCCTAGACACCAAGGGGGCTAACGAAACAAGGGCAAATAATTCAAGGAGGAGAATAAATATAGACGAAAAAGAGAAGACAGACGAGCAAGGACGCCTGGCGCGACGACAAAACTACAACAATGTACGACAACCGAGATGGATCCGCGCCCAGCTTTAAGCGTCGAAGACTAGATGGCGGCAGATTCCAGGATTCAGGGCGCTCGACGCCGCGAGACTCGAGATCAGCTGTCACTCCGACCAGAGATGATGATGTCCCTGCGCCGACTGACGAAGACTCGAAAGCGCTGGATCGCGACTGGTACATGGGCGATGAGTTTGGTGGACACGTATTCGGCGACGACACACACAACCCCTTCGCGGCGTATTCATCATGGGAGGCTAAGCAGCAAGAGGAGATAAAGGCGGAGAAGATGACGGGTAGATTCGATGCCCGGAGAGAGCAGAGGCAACGGGAGAACGACGCATGGGAGACAAATCGGATGCTTGTGTCAGGAGTGGCGCAACGAAGGGACATGGGTGCCGATTTTGATGATGAAGAGGCCACGCGAGTGCATCTACTTGTGCATGACTTGCGCCCGCCTTTTCTTGACGGACGAACCATCTTCACGAAGCAGCTGGAACCAGTTCCGGCGGTGCGCGACTACCAGAGCGACATGGCTGTGTTCAGTCGAAAGGGTAGTAAGGTCGTGAGAGAGGCGCGACAACAACGCGAACGTCAGCGGCAAGCACAGGAGGCTACGAGTATGGCGGGTACAGCACTGGGTAATTTAATGGGCGTCAAAGAGGATGACGGGGATAGCGCGTTGCCGGTAGCTTCGGAGGAGGATTCCAAGAAAAGTGGCAGCGGTGACAAAGGCGACGATAACGGCAAAGGCAACAGCAACAAATTCAGCGACCACATGAAGAAGGACGAGGGCGGCGGCAGCAGTGATTTCAGCCGGAGCAAAACGTTGCGCGAACAGAGGCAATACCTGCCTGCGTTTGCGGTACGGGAGGATCTGATGCGTGTTATTCGAGAGAACCAAGTCATTATCGTGGTCGGCGAGACTGGATCAGGCAAAACGACGCAGCTGACACAGTTTCTCTACGAGGACGGGTTTGGAAAGTCAGGCATGATTGGTTGTACTCAACCAAGACGTGTCGCTGCGATGAGTGTCGCGAAGCGTGTCTCTGAGGAAATGGAGGTCAAGCTTGGCAGCACTGTGGGCTATGCGATTCGTTTTGAGGACTGTACTAGCAAGGACACTGTTATCAAGTACATGACTGACGGTGTCTTGCTGCGAGAGTCCCTCAACGAGCCTGACCTTGATAGATATTCATGTGTTATTATGGACGAGGCCCACGAACGAGCTCTGAATACGGATATACTGATGGGTCTCTTCAAGAAGATCCTCCAGAGGCGACGAGATCTCAAGCTTATCGTTACCTCTGCGACGATGAACGCCAAGCGGTTTTCGGAGTTTTACGGCGGTGCTCCTGAGTTTATCATCCCTGGACGAACCTTCCCTGTCGACGTCATGTTTCACAGATCACCAGTTGAGGACTATGTAGACCAAGCAGTTCAGCAGGTTCTAGCCATTCACGTGTCCATGGACCAAGGAGATATTCTTGTTTTTATGACCGGACAGGAGGATATCGAGGTCACTTGCGAACTTGTCCAACGACGACTTGACGCGCTCAACGACCCTCCTAAGCTCAGTATCTTGCCCATCTACAGTCAAATGCCTGCAGATTTACAAGCCAAGATCTTTGACCGGGCACCACCAGGTGTTCGCAAGTGTATTGTGGCCACTAACATCGCCGAGACAAGTTTGACGGTCGATGGTATCAAGTACGTGGTGGATGCGGGCTACAGCAAAATGAAGGTTTACAACCCGAAGATGGGCATGGATACCCTCCAGATCACGCCTATTTCGCAGGCAAATGCTTCACAGAGATCGGGACGTGCAGGCAGAACAGGTCCCGGTAAGGCCTTCCGGCTGTTTACCGAAAAGGCATTTAAGGAGGAACTTTACCTGCAGACTATTCCTGAAATCCAACGGACAAATCTCAGCAATACCGTGCTCATGTTGAAGTCTCTGGGTGTCAAGGATCTCTTGGACTTTGACTTCATGGACCCGCCGCCGCAGGACACTATCACGACGTCTATGTTCGATCTATGGGCTTTAGGTGCATTGGACAACCTGGGCGAACTAACTCCTCTTGGTAGCAAGATGAGTGCGTTCCCAATGGACCCATCTCTCTCGAAGCTCCTGATTACGGCTGAAGAGTACGGCTGCAGTGAGGAGATGATCACCATTGTCTCTATGCTTTCCGTCCCCAACGTCTTCTACCGCCCGAAAGAACGCCAGGAAGAAGCGGACACCCAGCGCGAGAAGTTCTGGGTGCACGAGTCGGACCATTTGACTTACTTACAAGTATACTCTGCATGGAAGTCCAACGGGTGCTCAGACGGGTGGTGCATCAAGCACTTTCTCCACGCCAAGTCCCTACGCCGTGCCAAGGAGATCCGAGACCAGCTGCTGGACATCATGAAGCTGCAGAAAATGGAGATGATTAGCTGCGGTATGGACTGGGACATTATCCGCAAGTGCATCTGCAGCGGCTACTATCACCAGGCTGCCAAATACAAAGGCTCTGGCGAGTACATCAACCTCCGTACCAACCTTGCTGTCCAGCTACACCCGACCTCGGCCCTGTATGCTGGCCATCCGCCCGACTATGTCGTTTACCACGAGCTCATCCTCACCTCTAAGGTGTACGTTTCGACTGTGACGGCCGTGGACCCCCACTGGCTGGCCGATTTAGGTGGCGTATTCTACTCGGTCAAGGAGAAGGGGTATTCGGTGCGAGATAAGCGCATTACTGAGACGGAGTTCAACCGTAAAATGGAAATCGAGGCAAAGATGGCCGAGGACAAGAAGAGAGAGGAACAAAGGTTGGAGGCCGAAGCCGAGAGGTCGGCGAGGAAGAGGACTGGAGCCACTGGCCCAGCGATGAACGGGAAGAAGATTGTAACTCACGGTGCCGTTAAGAAGCCCGTCATCAAGCGTAGAGGCAGAGGCGTTTAGGGTGTAGGATAATACCACGAACATATTTGTACGAAATGATATCATCAGCGACGACGCCATTTTACAGGCGAACGCTTGTTAACTCCGTTACTGGCTTGCATGATGTTGTACGCGCCAGTCGAAAAATATTCTTCACGTATGTCAGAAGCAGCAGTCTGCGGCAAAGCGTACTATTTCGGTTACAACCTGTTGATGCACTTGGTCATACGGTGTGACTTGTGTTCCGGCAATCCCTGATATATTCTCTGGGCGGCTCTGAGAATGTCTGTAACAGGCAATTCTGAGTACACACTCGGCTGGTTGCCACTGGAGTGACGGACGTGCTTCGATGAACAAGTCATTTGAGTTCATCACCTTAAACCCCAGCCTCATGAAGGGTTGGCGTCGTTTCCCTCTTAATCATACCAAACGAGAACATCTATCCCATCTTGCACCACTGGCTTCGTTCTGTGATTACTTCTGTATAAATAGACCCGTGAGATTCTTTTGAGTTCAACATATCGAGTGCGGAAAATACTTTCAAAGTCGTTTTACTAAGTTGCCGAGGAGTGACTCAAAACTGTCAGGTAATGAATGAATGGCCTGGTTCGGCATTGTATACAATCAAAAGGTCAAGTTAACAAACTTGCAGAGGCCTGCTTTACGGTATCGCCTAAGAAATTCTACATTAATATACAGCTACTCCGTCCGAGGAACCAGGCGCGACGCTCTACAAGTCAAGTCAGGTTTTCCCAAAGGCTATCTTTCTTGCCTGGAGGTCTATCTGCAACAAAGAGAGTGCGAACAGATGTACCAGTTCAAACTAGTTTTTATCGAAAACAGTCCTGAATTAACCAGTTGTTGATTGAATGGAGCAAGTCGCTTGGACTACTACTGAGACTTCCCTATTTCGTGGATGAACCCAAAACCCTAGTTCCTCAATTATGGAATGATTCATTTCATTCAAAAGAAGCAGATGAGTGGGCTTCTTTGGTTATATAATGTTGGCTTCGCAAAACCTGGTCTGCCGACAGGACCAACCGGCAATTATCAGGCAGCGTGGTGCTGTTGTTCTTGGCCTTGACTTCCTAACTCACAAAGACGTTCCTAAGTACAGACTTGAATTTTGGTCCCAACGCCAACATCTAACCTGATACAAACTTCTGTTCTGAAGGTCACGTGGAGACTCTGCAAGGACAACATCAAGGACAAATGAAGCTAAGGCGAACCAACTGTAAGGACCCAGGACTAAGAATGCATTGCCTAGTGTCTAAGACTACCAAATGATTGTTAAAATCGAGTCCTATAAGTGATAGAATCGGTGCACCTGCCACTGCGAATGAATTGCATCGCTTCGCCAAGTGCCGTATACCAAGATCACGTAAAGCGCTCCCTGTGGTCCAGAAGGAATTATTACAAGGAGAAATGAGATGCACTGTTATTATCTCAATAACAATTCAACTAGTGAAAGAAGCTACTGCTCCTCCGAATTCGATACCTTATAACTCTCGTTGGTTCTAATCACTTTCATTATACACGGAGCGATTTATCGCCGGACTAAAAAGTCTTGCTCCCCATCAACTAGATCTCTATCCTCATGGTCAAGTTTGACGACTTTGGCTGATCTCGGTCCCTCATCGACGTCCTTGAGAAACTTCTTCAGCGCGTCTTCCTCGCCTTGCGCCTCACCCTCGACCTAAACAAGAATCGAATCAGTTACCGTAATTAATTGCCACAAAAAATACCACAAGGCCCCGATCAGTAGATGTATAATCATAGAGGTATCACTCTAATGAAACAGGGTTGCATGCAACTCACCTTATTGCTGTCTGTGTTGCGGCACCAACCCGTAAGACCATACTCGGTGGCCCGCTTCTGCGCAAAGTAGCTGTTTTCCAGAACGCCAGTCAGTCAATCTTTATACATAGCAACTAGAACCGATTCTCGCAAGGTGGAGTTTTCTCCTTTGAATATTTGGTGCGGAAAGATGCCACGAACCGGAATCCAACACCTGCAGTGACGTCAGCTACTGTGAAGTTGACTTATCTCCCTTGCTCGCTTCCCCTTATCCAGAATGCGATAGCAGCTTGGAGCTTGTGTGGAGGGAGGGGTCGGATCGTACCTTGTACCAGACCACCGTGTGCAAGGAAATATATCTGTTAAAAAAAGAAGAAAAAAAGTTAGCGTCGAAAGCTCCAGCGATAGAAGATATATCTCACTCTTTTCGCCATAATTTGTATTCAACTTTTGCAGTGTTTTGGTGAACTTTCTGGTGGTTCAGAGGTGTATGCAGGGAAGTCAAAAGTAGCTCGGAGCTCTTAAGAGCTTCGATAAACTTGGCGACCTTGGTGGGGTTTGTATCACGCATCGATGACATGCAGCCTGGGTCTGGGCCTATCGATAGGTTAAACTTCGGAACCAATCACCATGGACGAATTTGTGAACAGTCCTGCGCCTCTCCATCTCCTTAACTGTCTTGGGCACCCTCGCAATTTTTGACAATAAAGATTGAAATCATCACGCCAAATCACACGTACACGCCCTTCTACGGAATAGACAATAATCTACGCAAGCCTTTAAAGATGGCTTCTTCAAGCGAGACACCTGCTGTCGATCAACAACCGACGATCCTCTTCCGCGCAAACCGGAAGCGCAAAGTCGGCCTGCGACAACGCGCACCATCCCCCGACGATGCCACCTTGTCCGACACCAAACCGACGGCAACAGACTCAAAATCTATGAAAACTACGGAATATCAATCAATACCATCACATGCCGATAGCGAACGCGAAGCAGACGATAAAGAAGAGGTTATCCCCTCCGCCATCCGCCACCGCGCGCGCAAGCGCCTCAACGGCGTAGGCTTCTCGGCATCCCGCGCAACAGCCCCGGATGAGACTACGTCTTCAGATATCTCGGCGTCTCGTGCACTCGTGCCTGCGACATCACCGCCTGTAGAGGACGAGCCGCTAATCACGAAGCGATTTGCTCCGCAGACTGGTCTGGCTACTACAATCGTCAACAAACACATGTATGCTCCTCTCCTGCCTTACCCCCCCCTGCCCCAATATGACCAGAGACTGATAAAGCAAGGACGGAATACATAGAGTCCCGCCTCTCTAACCGCAAATCTCCTGTCGTGGAAACAAGAACACAAATGCAGGCTGCCACATCATCCTCAACAGCCCCCACCACACTCGCGGAAAACGACACGAAAGCACACCCTATTATGCAGGGAAAGCTGATGGAGGTCGACCTGGGCGACGAGGTCCGCGCTCGCAACCAAGCCATGACCGAAAAAGCCGCCCGCCGCCTTCTGGGCGAGGCCGTACCGGAAGAGGAAACCGAGGGCACCCGGAAAGCGAAAAAGCCCAGGTTGGGGAGAGATGGAAAGCCCTGGCGCCCACGAAATCGGCGGGGGAGCGATGATATCAAGCGTGATGAGCTTGTCGAAAAGATTCTGCGTGAGAATAAACGTAAGTACAATTCTCAAGTCATGGTATCGCCGTATCTGAGTGAAGTTACTAACGTGGACAAGTCGACGTTTACGATGTGCCTGCTATGCAACAACCCCAGTACGAGGGCGACGGCGACGCAGACGATCGCATCGCTGAGGAGTTCCGGCGCGAGTTCATGGACGCCATGGTTCAAAGGCAGCAAAAGAAGAAAGCAGCCGTCCCACCAGCCCGTGCTGGCGCCCGCAAGACGGACGAGGAGGTGCTGAAAGGACCAAAATTAGGTGGCAGTCGCAACTCGAGAGCTGCTATGCGTGATCTGCTGCTCAAGAAGGAGAGAGAGGCCAAGAAATGACGGAACGCCACTCAGATTATCCAGACTTGAGCATATGTGGAAATGAGATGATACCCCCACGATAACAATGAATGATCCTCATTACTTGAATGATTGTATTTCATGATTGGCATCTATAAAACCAACTGAGAGTGCTACAAAATTGAGATTGCCCCGACCCAAATGATGGAAAAACAATAGAACGAAAAAAGGTCATGACGACGTGTAAGCCAACCCTTGATCCTGTAGTAACCATTTTGATATCCCTGATACGGCCCATGAGAAAGTGAGAAATGAAAAAGAATAAGACGACCAGCGGAAGAATCCGCTCCTGATCCCGTAAGTGACTAGACCCTATAAGAATGTAAAGAATGTGTGAAGCCGGCTCGTGAAAAGCTATCTTTCTCTCTAAGCTCTCGCGATTTGCAACGCCGGGGTATTTAATGCGTCCCATCCTTATGCCTCGATGCTGCATATGCCACTTGTTCCATGACGCCTTTGATTGATTTCAGATGCAGAAGAAGGACTGCCAGGTCCCAACAATATAGCCGATGTAGGCTGTGCCTCCTACAATGAAATTTGTTTATCGAATGTCAAGCTGGAATGGCTTGAATCGGCCTCCAATTGTCGCGCAGCGAGGGCACTTACGCCGAGCCCCTTGTTCTGCCATGAGAACATCGACGCAAGCCTGGCACAGTCCGCAAATACATTCTGTGCAAGCATACGAATCTTTAAGCAACGAAACACTCTGACAGGCTGCGCAATAGATCTGAGTGTTCTGTGAGGAATAGCTCGGTGACGAGTCTGACAAGCCCCTTGACTCAATATGAAAGTTCTCCCCGCTCTCACCACTTTCAACCGAAGGGAACGGGTCAATAGTGTCCTGGTTGTAGGATGGTGGGGTTAAAGCTTGCTGCAAAGGCGAAGCTTGATAGCTTTGCGCTGCATGTGCTGCCTGGAATCCATGATGTTGGAATGGGGGCAGTGATGATCTGTGAATAGAAACTGGTGATTGGGGTACCTTGAGGGATGTCAGGTGAAGTTGAGTAGAACAGAACTGAAGGCTTCTTACAGGAGTCCTGTCCTCATCGATGTCACCGGCAGCTGAAGCAGCCTGGTCAGCAGCATCGATGAGGTCTTCCCATCTTTTCCCATAGTCTGCAGAAGGTTCAGCCGATAACGCCTTACGGTCATTATTACCTGGTCTAAGCCGTTCGTCATTCTGGATGCGTCGTAACCAGTCCGCTGCTGAGCCGCGAGATTTTTGTTTCTTATGATGGGCTTCTCTGCCTCGCTTGGTGACCGATTGTTTCCTAGGTCGAGCAGGTCCTACTGGCCGCTGGATTGGTGGAAGTGTCGAAGAACGTCCAGGAGGCGAATTCGCAAGAATCGACGGAAGAATATCCCTAGGTCTACTGGAGTTCATTGCTGGAAATGGCTCACTGGTGATGTCGTTGTTTGATAAGTGGATGGGAGGTAATTCAATTGATGTCCTAGGTATTCGTCGGCCTTCGGTGTCAGAGTGCCAATCCTGGTTGAAGAGAATTCGATTAGCGCTTCACTGGTGCTTGTAAGTGGATGGGGGCGGACTTTTCAACTCACCACCTCAGATTCCCATTCCGGCTCGACCTTGTGACCATGCAACTGTGCCAATGCTGCTGCGGCACTAGCAGCTGGAAGGAGCGAGCCGACAGCGTGGTCGTCCAACGTCCGGGGCGTGCCCGGATTGCTATTGTCGTACATGTGTCGATCATGGTTGAAGCCTTGAAGATGGTCAATCTTTGGGGGAAAGCCCTGGATTGAGAGGGACGAACCCTGAGGCACAGAGGTCGGGTTTGGCTGTAAAGGTGGACGATCGGACGGCGGAGTATTAATCATGAGCAGGAAGCTCTCCTCGGTCGCTGGAAGCTTTGAAATATAGTGTTCGGGGTGCGCTCTACGAATATGTTCTTGCATGGACCGATATCGTTTTTCCTATCATGTATTGGCAGTGTCAGAAGAGCATCATTTCTCGGTCGGGCGGGTTTGGCTGTGGTAATCAAAGCTTGCACTAGTCGCAAGAGTGGGCGATCCAAGGCGCAATGGTCGGCGACACTCTTTGTTGGAGTAGTGATTTCTGCGGACTCGGACTTACACCGATGCATCGCTTCCTACAGCTGGAGCCATCCTGGTTTCTCAGAGGACACACGACTTCATTGTTGGAGTCGGTGATTGAGAAAGAGGACGTCAAAGAAGATCTGGGCGGCATCTTGACCCCACCATGCGCGCGAGGACTGGTATCGATATTGAGCGGGGTGAGGTGCGATAAGTGCGTGCGTAGTGTATCGCGAAGCGAAGCCAATTGACTGGGACTGAGTTTGTTGAAGCTTAAGCATTTGGCGGGTCGAGAAAAGCTGCGATGTTCAGTCAACAAGAGTTGGAGCTTTGGAAGCTCTACTCTCTCTTCGGTGTGTTACAAAGAGTGTTTCGAAGGATGAGGTGTAATGGAGGGGAGGGAAAGACGGGGAGGAAGAGGAAGAGAGGAACCTGCTTTTGGGGGGCAGAAGGGAAGTTGACCGAAAGCAGTAAGTAGCGGAAATGGTAACGGGGGAGAGGTATGCCAGTATGGTGCAGCCTAGGGGTGTGTGGCTCGGTCTGGTGGGTATGGGCACGCAGTACCTTACCTGAGGTGCTGTAGAGTACGCAGGGCCTAGGACCAACGACCTTGCCTTACCTTGTTCTGTGCCCGTCTCCGTACGGTCAGCCTCCAGCCCAGTAGCATGTACGGATGGATACCTAGCTAACAGGTATGTAAGTCTAGAGGTGTGAGGGTAAGGTGTGAGAACAAGGAGGGAGCTTGGATCCAGCAAGCCCTTGCTGGTCGGTTGACCTTGGATATTAACGAGAACAGGGAAATGGAGAGAGTGCAGCAACAGCCGGCATGCGAAGCTCTATTCGATCTTAATTGTACTATGAGTGAGCTGCTCAGCTGCATCAGATGGTTGGGCTCCCGTCTAGCTCACGTCTGTACCTGTTCTCAATGTGCTGCACCTGTGCTGTAATGGATGCTATGCTACTACTTCTTTTGGTGCTGAGTTCGGAGAGACAGGGCGACAGACGAAAAAGGACAATATCTGCCGCCAATAAGGAGATGGGGGCGAGGAGTGCCGGGAACAGGTCCAAGCAGGGAAGTGATAGGTTACGGGAACGATGGAACAGCTGACAAGCTGGTGAGGTAAGTCATTAGTTTTCGTCGCAAGGTTATGTGTGTGTGTGTGTGAGGTCAGTCAGACCAGCTGCGCAGTTTTAGGTTGGCCTGTGGTAAACGGCATCAATGTCACTGATCTATGCCAGCCAGCAAGCAACAGCCTTGGATTGCGAAATGGTCGCTGCTCCGGTGAGGCGGCGGTGCCGCAGCGGTGTAAGTGGTAGGCTAAGTATTGTGTCACTGTGAAGCTTGACCACTCATGGCCGTCATCTTCGATCAAAATAGCCAACAAGTTCTCTCTCCTTGTACATACACTACACTGCACGGCTCGATGGTCACCGAGTCACCAAATGGTCCCTCAGACTGGGTTCTTTCTGGAACCAGCTGAGGACGGGACAGATTGCCCGAGGAACGGGTTGCAAGTTGTTTCCATCGAGTCAGTCACGTCGCCTCTGGTCTTTGTTTGAAAAACTATGACACGGCGACGTGCCTGACTTGGCCGAAAATGGCGGTGGCCAGTGGCTGTCCACGGGAACACCTCGTTTTGCTGCTAGCAGAGCAGTGAATGGTGATTAGATGCTGTGGCATCCGCACCTTCACCACACAGAATTAAGAGCTTGGTTGCTTGGGGTCTACTGCGAGGGGGGCACAGGGCAATGTGATTGTCCAATAGCAGTACAATAATCCACAAGCTCTGGGTCAGCGCTGGGACGCTGGCACAGAGAAGGCACTTGCGCAACTGGGAGGAGGAAAAAAAGGTCGGCAAGTTGACCCGCCGAGCAGGTGAGAAGCTGGTCATTGGCCCAAGAGGATTGAGAACGTGAATGACTCGATCGAGGACGGAGTGTATCTGGTGGACTGGGCTGGTTGATCCAAGCCTCAAGGGTTAAAGGAAGAAAAGAAAAAGAATAGAGTGGGGAGGGAGAGAAGGGGGCGTGGTTACAAAATCAAGATTCAAGTCAAGGCAGTGGAGAGTTGGAAAGTGAGAGGATCGGAAGGAGGGCAGGGGAGCAAGAGACTTGAGAGGGGGAGGAGGGGAAAAGGGGGGGGGGGAGGGGGGGGGTGCAGTCAAGAACAGTGGATTACCTTTTTTGCTCTTCTTTTTCGGAGCTTGCGAGTGGTCGAGAGGAAAGAGGTCCTTGCCGCATTAGAGGGGGGTAGCTCCTGCTAGGCCTGACACTGATCCTGTCTCTTTTTTTCTTTCTTTCTTTCTTTCTTTCTTTCCCGTACAGCACCGAGCTGCAAGTCAGGTGTCTGAATAAGGTAAAGTAGAATATGCGTAAAATCCTCACGTCTTTAAGTCGCTTCGCTTCCAGTGTCTCTGCCATGCCATGTGCCACTCCTGCCGCTGTTGCTGTTGCTTCTGCAGCTCTCGTTGCTCGCCTTTTGCTCCCCCGCCAGTATTGGACCCCTGGCTCAACGTGACATGCCCTGCTCCGACCTGACCTCAATCAACTGGGCCCTGCTACTGGATCCCCGCTGTTCGTCACGTTGACATCCCAGCTTATGGACAAGGTAGGTAGCTAAGGTGCGGATAGCAGGTCGGGTAGGCAGCTCGCTCATGCGAAGCTTTCAGCCTTCGTGTCGTTGCATCTCTGGGGGCTGGGTGGTTGCTTTTGGTGACTTTGCATGTTAAGTTAATCTTACCGCCTGACGGACGCATTGCCACAGTCAATTTGGGTAGGCCCAGACCAAATCTCCGGTGTAAAAGCGATGAACGTTTTCCGGCAAGGAGCTGCATGATCGGAACTCCCGTTGGGCATTGAGAACGAGACGATGAACGAGGACGAGGTTACCAATGTCAGGTCGGGATCAAGTAGTCCAGCCCACCAACCTCACCACATGCAGGGCCCAACTTCAAGGTACGGAACAGAGGTGACCCTAGGAGCTCCTGCTGCACGGTTGTTGTGGTACTGCTCTGTCTGTATGCCGCGTCTGCAGCGCCTCTGAGGCATGCTGCAGTGGGGAATATGGAACAGACCCCCCGACGTTGGCGCCGAATTGTCTGTTCCACAGCGGGGAGCAAGGCGGGCTTGATGGGGTGGGGAGGGGGTGGGTTGTCTACGTTGAGTGGGCTGCTATAGCTGCTTCAAGGGTATTTCTCTTTTTTTTCTTTCTTTCTTTCCGGGATGTGCAGACACTTCCAGGGCTCTTCAGCACGTCAACCTGCCTTCTTTTCCTAGCTTCCCTGTCATTTTAGTTGATGCGGTGCCTCTTTCCTGCCCCCCTAGGTTAGGTATTCGAGAGTACCTGCCTTACATAGTACTTACCTTCCTCCTTCTTCGCGCTGTATCTTGCTGAGGTTCCACACCCCAAGGTGGTAAGCGGGGTGAGGAAAGAGCGGTACGTACCATGTCTACCAGGTAAGGTCCCCACTCGCGGCGCGAGGACCCTCCAGTTCTTCGTCCTTCAACCTTCACCTCGGCCTATCATCAATTGGCGGATTGTAGGCGACGCGGCCAGAGACGAGGGGAAAAAATAAAGGCTGCAACTTCAAATCGCCTGAGTCCAGATCATGGACAGGCACCAGATCAAAAACTGCACTTGACTCCGCTCCACTTTGTTCTTTCTCACCAAACCAGCCGCTTATGAAATAAGCTAAGTCCTCAATCAGAACCCGAAGCCACGGGTTTTCACCGAGGCGGATAGACTGCTTAAAGGAAAATGAGCTTCAGTCCGAGCCCAGCCTTGTGCAGATGCTGGCAAAATCTTTCAACTCTCTTTGAGCTCGACTCAATAGGCCATGTCTCAGCTTCACTCAAGAGCCTTGGCCATTGGTACAGCATACTACCACGGCAGATCAGAGACTGACAGCAACTACAAGCTTTTCCAGCCAATTGTGTATTGTTAAAATTTTTCCTCTTTTTGGGTTGTAATTCTTCTTTTGCCACTGAGCCCTTTCGTTCCGGCGTACTGGCAAAAACACCAGACAACACTCGCAGATAAAGCGGGTAATCCTTGCCCCCTCAACGCAGCTAGGTGACATCACCCTGCTTAGCTTCCTAGTGCTTGCATTTTGTCCTTTATTTTTTACTTTTTCTTCAGGAAAGACAAAAGAGGTTATGATTGGCTTAACAACAGCTTTGGACCCATAATATCGACTCGTTTTCTAAGTACCAGCGATTCAAGGAATTAATGCATAGTTTCCTAACACCAGTACTGTATGCAGTGCTGTGCAAGAGACATCAGTACATAAATTGAGACCTTAGTCCATCCTCACCTTCGGACCAAACCGGGGGACCCACCTCGTGACGGACGCCCCATGAATTGTTACACAAACACCTCTCCTGCGCAGCTGACAGCTGGCAAAGAGTCTCGAGTTTGGAGCGCCCTTGTTGTCGGTCTCACGTATGCCGAAGTGGCCAGAGAGGGCCAAGGTTCAACTCAATGCCTTGGCCACACAATAGGAAGCAGGCGGTCACCGATTGCCTCTGGCCCTTCGCTTCTCTTAGCTGCCTTCCTGAGCTGCCGGCGCTAAACTCAGCGGCATTCAGTGACGGTGACCTCTTGCTGGAACCGTTCCAGCTGCCCACTGGATTGGAAGGGTGTGGGGGATAAGCTCCTAAGTCGCGAGCTCTAGTGCTGATAAGCAAGCCACCAACCAGAAGCCGGTGCAGCTTTGACGATAAAGCTCTCACAAGGGGTTCTAGCGCTTCTTTATCACGAGCAATCTAGCTTTGCCCAGGTACCCTCTAAAAGTAGGAGATGCTCAGAGTTTTACACTGTTAATACAGAGTACTTATTCTGTCCGTGAAAGGCAGCACTTTATCTCAATTGATTCTCGTGGAGCAGAGCCTTCTGAACCAACATCAAGTCGCCTTCGCAGAGCGCATACCATGATATGGCTGATGCTTCGGGCTTATTACTCGAAAATCTCGATTCATTCATTCACGCCATCTCTTTAGCCTGGAAAAAACAATACCCCAAGTCAACTCTGTCAACATCGGCACACTCGGCGATGGCCCACTCAGCAGCAACCAGCAACCAGCAAAAGGTCGGTCTGTGCCTTGCTACTGTAGTGACTACCTTTTTCCCCCTCTCCAAGGGAAGAAATAATTTTTAATTTTTCAAAAAAAAAAAAAAAAAAAAAAAAAAAAAAAGCCATTTTGGTAAGAGGCAGGTCATAGTAATCGGTCGGGGTGTGCCCTGACCTGTATCACATGCACTTTCTGTTTTCCGAACAAATCTACTAGTGCCTGATCTTCCAAGCAGCCACTCATCCGTCTCCTGATCTCACTCCTGACTCCCTGTCGTCCGAGACATGGCGGTCTACCCATAGATTCCGTCTAGTCGGTGACTCCGATTACGACTGCACCCACTGTCACTGCCTCTCCATTCTCTCTCACCGTACTCGGCGACTCGGCCTGGCTCCAGGGGTTACGGCACTCACCTCGACGTCAGAGAAGTCAACAACGTTTTTTCTTTTCTTTTTCAAGCACTGTGCTCCTCGTGCCAAGGTTGCAGTGTAAGGCTGTTGGGCGTTATAACACAGACAAGCAAACCCAGCCATCGAAGCCCCTATTCAGCTCACCGAGCTTGTTCCTGACAGGGACAGGATATCCCGACCGTCTAAGATTTGTCAATGACTCTGCGTCTTCAGCATCCAGGCATTGAGCATCACCTATCATGTTTACGACAGATGAACACTTTAGTCACTAATCATCCACCTCCGGTAAACTTTGACTTGACCCCATGAAAGCGGATAGCTCCCCCTGCTTCCGGATAGGCCACGAGTATCAACATCAACAAGTTGTTTTGCTGCCCACAGACAGAGGGGAAGCATACGGACTGATACTCTCCTCTTCCTTCTCATGTTCAATGCCAACCTTTATTGTCCGCTGTCAGAAACAGCCATGTCTTCAGTTCAGATGGTCCGCTCAGCACATGCTACGATGGGTCATCCCTTCCATCTCCAGGGGGAGTCCGGAACCGTCTGGAGCCGCTGCAGTTGGCTGTCAATCTTGCATGAGGTGTACAAGACCAATATCAAGAAAGATACTATAATCGAACAAAGCTTCGTTGTCAGCTTCCTGTTCGGCTCTATAGCCCAAACTAAACACAAAGACACTATCTGGTATTTTGTAGATCAGATCGATTAGAAGCCGCAATTGGTTCCTTTTTTTATTTTTTTATTTATTCTTTTGGGCCAATGATGCCTGAAGACGATTGCTCCGACCAAGGCCACCCTTTCGCAGAATCCCAAACAAACTTGTCACAGCTCCTCGTTGATCGGCCCTGGGGCTTGCCGCACAGACGTCCGAGACGAACATTGGGCGCCAAGTTCACGCAGAGATATCAGCCGCTTCGATAGCTAGATACAGAGCAATTTATTCCGGCCAGTGACGGAATGCAAAAGCCAAGGGCTATGTATGCGGCTCCGCCTAACTGGCCCAGATTCATCAGATAGTCTCTTCAGAATCTGCAAGGGACACACTTAATGTTTCCAGACCAAGAGGGCTGCACAGTGAGGCACAGCCCACCGAGGTTTCAGCCTCCGACCAGTACCGAACTTGGCACCCTCCATCACCACACTCTTTACTACTGGTCCTCGTCATAATCTCCAGCCCGTGGAAGGTCGTGAGTCTGAGCGCCTCGCGTTTACTTGCCTCTGAGCTGCTCATCCAGCCTTGATGCTCTGACCCTTCGTTACCTCGTTACCCTCAACTGCAGATTGGCATTACAGGGTTGACGTTTCCAAGTTGGCTGAGCAAAAGTTTCCTAAACTCGTCTCGCGTTTCCCTACATCGCTTCCCCACGTCTGATCATTTTGCGGCGACCCCAGCCCCATCGTTGCGTGCGTTCACGCGCCTTATACATCCGCCGCCATGGGACATACTAAATTGCGTTGTCGACCATTCTCTAATTGCTCGTGGTTCATTTTTATGAGCAAACGGTTGCTCTGCAACCATTTATGAAATTTTGCTTCTTTACTGATTTTGCTTTCTGTTTTTGGGAAGCCTTACATCATGGCGTTGACTGTGAAGCAGCTCAACGCTGATGCTTCATTTCTGCTCACCTTCGAGCCCATCGTACCTGAGTCAATACCGGGTGTCGCCCCTAGGCCATTCAGGATTTTGTTGGACCCATGGATCACAGGTCCATCAACCATCTTTCATTCTAAGCTGTCAATCACGACACATAAAGAGACCCCCTGCGTCTGTTCACTTCAGCAACTTCCTGAACCCGATCTTGTCATCATAAGCCAGCATAAGAGTGATCATTGCAACGAGGTCACACTCAAACAGCTTCCTGCCAGTGGTACAAGAACATTGATATTGGCGGAACCGTCTGCCGCCAAAGTGATTCGGAGCTGGAAACATTTTGAGAAGGACAAGGTGCACACCATTCCAAGATGGGAAGATCACCAGGTTACGGGAAGGCAGAGCGTCATTCGCGTCAAGGTGCCGCCGTTCATACCGGGTGGTGAGTTTGGTGAGGTTTCCGTCGCATTCATCCCTCAACGACGAGACCTCAAGGGGCTACATGCCGCCATTGGCATCACCTACCGCCCACCTCCAACATGGCCCAGATTCACACACCTCCTGACGCCGCCGGATACACCGGTTTCGCAACACCATAACAGTCAGCTTAGTCTATCCCAGAGTCCAACGGCGGCCCGAACCAAGGCAGAACCTACATATATCAGCCTGCCGACTCCCCCCGAGACACCCAGCACCCAGTCCCTTCGATCCGTTCGCTCTGCCACTTCTATCCCACCAACAACGGACCCCCGTGACCGAGCCATCTCCGTTCTTTTTTCACCCCACGGTATCTCATACCACTGCCTTCGTCAGTACACCAGCTCGCACCTTGCTACGGAAGCCGCTCTGCCTCTTACTGCACTCCTTCACTGCTTTGACACCGTGTCAAATCCGTGGTGGCTTGGCGGTAACATCTCTGCGGGGATGCCAACTGGGCAGGAGACCGCGATGGCTCTTGGTGCGAAAGCATGGATCAGCACTCATGACGGCGACAAAGACGTAAGGGGTCTTGCGACAAGGATGCTAAGAACAAGAAAATACGCCCAAAAGGAAGTCGCAGATGTTGTCAGCCCGGTTTCCAAGAGCAGCAGCAGGGTCAACAGGGAGAAGGCCGGCAGCGAAGGTTCTGGAAAAAGCACTGATGTGCTGGTCCTAGGCGTTGGTGAAGAGGTAGCGATGACTAGAGAGGGAGTGTGGAACGTCGAGCCGAAAGCCCGTATAATTCCTCCTCGGAGCTTTGCTCATATTGAGAAGACGCTTTCAGGGCGAGCAAGGGGACGAAATCTTTCACCCATCATTACGAGAATGTAAGGCGGCCCGCTGGCGGCTTGAGATGATACCCAAACTTTGCAACTTCTTGTTTTTTCAGTCCATTTTGATTAGTTGGGGCACTGTTACACATGATCGAAGAAGGGGGGAGGATGGGAGACACCCCTATGTTGAGTTTTGGAGCAGGTCATGACACCCAAACAAAAGTTATGGAGTACGAGTAAACGAAATATGTTGAGGGGTCTGAGGGCGTTTGTGGTTTTGTTGTTTCTCTCTATCTGATTAATACCGCTCGCCCAGAATGGCAGCGTATGGGTATACGGACCAAGGATTGGTTTACGTGGACATGTTTGTCCAAATATGATAGGGAATAATTTGGTCCTCCCACATCTGGCTTTGACGGCCATTTATCTGGCCACATTTTTATCGCTAAGACGAAGTGATGATGAAGCATTTCTCCTATACGATGTTCTGAGGGTAGAGGTAGGTGGACTGCCTATGCATCTGTTATAGTGCGAATGATTGGTACCGCTTGAGCTCCACCAAACCTTTAAGCTTAGGGCTCTGCGGATTACTTAGTTGTTAAGTTGCTCGATTCAAGATTCGTCCCCGTTGGTGTCGCTGCGTTCAAGACTTAGTCCGGGTGGCATTAATGCAATCTAGTCTATGTATTCCCGTTCTGTTCCGGAGAGCTTCATGGTAGCGTAGACAAGATGTACAAGAAACCTGACCCTCTGTGCGATATTTTTTGGGCTACATCTTGTCAAGATTCAATGGTTCGGCGGAAGACACGCGGAATCATATATAATAGTCAACAGATGTTGACTTTGAACTTACGTGGGCCAATACACGCCTAATCCCCTCCACTTGTGCAATACTTTGTGTCAGAGAAGAAGCTTGACGTTATCACCGCTCTTTGATCTTGAGCGCTGAAATACATTGGTATACCAGCCCTCAAGGGAAGAGCACTTGCGTTCACGATACTTGTAGGAATATAGGGGCTCGGAACTGGTGTCTCTAATGTCGACGCCCGGCCGGTTGTTCTTTTCTTCTCGGTGTATTGCCAGGGTAGGATAGACGACCTAGTTTGTGTGATGGATGGTTCCGTTCAAAGCCACCGGCTTTGCAATGCTCTACAATAGACATCCCAGAAATCGTTTACTGCCCTCTTAAATTGTGAATTTTATCTGCCATTGCAAGAGTATCAGGTAAATCACGTCTAAGCACTCTCAAAAAGCATGGAACTGTTTGTGCCTTTCTTATAGAGACACATGGGGAGATCATGTTACCGAGCCGTATTGCTGGTGTATCTGGTGGCATAGCTAGACGGGCAGACGGCACCAACAATGACCAGGCTTATAACTTAGGATACAGTTGAACATCTCACAGTTAGTAAATGAGCCCATTTTGACCGCTTGTGTTCCCTGCATACTTGTTTGAAACGGCGAGTAGCTATGCCTTTTGCTAGAGATTGCCTCCTCGATACTAGTAGTTATCCACAAATAGAGAGTATATAAGACGAGACGATAGAGACGTAGCCTCAAAGTAGACAGTTTCTCTATCTGTAACACGTGTAAATTTTAGCTCACCACTGATGGGCGACTTGGTCAGACAATGGGCTAGGAGAATACTGTCATCCTGTCCTTATAGGATGGAACGCTCCATATTAACGTGAGTTGAACCTCCCATACAACCAAACGCAAGCTAGTCTACCCTGTCCCTTCATATGCTGCCCAATGCAAAGACGCCAGCATTGCAGATGTTCCTCCCGCATGCCTTACGGATTTACAAAATTGGCTTTAGAAAAGCCAACCAACGAAATTAGCTGGGGAATCTTGTCTAAACAACATGTGCGGCCAAACAAGAGCATATGGCGTTCCTGATACGTGCCTCCAGATGCCCATCAAAAACGATGTCTTTTTGAGAAACTTCATCATAATGCGGATTGAATACTATGGCACCGCCCGTTGTGGATGGGTGTGTTTAAGCACATAGAACCGGAGATCCTCTCCCTCCATTATCTGCACCCATCCATCCAGGGTATCTATTTTCCCCCATATAATAATAGACATCTCCTGTTCTCGGAGATGTATTCTTTCACTAATCTGCCCGTCTTTCGATCCTTCTCCATACACAGCCATGAAGGCTATGTAGTTTCAGCGGTCCTCCCTTTGCACCTCCCAGTGCATGCATGAAACTAGAGCCCAGCTAAACACGCTGACACGATAAAACTGTGGGGAACAACATCCTTCTATGCATCCTCTCCATATCCCGTCTACTTGAGTTGCTTTAGAATCTCCGTCAAGAAGTCCTCGAAGCTGAGAGTGATATAGCCGTCCCTGTCATCATCGTATTTCTTGAAGACGTCAGTCATGCGCTTGAGAGAGATGCACGCCTGAACAAAAAGATCAAAAGACATGACGCCCTCGTTGCGCTTATCGTATGTTCGGAAGAGGAGGTCGACAAAGCCGGGGCTGAGGCGGTAGCGGAAGGCGACCAAGGCGTTGTTGAACTCATGGAGCGAAATGTTGCCAGAACGATCGGCGTCAAAGCGGTCGAAGAGCGTTCGCCAGGATGCGAGGAAGGACCAGAGCCCGCAGAATTCGGCAAAGCCAATGGTACCGCTGCGGTCAGAGTCGAACATGCGGATCATCATGCGCACTGTCTGAGGGTCGAAAGCCGTCCAGTCACCGTTGACCAAGGCAGTAGAGAGCTCGCGCTCAGAAAGCTGGCCAGTACCTGCGATGCATCATTAGGTCACTGATCTCGGGGGATACTGTATGGACAGCCTACCATCTTTATCAACAGCTCGGAACAGCGGCAGCAGCGTCGGATCGGCGCCGTCAGCCATAGTGTCTGGCGCAGGAGATGGGGGAGGCCTTGAGCTGGGAGGAGGGCGGTTGTGCATGGCAGTCGGACGCGGGCCACCTGTGGGAGGAGGAGAGGTGGCGCCGTAGATGGCGTTGGGACTCGGCCGGCGGTCATCGCGAGGGTCAGGACGGCGATAGTCGTCACGGGGGACGGGCGGAGGCGGCTTGCTCTCGTAACGCGGCTGAGCCGGAGGCCTGGGTGCCGGGGCAGCGCCGCCCTTCTGCGATGGAAGAGTCAGTCTATCTGTAGATGGGCGATCCATGGTTTGACGATGGCGATGCGATGGAGAGTGCGAACAGCGCGCTGCGCGAAGGGTGATGAGAAGCAACGTACCTGTTCAGGCTCCGCGAATCTGATAGGGTGTTAGCATGGCGGGGTACAATAGATTGCAATGAGGGGCTATTGCGAGTCGTAAGACGCACCTGGGGAGTTCGTCGGGATTGTAGGGTCTGTTGTACGCCATTTCGACTTATTCTTGCACGAACTAGCAATCAAGGTCCAGGAGAGAGCGAGAGAAGGTCTGGGGAGCCGAATGGAATGAGGCTCCTGAATTATATGAAGTTGAAGAGGTGGGGGGGTTTCTGCAGTGGACGGAGGGGAGCCGCAGCAGCTATGTACCTCAAGGTCTGGGTACAAGCGTAAAGTTGTTGTAGGGGTCTTAACGTCAGGCGGCGGCCGGTACGCCTAGACAGGTAGGGCTGCTTCGTTAGGCTGCACTGCGGCGGAGGCTGTGAACGTGCCAATCGGGCTCGAGCTCAGCGCAATCGGCATGAAGGTCTTAGCCTGCGCTGGAATATGGAAGGGTGAGACTTAGGGCTGATGTTTCTTAGCTGGTGCAATTTGTTCGTGACCCGCTGCTGTACAAGGCTGATTTTCTTCACTTATTGGGTAGAGAAGCATGAATACTCTGACGGTGTGCTCGAAGTTGTAGTGCTTATGTGGCCTCGAACAGAGGACTGACAGGGTGTGGTAAACGGGACCGGACGGTTTTTAGGGAGTGGTAATGCAAGGTGGCACGGGCAGTAATTGAAATGCAGGGTAGGCAATATCAAGGGACCTAAGTTTGTGTGATTCGGGGGTTTGCGTACAATACCGACACGATAGGCTGAAGGCGAGCTACGGTAGTCTACGACAAGAAGGACATCATAGGAAATATGCCGGGACGAACAGGCAATGAGATTATCTGTCTGCTTGTCAAGTGGACTCTGCGAAATTGGTTGATTGGTAGGACAACTAAATGCAGCAAATGCTCCAGCCAAGGATCCTGAAGACAAGGGGGAAAAAATACAGGATGGAAAAGAGGGTATCGATTCCGTCCCAAGCGGCGTAGGATCCTGCCACCAAAGTCTTTCTCTCTCTGTCTTTTTCTCTCTACTACGTTGGTACCCATTGTTCTTTTTTTCTGGAAGGTCGCCGGCACGGGAAGTGGAAAGGGATGGACCGACGGGATGGATAGGTGCTGTCCTGTCAGTGGCCTCGCTTTCGTAACCCCGCCACAGTCCCGCTGTGGACTGGTGGATCGTGGATTTGGGGGTTCTCTCAAGCAGTGGAATGCGACAGTGAAGAATTGGGATGAAGGAGGCGTTGCCAAAAAGAGGAAAACAGGGAGGCTACCTGTTGCCCACCAATCCCATGCCTGGGGACAAGGCGACTGGGCATTGTCAATAGTTGCTGTGGATTATTTAACTCTGCTCCTTGAGCTCTAGCGTCATCCCATTTCGTCGTGTCGTTATACGCGGCAAAGTATTCGTATCTTCATCTCTCTCTGTCGTATCCACAAAAAGGACCCCTGAATAGGAGGCTCTCTTTTGTCTCGGGACCGGGTATTGATACCATAGAGATACAGATGATGAGGCCAGAAGGGGTCCCGAGCACTTTAATCTGGCCCAGAGCCAACAAGCTGGTACTGATCCCCCCATCTTCTGGGCCCATACCACCACCACCAAGGCCGACTCTCAGACATCTTTGAGGGAAAGGGGACAAAGAAGGATGTGTTTCTGTTTGGGTGACACGTATTCCCAAACACCGCGCACACCGGCACCTGCATACTAGGCCCGTACTGTGCGGTATGCCATCTGAGGTGGTTGTCTTTAAGCTTATTTTAGTCAGAAAGTCGTCAACGACCTGAGATGATCTGTCCAGTTGGGAGTTGCCATTTCCGCAATCTCCAAGGTGAAACTTGTCATACTCCTGAGCATCCTTCATGAAGGCGAGGACTTATCCGCTCACACTTTTTTCGAGCCCACAACAACCATAAACTTTTCTATCGACTAGCAAAGTCGTTAACGGCCCCATGGTGTATGTAGTGTGACCACTCCAAGCCATCATCCGTACCACCCTAACATCCTTCCCTTCTTCCCTATCCGCCCCAACCTGCCCCACCACAGACTGCCCCGGCCCACGCCCCTCCCCAGAGCGCCGAGCCTCTGCACGGGACGACGGCAAGCGGGATTGCGTATGCTTTGCCAGCTTTGCAGCTTCGCACCGCTCAAACTCGCCTTACCCAACTTTCTCGAACACATCGAACCTTTTTTTTCTCATCTCTCCTCTCTTCCACGTATGTACCTTGATCCTCTCCTCTTTCTCTCCCAGCCCAGCTAGCCCCTTGTTCTTTTTGTCTTCCACGCCCGGTCTCGTTTTAGACATATTCGAACCCAACCCTTCTCAAATCTCGCACAACTCCATCTTCCCTTCTCTTCCTCCGATACGTATTTTTCTCTCTGTGTTTGCATGTGTGTGTATGCGTGTGCGAGTGTTCAATATGTGTGTACACGCGGCTTTCTTGGGGCTCGCACCACTCCGTCACCTCCGCCGTTGCGGCTTGTCGCTTTTGTGTACCACCCACGGCTCGTACGGCGTTCTGTCCTCTGGGAGTCAGGCAAGTGCCTGAGATGAGATCCAAGATGGATCGCCGAGCTTCTTTTGCCGCTCTATGTGTGTCGTGCAGGCCGACGCGAGTTACAGCGGAGCAGGGACTGATCTGCTTGGAATATTATCAGATTCAGGCTTGAAAACAACGGCCGGTTCTCTTTCTTTCTCCGTATTCTTCACGCGAGGTGACGCTTCTGTTGAGCCGAGACTCATCATAAACGCCTCATCTCACCTTGTTCTGCTTGCATATACGACCTAGTCCTTCCTTGGTGGGTTACGACATTACTCGAAATGGCCGCCGATAACGATCTTTCAACCAACGGCACCGAGTTCTGGCTTTATGGTTATGGGTATGTCAAGTCCCTAGAGATCGACTACTTCACCCCTGCCCTGCCGATTTCTTGGTCTCTTGTCGTTCGAACTATTCCGGCCCTCCCGCATATCTATCCCTGCCGCAGACCAAGCCCTAAGTACGTCGTCTCTAACGTCACCAACCCGCTTCTTCAGGAGTTTGATATGGAAACCTCCGCCGCACTTCGGTTAGTCTCAAGCCCTTTCTTCTTCCCTGTTCTTCTGGGCACTTGCCGCCTATCGAGCTGCGGGCTGATCTCTGTCGCCCACCCCCACAGATAGAAGAATCCCTGGTTGGGTAACAGGATACGTCAGACGCTTCTGGCAAGTGAGTCTTTCCTTTTCTCACCTACTCCCCCCGGACACCCCGGACAGCCTGGCCACCACGGCATACGAATGGATCTTGCGTCGCTAGTGCCCGTTGCCGTCAATGCTTGTTTGCACTACACGTGTCGCCTCTCCCCTACTTACATCCAACCACACCCATGCTGATTCTCTCTACAGGCAAGGTATTTTAACTTCATTTCATCAGAGGCTCACTCGGTCTTTAACCATCACACATCCTGACTGTTCTCCTAGCCAAGACCACAGAGGCACACCGGAGGCTCCGGGACGCGTCGCCACCCTTATCGAGCGTTCCTATTGGGAAAAGCTGACCGACCACCACGATTCCGCCCCGGAGCGCGTATGGGGTGTGGCCTACCGGATCAAGGCTGACAAGGTCGCTGAGGTCAAGGATTATCTTGACATTCGTGAGATCAACGGCTACAGTATCCACTATGCGCCTTTCTACCCGGCCGATGGTTCCGAGCCGATTCGAACTCTGGTGTACATCGGTACCCCCGATAATGATCAGTTCGTCGGACCTCAGGACCCTCAGGCTCTCGCCGCCCACATCTACAAGAGCCGCGGTCCGAGTGGACTTAACATCGACTACCTCCTCAGCCTTGAGAAAGCCCTTGATGAGCTGAGCCCGGAAAGCGGAGACGTCCACATCACCGATCTCTCCAACAGAGTTCGGGCCATCATCGCTGCCGAGCAAAATTCCACCAATGCTACTCCGGGCCAGCCGCAAATACCCGGCCCGCCCCCGGCGTCTGCTGTCAACGGCGAATTCAAGCAAGAGGCTAGTGTCAGAGAGCAGGAGGAGACGGAGAAGACTTGCTGAGGAGACGTCTGCACATAAACTTTTCTTTGGATACTTGCGCCCGCCCCCTTTCTTGAATCCCCCTTATCCCATTGTGCAATTTCCTTGAGCCATATCGATCAAGAGCTTCTTTGTTCTAAAGCAGACCATAGACAAATCATGCAGACCAGGTAGCGTTAGACCAAACACAAATCCGTTGGCGTTCCTTCCCCCGACGATTCCGAGAACCCACCATAACCTCCCATCTCCAACCCATATACCGTTTGCCAAAGTCACCAGGAGGAAAGAACATCACCAAAGTTTCGAAAAAATCGAAGGTTGAGGGTGCCACTTTTGAGGAGAGGTAAAGTATGGAGGAAAAGAAGCCAAAAAAAAAAACATTCATTTGAGAGACAAGACTAGGCCGTTACCAACCCTTTGACCGCGGGTCGGGATTTTGTTTTCCAGAGATCCATTGCAACAGAAGAACCGGGTATTGTGTTGCAGCGAAGACTATCATCACCAATGCTCGATCGAACCAACGGGCGCGCACACGAACGTCTGTCAGACTCGGAGGAGGTATCGTCGGCAACAACTCTTAGCCGCGTGCTCCCGAGTTGCGAATAACCAACAACCAGCGGGCAACGAATCTCCGAAATCTAGCGTGCATTAATAACCTCGGCCGCCCTGGGGCTGCTGAGACGGATCCGGGTACCCGTAGCCGGCCGGGGCTGGGTAGCCGCCATCTACGGTAGAGTATTAGCAACGGTGTACCGAGACACTGAATCTGATGGCTTCTACTAACCCTGGGGGGGAGGGGCAGCACCGTAGGGCTGCTGAGGGGGGTACCCGCGTCCGTACGCCGGCTGCTGGTACATGTTGGGAACGCCGACAGGATATCCGCCGGGAGCGCCACCGTAGGGCATAGGGGGCGCACCATAGCCTCCGCGTCCACCGCCGAAGCCGCCGCGGCCGAAACCACCACCGCCACCACGGGGACCGTTGTCGGAAGCCTTGTCAACGCGGATAGTGCGTCCGTCAAACCTGAAGAGTTCCATTGTTAGAGATATGTGCTCTTCAGCATCATTGCGCCGGGACAAGCAGGCAATGGCAGAAGCAAATTGGCAAAGGCAGCGTACTCGACGTTGTTCATGGCGGCAATGGCCTTCTGAGCATCTCCCTCTTGCTGGTATCGCACGAAACCGAATCCACGGCTGCGGCCAGTGTCGCGGTCCTTGACAACCACCTTCAAAAATTGGAAAAAAACGCGTGTCAGATCTCGATCACATCTACTGCTGCTGGACAGGCCTGCTAAGACAAGGTGTCTCCGCAGGGTCCATGGCGGCGCCACTCCAAGAAAGTTTCTTTGCAGCGGACAGGAGTATCAGTACTTACAGCTTCTTCGACGGCACCGAACTCTTCAAACTTCTGTCTGAGGGTGCCTTCCTCAGTGTGCCATGCAAGGCCGCTGTAGAATTAACAGGTCAGCGAAGCTTGTTTTGGGGAACAACGTTTGCACCCAAACGTGGGGGAGACCTACCCAATGAAGAGCTTAGACATGTTGATTGTTGTTGTGTGCGAACTTTGATGGTCTGTCGTTCACAAGTTAGAAGTTGTCTGGCGAAAGATCAAAAGGGAAGTTGCGATGCATAAATGGAGTTGGTGGTGCTGGCGCCAAGGCGGGGTATGTGAAGGGGAAGGAGGCAGTGAAAGCAAGCGCTCTTTCTGGGACTTCCCGATCAAGAGTCGAACTGCTACAGAAGGTGGCATTATCCATTCGCACACTAATTGAGAGGTGGCAGTGCCGGATGCCGAGCTTTGTCGTTCCATGACAGGGTTGGGCGCGTAACGCCGTGGGCAACATTGAGAGCGACAAAGCAAACGTACATATCAGGCCAAGTGGATGATGATGGATGAGGAGGAAGGAGAGAAGCCAAAATGCAGGCTGTGTCAACAAAGAATTACCTGCAGGTGTCGCCACTTGATGGACGATGATGTGGATGTGGTGAAGTGTGTAGGTTGAAATTAAGGTGGGCTGTCGTTGGCGGGAGGAGGTGGTTGACAGACGTCAGGTTTGAATTCTGGACTTGATGAAAAGGAAAGAGGGGTGGGAAAAGGAGAAACGTAAAAGGCCACCTTTGGAGGAGAAAGGAAATCTTGCTAGCGGGGATTATTTTTTTTTTGAATGGCCGGAGGGAAAGGGCGTTGAGGCAGTGCAAAAAAAATAGGTCCCAAGGTAAGGTTTGGTGTATGAGTAGGAGTGGGAGTGGGAGTGGGAGGAGTGACTGGCTAGGACGTGGTCAGGAAGGCGGGGTGGATTGAGGAAAGGTGTAAGGTAAGGAGCGGCGACAAGAGCACCTAGCTATTGTTGCTTTCATACTGGCAATCCTCTTCCCTTTTTTTTCTTCCCCCCAACTCCCAGCCTGGTACTGCTGTTGCCTTGCAAGCTGAATTCAGGTGGGATAAGCTCGTGGGGGGGATGGATTATTAGGTGGACGGGGGATTGATTGACGGAAGAAAGGTGACGGCAGTCAGTGGTGCCTTGCTTCACTGGAGAAACGGGTACGAAAATGATGACGGATTGGTCTGGGCCTGGCGGCGAATTGAAGGTGTCGGCTTTAGGCAAGTGAGGCAAGATTCGTACGAACACGACGAAAAAAAAGCACACCCCCGAGGAAATGCAAATGTAAGGCAAGAGAAAGAAGACTGTGTGTGATAAGGAAACTCTGTGCGGGCCCTGGATGCACCAACCTCTGCGTTCAATTTCTTTGTCTTGAGTCGAGTTTTCTCGAGTCGTCTTTCCTTTGTTGCTTGTCTAAGGGAATGTTTGATGCAGGATGGGGAAATCTGAACAATGTTGGGTGGGAAAAAAGTACCATGCGAGAGAAAAGCCGATTTGCTTCTGACAGGGGGAGGCAGTGAGGAGAGAGAGAGAGGGAGACAAGCAAGTACCGATCCCGGACGATAAGAGGACAGGGACACGAGGGGGGAGGGATTTAAAATAAAAATAAAAATGAAAGAGGTTCGTTTGTACGTTCAAAGGACAAGCGGAGGTTAGTCGAAATTGAATAATCGCGCGTTCATGGTTTGCTATTCACGTCCTTAATATGTCTCCTTCTATGCTCTTTCTCCCAGTAACCCCGTCCCTGTTCCTCGTCTTTTACGTGATGGACGCAGGGTCTGCTGCAGCGTTGGATACGCAAATTGAACAGGAGCAGGGCGAGCAATTTGTTGCAGCGGCAGTCTGATACCTGCAATGCCAGATGAATTAGGGAATGGAACAAAAGAGAGGGAAAGAAAAAAAAAATAGAACGACTTGTTCCGGCAAGGCATCTGAAGTACCCATCTCACCTGCTTTTCACCTGCAGAATACACGGGGCAGCTTGTCGCTTCCGCTTGGCTCCATGCTGTTTGCCAAGGTACCTTCCTTACCTTGACTTACTGCTGCTGCTGCTGCTGCTACGACCACCTACTAGTACATGGTACATAGCACTGCTGGTCAGGCACACGAGGCAAGGGCCAAGGCATCTGGGAGATCTGCCCGGGAAGAGGGACCCATGAGAACAATCCATCTGTGGATTGGAGACATGGGACATGGACATCTATCCAGTTGGCATGGGGGTAAAGAGGGGACCGCCCACATCCCAAATTCGGCTTTCCTGCGCAAGGGACGAGGGGGAAGGGAAAGGCCCCAACGCCCATCAATGTTTCGACCAAGCATGAGTGTGGTAGCAGGGTTAGCCTACCCCCCAAAACAAGCATCAAACAGACGAAAAGAATCAGAAGTACCCTTGACACTTCTATCTGGATTGGCTCACATATCCTTCGTCTTTTTACCAGAGCTCATACATGGAATATCACCCAAAAAAGGACCATGTATCGTTTGTCTCAAGCGTGGACGATTCAGTGCTCTGTATGCTGGATGGATACCTGACCTGAGCTGCCTGCAGCTTCGTGTTTGATACGGCCTGGCTGTAATTAATACGGGTTACCGCTACTCTTTCTTCTGCTGGCGCGGCTGTCGTCTTGGGCGTCGTCATGTACACGATGGCAATCCAAGTTAAATAACGTACGAAGCGACGCACGCACTTACGCAACCTGCCTCCAGGCAACTATCTCTCTGAGGTATTCTCCTACAACGTCAGCATCACCGTCATGTTCATCAGTGGACGAAGTTCGCTAGCAGTTCAACTTTTTTTCAGCCCGAGCGGATCCGGCACCCGGTCTACTCATACTCACAGTTTAATGGCCTAAATCAGGGGCATGCAAGTGTGGTGGTATAGATGCAACGACTGGGACATCGGAAAGCTTCTTGTAAACCATGAACCCAGCCGTTGCGTTACTGATGGTAGGTAGAACGGCTCAACTGACTACTGGCAGGATGGAAAAAAAGAAAATTCACGCGGCAAAATACGTACACGATGTTCCTGATGCAATTACAATTAGGTCAAGACCTGCGCCCGCATAGACACAGCTCAGACTGCTAGGGGGCGGATACACGCCTCCCATCATGGGTGAAGGCAGAAGATGATGCCAGCACGCCTTATTGAGTACCATGCAGTATATGGGAGATGTGAACGTGGAATACCGGGAGATGGGGAAGGGAAAAAAAAAAAAAAAAGGAGGAGGGTAGAATCCTACACTCGATACAGACTGGCATCAATGTATCCGCTGTGGCTTCAGAAAACACTGCGCGGGACGACAGGCTTGGCCTGGTCATATGCGGACGGACTGGATCATGAGTGACATTCCCATTCGACCCCACACTTTGCACAGCCTCCTTGCACCATGCCCAGTTTGAAGCAAGATGAACATCTTGGAGCTGCAACAAGATTCTCCAACGTTCACCTTCTCCTGAAAGTGGGGTCTGCCAACGCCGCAAAGCTGTAAAGCATGCAGAACCAGTTCTCGACTCGGCTTATGTCCCAAAGATGTATTGCGCGGATGTCATGCCTGTACATGCGGTGTGTGGACTGACTAACATGGTATGTAAGGCGCATCTTTGAATTCTGGTCAGCGGCAAATTGCGACATTTGACATTCTCTTGGGTGCCTTGACCCTCAGAGTGGGCAGTATTTGTCTTAGCGCAACCTGTCCATCCATTTCAGTGAAGAAGCATTATCGCCACGACCTTCAAATCACATATTGGCATTGCACAGCTAGGATAACACCTTGCTTCTCGTTCGCGATGCCGCCATAGTCCTGGCTTTTAGTCCGTTCTTTGGCTTCGTCCAATCCGCTGTAACATCGTAACATGATTCTATCGCCCTCGGCTATACTATCCGCAGCTCCAAGCAGACTTCAAATGCCCGAGAGAGACACGATCAAGTTAGAAGAATGTTGGGACGAGACCCCTTTGCCAGCATTGACTACTCATGCGAGGCGACATACGAGGAAATTCCAAGTTTGGGAGCTTCACGACCAAGAAGGAGGAGAAACAGCAGCAGAACGGAGGAGGTCGGTAAGCAGTCTCCGTTTGGCGCACAAAACGTTTAATGCCGCCCACTTAGTGACTCCACTTCTGGTAAGCACTGGCCATAGAGAGACCCAGGAACTGAGCCAGATCCTGCGATGTGGGTGAAGTTTAGTGGGAGAGTTATGGGTGTAGTCGTGGTGTCCATATCCTCCATATAAGTGGAGACGGTCGATCCAGTGGGGACGAGGTTGGCCACAACCCCTCTGGCCTACTGTCAATTTGTTTTTTTGGCGGCAACTGCCCCTCCCCCAAGCTGCGCACGGCGCACACACCAAACACAACCCGACCCTCAGGTCAAGAAAGTCGGCACATTTGGTATCTCTTGCCGACTATGGCCCGCCGCTTTGTACGACCCGAGCTTGACCGGCCAGCCAGCCAGCCAATCCCGCCAGACGATCTCGGCACACGGGAGGGCTTCATATGATCCAATACCACCTCCCGGGCACCTTTCTTAACTTCTCGTCAATTTCGTAGAGTTCCGACCGGCTGCTTCTGATCTTGTGCAGAACCGACAAGCGCTTCGACTGGTCAAAATCCATGTCAGCTATCAAGTGTGACGCAACATTTTGGTCGCCTGGGACAGCCATTACCAGGGACTAAGATAGTGGAACCTTCAACCGCCATAGTACACTACTTATCCAGGCAGGTGTGGTGTCTAGCCGCCGTCATCTTGTAGCATGGACCAACAACTCGGTGGGTCAACGTGGGTGTCGGAACTGCCACCAGCAGGAACCCTAATGCAAAAGACCGCGATCTAACCGAGAATACCAAGGGTTGGGAATGGCTCCATGTTCCGACGTTTGTCTTCACACCGCTCGATCGTTGCTCTTCTCGCGGCATTCTTGTCCTTAGCTCCACCGGCCATTCATCTGGTTGATGCATCTTCCAGCACTGTTTGCTGCAGGATTGACGGTACGTTGGAACACTGGGTTAATCTTTTGGGGATCCCAGTGACATCCGAAACCGTCAAGGACCATCTATAATTACTCAGTTGTGACCGGATGAAGGTGAAACCTGCTGCGCCTTCTTCACGGGCCCGCTGAATTACCCACACAGGGTTTGATCCGCAAAAGCAGAGCTTGGGCAATGTCGTTGGGTGTCGACACATGTCCTGATATACTAGTAACATCCATTGCAATGGGCATAAATTTGCCCAGGTAGCTCCCACAGCCACGTGCGTTGTCACGCACCATGGGACCCTGCAAATTGTAGTATATGTAAGGCCAGTCTTGAATACAATAGCATCCAGTTGTGCATCAAGCAGTAATTGTCTTTTTCTTTTTTCGATCTAGATCATACCATCTTAACGACGTATGTTTCGGGCTTTGGCCCCCAACTGATCAAGTTTCTACATGACTCCCAGTCTTTGATATGAAATAATTTTGACCAAAGACGTGGCTGTACTCGTCCCTGCATCTCGTGCATGTCATGTGATGGCGATGTAGACAACGCCGTAGTGGTTGTTTCATTCTTCGAGAGAGAGAGACTACTGTTCGATTTAGTGTTGGATGGTCGTCGAGTACGACTTGAACCATCTCGCGGCAACAAACGAGTAGCCTGTCTAGTAGCCTGCTTAGTGGGCTGTCAAGCGTTTATTCTAGCGGGACAAGGCCCAGCGAGGCCTGAACTGTAACCAAAGCGCTGCTATCAATAGAATTCAATCATGTGCTCGACACAAGATGTGTTCCGTCAGTGCTGGACATGTCTTGGCATTTCAGAATCTCACAATGAGGGTCTCCTCGACCGCATGTCGAATGCAGCTCATAGCTAATACAATTTTGGATAATGACTTGGGCAATACGATTGTCTAAGCAAGTTTGACAGGACGACCAGAAAGCCCCCTTTCTCATCCCGCAGCGTAACGGCCAACAATGTATTGGAAAGCATGTCTTGGGATTTAGGTTGGGCACGTTTTGTTCCTAAGAGGGTTGAGGAGTGCCCAGCTTGTTAAAACGGCGTAGTTCCTTCGTTTGGCACCGATAGACAGAGCTGGCAGGGTTTAAAAAGGCAATAGCAGGGGTGGTATGAGCTGACAGATAGCGACACAATGAAGAACAACACATCAAGACTCTGTCTAATTTGCCCAGCAGTGTACGTCACAGCCACTTACGTAAGTTGGAGCTGTTATCAGAGTTACCGAGAACTGCCCTACAGGAGGCTCTTGCTTCCTCGAGGTAGTGCACAGCATTCTTAGTGTATCTTCCAGAGTCCAATACCCCTCGCTAGTGGAAAGAGATGGAAGCCTCCACCGCTCAGTTACCGCAGCTCCGTTTACCCCACGGTTTCCACCACAGTTGAAAGGCACACCTTCCTTAGTCAGATGCTATTGAAGCATAATGGTGCAGAAAGAGCATCACAAATAAGGCAAGTGAAGGGACGACAAATGTGATATGGGTAGTTTCCCTCTGGCATTATTTGAAAGTCATCGCGTATTCGGGTCAAAGAACTCGCTCAAAGACAACGGCAGCCCCTGCAAGTGCGAAACGAAGAGCCTCTCTCTGGGCAAGCCTACGGACGGATTCGCCTAGAGTTCGGTCATATCTACTGGGAAAATGCTGATCAAGTTTGCACTCTTCTTTCTTGTCCCTCAATACAACCACCAAGAATGAACCATCATCATTCAAGGAGACGCCATCGAAGGCATGGTAAATCTCACCGAAATGCCCAACACCATCTTCATAGCCAACGTGAGGCCCTTGAGCAAGAGTACTTCAATTCTTCACATCTCCGGCCTGAATCAGATAGTCTACGTATTGAAGACCACACAGCTAATGAGGCGAAATATGACCATGGGATAATTGAGGACTGGCTTGACAAAATCAATCAAAGAGATCTCGCATCGTGCGACAACTTGGGCGCGCAGCATCAGCAACAGCGCCAATTGATTTCTCGCAGCATATCCTCTAGACAGTATGGTTCCATTGTCCAAGATGACTCTTTCCAAGGTCACAAACGCCCGTGGTCACGAGACAGCTCTATCATTGTCGACACACCAAGGAATGTTACCCGACAGTCTGTAGTACCAAAAAATTATTCCCAGCCAGAGCAGGATCACCATCATTTTTTGAACCCGAAAAGGTCGGTACGCTCTCCTCTCTCGGCCGGCATTCTTTCGCCAAACTACAGCAAGCATGCCAGACGAAAAACACGGGAAGATAGATACGATCCTAATAAGCAATCCAGGGAAAAGGAACGGAAAAGGCGGGAAACTTCTGAGCCACTGGCACATCGATCAAAGAGGACATTGCCCTACAGGCAGGATGTTATGGACAGCTTTCGCTCTGAAGCCATACTCCAAGACCGGCTGACGGTAGGCCCCTGTTGACATGCTGGGTGACTAGGACTAACATTATTCACAGCTGCAGCCTTGCATCATACCAGGTCTCTTTCAAAATGGTCGTGCATCTTCGCCAAAACGAGGTATGTTATTATTCAGCCAAGGGCGCCTTTATTTGTTTTCTGACTCTATTACAGTCGAAGAGCTGGCCTTTAATTCCATAGCAGTTCGGGAAAACCCACAGTCTCGCCAATCGTTACGGCATCAGCACAACCGGTCTCAAGGGAGGAAATTGCAGCGGGGGGAAAGGGTGGCAAACGAAGTGCAAACTTTCGTTGGCCGTCCAAAGACATCAACCAACGAGGTCCTGGAATTACCGCCCTACCAACTCCACGACATTTATGTCGACTGGAGATCTCGCCAGCAGCACGACTTTGGTAGTTACGATGAACGATATGATAAGGAACGAGAGCCTATAGGCCCCCCGGAGAGGACCTATGGCGAACAAGCAAAGGAACAGGGACATTTACGAAATGAATATAGTTCATTATCGCCCTTCCAGCGACCGTCAAGCAATGAGACCACAAATTATTCATCATGGTCCATGAATAACAACGAAGAGCTATCAGTATCACATCAACCTGGTCTTCGACACTCCAGTGACACTCCAGAGCCGATTAGAAAGTCAATGCGAGAGACTGGAGTCTTCGATGGCACCGGAATTACTGGCAAGGATCGAAACTCTAGAACAGAGGCATTCGCAGTTGACAAGCTGTTTCGTCACACGGATGACTTGCTGGAGCGAGGAAGATATGCGACCCAGGAACATAATTCGAGGCCACATATCACCATCGTGCAACAGCCAGCCATTTTCCACTATCGAGACAAAGGAACAATGGCTACCGCTGAGCCCCTAGCGATGTCGCAGACGCAATTCAGCACGAAGGCTGTTACGAAACTCGAACATGGTGATGTTGTGAACTGTACTACCAAACTCGGTTCTCCAGGAACACACATGGAAAGCCACGGATTATTGCCATCAGATGTAATAAGACAAACCACCGACAGGAGCGTGCAGGTGGAAAGCGGCATATTTTCTAGTCAATGTGAAGACTACACCAGAAATCAAGTGTATATCACAGAGCAAGAGCGCTCCAATCCTCAGCGAAGGGAGATCTCTACTCAAACGTCGCCGAAAGCAAATGTGCAAACCCAGGCCCAGACTCCTGAAAGCACTAAAAACGCTTTCTTGAACAACATGAACATGCGGTCGGCCATTGCAAATGCCAGTAAGCTATCAGAGTCTCGCATTGAAGATCCAATAAACACCAAGGACTCCAGAGAAGTGGCAGCCAAGTGTCGAAGTGGTCTACAGAGCAAGCCTGCATCTTTTGAAACTGTTGCCTCCAACCTCAACACCACTATATGCAAGTCAACTTCTCGCTTTGGTGACATCGCCGATCCCACAGACTGCCAGCCGCCCTTTCCTACTGAAAATCAAGCGTACACATACAGAACTAATCAACCGCACACCAATACTAGAGGTGGAAGAGATAAGATATCAAATTTTACTGGGCCCCAACTAACAACGCAATTACCTTGTAGAAATCAATCATACCATGAACGTATTGGTTTTAACCCCGATTATACGCAGCAAATAGAGGTGCCTCAGATTTGTAACGACAAGTACATGGTCGACTTTACCACACACAATGACGGGGATGTACTTGGTAAGGACCATAGAGGGTATATTCGGAAACAATATTTCGATAAGGTGTCGTATCGTTTGCCGCAGGAGAAAGACCACGCCAATGAACCACTTGGGATTTACGACTGGATGCAACAGCCAGGCCACGAGCTGAGTGTCTGCCAGAAACGATTAGGGCGGACGGGTTTATTGTATCGAAAAACGGCAAACCTGGATCATCGAAAGGCAGAACAATCCTCCTCCACTGTCTCCCGCATGCAACCAGACGGCAGCACCAAACAGGTTTGGGACATTCAGCCAACTGGAGCATCAAAGTTTGATGAGCAGGATATAATGCATCAATTCTGGCGACCCAACCTTTACTGACATTGTAATTGATCTGGTTTACTCGGGTTCCTGGCCCTTCCACTTGGACCGTAAGCTAGCAACGTCAACGTCGCATTTTTCTGCCTTGGCGACAATGGCCCTCGCCTTCCCCGTTACTGGAGCATCTATCATCATGCCGTCGAGAGTCCAGGCTCCACGGCCTGCTGCGCTGGCCTTTTCATCCGCAATTACGACGCGGATTGCCCACTCCACCTCTTTCTCGCCAGGGGCGAACAGCTTCTGAACCAGCCCAACCTGATTGGGATGTATACATTGCTTTCCATTAAATCCCATCGACTTTCCACCTAGTGACTCTTCTTCTAGCCTCTTCACGCCTTCATCACCTTTGTAGGAGGTGCATACAAGATCAATTGCACTGGGCAAACTGAAGGCTTTCGCAGCAGTTACTATGGCAGATCTTGCGTAAAGAAACTCGGTAAGCGATGGAGTCCTAGTCAGAGACAAATCCAGGGCGAAGTCCTCGGCGGCGAAGATCAAGCCGCTGAGATACGGTGACGCCTTGCAAATTTCCGAAAGATTCATAATTGACCGTGCAGACTCAATCAGAGCGATGATCTTGATGGGGTTTTCCGAATTGATCGTATGTCGCTCAGGCGCAACGTGACGCAAAACATCAGTCACGTAAGTGAGGTCAGCGGCAGAATTAACCTTGGGTACAACAACAGCATCGACACTCGGGAGTGACCCAAGAGAGGTGAGATCGTCCAAGGCGAACCTTGTCTCCACAGCGTTGATTCGAACAGCCAGTTCGGATATGGACGGTGGTCGAGACTTCTGGTTTGAGAGGAACGATCGAAGTTGGTCACGGGCTTGTGACTTTAAGGACGGCGTTACAGAGTCTTCCAGATCATATGTCACGTTGTCGGACTTGAAACTCAGCGACTTAGTGAGCATCTTTTCCGATGAAGAGGGAACTAAGCAAACGTTAGTCGGCGAGATGGTATGGATTTCAAGGGCTGTATTAACCATAGAGGAGCGCTCGGCGGATGATGGAAGAGGACCTGGCCGCCATGATGGATAGCTGCCTATGTATTATGGGAAAAAAGAGGACAGGACTATCAGTGGTATCTTAAGTCTTGTATGGTAGAAAGCTGACTTCAAGCAAGAAAAGCAATTGGCGACGTAGTTAAGATAAACCTGATAAAACAACGGTACCCAATTGCAGCTTCACACCTCTTCCTCGGCCAGCAGGCTGTTGTCACTTTAAAGACAACGCTCGGCAACTCGAGCGACGAGCCGTTGAGCCAAGTCGGCTATTTGGGTGACATGAGCTTGGGGCGGCCGTTTGATGATGTAATACGGCATGGTGTCGTTTCTGCCGTTTCCGACCGCTGTCGAACCAACGACAATTTGGCTTGTGCAGCTAGGTATCTCCCTAGCGGAATAACTGAGCCTCCACGCGCCGAACAGCTTACCGTAGCTTCAACGTGTGGGACACCTAGCGACAGTTAGTTAGTCAACGCCTGCAGCCTGCGCATTACGACAGCTGTACCGTGTTGGTTTCTGGAGAGTAGGCATCCCTCTCGTCCTCCCCGTTCGCAACAGAACAACACCCGATTAACAAGGCTACGATATGCACACGACAGTAACGAAGCCGAATATCTGATCGCGCTCAATCAGCCAATTACCAGTTTCACCGAAAGTCGAATCAGCAATTCGCATCGGCGAGGAAGCTCTCCCGCAATGGACTTCTCAAACCAGCAGCAGCAGCAAGATGCCCCCGGCTCCCTGAGCTGGCGGCTGAGCTCACACCCCATCACTCTCTTAACTTTTCTTACGTTTCGGATATGTAAGTTGCTCTGAATCTTGCGATACCATCTGAATGGAAGTAACCGGAGCTGACAATGACCCTGTATAGCAAGCGTTCTGGTATACTTCCTTGGTCTGTGGATCATCAAGAGCATGTACGTCGCATTTGCCCTCTCCCTCGATCGAAGCCCCCGAACCGACATTCGAGCGCCCACCCTTCCAAAACGATCCATTCATGTCACTTATTCAATGCATATGCCCGCAACCCAACCATTCGCTCCCTCCGATTCCGTCGCATAAGCTTGGTCCATCCCGTTCGTAGCTAACACCCCTGACCGCAGGATCATGATCTTCATCATCACCATTCTCCTCCTTGCCGCCGACTTTTACTACCTCAAGAACATTGCTGGCCGTCGGCTCGTGGGACTGCGTTGGTGGAACGAGGTAGACCCCCAGACCGGTGACTCGCAGTGGGTGTTTGAGAGCAGTGAACCCGGCACCAAGACTATCAACCCGACAGACAGCCGCTTTTTCTGGCTCGCGCTCTACGTTCAACCCATTCTCTGGGTTCTACTCGCCATATTCGCGCTCGTGAGGTTGCAGTTCTTGTGGCTGCCGCTCGTTGGTGAGTATTAACCACTTCCAGTCTGGCCCTCCTCTCAAGGACACACAGACACCGGGGTTTTCAGTTGAAATTCTATTGACACTTTATGTTCCTTCAGTTATCGCGCTCGTGTTGACCATTATGAACGCCATGGCCTTCTCGAGATGCGACAAATTTAGTCACGCGTCCAACATGGCCGGGAGCGCCCTCTACTCTGGCGGCCTGGCAGGAACCATCGCAACTAACATGGTCGGCCGTTTTTTCAACCGTGGCTAAGGATCTATGCGGGCGTGCTCCTCAAATGAGCTGCGTTGGCAACAGAAAAGGCGCCGAGAGATTGCTCCATGTTAGAACAAAGGGCCTTGCTGAGGAAGGACATTGGCATGGGTGAGGCCGGGAGGTAAAGAAAGGAGACGAGACAAGTGAAGTCTGTCAACCCGTCGGCGCCGCGAGGCCGGACGTAACGGGCGACCTTTTGATATGCTATACCCCCACTTGTACATTAGACATGTAAGCATGACCCGAAGTTTAAATAATTGTTTCTTTTTATCACCTGTGTACAGATGATGAATATCGTGGAAATCTTCCTGATCTTGATCGAGCATGTACATGTCTTGCCAGTCGATTAAAAAGCTACCGAAACCACGTGGTGGGAGCACTAATATATACACTGAGCCTTGTGCTTGTGAGGGGGGTAGACGCATGGGAAAACACTCGGCTAGAGACCACCGTCAGTCACATTTTGCTTTGAATTCAATTGAGTTCTCCCGCAAGAAGCACCACATCTACCTACTGCCCTCGAATGTCATTCCACCATTTCAACACAAATTGCAAAAATCCATCCTCAAAATGCGGAACGGGTATTGGTATCCCTCCCCTGGGGAACTCGCAGTTCATGCGCCGTTATCGAACCAAATGAGTGGTACGGTGACGTTTGTCAACAATTATCCCCCAAAACGCCGTCCATCCACAGAAAATTAATATGTAGCAAAACGTCGTACTAAAATGTTACTTTGGTCAAAATTATACCACGAGAACTTTGTCTCTTGAAGACTATCGAAGTCTGTACAACTACCGGCGCTGCCCCTGGCCTTGGCCAGCCTGCTCAATTGCTGCATCCAGCGCCCGCTCTTCCTCTTCCAGCCGGCGGATCTCATCCTCAGTCATGCCATCTTCGATAAGATGTGAGACATTGGAATTCAAGTTGGGGTTTGATGAGCGAGGTCCATCTCGGTCAAGATTCTCTACTGAACGCGAGGCATTAGGCGTGTGGTCTTGTTCGGCGTAAGAAACAAAGGCATGGCCCTCGGTAGGGCTGGCAGTCGAGACAGGGAGATCCATTTCCTGACCGTGTATGTTAAGGTGTCGTTGCTGCTGGCCGTCGTCCGAGTACGGAGAGTGCGGTGACTCAGTCACACGAGCATGCGTCTCCTTGTCGCCAATGTATTCAAGTGGACTATTTCCAGAGTCGTAAGTGCCGTCTGGAGAATGGGCAGCTCGCCGGCGACGGCGGAGGAAGAACCAAATCAGGCCACCAAAAATGGCGACGCCAAGCAGTACACCAATAACGATACCGACAATGGCGGGAGTCCCAAGGCCGCCGTTACGGGAGGCTGACCCGCTTGCAGGTATCGAAACGGCCCCTGTTGCTCCAACAGTAGGCCCAGTAGAAGTCGCACCAGTCGACGTCGATATCGCATCACCGGGTGAGCTTGGGCCCCCTGCCGAATTCATGTCGATGTCGGAACTCTCGTTTGGCTTCGATCCAATTTTGTTAATCGTCTGATTCCACTCAGCCGACTCGATTTCGCTATCAGTGATTGTGAATAAACCACTGCTAGTGAAACCTGAGCGATCGTCCAGGTTCCAGGTGAAAACGATGCGCATATCTTTACCGTCCCATTCTGTCTTCTTCCCGCCGATAGACGCGATCCGTTTCGAAGGGATCATGAGCCGGAAGTTGGAGGCAAAGAACACTGTGAAAAGGGAAGATTAGCAGCAGATAAATGGAAGACGGCCAAGGGCCTAAGCAATGTACTACGCTAAATTGACCACGAACTGTGTAAATGGGAAGCTCACTCTTTTGTTCTAATAATTCACCAGAAAGGAAAAGGTTTGTTCCACTCGGACGCAACTCCGTGAGGTTGTATGGGTCATATTTCGCGAAACTAATTGTTCGATTCATCATGCCTTCGTCGACGCATTCCCAGACGGCACTCAAGGAACTGATCCTATCGATACTACTGGTACTGGTCCAATTAAACTGCACCCATCGGGCTATGGCCGGGAAGACGCGGTCTTTGTAATCACCCCTGGGATTATATGCTACCGCCGGCTGAATTTTGATATCAAATGTTGACATGTTTGTAGTGGATGGCTCTGAGTCTTTCGATTCTTGGGCGGACGTTGGCGTTGACGACCCAATTGGGCCGAACCCAATGTTGTTATTGTCTGCCAAACGGTTGTTGGTCTCTTCTTCTTCAAACAGACCCCGCGAGGAACCCATTGTTGCAAGTGTTGATATTGCAATATTGATTGACGTCTCCCATTTAATGGTGTCCGTTAGCTAGAGGCGACGCACGTCGTCGAGTCGATCTCGTTGGGTGGAGCCGACTATCACACACTCTCGTATAAGTCGGTAGTTTCACGTTCGCCCGTATACCAATCCAGTCGAGAAAAACCTCGAATTCGGTCGTTGACCCCAATGTTAGTGATAATGACTGTGAAAGTGAAGATTTCGAGAGAAAGAAGTTTGAGGAGAAGAATGGTAAGAAGGAAGGCAGACTACGGGTTGGAGGATGCAATTAGGTAGAAAGAAAGCGCCTCTACATCTGGTGTAAGACGGCAGGGGAAAGGGATGGGTAAGAGAGCCAGGGGGAGGGGTGAGAAGTCACAGGAAAAGAAGAGGCAGACCGGGGCAAATTTGGCCCCTCAGAGTCCAACACTGGGCTTCGCTTTTGTTAGTAAGGTCGGAAAATGGGTTTGCTGACGGGGTGCCCTGCTGCGCTCCCACGAGACGTTCAGCTGGAGACGCTCGGCTAGTAGTCTTTCTCTTCGAATCGGATCTGCACTCCACCAGCTGCAGCAAGCCACGCGCCAAGGCTGCGCCGCGGACTGAAATGTGGGAGGTGAAGGATCCGCCATCTCCAGGCCAGGGTAGCAATTCTCCCTCCTGCACCTTCTCATTATTGTGTGAGGCACTGTCGAATCCCCTGGTGCAGCACTAGCCTTCGCCAGCTTCGCAAGACGGTCACTGAGCTGATGTTTCTCTGGTTTCTTGGGGACAATGGCCACCTTGACAAAAACGCACCAACACATGCCCAAATAACACCTGGCAGTCAGCAGCCAGATTTCGGTAGTTTGAGAGCCCCAGCAAGGCAGAATTCAGGACCCAACAATTGACGATGATGAGAAGCATGAACAAGCAGCTTGAGTAGCTTTCACACCTGTACACGGGCGACATCTATTGATACAGGCGCTGTTCCCGGCTCAAAATGGTAGCCTAGGGCCTTGGCCGAGTATTGCCTTGCTTGGAGGAGCACTGCAAACGAAAATAAGCTGCCTGTTCCTTTGACGAAGTCCCTCACCTTGCCGTCCATCCCATACCAGGGTTGTGAATCACAGGGACCCTCACAACCGTCCTTTCCGTCATTAACCGTCTGCTCTCTGCTACTCTCCCTTGAAAAGGGTAGCCTAACGCTTATGTTTTTCATTCAAGATCAAGGATCATGGTGTTGGGATCGACAGACATAAATCATTGCACTGTCCTGGGTCTCACACACACACACACACACACACATTGCTTCGCCACGAATGTGTTTTGGTCACATTCTTCTTCACGTTGGAGGCAATCCAGTAGTTAACAACAGGACTTGGAACCATGAGACACACAAATCATCTTAATCCCCATAATCCAACGAAGGACATGGAGAGCGGCAGCTTGAGACAGACAGACACTGGGAGGAATGGGAACAGCGAGTCCAAGAGTGGCTCAATGCGTTCAAAATTATACGTACAAAGAAAATTGACTGGCAAGCGTGTACTACATAAGGCTGGACAAAAGTGGGCCGGAATACTGCCGTTCTAGCGCGAATTCAGCTCAGACCCACCCGTCAGCAACAAACCAGCCAATACATCGCAGTACAGCTGATGCTATTAATTGAACTCTCGACATAGGGGATCATCCTCCCCTGCAGAGATGAGCACTCTCAGTGCGAGCGAGCAGAGTGGTTGTAGCCAAGTAAGAGGTAGGAGAAGAGGACCGTCCTCTACCGCCAACGGTCTAGCGTCGCAGAGCTAGCGCCGCTGCGGCTGATGTTGGCGCTGCACTAGCATGGGACATCGCCCACCTCACCACCTACTCCAATGTATGTCACTCTCTTTCCACTTGCTTGGGGCTTGGTTATCTGCTCAGCTCGAGGGCCGAAACCAGCGATTAACACACGGTTCTATTGTAGGCTTTACTGAACAGAAAGATGGCCTATCAAAGGGTAAGGAAAACAATAACAATAAGAACAACAACAACAACAACAACAACAACAACAACAACAACAGCAGCAGCAGCCCCCGTCCTTCCAAAAGCACCATTGCCAAAGGAAGAGAGTTACTTGGACGGCAACACACTGACCGATTTAGAGACCAGCCTTGTCGCCAGGCTGTCTCTCATTCCCGACTCCCTTGCACGCGCAGAATAGTTCGTCCCTATCTGAGCAGTGCACAGCCATGAACAGCTGTACTAACCTGCCGTCGCACAAATCCTGCTTCAGCAGATGAACCTCAGGAAATGGGCTTCCGTCAGCCTGATAATTTCATCAACGCAGCGCAGCAACATCTTTCAAACAAGCATAGCCTTTTTTGACCAATCTGCAGCCCACCCCTGAGTCCCGTCCATTGCATCCCCCTTCTTTTTCGATACCTGCCCGCCCATCAATCGGCGGATCCCACCCTCCATGACAACCCCGGCCGGCTTTGAAGTCTGCCTGATCCAATGCAACACAACCATGTCATCCTTATGGGGGCTGTACCAACAACATGACCCCCCACTCGCCCGGGCGAGTCGCTTACTTTCCTGCAAAATGCCTTCCTTCGGCGCGCGTCTAGCTCCCTGTATATGCAAACGTCGGTCTACTTCTGTCGTGGCTACTCCCGACCAATGAGCCCGCCACGCCCCGAGAAGGCTTTTTGGTATTCTTCTCTCCCCGAGTCCCCGAAAGTCCCTTTCCTACAATTGTACGGTTTCACATGCTGACCAACAGTGACAAAACCACCCTGTATCCCTTCCCCTGCAGACTGCAGATAGAAACAAAAAAAAATAGAATGTCCCTTCCAACAACACAACGATGAGACTAGGATAAAACACCATTCAAAGATGTCCAAATCGCAAGGACAAGGCTCCTGTCTTTCCAGAATTTAAGTCTGTTGGCCAGTCATTCCATGAACCATGGTAGAACACAGTCAACCCTCAGTGATCAACTGTTACAAGCGCCCAAAGAGGCCTACAACTCGTGCAACTTGTAAATTCGCACTTTGATTCGCTCCGAAGAGAACAAAGTCTCCGCGCCTTATGCTATTAATCTGCATTGTGCAGATGAAATTATCTACGCGAAAGCTCTACAGTTTGTAGTTTAACCCAACGCTGGATCCTAAAAATAACCCCCCAGTCGTACAATAACAACAAACGCCCGTCGGACAACTACCTGCATTATCATGTGTGTTGCCCATCTGCCAAAGTCATACGCCATGTCGAGGGGCACTATCCCACTCGCCCTGGAACTTTAAAGCCAGTTGGGGCGGGGTTTGGCCGCCTCGCTATGCAAAAGTCATGGAAATCTCCTTCTCTTTGCCAAAATCATCATCATCAGCATCAGCCCAAGGATTGCTTGCAACATTGGGCGCGGTTTGTGCCGTCTTCATCTCCGGCCGAGTTGTTGGCACATATATATCGTCTTTCGGCGGAGGTCGCGGCGCCGGCGTGTCATGGAACGAGGTGTCAAACGTCATTTGAATATCCTCTGGCGGCGACGGCGCTGCGTGATAAGGCGACGCTGCTCTATGCGTTGCCGGGAAGGTCTGGCTCGAGTGGAAAGTCGGCGTTCGCTCCGGGGTGTAACCGTACGAACCCGATGTCTCGTACGACGCCCGGCCAGGCACCGCGAATGCGCTCTTCGTCTCTCGTAGGTTGTCCCGGGGGTTCAAGGACGAGCTCGAAGAGTTCAGATCGAGCTTCATTGGCGGGAGAGTGGATTGAAGTTCTTTCACTTGAAAGTCTGCCGGATCCTCCGCTGGCTTGTTCTTTTCCTTGGCCACCTCGGCTCGAATAGCTTCAACATCAAACAGAACACCATGGTTGTTGCCCTCTTTGTCTTCTGTTCTCGAGACGGGCTTGCTTTCCTTTGACGAGTCCTCGTAGATTTCCCACTTCTCCTTGTCAGTCTTCTTACCCCGCCCAAAGATAGAGAATCTGCTCTTCTTTTTCTGTCCTTCCCTTTCGAGCTCCTTCCGTGCCTCTTCAATCTCGTTGATGAGCTCACGCTGGCGCTCCTGGTGGTTATCTGGGTCTGGGTCCTCAATCTCACTAAATTCGTCGCTTTCCACAAGCCAGCCGCACTCCCGAAGAAGACGAGGCATGGCCTTTCTGTAATCCATGTGGCCCTTGACAACCTCCGAAACGTCAAAGTTTTCCACGAACGGTGCTTCCTCAATCTTGGCCAAGCCAGCCACTCTTCGAGGGCCACCGCTGGTCAATCTAAACAAGTAAGCAAGAATCCAATCGTTGGTGCTGTACCCATTGACGAATCGCCCGGGAACAACGGTTCGCGCCTGCAACCATTCGTCTTTCTTGACGATAAGGGGTGATCCAAAGAGGTAGACGTTTTGTACCAGGCCATATGCCCCCTTTCTGGCCAACTCTAACAAGCAAGAGAAGATGACTCGCGCTCCAAGCGAGTATCCAACAAGTGTGATGGGCCGGGTGCCAAGGTTTCTATCAATCAGCGAGTCTGCCAGAATCAGACCAGCTGCCCAAGCTCTATCCTGTGAGACACTCCATGGGTTGTCAATGAAGTACGATAGCTTTGTCAATACGACAGGCAAGGTCAAAGCAGCCATCAAACTTGTGAGGATAGTGCTTCCCAAGACTTGCTGAAGACCTTGTGTGAGGGCCTAGTATATGTTAGTATTGCACTGCACAGTTTGGTGGTGACGGGGTCAACTGACCTCTGTAGCAAGAATGTTGATGGTGTCACCCATACTCCTGAGCATTTCTGGTTCCCAGAAAACCGAGTAAAGGTCGCCCATAATGGGATCCACCGTGCTGAATGGCAATCGCACGTCGTCCACCTTGCCAGTCATCCATCCGGCCACAGTCACAACCAAGTGTACGCGCTTGTTGTTGTGTAAGGGTCGGTACTCAAACGTCTTGACAGCACCCGTTCGCCGATTGGCGGCTCGGACGCCAATGACACTACCAGACGCTGCGGCACTCGATGTGATAATAGCTGCTCCGCCAACACCGCCGAGAAAAGTGCCCGTTCCTGTTACTCCAATGGTGGTGAAACCGGCTGCCAGGCCAGCGCCGATCACAGGAGCAAGCAGACCAGCGGACAAGCCAATGACTAAACCGCCACCGACTGTAGCCAAGCCCATCATTACATATCTTTTTCGGAGTGCTTGCTTCCTCCTATGTTCCATATGCTCGTCCTCGTTCCAGTTCTCTTTCTCGGCAGCCTGTTGCATTTCCAAGGCGTCCGTTACCTTCTTCTCAAATTTGCGCACGTCCAACCAGTCAATTTGCAGGCTCTTGCCGACTCGTTCTAGCAGAATTCTGGAGCGGCAGTCGTAGACGGAGTCTGCGATAAGAATAAGAAATAGATCACATAACACTGTCCATCTTAGGTCGATATCGATACTTTCTGCTGTGGATAGCTGCGACGGTGTCTTAACGGGAGGCAACTCTTCGCCTTGTTGAACATCATATGGCGGCGGCGCTTCGGCTGCTTTTTCATCATCCGTCAGGGCTGGTGAAGGGGGCGGCAGCGTTCGAGGCGACGTTGTCTGGGGTGACGAAACAGACAGCGAGTTGCGCGTTTCCTCTGCCATCGGATTTTTCACCCTTGCGTTGGCCATCAAAAGAGGAGTCAAATCGGATGGCATAACGCCGTGGTCGCTTAGCTGCTCAACCATCATTTGCTCCTGGGAGCTGATGTCCATGTGAGTATAAAGCCGAATCATCATCTTCTGTCCCCACATCTTCGTCGCTTCTGCAGCCATGGTGACCTCTTTCTTTGCTCTCCTGGTTTGCTCGAGGTTCTCAGCCTCCTTGACCAAATTGTGTATCTCCAGCCGGGTGAGTCCGACATACGCAACCCTCTGACCTTCAGTAAGGAGGTCCTTGGTTGCCTGCATCTGAGAAACAGCATCACGCGTTTCAGTATCGTCCTCGGTCATGCTTGTGCCTTTCACTTCCGTAAAAAGGTACTGCGTGTTTTCGTCCATGCTGGTCGCCGATTCCGCGTCGTCGTCCATGATTACTCGAGTGTACCCCTTACCTGCACCTCCCAGCCCGCCGTAGCCGTACGTATCCTCCATCTCTTCGGTGAATTCCTTTGCGACCAGCCTGTTGTCTTCATCGTAGATATCATATGGCGCGTATGCAGGCATTTCTTGCCAGTCGCCATCATCATCTTTCTTCGTCTCTTCCACATTTGACGTAAGCTGCTGATGTGAGAATTCAGAGACGACTGCATTGCTAGCGGTGCTTGTATCTCTGGTGTGAGTGCCTCCCGTATGAGCTTTCCCTGCTGCCTTCGGATCGGGCTGGTCTGCCTTGTCAACAAGTTTGACTGGTGACTGGGGTCGCTCTTCTTTTGACTGAACGCCGTTTGTCGCATGTGGTTCGTTTGATTTATCCTTGTTCGGCTCACCGTTAACTGTAACGGCCTTGTTTTTGGTTTCGTCCTTGTCTACGGCTGATGGCGCTACTTTGTCCGCGCTCGAGGTTACTAACGTCGCAGACTTTTCTTCGTCAGACTTGACAGAGGACGTCTCCTGGTGTGACTCTCCCGTAACTTCCTTGGTGACCTTGTTGTTTGTCGCTCCAACGCTGTCCTTGACACTGTCTTTATCCGAGCACCCGTCTTTTGTGTCTTTGGTGTCATCCTTGATCGCTTCTTTGTCCAACTTCGACATCACAGGGGTTAACGGGGTGCTCGAGTTATCGCCAGGAGTAGCGGCTGTGACGGGCTGCTCAGATTGCGCGTCCCTGAACTCGTCATCATCACTGTCCGACTCCGCGTTCTTGCCGTTTATCTTGTCGTCTCCAGAAGTGCCCGTCTTTGGAGGAACAGCGTCGCTAGCAACCTCGTTTTCGTGTTTTGACTGTTCAGAATCACGGTGATTCGGTTCGGGTTGAGCATCGATCGGCTCTTCGGTATCTTCAGGCGGCGGTGGTACATATCGCCTAATGGGCAAGCCGAAATCATCAAACTCGGGTTTGTCGTTTATCGTAGATGCAATGGAGGGCTGGTGTTGTGTGGTTGCATCCGACACAGGAGAGCCATTTGGCTTCTGGGCAGCCTCCTTGGCGGCGGCGGCAGTCGCGGTGACAGCGGGAATCGTTGATGAGGGGTTATTAGTGGTGGCAGACCCATCTGAGCCCGCCATGGTGAAAGGATGTGTGGTCCTTTAGAATAGCATGCGACCTGTGTCGAAGAGCTAGAATGGCACAGCCAAGTCAAGGGGGGCGGCTCTTAATTTTTATGTTTTGGGTGTTGAGAAAGCGAATTGGCCAGGTTGGGGGGCGTTTGGCGGGCAAGGTTCCGTATAGAATGACGCGCAATAAGCCAGTGGTGCGAAGCTGACTATTACTCCTTAGTGGTCCGCGATTATGGTTAGTAGGCCCTCCTGCGAGATGTACTGCTGCAAATACGGCGATGCGCGCGCCCAACAGGGTGCCTTTTCGATTCTTTTGCTCTGGGGGAGAAACGAGAATCGGGGTGGCTATTGGGCTTTCTGACTCTGCATCTAGTGTTCAGCAGGAGAGGCTGTCCAACGCCCACGTGTGAGTGTTTTTTTCTTCTCGTTTGGATGGGTGGTCCTTTGAGGGGCGCGGGCCGGGCGGCTTGAAAGGGATGATGAAAGTCGTTAGCGAAACTGACCCTAGAGAGAGATCAAATTCCCCCATGATGCTCCGTTACGGTGGCATTCCAGTGGTCCAGTGGTCCAGTGGTCCAGTGGGGCCGCCGACGCAGCCAACGCATGAGAGTTGAGAATGTAGTCTTTGCTACTAGAGAAAAGTGGGACCCAATCAACCGACTGTGACGCCTACCTGCACCGCCTTCTCCTGTCATCAGAGGATTTTGCCAACTGCTTGTCAGCCCCATCTGCCATACCGCCAACACACCACGACAGTGATCGTTTCAATGATCCAGAGCTCTGACCGCTGACCAGCCCTGCCGCCCTCCAGGTGGTTGACATCCCTTGTCCACTGACGACATCACCTGACTTTCAACATGGGCAGTCCTGGCCAACTGCGAGCCTTTCAAGGCGTATTTGGCTTTGGCTCTTCTAGACTTACCCTTTTGAGTGAATGGCAGTGTCGAGCTGTGATGGTGGAATGAAGTTTGACTTTGAGTGATGTCAGGAGTAATGATCCAATAATATGAGAGCCTTTCATTAGTTTAGAAAAAGACTCGACCATCTGAAAAGCAGAAAAGGCAAACCATTAGAAGGTCTGAGAACAAATCGGTCTATGCAATGAAGGGAGCATGGTAAGGCACTTGGCTGCAGGCAACTCGAATACCAAGCTTTGATAGCAGGAATTTCCCATTAATTGGTATCTCAGAACTTTTATTGTACCTACATTCCAAGCAAAGTCCCCGAACGCCCCTCGTAATGCACACCGATTCTCTACGGGCTTCCAGCCAACTGTTCTGCTGACCCTTCGCCTTGAGGCGCTGATGCGTTCGTAACACCATTAGCATCGGTAGTAGCTCTGTGTCTCCTCTTGCGCTTCTTCTTCGTAGATGCTTCTCCATCGCCTCCTGCTGCTGTCGTCGCAGGTTTCGTTTCAGTTTTCGACTTCTGCTCTCCTTCAGTGGCCTTCTTCGCCTTCTTAACGGCCAAAGGGTTAGGTCCCTTGGGCCCCCTCTTCTTGGCCTTCTTCTTCTCGGGGCTTCCGTTGGCCGATGCCGCCTCGCCCGCTCCGCCATCACCGCCCTCCTCATCGTTATCCTCCCGCTTTCTCTTCTTTTCGGGCTTCACTAGTCCGTCGCGAAATTTGCTCTTCTCTTCCTTGGCCCTAATTTCCAGACTTTCCGTTGCCATGGGCTCGAGAATCATGACTGAGCGTTTGATATAGATCTGGGGAACGCCGGGGATCTCGCGGAGCATGCGGCGAACGTCGGACGACTGGCTGGCGACGCAGTAGCGATGCTTGTTAACCAGGTTGCCCTTGGGGTCAACAACAACCTTCAAGCAATCCATCGTGCTAAGAGGCTCGGGGTACTCCTCCGGAAGATGACCACATCGTCGGCGTTCGAGCGTCTTGGCGAAGTCGATGATTTTGTTCATCTCCGGTTCGTTCTTGCGAAGGTAGAGCTTGCGAATCTCGCATTGTGTAATCACTTTGGCCGTCCAGTCAGCAATAGAGACAAGAGAAGTCATAGGATGTCAACTCACTAGGCTTAACCTTGCCGTGCAGTGTGCGTTCTAGTCCGGCAAGCAGGTCGTACTTGAACTTGTGGCAATCCACTACCATCTCAGCATCAACGAGGCATTGGTAGGGTTCGCGAAAGCCCCAGGACAATGAGTACTGGTTCATCAACTTGCGATACTGCTTGCTACGTTTTCCGCGCATGTTGAAATCGGGCGGCTAGGTGGTGCCGTGTTGTACTTTGAGAGTTGGTTGTGGATAAGTTTGGTGAGGTACAACGTTCCGACAGTGTCTGAGTTCCCAGTCGCGAAATTTTGAAAAAGTTGCGATAAGATAAGAGGTCGGACCCATAAACGCCGACTTTACCCCACCACCCACTCCTGGCGGCGTAAGGACATGCCGATGGACATGCTAATCACAAAGTCACTAGGAAAACTGTCGTGAAGGATACCTTATTTTTACGAACTTTGTATCATTTGTTGATGATATCCATCAGACTCTACTAAACTCAAAAGCCCGATAAACGCCGAATTTCCCCATAATGGCCGCTGTCATCCGAACCTTGGACAGGGCAAATGCCAAATTATTGTAAATTTGCCGTTGCGAAGCGTTTCCTATGCAGCTCTATTCCCCGTGATGATCGTTTCGTAGTGGCGTCCTTGCTCTCATGCCTCATGTCTCCTAACGAGCGCAGCGACAACGCTGATGTCGTCAAGTTTACCTGGGATTGTCAGTTGAAAGTTCAGCGCAAAGAAATTCGAGGGCACAACTTACCTCCCTCACTGGCAAGGCCCTCCTCAATCGCGTGCTCCATAAAGGGGCTCTCAGCAAAGGGATCGGTCGCAATCTTCTTTGCTGCAGCCACCAACTCTTCAGCAGCGAACGTCATGCCTCCGTTGGCGCCGCCCGTGCGGTCGCCTTCAACTCGGTCTCCTCCCCCTTCCCCGTTCTCCCACCGCTGTATGCTATTCTGAATGCTATCAATGATCTCGTGCTCCCATAAGTTATCAATGACACCGTCCGACATTGCAAGTACCACATCCCCTTCCTGGATCTCCACAATGTCCATGACCGCGTTCTTTTCCGGCGTATCTGGACTGTTTGTTCCAAGTTGACGCGGGCAGTCGAACCAGTGCCACTGCTCCTTCGTCTTGTAAACCATCTTCTCGTGCCTGGGCCGGAGAATCATGACTTGACAGTCACCCAGATTGGTTACATAGACCTGAGGTACCTGTTTACTGTCCTCTAAAGTCTTGTAGTGTAGTTGAGCCCCGCTAGCTGTTGTCGTTCCTTGCCAGTCGTTCGGCTCCGATGTCGCTTTCAGCGTCTGCTCGTATGCCGTCTGAAGATATGCTACCGGATTAGGCTTGTAAGGCTCCCCTTCCGAACGAGGGTTTGCGGCATCCTGCTGTATCGCCGTCGCCCAATAGTGAAGGATCAGGCGTGACCACAAACTGAGCTGGAATTAGCTTTTGTATCATCATAGGGAGACTGAACGCCTACCCGGCATGCCCCCTCGGGCGTGTAGACCATGCGCCAACTCCATCATTTGCACAAATAAAGTTGTCGCTCGCGAAAACTGCATCGTCCCCGTTTGTTTGTCCGAGAATGATCTCTCCGTTGACTCTCGCGCGCCGGTCGCGACTCCGGTGGTGGGTGCTGAGCGGATCGGAGAAGGAACCGGACGGAGGAGAAAGGAACGGCGGCGGGAAAGGCCGCGGAGCTCGTTTCGCGAAAAGCGACACGCCGGTCTCGAAGCGAAACGGGTGCGAGGGTGGTGTTTGGTGATGTGCTTCCTCCAGGCGCGGTGTCGTCGTTGATAGAGACCGGAGGTAGGTCTTAACGAGGGACGAAGGCGGCCATGGTGAGCTTCGAGGGTTTCGAGGCACTCCAGGCGGCCGCGCTGTGAAGATTGTAGTCGCCGACAAGGGCCCAGGTAGCCTCCTCATTCCCACTATGAGGCAGATCAGGCGCCTTTTGCGATGTTGGATCGCAACTGTCGCGAATGGTTGGGCCTGGTGCCGTTATCTTTGGCGCTGGAAAGGTGCCGCTGAGTGCTGGGCATGGCCGGGGGTTTGCGTTGGTTGGGGTCTCCGAACAGGGGGTTAAATTGGGTGTACACGTGCAGGCGCGTTTGGTTGGCGCTTTGGCACCGGGCTGCAGCGATGCAACTGGAGCTCCAGCAGTCCGGATACGTACAAATTAGCTAATCCAGGATCTTGGAGCACAGAACTCAACCAAAAGAAGAAGAAAAAAAGTACTTTTTAGGCCGTGAAAGCTCCTGCGGCTGGACCCCATCCAGATGGAATTTTGCCGAATCTTCAGCCCAACAGTTCTTTCCGACGTCTTGGTGACAAAAAGCGGTTGAGCTACATTTAGTCTCATTATAGGCAGTCGGTTCCCTGGAACTTCCTTGTCCTCCATGTACACCGCACCGTGAAGAACATGGTCTTTGCCAGCGTTGCGCGCCCCGAAACAATAGTACAAATTTTTTGTTGACGAGAAATTTGTGACAAAAAACTCTTCAATCAAGCGGGTTTGTCGACGGGACCGATGCGTGGCAACCAATGTAACCAACTGCAGGAATCGTCATCTTATTTACCAAGACCGAATATGCCGATCTGGCGATTCCTTTTCTCCTTCTCCCTTGCTGTCCGTCTCCTCTTCTTCCCTCTTGTCTCCATCGGAATTTCGGTGTTTCCGCTCTAGTAGGTTCTTCCACTTCGGAAATGATCTTTCACATCCGTGAAACCCTAAGGCAGATACACACTTCCAACTATATACTGGCAAACGCAAAACTAGGCTACAGCTGTACAGTATAGTATTCCAAGCGATCGTCTATCGCGATCGACAAAGCCTGGGCCGTCTGGGCCGGTTGAGCTGGCCGCCGCACTTCTGCAGCCGTAGAGGATGCAACAAAGTTAAAATAAACACCAAAACTGCTAGCAACTGGCTTGTTCTCGTGCAATATGTCCTCGCACTGATTGTACTTATAAAACAGCCAGGTGCAGCTGCCATGTCACCTACTAGAGTAAGAATCAATGACCAACACCAGCTCATATGGTAACAGCCTACCAACTTGAGATTCAGACCTGTGCCGCCAGAAGAAGAAACAAAATACCACAACGGGATGCGAGGAAGTGAGGCTGGAGGTGAAACCCAGACATTCGGCTTACGCTGATCTTTTTCTAACAATAAATGCCGGCAGCACGAACTTCAAGGTATCCATCCTGCTTTCTGACGAACCGTCTGGGTTTGGGTCGCTTCCTGATCCTTTTGCCTTGTTTACTCAAAGTCAAGTAATGATGTGATGATTCATGTACATAGGTGGCCAGTACAGTTAATGCAGATCATTGCCAGCCATTTCAAGCCTCGATCTTAGACAGTTCAGGTTATGCGGGCCGACACGTTGGTTCCTGCCTCTCCGTAAATGGGCTGTGGCAAACCTAACGCCAGCTCAGCAGACAAGGGTATTGAGAGTTACCGTCCATCGATATGACGTAAGGGGAGGCTGACACTTGAGGTTGACTGACGGGCAAGTGAACGCCCAGAATCATGCTGACCGTTCTCGCCGTTGGCAAAATCCCACAGAGTTGTTTGCTTTTTTCTTTCCCCCACTTGGAGAAAATGCTGTTCGCGGACGATGAACGCGCGTCGATCATGAGCTGACAAGCGACGGGCTACTAGCCCTCTTCGGTAGGCTCAACAGTGTCTCATATGGCTCCTGCAGAACCATTTTCCAGTCATGCGCCTTACATCATCAACCCTCTTTTTCATTTACGTGATTCAGGGTCTTAGAAGAACCCCCTCCACTAGCCTAGCGACATTTTCTCGCTGAAGTCTAGACTACTCACATTGAGAGGAGGAAAAGAAGTACGAACAGCACAGGTTCGCTTAAAATGCTCGTGTCACGAGATATAACCTCGCAATCTCACAATGAATTACATGCTTTCGCTAATTGACAAGTCAAGAGTGAATAGGAGCGGACGGCGTCCTTTTAGAGTGACGGCGCGTAGTTACATCAATCAGCAGACCACGGACGTGACAGCGTCCTAGCTCATCAAGGCCCGGAACGGCATTCAGTGGAGGCTGGGAATTTCGTATCTACGATGCAGCCTCGTTCCTTCGCTCGGCATGCCTTCCGTGTCATGATTGGGTCACCCTTTTGGACCTGATCCTCTCAACGAGGGGGGTTGTCAGGCGGGAGGCGCCTTCATGGAGGTGGTGGAGGACCCCAAAGACCCTGAAGTATTTGTTCTGGATCATGCGTATTGGCAGCCACCCGCTGTTTCCTCACGTCGGGAACAACACATGGCAACATAGTCCGTACGGAGAAGGCCTTTCGGGTTCGATACAAGCAGCGGGTAACTCCTCTCACTCCATAGGTCTTACTAAGTACAGGCCCAACCACCCTCCAGCGCCAGAGGCTTGTTGTAAAAGTAAGGGAGTATTGAGGGCGGGACACCCCTGCTTCCTCTGCATGGAAATGGGGCTAGAGGAGAGGGCAGGTGGTATCGACGCATGCAGGATACAGGTCCGTCATGGACCCTTTAAGTCAATTTCGTTTTTTTTCTGTCTCCTTTGTCCGCTTTTCCTATCCACACTCTCGGATCAGTCGTCTGGCCTCCGCCGCAGCGGCAAACTGGCGGTGGTATTTATTAAAAACCCCCCATCTGATGTTAACCTTGCGGTGTGTAATGCATTGGGCAGTAAAGTATCCCAGCGCTCTTATATCGAAGGAGATTTGTAAATGAAGGGACGAGAGAAGCCGACCACAACGGTTTCAAATCGGACACAAATATCACGGCAGATCTCCTCGGAACTGGCTCTACTGTAAAAACCCGAGAGGTAGTGTTCTCACGGGCGGCAGAGTTCTTCCTACCTCTCCTAAAGAATTGGACGGGGGGAATCTGCGGAGAAAGCAGAAAAAGAGAAGACCGGGGGAGACCGGCGTCAACGGCCCCTCCTCTTTCTTGCCCCAAGCGTTCGGGCCCGCCTGGGAGACCCTGTCGACGTCTGGCGCCAACGTCTGTCTCAATGGAGCAAGCGGGCGTGAGAGGTGGGTATAGGTGAAAGGTCACAAATCATGCCATTGTGTTTCCGGAGAATGCGTGTTATTGGGTTTTGTTTATTCTTTTCTTCTTTTTGGGCAGCGGGTTCGCTGTTTACTTTGATGAAATGGCGTATCAAGTCTTTGGGGGACACAATCCAGACGGTCGTTTATTGGGTGTTGCAGGGCCGCGTGGGACGGAAGGGAGGTATTCTGGCGTTTAACGGGAGAGCTGCAGAGGAGCCTAGAGGGCCAAGTCGGCACTGGCACTGGATTCGCTTTATGGATCCGCGCTACAAATTACAGCCACGTTGTCGTTGGTCCGTGGGCGTTTCGACGAGATGATCGTTAGCCTGTACACGCGTATCCTGCAAAACGTAGAGTAATGTGTGATAAATGGAATGTTGTGTACATCGGGGGGGAGTGCATGGAGACGGCCTTCGTTTAGTCACTCGACCAATTCGGATTATGGATTGGGGGGGTGGGACGGTGACGGTGACCTTGCAGGTGAGAGGGTGTTGAGGTGTCTTGGATTCTGGACTTAGAAACCGGTCATGCAACGGTTGATTGAATGGATTGACTGTCGTGTGCATCCAAGTTAGCAATATCGATGGGTGTAGTCTGACGGAGGAAGGACGGGGAACCCGGGTGGACTGCAGACTTATGGGCTCGCCGATACGACACAAGGCATTTCGACATTAATGCACGTTTCGTTGATCTCGACAACCTTGCAAGCAACTCAGGGACGGGGTTGGAGGCATCAGTGAGTTGAAACAGGAAGCTCAAAGAGCAAGAAAAAATTGCGATGAGTCCTTTAAAACCGCTATCGGTCTCTTTGGGAGGTTTGTAGACCTCTCTAAGAATCAAAACAGCTTCTAAGTTAGCCCACTCTCCCTTGATAATCATATAATGGCCCCCCTTTATCACATCTAGGGCAACTACCTTTGAGGCTCAACTCAACATGACAAGACGGACGGTAAGACAGGCGTCTGTTGCAAAAGGACGTTTTCCGTTGCAAGGAAGGAAACAAATGCAGCTTTTACCGAAACCGAATATCCATCAACCAGATGGACCAACCAATTCATGAAAGGCAAACCCCGATGCCCCGATCGCAAATTCAGTGCACCCAATACTGACATACCCCTCAGGAGGGTGGACAGACGCATCGTCGTCACGCTCTCTTTGCACAGCCACCGGGAGGGTCAATTGGCCAAGAACAGTTAATGGGAGTAGGTCGGGCCTTTTTCTGATTGGACTAGCTCTATGTCTGGGGTCTTTTTAAACTCCCTGTGCATCCATCCATCCGCGGAGGAAGAGGTTGACAACGACGGGATACACGGGAGTTGTGCTGGTCAGAGCAGTAGGTGAGATAGTTTAGATACTCTTGGCGGCCCCAGGAATCTTACCTCGTTGTGGAAAGTGAAAGAAGCGAAGAGGTGCTGCGGCGTCGGCGGCAAAGGGGGAAAACAAGAACTTACAATTACCCAAGGTACCTGAACACTGCGGTTCCCGTTTCTGGGCGGCCTAAATCAGACAGATTCCCTTTCCCCTCTCCCCGCTCTCTCCAGCCTCCAACAAGGTCTGGAACAGGGCGTCAGGTGTACTCTATTTCGTCCCAAGTAACTCCCTCTCCCACAGGCCACGGGGTTTGGCCCAGGGGCAACCGACTTCACTGGTGAGGCGTGTCAGGAGGCGCATCACCCGCACCCTCTTTTCTTATCGCCGCCCTGCAGATGGGCTTGCTGCACATCAGCATGTCATCCAAAGTATCCTGCCGAGTCAAACGATAAAGGATACGAACAATTGGAAACGCGAATGGGCAGACGAGGAATAAGCAGAGCCTCTCAGGAGAGGGCTAAAAGGGAAAAAAAGTTATACTCAAGCAAACATTGCAGCATCACCAACTTAGGTAACCTCCAGCCTGGTGAGGCCGAGGTGTATCTTTTTCCGGTGCGAATCACTACTACCTACTAAATATGTCGTATCCAGGTTCCTAGCCTGCTGCTAGTGAGCTATTTCCTTACTCATTCGTAACCTCCGGAGACCGGATGCTAGTATATTGGAGGAAGCGAGACAGCTAGCTACAGCTCGCCCGACCTCTTTTTTTTTCCCCCTTTCACTATTGGCTTGTAGAACCTCAGCCAGCGATCGCCTCATCCACCCGATCTTTCGAGTCTATGAGGGGCCCAGCGTTGCGCGTCCGTACACCTACCCCTGTCATACTTGTCCAAGAGGGGAGAAGAGGTACCTTGTCTGCACTCAATAAGCTCAACAGCAACTGCGGGCCAGTCCTTTCCCTGTAAGATAGCGCCGGCGAGACGAGAGAGACAGCCCATTTCGTTTGCGCAACCCGAGGCCTCCATCATACAACATCCATTACGCCGTACGTATTCAGTCATTTATCGCCCCCTGACTGGACCCTTAAGGTAGATCGTTTGGTGAGAAACGACTTGCAACGGGGGGGTTCCATAGAAACGAGAGGAAGAGAGAAAATGAGAGGCGCATGTACCTGGGAAGGGGGAGAAACGATCCAGACCTCCCCAAGACTAGGTACGGAGTAGAGCTCCTCTCCAAGCCCGTAGAGCCCGGAAGCTGGCGCGTCTTGGCAGCCAAGGGCTTGGGACCTCCCACCGCAACGACGTCCTAAAGGCGGATAGCAAGGCCCAAGGAACCTTGACGTGCTGCATCTGCAATCTGCATCGTCCGGCTCTTCCGTAAGGTAAGTTATGGCAAAGCGAGCAAGCCATCGGCAAACATCCAGATGGACGCATGTTCCGAGGACGGCCTTTACTTTGTGTTTTTTTTTTTTTTTTCATCTTTTTTTCTTTTCCCACCCCTCGTCTGCTTCGTCCCCCCCTCCTCAGTGGAGGATAATAGTGCTGGATAACAGCACACCCGCCTTAAATGTCCTCATCCCCTTGCAGCTGGGGGGAAAGGAGCGAAATGGTTCAAAGATTGTTCTCGAGGGGGAATGTGGGTAAGGTAGATGGAGAGAGAACGGACAGACAACTGAAAGAGATGAAAAGACAAAGCAGAAAAACAAAGTCAAAAAGTAAAATCCAACGACCATTGGGAAGGCACAAATGCCACTTGTGATTTGATCAAAATCGGCCGCAAACTAAAACTATGTTTCCTCCGGTTAATTTTTAGCCTCGCGCTTGTCAGGGCACTAGCGCCCGTGCAGCGCCGAACGAGACAGAAATCATCAACATCATCATCATCAGCATCATCAGCATCATCACGACGGCTGCCCAGCTAACGCACCGCCCGTCAACCCGAGCGCGGTGTCGAAGGTCAAGAACGCTCCGCATAACGCCATTACGTCGTCGGCTCTTGCCCCGGGGCCCCTGGTCTACCGCTGGCCAGGATACCTCAGCAATTCGTCGCCAGTCACTCTACGTGTGCCGTACCTTCTTCTGGTGGTGCTGTTTCATTGGGCACCTGGTGCCCTGTACTTGGCCCTGCGCCACGGATACTTGATACTTGCCAGACCACTACGGAGTACACACCCACGGTTACTAATGCTGCCGCGACCTTGCTGCAGCAACTAAGGCTCCATCCAGTAGGCCAGAAAAAGCGAAGCAAGGCCTCAGTAAAAAAAAAAAAAAAAAAAAAAAAAAAAAAAAAAGAGTGTGTGGTGCAAGGCAGGCAAGGTATGGTTAAGGCAAGACAAGACAGGTCAAGAAACGGTCAAGGTCATGTCAGGCCAGACCAGGCCAGGTAGGCAGTGTTGCTAGTTAGTTCTCGTTGCATAATACTCCTTGAGGGGGGACGCCTCGTCTTTTTGACACGTCCTCCTACGGCTTCATACATCATCTCTGGAGTCTCTTGCTCTACTTTTTTCCTTTTAGTCCCTTCCTCTTTTCCCTCTTCTCCTCCTTTCCCTGCTCCTAGTTGCTCTGATCCATTTTCTACCTTTAATCCGCATCCTCCACACCCCCGTCGGTCGGTCGCCCTTACCTCACCACCGCCGCCCGCCACACCCGACTATTTGCACTTAATTACTCGATACCCCTACACTGCAACGACGACATTGGGGGGGCCTCGACTCGACATTGACGACGCCCTCGGCCAGCAGCAAAAATCCGTTCCAATGTCCGAAGCCTAATATCCCTCTCGCTTCGTTCCGGACAGCCTCCATTTGTTCACCCTCTTAAATCAACCTAGTACGCGCCGACTTGCTCGCTTTTTCCTCATCTTGATTCCCGTTACCTCACGCCCAGTCGGCACAAACTTCTATTGCGCCGGCCAGGTACCTGTTGCCTCTCGTTATTTTTTTTTAACTACGACAAAAAAAACGTAATCAGAGTAGAGCACGGAAGAGCGCCTCGACGAAATTAACTAGTAGGGTTCCTGAATTCACGAAAGCAACACACGGCTACGGTCCACTACCCCCGTCGTCATCGCCCTATCGTCTCCAAGGTCGCAGTCCCCAGTCGACGTATATTGGATTCTCCATATATCATTCCTCAACTACTTCGTCGCCGAGGACTGTTGTCTAGTCTCGCCTCGCCTCGCCGCGTTCTGCCCGTTATCATCAGACTATTAGGGGCGGGTTGCGCACGGCACGTCCACGTCGCTGTCTCTCACTAATTTGCTTGCATGGTTGTTGGCTTGGCAGACACCGCCAGCCATATTGCGCACGCAAAGCAAAGATGGGCCGTAATCGAGGTACGTGCTTCTACATTCCCAAGCTTTCCCTTGTCTTGTCTTGTGTTGCCTGTCTGTCTTGGTTGTCGCAAGCAACTCTGCGTGAGACGCCCAGGACAGCGGTAACATGCGCCGCTTTGGGTTGTCGTAAGAGGCTGTTCCCGCTAGTTGCTGGCGTGCCTGACGTGCATCACTTATCCTAATATTCCACTTCACTGCGCTCTTATATGCATTCACGCTTTGCTTGCATTCATTTACTTTGCCTACGCATACACACACTTTTATCTAATAAGCAACACCCTGGCCGGACCCTCTTTCCCTCGAGTCTTCGTCAGCCCAGCTCAGCTGGTCCTGGATCATAGACATCCTCGTCGCAAATCCCTATCACATCTTCCCCTAACTCATTTTACCCCGTTCAAGCATCCCTACCCGGCACTGTCCCCGTTCCCCGTTACCACCGTCATTAGTCCCCCCCGTAGTTGGCCCTGTCCTCTCTGCTGAGCGCTGGAGCGCCAGCGACGCCCCCTCCCTCGCTCGCTCCCTCGCAGGCACCCCTCACGTCTTGCCCCCATCCGGCGGTCCTGGCCAATTATTTGGGCGTCAGGCGATAATATTACTTTTTGCCAGCGGATTGCTATTGCTCGTTGGGCGCGCATTATGCTGACCAAATCTGCTTCCGTGGGAACAGTCTTGTCCTTCATGTCCCAGTTTTCTAGCACACCGAGGGACACCAGCAAGAATCAACCAACTCCCAATTCGTCACCTCTCCACGACTCGACGCCTTTTCCTCCGTACAAGACTCAACCTCCACGGACTCAAACAAAAACAGAGCCCTTCCCCGAACCACCTGCCAGCTTCACCCAGCGCCCCGCTACACCTACCTCGCCGACGCGTCCGCCGCACGAATATGCGTCATCAACCGCCAACACCTCAGTAAACGACTCGCCTGTAAATAGCCCCAGAGGCCGTCAACGCAGTTCTTCCCGCCCACTTTCGATGGTAATGCCATATCAGCCGCCCCTCATGGATATCAACGAGGACACTATTCCCGAGCTGCAGCCTATCTTTACTTTTCTTAACAGCCATGCGAATAAGCTGTATCAGGAGGGCTACTTCCTGAAATTAGACGACCAAAACACCCGTATGTTTTATTGTTGTAGCCCCCCCCCTCCTTGTTACCACGCAATGACATTTACGGCTACGCCTGGCAAATCGATTGATTTCCTAACCTGAACATACAGAGGGGAAGCCAAATCCAGACCGCACCTGGACCGAATGTTTTGCCCAGCTTGTCGGTACCGTCCTGTCACTATGGGACGCTGCAGAGCTGGATGCCGCCGGCGAGGACGGCGAAGTCCTTCCTAAATTCATCAATCTGACGGACGCATCAATCAAGATGGTGAGTAAACAGTGGCAAACCTCGGGTCTTCTCCCCCCCTGGGTGTTGCGCCCAGACCCTCTTCCCAATGGCAGTTTGTTGGCAGATGTGACAGGTGGGGGATCGAGTGCTAATTTAATCTCTCTTGGCGAACAGATCGAATCCCTACCAACACGATCGAATGACGAACAGCCGCTGCAGAACATTTTGAGCATCTCAACTGCCGGCAGAAACCGTTATCTACTGCACTTCAACTCCCATCACTCATTAATACAATGGACCGCCGGCATCAGATTAGCCATTTTCGAGCACTCAACTCTTCAAGAAGCCTACACTGGCGCCCTTATTGCTGGAAAGGGAAAATCTCTTAACAACATCAATCTGATTATGGATAGATCCAGATTCAAGACGGAGGAGTGGGTGCGTGTACGATTTGGTGCAGGAGTCCCTTGGCGACGCTGTTGGTGTGTCATTTCACCGCCTGATGAGAAAGAGTACCAGAAGGCCCAAAAAGAGATGAGGAAAAAGTCGCCATACGACCGTTCCACCCCTATACTAAAGGGCGACATCAAGTTTTACGACACGAAGAAGGATGGTAAGAAACAGAAGAAGGCCCGTCCTATTGCCACCATCACCGACGCCTACTCTTCGTATGCCATTTATCCCCAGGCCAAGTCTTTGATCGACGCATCAACCCTGCTCAAAATTGAAGGCAACATCACGATTCACTCTGAGCCACCTTCTTCAACTGAGGGCTTTGTGTTCATTATGCCCGAGACTCACCCTGCAGTGAGCGGCTTCGAGATGCTACTGCGTTTCCTTTTCCCGACCTGGGACACCTTTGCTTTGTATGGTCGTCCTGGCAGACTTGTTGCCAGTGTCCTGGACCCTAGATCTCTTATGTTTGCCATGCCAAAGCACAGGCGATACGGTTATCTTGAAATTCTCGACGTTTCTGGGCTGATTTTGACAGAAGGAAGCTCATCATGGTCAGAGCGTGAATGGAGGAAGCGGTTAAAGGAATTGACTGGTAAGCGGATGAATGCAGTGGATGAAGGAGCAGCAAGCACCCGTCAAAGGAGCGGCAGTAAAAAGAGCAACCGCCTCAGCTTTGGCAATGGCGGCTCGGCAAGCCCTGCTCCATCCAGGCCCAAGGTTGGCTTTGCTGATGATTCCATTTCGAACCGATCATCCCGTTCAATGTCCTTGGGCACACCCAACCGCTCAGAGACGGCACCCGTAACCACTTCGCGGCCGCCTCCTGCACTGGCTGGTGTTGACAAGGTGAACCACGCGCGAAACTCCTCAGACCCCCACTTGCTAGGCCATGCACCTCAGCGCATCGACGACAGAGGCTACGACAGTTCTTACAACAATTCTTACAACAGCTCACCTGCTCGTGGTCCTACCCCTATCAAGGGCATTCTACGTTCTGGCACTCAGAGCTCTGATGAAGATACAGCTCGCAGTACACCTGTGCGGGAAATTGAGAACAACACCCGTATTATGGAATCGCCTGAGCCGGTCGCGGCGCCTCCTGCTTTTAACTACGGACCTCAGTCCAAGCCTGCAGGAAAGCCGTTCCATTCACCCGACCTTCGCAGAGCTACTAGCCGCTTGTCAACCACTACACTGTCGCAGTTGGCCACGGCTGGAGGATTCGCTATTCCGCCAAATGATAGATCTGAGAGTTCTCCTGAGGGGAGAGTTGGAGAGGATGCTGCAGCACCTAACCCTTCGGTACCACCTTATGCCGCCAATCCTGTGGGAGGCACTGCTGACAACCACTTCCCCGGTGAAGCTTTAACCCATAATACCCCCCCTCCATCGGACTCGCTACCGCCCCCTATCCCACCCATGAATCAGAAGCGTTCACGATCACCTCTTGCCCAACAATCGTTCGGCCCCCCCAGTCCCCACCCTCGCGGTCCTCTCCCCCCTGACCCTCAACCCCGCGGTCCGGTAGATGTGAGATCTCAGGGTCCTCCGCAAGGCCCTCCTCCTCAAGGACCTCCCCCTCAGGGACCTCTTCCTCAGCAGATGAGGAGCCCTATCGAAGGTCCACCCCCTCAATTTGCCCCTTATGATGCGAGGCCTCCACCCGACATGAGAGGTCCTCAGCAAATGAGAAGCCCAGTCGAAGGCCACCCTTTCCAGTTCCCCCCGGGTCGCCCTCAGCCGCCATTCAACAACTTCTCTCGGCCTGAAGGAACAAGAACTCCCCCTCTCGGTGGCCCCGGTCGCGTGCCAACTCCTGAGATGAGGAGCCGTGGTATGAATCCGCAAACGATGAATGGGCCGCCCCCGCCTCCGCATCGAGATCCTCGCATACAAGGACGCGGTGCCCCCCTTCCCGAGCTTAACACAAATGCTATTCAACGGAAACCCCTCCCGACCCGGTCTGACAGTTTGCGAAGCCCCCAAGAGACGCCAATCTCTGCATCCAGTGGTGGCAGCTGGGGCAACAACATTATCGATCAAGCGGCTTTCTCGCAGATTCACCCTCGCGATGGCCGACAGCGAACCCCATTGCCGGAGCAACAAATCCACAGGATGCCGACCCAAAAGAGCGAGGGCAGCCACTACGACGATGCCTCATCGACAGCCAGCCCGGACTATGCCAGTCGTAAGTCAAGTGAGACCCAGCAATCTCAAAAGTCGTTCGAGCGGCCACGTGCTGGTGTTTTAAAGACAGTGGGCGGCGGGGACTCGCCAGTCTCTGGCAGAGAGGACTTTGACATTCCCGAGGTCAATTTCGGTCCAACCCTGAACTATGGTGCCAACCAGCCCGCGAGGAACAAGACTCCCACGCCGCTCAACCCGCACAGCATCCAGGGACCTCAGGGACCCCAGAGGCCCTTCTCACCGGCGCTCAAATCTCCTCCTCTCGACCAAGGACACAACCGACAGGAATCTGACGACACGGTTCGGAAGGTTGCTTGGCAACCAGGCGCCGCCAACGTCGGAACTGGCCAGGGCATTAGTGCCGAGGAATTCGTTCAGCAACGTGCTGCCCAAGCCACAACTCCCATGTACGCCCACGGCCGAACCCCGTCCGGCAACATTCTTACCATGCGATCGATGACGCCCACGCCTTCTATGAACCGAAACACGTCTGCGGAGAGACCGGCTCGCCACTCGCGTAGTAGCTCTGCGGACCTCTTACAGCGCCCCAGCTCCCGTGGCGCCAACGCCGTGCTCGATGTGTCTAGCAGCGGCGAGGTCTCGTCTCACCTTTCAGCTCGCGAGCAGGAGCACGTGGCTCGCATAACCGGCTCACCTCTTATTAGCATGGCTGGAAACAGGAACGGCAACCAGAACCAAGGAGCTGGTTTGGTTGGAGCCATCGAAGCCCGTGAGCGCGAGAGGCTGCAGGCCAAGCAGGGAATGAGTACGCAGGCAATGCAGCAAGCCATTAACCAGAGACAGCAACAGCAAGCCATGGCCTATCAACAGCAGCTCCAGAGGCAGCAGCAACAGCAAGTATTCCAACATCAGCAACAGCAGCAGGCCTTTCAACAACAAATGTACGCTCAACAGCAGTTGCAGCAGCAGCAGTTACAGCAGCAGCAGCAGCAACAGCAACAAGCCATGTATGCTCAGAGCAACATGTCTCGTGGCCAGATGGGACCACCACGGGGGCAGCCCAATGGATACGGCTCTGGACCTGGACATGGTCAAAATTTTGGTTATGGCCAGGGTGGCGGCTACGGTCAAGGAAATGGCTATGGCCAAGGAGGTGGACACCCCAACCCGATGGCAATGCGGCAAGGCCGTCAATCACCCGGGCCTCAAATGATGGACCCACGCTTCATGCCTCAGGGACCTTACTCGCCTGGGCCTCAGCAAGGAGGCAGGCAGCCCTTCCAAACCCAGCACCAAGGACAGGCGTTTTAGCTAGTAACACGACGATGGGGAAGAATGTCAGAAAACATTGAGGCACATTCAGTCAAGTCAATTATGACAGGGAATAATGGGACGGTGAAAAATTCACCTGCCTACATTAGCAAGAGAAAAACAAAGTGTATTACCATTAGCGGGATAGTCCCATGGAAGAAGGCGTTTTAGGAGGAAACCACAGCCACAGGAAAGTCGGCTGAAGCATTGGTTTCTAGACTGGATAAGCATCGAGGATCCCTTTTGTTGCATTGATTAAAGCCTAGGTACGATAGCATGGGCTAGCGGTGGCATAACGACTAGTAGACGGCCGAAAAGAAAAGATCTCACAGCATTGACAACGTTTGATTAATGTCTTGGGGATGCTGCTTGAAGCGTGACGTGACTTGCCAGGACAAATTGTTCGATAAGGCCAAGGTGTGATGGAAGGCCAAAACCTCCATATAGTGAACGCACTGCTGCCTCAACCCAGTGGCATAGGTTTTGCTCCCTTGAACAGGCAGACGCGTGAAGTCGGTCTGTTCTGCGCCTTATATCAAAGCTAGCTCACTGACAGTCGAGCTTAGCAGGCGAGGAGCCGCTTGGACGTTCTTAACGGTGGCACGTTTTAGCGGGGGGTATCAACTGGGATAAAGACAAGCTGCCAAGTTAAGTAAGTTTAGGTAAGGTGTTGCGGCAGGGAACCTTGATGGGACCGTTCCCGTCCCGTCTCTGTACTGGTTAGTTCATCTGCCGGGAGGTCCAGGCTCCTGTTGCTCCTTCTTTTTTCTCTCTCTCTTTTTTTTTTCTCCCGTGGGAAGATAGGATGGAAGGTCTTTTTTGCCTCTCCTTTCTCGCCACCCAGGTGGTTGGCTTGGCTTGGCGGCCTAGTCTCTACTGCGTAGTGACAATTGAACCACCAGTGTACGCTAAATTACCCTGGCTTACCGGCTCATGGGGAGTGACTTTTTGTTAACTCCCTGTGGGATCTTGGTTCAGCGCAGTCTCCGCAGTTTTCTCCTGCGCCCCGTCATCGCCTGTCAGCCTCTCATTTCAGCGGGTTTCCAGCGCTGGGCCGGGGTCTGCCCAACGCGGAGACTGGTTGACGCAGACCGCAGGTGCCCCTGAAGGCTGCCTCGTGGGCACTGGTGGACCCGCCCGTCTAGCTATGTAGTACATGCACTAGCAGACGACTGGCAGCCAGTGGTTCGCGCATCGGCGAAAAAAAGAGAGACATTCGTTCTCGAGGTCGAGTGCACGCCCACTCCCTCGCGTCCAGAAGCCACCGTCATCTGACTTCTCACGTAGACCGCGAAGGGATCGCGTCGATTAGAAATTCTAATTGCTCACGCTTCGTTGTTTTTCCACTCCTCTTGATACCCCTTCCCGATCCTCTCCGTGTCCTCTCTCACATCATCCGCCGTTTTCTCGTGTCTTGTTGTTTGCCGGCATGACGTCCTTGTTGTATGCTTGATTTATAAAGACGGACGTTGCTAGGTGACCGGGGCAGGAAACGACCCCTCCACCTACCTTTTTGCGCAGTTACAAGCTCACTCACTCGCTCCCTTCCTAACTATCTTGGCCTCCAAAGTCGCATTTCTCGCGGAAGACGCGAGGACGAACAGAAGACCCCACCGAATATCGAGAAACAAGGCACCCGACGAAGGACGAAGTCCACGTTTTCACACCCCCTCTCGAAGCCCGTGGCGTAAATTTTTAGGGGGGGAAAGTAAAAAAAAGAAAAACCCATCCAACCTGTATGACATCGAGGACTCCCACGAGAGCGCGCCATCAACACCACTTTTTTTTTCCCTTTTAGCCAACAGTAATAAATGCATTGCTCCCTTCTTCTGTCCAGCCGCGAACTTCCCCTGCACTGGACTCGTATCTTGAATCCCTTCCCACACCAGGCAGCCTGTCACCGGCCCGCGGTCGCGACGGCAGCCTAGACGAGCCTCATCTACCTCTTCCACCCTGTCGCTGATTCCAATGGAGGGTGATGGGTCGCAGCCCACCCAAGGTATGCATCCTGCCATCGATTCCTGTGGTTTTTGTTGTCACCGTCGTCGGTTGTCGGTGCCGCCGTAGTTGCTACTACTGCTGCTGCTGCTGCTTGGCCTCGCGGCTCCTACCAGTAGAAACTTGACGCTGACTTTTGTCTTGCTGCTTCCCAGCTACCCAAAATGTCCTTGACCCACGGCGCGTAGGCAAGCAGAACTCGGGATTCTCAGACGAGGACATCTCCGACATCATCTGCCTTCTCTATCCCCACTCCGACTTCGCCCGCCGCGAGGTTCACCGTATCGCCCGCGACCACTCGCAGCATGTTGTTGGAAGGGAGGAGGCAGACGCCGTGGAGCCGGACTACGAGCAGGAGGATAGGGCCGACCAGTTCCAACTAACGCCGCCTAATATCGATCATGCCATCATATTGCGGCTCTCGGCCCAGACGAAGGACCCTCTCCACGGGTTTCTTTTCGGCCGCAATGTCTCGCGCTGCGATATCTGCTTCGCAAACGACCCCATGAAGCGCCTCAGCAACATCCATTTCCGCATCTACGTTAATGAGTATGGGGTCGTCATGCTCGAGGACCAGTCCACCAATGGCACCTTTGTCGATGGCACATTGCTGCGCGCCAAGCCAAAGACGGCGAACGACAAGTGCGATACGAGGAGGGTATTGAGCCACGGTTCGCGGATCAAGGTACTCATGCATGCCGAGAAGCACGACCTCGAATTTCTGGTTAGGATACCCAAACGGGTGGGCGAATATGATAGGGCGTATACCTCCAAGTTGGAACACTACTTTGCGGGCTTGGAAGAACTCCGCAACAAGCAGAACGAGACCATCACCCCTGGTCCTGGGGGTCATGTGAGTTTGCGTTCTACAACGGCTACTGTTTGTGTCGTAAACTGACTTGGATAGGTCGATTTGTTCCCTCCAAACAGAAGACCCCAGCAAGCCACGACGCGAAGGATAGCGCTGCCATCCGGCACGACACAAGACAATACAGATCGGTTTCCGAGGGAATGGGATGGGTCTGGCAGGTATAACCGTATTGGTCAAATTGGCAAAGGCGCATTCGCCGTGGTTTACAAAGTGACGTCCAAGTTTGACGGAAACCCATACGCTGCTAAGGAACTTGAGAAACGACGATTTATTAAGAACGGCATCCTAGATCAAAAGGTGGAAAATGAGATGAAGATCATGAAGAAGGTGCAGCATGTAAGCCGTCTAATGCCCCTCTTCTTATTCTTGAAGCCCCCTAACCTCAATAGCCCAACGTTGTGCGATACATAGAGCACTTTGACTGGGACAACCGGCTGCTCATAATTATCATGGAATATGTCGGCAATGGTGATCTCGGAAAGCTCATTAGCAACAGGGGCCCCCTGCAAGAGCCATCAGTGCAGCAGATGGCTGCACAACTCCTAAGTGCTTTGGCTTATTTGCACGAGAACCACATTACCCACCGAGATGTCAAACCCGACAACATTTTGATCCAGTCCCTCAGCCCTTTCGATGTGAAGTTGACAGATTTTGGTCTGTCAAAAATGGTGGATAACGAGCAGACCTTCCTTCGAACCTTTTGCGGTACACTGCTTTACTGTGCCCCAGAAGTGTATTCTGAGTACGCCGAGTATGACGACCAAGGTCGTCGAAACCCGCGCAATAGAGTCAAGCGCGCTGCAGTCGGGCAACGATATGACCATGCCGTCGATGTCTGGTCCCTGGGCGGAGTACTTTTCTACGCCCTCACTGGCAGCCCGCCATATCCTGTTAGAAATGGTGTAAGCTACTCAGAGTTGCTGCACACTATCATGACGCAACAGCTTAACACCGTGCCCCTTGTGAGAGCCAACGTCTCCCAGCAGGGCATCGAATTCCTGCGTCTCATGTTGGAGAAGCGGCCCGAAAGTCGTGCGACGGTGCGAGATTTGCAGTATCATCCCTGGCTGGGGGTTCATAGACTCAGGCCACAACCAAGCGGCGAGCAGTCATTTGACGAGATCACTGACGAGGACGAAGAGCTGCAGATCAACGCCTCCCAGCTCAGTCTTGATGAAGGCCAATCCCGTCAGACCGAGCCGTCATTCGAAGAAGTAGTAGATGATGACTTTGTTGATGATTTCATCGAAGAAGATTCAGAAAAGGAGAATGGGACCTTTGGCCCCCCCGGGCATGGAGCAAGGCTGTTTGGAGAAGTCAACGTTTCAGCTGTTGGGAGTTCTGGGGCAATACCAGAAGACAGGCTCAACCTGCCCATCGCCGATTCAGGCGTCTTGGGTGATGAGAGCTTAGAGACAGAGATCCGGGATAGCTACGACTCAGGGGATGTGTCGACGATTATTGGAAAGAAGTCGCGAAGCAGCGGGGCACGAGTGTCTGTTTCCGGCGCGGACGGTCAGTCGGCGGATCAGCTGCAGAGCCTAGTTTTGAACGTCGCATCCCAAAGCCTTGGCGCGACAGAGTATGATTTCCAGATGAAGTCGGCAGCAACCTCACATGTTGCTGATGGCACTTTCTACACCGCCAGCAAACGAAAGCCACCATCAGTGGACACAAGCGACGAGTTCGAGCCACAGCCTCGGGAAAAGCCAGTTTTTAAACGGCTCAAGTCGGAGGGAAATCTCGACACGTTGGCGGAGGAGGAGATGGAACAGTACAAACTCATTGCTTCTGTGCCACAAATCAAGAGGCTGGAATCGGGACGTCAAATCGATAAGCCTTTCCACAAAATGAGCTTCTGGGGAGGCGACTCGAAGACGTGGCATCTTCGGTACCCGGAGATGACACAACTCCAGTATGACATGTTTAAACAAGCTGCCCAGTTACGGGGCGAGGTATTCGAGCCTGGCAAGTCTCCGTTGTGGGAGCTAGCATTCAGGCACTTTCCGCCCAGCAATGGTTTGCCTGCCCTACACACCAATGAACAGTCAAGTATCAACGACACAAAGACGATGCTGAAAAGAGACGACAGGAAAGTACTGGACGATATCGAGTGGGACATTCCTGCCACTGCTCCCGTACTCGACGAAGATTCGCTGCCAGATACATTGCCACCAGAAACGCAGAGGATCGTTGTTCCGGTCCTCCAAGATGAGGGTACAAAGCGCGCAGTTGCTGTTCTAGAGTCATCTCCCGGATCAGTGGTAGAGGGAATCTCTGTCCCGATCACTGGCCTGCTGATGTCTTGGGGCCGAGGCCCGGAGAACACCAAGGTATATGAGACAAAAACGGAGATTAGGGTGCCCAAGTACGCGACTAAGATTGTCCTGTGGAAGGAGGGCTTCGACCCGAACAAATGGCGAAAGGGTCTTCCGTGGGATAAGGACGAAAAAGGCGAGGGATATGCCTTTTACCTCTCAACAAAGGCAACCAATGGTGTACTGCTTAACGGTCACGCCCTCCCTTCTCACGATTGCAAGGACCCTACAAGCCCTTCCCGCAACTGGATTCCCATCTATGACGGTGATGAGATCGTGGTCTGGGGAACTCCCGCCGATACGAGTAAAACCAAGGTCACCTTCCGCTGCTTCTGGGGCGACTCATCCAGGCCTCGTCCGGCGGAAGTCCCGCTCCAGCGTGTCTCGTCTCCGACGGCGCGCAAGATCGATGATGTCTCCGCCAAAGCGGACAGGCGCATACGACAGGCAGCGGAGCAGCGCAAGTTGATGGACGCGGCTGCCAAGGAGTACGATGAGCGCGAGCAAAACATTGAGAGGGAGCGTGAGCGTAGTCGCATCTTCGAGGAGAAACGTCTCGAGGCGCTGAGGTTCGTGACGCTCAGAAACGCTTCCAGGCGCGGGTCGCCGGCCAGCGCTCCGGCTACCACTGCCCTGAGAGGCCAGACCCCCAATCTAGGTGTGCCGTCGCCGTTGCAAGACTCCCAGAGCCCCCCGACGTAGGACATCGGCGGGGGCTGCTTGTGGGGCCATGGGCTCACGCGCCCCTGCCTCGTTTACCTGCCCTAGAACAAACGGCTGTATCATGGTCATACCGCGATTTCTGGACCATATGATATTAGCCCCAGACCACGGAACCGAACGTGGACCTGTCCGACGACATGCATTACGGGTAGCTGACACGGGTCAGCGCTAAGCAGATGTATACGCCGATAACAGCACACAACATGCTCAATGGTTCAGAAAGCGATTTTTCAGAGCAAGCGTACAGAATAGTATCAGAATTGACCACCGGTTCAGCCAATACCAGAATTGAACATTGTAGATACAGCAAGAGGAGGAAGCCGCCTGTTACCGGCATAAAGGACAAGGGGGGCGGGAACAGGAGCGGGATAGTGAGAAACGGGGCGTAACGTATAGCGGCGGACAAAACTCAGTAGAATAGATGACGAAAATTCATGAATGCAAAATAGCACAGGCGTCTGTTATTACTTGGACATGGTTACGAAATCTGCCAGTCTCTCCGTGCGTGTCTTTTTGTTTCCCTGGGCGTATCTGTGTCGTATGGACCTTACACGCATATCCTGCAGCTTAACTACTGCCGTCACTGATCTGGTTTCTCATAAGCCGGCGGCCTGTGAAGGTTGTGTTGCCGTGCGCTGAGATTTTACAAGATGCTTTCCTGCGGTCTCGGCGCTTCATGGAGCGGTTTTTGACGTCGTTTGAACGAGGCGTACATGTACGCCTCGTTCAACCAGTGAAGTACGTTCAGCCTACGCCAACTCTCCGAGAAAGAAGCAGTTCAATCTTCTAGTCATCAACTACTCTATTCAGAGTATAGCTAGCTAAGTACAATTGGCAATCCCGGTTCCCTCATATCCGTGTCCAGCGATACTGCGTGCTCGATTCAGCCGAAGCCTCAAGTGGCGGAATCCAATGCACATCCAAAGTGTCGAGTCCCATTGCAGACCCAAAATTGCTTCCCAAAGTCATTATGCATACACAAAGACACTCTCTTTCCGGTAAACCTTGTAATGTGCTGGCTCGGCTGCTTCTACCCGGTTTCTTGCTTGAATAGAGAAAACCAGCATGTGGGCAAAGGCATCATCAAAGATTGCAATTCCGAGTTTGAGGCCGTCTTGTACCGCGGACTTCATGTGCCACCACCAGTGTCACGAGACGAAGTATTTTAAAAAGCTTCGGGGCGGTGGAAGAGTGGGGGTGCATGAATTTAACGTCGGGGTGTAGCCATGTTGGCTTGGGATTAGGAAGTGATACTCAAGGGGAAAAAAAGAACAAAAATAATAAAATACCGAAGAGAGTCTTAAAAAAAGAGAAGAAAAAAAGAAAGAAAAAGAAAAGAAAAGTCTGACAAACAAAACCGGATTATTCCACGGCAAGTTCTGCAAAATCTTGTATGGCAGAATCTAAGTCGACAATATGCTTCGTCGTTGCACAGTTTTGGTTGTACTTTTGTGAGCAGGAGTGCTGAATCGTAAAATACTGACCCTGAGCGAAAAAAAAAAAGTTCAGACATGATCGAAGAATCAGTGAATATCAAATAGGGGAGAGTTGGTAACATAAGTTCAGACCGAACTCCCCTGACGATACTGGATGTAATCGTCGTAACCTGGGATCAACATCGTGTGGACGTCGCTCTCAGACAGGTCGTCAGGGAATTCCATAGCAAAACCGAGGGGTGGGAGTCTGGCCTCGTGCGAAGAAGACTTGGGTTTTGTGGTAAAAGTGATATGTTCGAAGGAAGGAACCGGGCCGTGGGTGCTTTCTGGCTCCCAAGCCGCCCAGTACTCGGGATCTGCCGCAGAAAGCCGGCATCTTGGCAAATTTGAGTTATCATCATTATCAGTTGGATAAGATTGATGCTGGTTGGCATATTCCTTGCCATGCTGCGATTGGCGGGGTTGCTGAGTGCGATTTGGATCTGAGCTTCGCTGGTGAAAGTACCAGTCGCCGGACGAAGGTCCCTGTCCTGGACTAGAGAACATCGCGCTTTTGCTGTTGAGATTGGAGGCATGTGACTCTTTGCTGAAGCTGTGCTGGTTCTGTTCGGAATAGCTATTAGATGGGTCCCAGTGCGGCTCACTGTTGTAGGTTGCCCAAGAATCCCAGCTGGCAGAAGGCTCCCGGCAACGAGACTGTTCACCTTGGTCGACAAATAAATTCTCATTATCTTGGAATAGATGGTTCGTGTCGTAGGGTTCTGAGTGGACACCACAGTCGTTGATGTAGTGTGGTGGCAAGTGTGCATCGTCAACAGATTCGTAGTTTACAGGACAGGGCTGGTTCTCCTTTCCTTGGCTGTGTAAGACATGTCCACCATTCTGTTGTTGCGGCTGTCTATTGCTGGGATCGGTACGCTTGTCTTTAGCACAGACTGCACTTTGGCTATGGAAGCTGGAAAACGATTCGTTGTGCGTGCTATGGAATGGATTGTTCTGTCCACGGGGCAGGTAGCCCTCAGGAGTGTAGAGTCTGCTGACGTGAACTTGATCGCAACATGGAGTTGAGCTGTTGTTTAGTGGGCTGCTGTTTTGCGTTGCCTTGTAAGTTCCAAAAGCATCATATCCAACGTTGGGCATGCTCCAAGAGTTGAAACTCTCATCGTCGGGGCGATACCTCGTGGGTTTAGGAGACCTTGCACTAAAGCCATCAGGGTCTCTGAGAGGATCATCGAGTGGAATAGCCTTCTTGCCATCGTGAAGAGCTTCGTGATATTGCTCAGACCGAAACTTGGAATAGCTATCGTCACCCTCCGAGTGTTCACGCTGCCAATACGTTGGAGACGTGCGAACTTCCACGCGCTCGTTGAAGGTGGTCCTCTTACCAAAAGTGTTCTGATCCGAGAAGTATGGTGAATTCATCTCAAGAACGCTGTCCTTCATCTCCCCTTTGAAGGGCGTTGGTGTAATCGGTGGGCTGAGCGTGCAAGTGATTACGGGACAAGCTGGGATGGAATTGTCACCAGTAACACCCTCATCGCAATCCGGCACACGAATAGCTTCGTTGGGGGCGTCTTCCACTGATGGCGATTCATATTTACTGTTAATATTGAGTGTTGCAGCATCCCTGGACACGGCGACCTTAGGCTCAGGAGCATGATTCGTTGTGGCCAGTCTTTGCCGAGTAGCGCGGCGCTTATATAGCCGGCTTTGGATGGACTCGGACGGGGAATTTGCCAGTGATTTGTCGCTTGTTTTTTCGTAAGCTTCGCCTAAAAGGTCTGCAGGTTCACTTTGGAAGATTTGTTTTCCCCATTCCTCGTTGACTCGGCGCTGAGCAGGTTGATCCGATTTCTGCACACTGAGATGCTCATCCGAATGTTCATCTGGCTCGTCGTCGCTCTCTTCGGACGACTAAGACACGTCAGTATAGGTGAGTATTCAAATAGACAAATCGAATATACTTACGCATCCGAGTAAGGTTTCTGTAGGGATTTCCGCCTTCTTGGACATTCGTTTCATGCAATGGGCACAGAAGCTTTTGACGGGCTCCTGGCCAGGTTGGATGGGATGCTCTTTGTTGAAACGGGATGACCGAGCAAAACCGCAACCGTAGCAAAAATTGCCATACCGAGTGAGCTTCTTGTAATCGTCGCTGTAAAGGTGCTTGACATGACATGAACTGCAGAAGTTGCGCCAAACTGGCTCTCCAACGCGAAACTTGCGCACTCTGTGGTGCTCATCAGACCGACGAATGCCACAACTACAACAATAATAGCCATCATGATTGTCGTCAAGATGAACTGGTATCTCGGATTCCTAATCGTCAGATCCCTGTTTTCGTCCGCTCTTCTTGCCTGATTTTGCACCACAATGGGGATGGTTAAGGTTGTTTTGCCGATGACGGCCATTGGCTTGGCCAGTAGAAAGCTTGTAGTTGACAGAAGACGTAAAGTGGTTGAGAGCAGAAGTATTTTGAGGATCCACGAAGAGGGTACGCGGTACTTCAGGTGAGTTTACCACAGATGCTGCGGCTTGCACGTTTCCGATAGCAGGTTGAGAGACAGTTTTAGGGCCAGGTATGGCGCGGCTGGATCTGACACGTCTTCGACGAGGCTGTTTCTCTCGATCTTTGCCCTCATGTTCGTTTTCCATCTGGCGATGGTGTTTCCGATGAAATAAGCTCTTCCGCATGGCAGCTGAAGAATCGTTAGCTTTGCCTATTCCAGGAATAGAGTTAATGGGTTCCTTACAGTGAGGACGAGATGATTCAATACCTTCTGCTTCAGAAGCCAGTCCTTTCTCCTTTAGCACCATATTCTCCCTGCCACTGCGACTTTCTGTAAAGCTAGTAATGCTAATGGAAAGACAGCATTAAGAAGTAAAATGAGTGAGTGAGATATTTCTTATGATTGTGCCAGGGCGGTCAGCTTCAAGGGTATGTTAAAAGATGAAAAGATGGAAAGGTGAAAAGGTTGAGAAAGAGAGCGGTAAAATTATGGTGCGAGTTCCTGCCTTGTGGGAAAAAAGCCAGAGTAAAAGTCCTTATCCACCGAGGCAAGAGAGAAATTGACACGGAGGAAGGGCGCAGACTAAAGCGACACACACCCGTCAAGGTTACTAGTTCTTTTAAATGCAAACAACACTGAAAGATGCCATAATTCCCCCTACTCTCGACACCCTGTTCCTTAGGGCACCGCCAGGCTTACAAGAGGACCAGCTGGGGCGACCTTTTTCCCGACTGAAGGGTGTTAACTGAATGCAAATTGATATTAAAGCCGTCTTTGGTGAACATGTATAGACTCAAAGTACACTACCTAACGGGAATATTCCCACATACATGAATGTATTTACCACATATGCATTGTTAATTCTGCCTCCTTGAGTGAACAGTCCCAGAGTAAATGGCATTTTAGAGCGTATTCTGTGGTACTCTGTGTACGAAGAGTAATGAAATGTGACTGTCACGTAGGAGAGGACGGCTTTTCACTTTTCGAGGAGGCCTTTAGACCAACTCCTTTGGAGGAATCCAACTCTCAACATAGTACTTCGACATGTTGAGTAGCACAACACGCTATTGCATAAAGGCGTGCACAAAGAATAATTCATGATCGAGTATTGTACATTTACCAGAGTGTGCTTTTTTGTCTACTAGTGGAATCTATGGCCACCTTATTCCGGCCCTAATACAAAGAAATTGAGAAATCCTCTCTAGGGAGCCGAGCCATGCTACAAATAACAAACTTAGTCCACTCTGAGGACTCTGGGGCCGCGCTTCTTCTTGAGCGCCTTCCTCTTCTGGCCCCTTTCAAAGGCAGAAGCAGCTGCGTGGTCACGACCCACATTGTCAAGGTCCTTGACCTTGTAGATACGGATGATCCAGTTCTCACTGGTGAAAGCCTCGTCCAGGGTGTCAAGGGTGGGGCCAACGTCAGGAAGGCGAACGCCACGGACACGGTCCTGGGCCTGACCTTGGGGGAAAAGCGAGTTGTAGTTGTAGTAGGACATTTTATACCTGCGTACGGGTTAGTTTCAAGTCGTTAGAAACCAAATGCCGTTTCACTTACATCAAACTGTTCTTCATGGTGTCGGTAGCACCCTCATCGACTCTGTACTCGCCGCGGGGAGTGAAGAACTTGCGCTCTTGGACTTCCTCAGGCCAAATGCCCTCGGCAATACGAACCATCCACAAGAACTTGTTGATGTCGTCACCGGAGTAGCCTAGAAGACCACCAAAGACAACAAGGACGTAGTCGACCTCGTGCTGGCGCATGATAGGGTAGCTGACTTCCTCACGAGAGCTCATCGCCTTGCCAACGGTGGCAATGTGCGTGTTGTTCCAGGTGTTGTTGTCGACCAGAGTAGGGCGATCCGCCATACCACCAATCTGGTAGCCGTAATCCCACCATGACATAATCTTGGCGTCCTCCTTGGTGTTCTGACGCAGCCACTGATAGGCCTCGCGGTAGTCGTCAATAATATGCTGGCTTCCATCAGGCATTCTGCTGGCGAGGACAACGGAGGGAGAAGAATAGGCGTTGGACGTAACCCAGGTGCAGTGGAGAACGAAGAGCAGCAGGAATATAGACATGCCGCCAACAACAAGGCCCTTGGACAGGAATGTGTAAATTCCGATGAGGGGTTTGCTGGTAGACTTCAACCCTCCTTGCTTAGCCTTCTTGGAAGTGGCCTCAACAGCTTCAGCCGCCTGGTGGTCTTCAGGGTTGGGCGACTTGGCGACCATGTATGTATCCAGGATCTGCGAGGCTGCGATAGCCGCGGCAACACACACAATGGGTGTCAGAGTAAGCATCAACCGCACCATAACACCAGCGAAGTAACTTCCGAAGAGCGCATAGACGATGACAAAGACGTGCTCATCCTTGAGGTCCTGGAAAAGCAGGTAGACACCGGCGGGGAAAAGCCATACGAGAAGATTAAGGTCGAAGAAAAAAGCAGGCCAGGCAGTAGGCTGGTGCTCGGAGACAGAGGCAATGATAGGGATGTGAATCTTGGCATATCCGGTATCCCAGAGGGAGTAGAAACGGCCACCCCAAGGAGCGATGTAGCCGAGCGAGGTCAAAGCCACCAAGCCAGCCAACGCAAGGCCGAAGGTCGCAGCCAGGAAGGTGTACAAAAAGGTCTGAAATTGGCGACTGGGGATAGCGCTTCGGACGTAGTCGATGAATGCGATCAGCTGCAAGAAACCAAACATACCTGGGCCAAGTTAGCCAATACTCAAGACGAATTGTTCATTCAACTTACCGAGGGCTGGCATGTGCTCGCTCGTCTTAACGGGCAGGAAGCCGACAAAGGGAATCTGCATGCTTGCCAGGGTTCCCAAGGCGTACCATGTAGTGTAGCTGACATAGAGACGGGTGCTGTAACGGCCCATGCAAACCAAGGTCAACGCATGCAAAGGAAGCATGCAGGTGATGAAGGCATAACCACCCCAGGAGGCAACCATGTAGCCGTAGAAAAGGGCGCAAAGAGCTCCCCAAAGCATGGAGCCCAGCTTCAGTGCCTTGATCCACAAGTAGAAGGTAAATACCAAAAGGAAGATGGCGATGGCCTCGTTATCGTAACTGCCAGCAACAGATCGAGAAATGTAGCCGGGAGAAATGCCCATAAAAGCAGCAGCAAGGAGACCGGCCGATGGTGATGTAGTCATCTCATTCGTCAGTAGATATGCAGCAAACGCCGTGAGGCCGGAGAAAGCTGGTGCGAGAAGAACACAGATGTTGCGGATATCGACGGGGACGGTAAGAGCTCGAAGTGCATGGTAGATGGCGCCGCTGGTCACCATCAGACCAGGGTAAAGGGTTCCTCCAGTAACCCGACCGAGAGGATGCCATGTGCGATCATCAAACCAATCCCAGAACTTGTAGAACCCATTGGCCACGAGATATTTAGTCGCTCTGAAGTTAAACCAGGGGTCGACTGCGAAGAGTTAGTACGCGACGATGGGAAGGAGGTCGGGATAGGGTGAAACCGACATTCGTGAATAATACTCTCAAAGCCTATTCAGTAGAGATTAGTATCATATTCAAGATAAAATGGATATAGAGCGATGAATTGCTGCACACTTGCCAATTGGCGCTGGTAGGCTGGCAGGATGCTGGCAAGCAACGTGTCGAGGGGCACTTACGAATGACAGAGAAAAGACGGCTTGCAACAGCGGCAGCTGCAATCAAGCCCAGGATAATGACTCTGAGAAGAATTCTTGTGTTCTGCGCGCTGCCTCCAGAGAGGGCTTCCAGAGGTTGGGCCGACATTGTGGCCACGGGTGGTTAAGAGGCAGTGGCCTTGAAGGTGAAGATTGCGTATTGAAGCTGGCGACGACCACCTGTCTCACTGAGGACCTGAGAGGACAGCTTGAGCTTATGCACCTGAATCGGTTAAGCAGGGGTGGAGTGCACGGTCCATATGGAGCCGAGCCGTTCAGTCCGCGTCCCACTGGCACCTGAGTGGCTTCCGTCAGAAGTGTCAGGTCAGTCACGTGCCTCGGACAAAGGATTTCCCAGACAAGGAGAATCCGGTCAGCCGGGGTGGCCGGTGCTCCGGATCTCGGCCGTCATGAGATGACAGACTAGATGATGAAGCCTATATACCTTGAGCAAACAAAGGCATAAGAATATTTCTTCTGGTCAAGCTTGATCCACATAGAATTTTTGAAAAGAGACGAGTATACTTGTCCCAGGTTTCCTTGGTTCAAAACGTGTTGCCTCGAAAACATCAAGTTGCCATAGCCTCAGTAGATGGCAAGAGAATGCTTTAGCGATTAGTAGGTGAGACCAAATTACTATATGGCAATCTTCAACACGGTTGCCAAGTCAAAACAAACAAAGACTCTAAAGCTGGTCGCAAAGTGGAAGCGTCCAGTGAGGCGCATTACAAATCATCGCAATCACAATAGGGTCCAAACTGGTGCCCTCCGCTTCAGATACATTCCAAATCGGGTTCAATCGCAACGTCAACACGATATATAATATGGCCCCAAAGCGTACAGAAGAAAATAAAGATTGATGTAATCCAATGGCTCGTTCCTTGGAATTGTCATCTAGTAGAGCGTATTGTACACATGTACATCCGGTAAACAGAGGCGTAAGGAAAATGTCTATGCAGTGACGTCGGGTGTGGTGCCAACCATTCACCTACTGCTGCCGAAAGACCAAATTATTTGCCCCTTGGTAGGACTATTCGTGTTCTTTTTGCGCAGGCGTATCCCCGATCCTGACCCCGTCTATCCGTTGTGCAAGCCGTCCCCCCTCACAAATTCCCTCCACTTCACGGGTTCTGCTTCACCAGATTGTTGAAGAAAGCCTCAAGGTCGAAGTTGGGGTCCATGGGGTCTTGGTTGACTTTAAAGTGCATTAGTTTTGCAAGTTCTGCTGTTGCATTTGTTGAGGGCGTCGCGTAGGAATTACGCTATCCCGCGACTGGGGCGCCCTTTTGAGGCAAGGAATACGTACCTCCAGCATCCGCCGCCTTGACGGGCGAGTTCTTCTTCGCGAACTCGGCCTTAGCCTGCTCTATCAACTTCTCCTTGCGCTCATACTCCTTCTGGGCGGCGGCGGCCTTCTGGCTTGCCGTGATGGATCGCTGGTGTGTGAAGCCGTAGAAAATACCCAGGCCAAGGGCCGTGTAGCGGAGCACCTATAAGAATCCATCAATCAGCTAATGTTTTTCTAATCGTGTGATGATATTCGAGTTTGGAGTCGGTCGCGTGGTGATGGGTGCTTCATCGGCTTAGGGAGGAACAGATGGCTGGGCTCTCGCATCGTGGGATGCAGCCGAAGGCGAGGAAGAGGGCGGCAAGCGGGACGTACGTTAACTCCTGAGGAAGACATTGGGGGCAATTGCCTGGATTTCGCGACTGCTTTCGGATGGGAGCGAGAGATGGAAAGGACAGTGCGCGGGTTGACAATGGCTGCCAATTGACCCTATTCGGAGCTCTGTCGAGGGAATTACGTTAGGGACGCAAGGTGTGAAGTTTTGAAAATATGCTCGGGAAAACTCGCAGATTTTCCACTGGTTGGCCGTCAGGTCACTCCGGGCCTCTGGAGCTCGGACGGGGGATGCCAGGCCAGCAGCAGGCTAGTGGCCAGCGGCTCAGCGGCCAGTCTGCTTGCTGGCGGGAAGCTTACAGCGGCTGTCTAGGTACTTTGGCTCCAATGGCAGGGTAGGTTTTGCCGGTCCTTTGCCGATCCGGTTCAATCACGTGCATTAATTTGCCTTGCAAGGTTAGTGTGCTCATGGTGGAAATGCCTGCTGAGCTATTGAGGTACTGCTTGTAGAGATCAACTTTAATACAGGGTCAGCTAAAGTAAGTACCTCTCTGCAATCTGTTGGCACCCAAGGTACCTTGGAACAGGGCCCAGGGGTCCTTCTGGAATCGTGGAGGACAACACGCGCATTGAGAAAGTAATCCCCATCAAACAACCGACGCTACCTTTCAAACATTCGTCCCGGGCAGATTGTCAACAGAAGCTGTCTCTCGCGTACTTAAGCAAACAACCTCCCAGTTTATGCCCGATTTTCATCCCTTTTCCTAACAGTCGGGCCTTCCCCCACGATCTTCGTCACTCTTAGTCGGCGAGTCCCGCAATGGGAATAAGGAGAGGACAAAATGCAACAGAGACGAGATGAAATCTTAGCGAAGAAGGCGAAACTTGCGGAGTTGAAGCGGCAAAGAGAGCTTCGTGCAAGCCAGGCTACTGCAAGCCGGCAGAGCACAGGAAGCCCTGGCGATGTTGGTTAAAACAATCTCCCTACCGGTGCAGCTTGCTGATGCACATACAGTTAGTGTCGCCCATCCCAGGCCGAGCCGAGAACCGCCGCGATATCGAGACATTGATCAACAGTCTGGTGGGGGAAAGCCGACCTGGATCTACCACTGGCGGGGCTGCGTCACCGGCTCGTAGGGGCAGCCGGCCGAATAGCGTTCTGAGTGCAGGAGAGTTAAGCACGGAAGCAGCTTCGGAGTTCACGACTACCACAAATGGCCTACCACCTCTTGCTCCAGCTCTGGCTGCGGCACCAGTTCAGCTGAGCCTGACAACTGCTCCTCTCAAGACGATATACGAATGCCCACCGTCTCCTGTGAAGGAAGTGCACTCTTACAGCAAAGGAGTGCAGACCGCCGAAGAATGGACCCCACCTAGCCGACCCAGGGCTCAGTCACTCTCTGAAGATGAAGACCTTCCAGTAACGTCTACACCCAACAAGCGGTTAAGCAGAAGACAGCGCGATAGGGAAGAGGAGTTGAGGCAGGACATCAGGAAGGAGGTAGAGGAGGAGCTGAAGGCGTCGTTGGATTTGCTCAAGGACGGCGTCCTTCCCCAGGATATGCCTGCCAAGGCGAACTATCCTATGCGCAAGCTGACGACTGAGGAACTCGAAGCCGTTACAGGCGCTCCCGACTTTGCGGACTTCCTAGAGAAGTCCACGAAGGTCATAGAAAGGGCTTTAGATCAGGAGTATGATATTCTCACCGACTACGCCCTCCAGGGCCAAGATGTGGACGACGAGGACGACGATAGCGGTAACGTTGGTGGTAAGGGCCGGCGGAGGGTGAAGGAAGTGGCTCAGTTTTTCGACGAGAGATGGTCCAAGAAGCGAATGATCAGCAGCATCGACTTCTCACATCATCATTCCGAGCTGATGCTGGCGTCATACACGAAAAACCCTACTGCGCCGCATGAACCTGATGGTTTGGTCCAGGTATGGAGTTTGGCTCTGCGTGACAGACCAGAATACGTTTTCCATGCCCAGTCCGATGTTCTCACTGCTAAATTTTCACCGTATCACCAAAATCTCATAATTGGCGGAACTTACAGTGGTCAAGTACTTCTGTGGGACATGAGAGCGAAATCAGCACCTGTCCAAAAAACGCCCCTCACAGGCTACGGTCACACGCATCCCATTTATTCTGTCGATATTGTTGGTACACAGAACGCAAATAATATCATCTCAACTTCGACAGATGGTGTTGTCTGCGGCTGGAGCATGGACGTGTTTGCTCAGCCACAAGAGCTATTGGAGCTGAAAGCACCTCCAGGATACAAATTAGACGACGTCAGCCCTACATGTTTGGCATTCCCACAAACAGATCCCACTTTTTTCCTAGTTGGTAGCGAGGAGGGCACTATCTTCCCTTGCCACAGATATGACCGGGCAGGTGCAAAGGCGGGGGTAGATGCTAGAGTCAGTTATAAAGGCCATACGGCACCGGTTATGTCGGTTGATTTCCATCCGGCTCGAGGCCCTGTGGATCTCGGCGACCTGGTTCTCTCGTCTTCCTTGGACTGGAGTGTTCGCCTGTGGAAGGTCCGCGCGCCTGCCGCGACATCGACCGCTGGTGGAGAACCAACTGTTTCTCCTCTCATCGACTTTGTCCGCGAAGACGTCGTCTACGACGCTCAATGGTCGCCAATCAAACCAAGTGTTTTTGCTCTTGTAGACGGAGCAGGATGGCTCGAACTTTGGGACATCACAGTTGAGACTGAGGAGCCGGTAGCGAGAATATCCCCGAGCACGCGTAAGGATGGTAGGACCATGCTGGCGAAGAGCTTGAACAAGGTCGCTTGGGAGCCATCTGAGGGCAAGCGTCTTGCTACTGGAGGTATCGATGGAGTGCTGACAGTGTTTGAAGTCGCCTCCGGTCTCGGCGGCAGGGACGATCTGAAGGCAGAGGAGTGGACGAATGTGAAGAAGCTGGTCAATAGGGTTGAGGCACACGGTCTAAGTGGCGCAATGGTGTAGAGTCGATTCCTTGGACTTTGTGTGTACTCTTAAGAAGGGAGTCACTATTATTCGATTTGTTGGTAAAAGGCGCATTCCTGTATACCCTGATACTGTGGTCAGCATCAAGCATGCCAATTTACTAGATGGAAATCTGCCATTCTTCTTGTACAAATGCCATAAATGAACTGTATGAATCCCTTCCTTTAACGTAAGGGAAGCAAAGGACGTCCGAAATTCTCCACTCATACCCACCAAAGGATTTCAACGGCGATTGGCTTAGTCATCCTCCGAATAAAGGTTGATTTAGCCGAGATCTGGCGGATTTTTCTTCACTCTACTTTATCATCATTCAAATGCCATCCCAGCGCTTTCAGCAAGTTTAAGTATTTAAGCTTGCTGTCAGGTCTGTCAATGTAAATGGTAAGTTGCAATTTTCCTTATTTTTCACACACAAATGGCATATGATGAGCAAATAAGAATTCTGCAATGCTAAAGGCCGCAAGGTCGTCATGTGGATAAAATCTTTGCTTTATGCAACACTGAGCCACGCTACTAAGCAACTATTTAATATTCTCGATCTATACGAAAGAACCCGAGCTAACCTTTGCGAAAAAGATAGAAACAAACAGTCTACGTAGTTCCTTAAGTGTTGATGGGTGCACCGGCAGGGTAGCGGTCACCAGCAATCTCAAATTTGGCCAGCGTCGCGTCAATCTCTGCTAGCTCCCCCTCAGTAAAATCCACTAACTTCGCATTCTCATTGACTCTTGCCGCTGTTGTGGCTCCAGGGATGGGAATAATCACGGGCATGCCGGGCTTTTTCGAGACGGCAATTGTCCAGCTGATGGCAAGCTGAGCAGGCGTGACGCCCTTCTTTTGGGCCAGGTCCTTAATTTGCTGTACGAGCTGGAGGTTGATTGGAAAGTTTTCGGGCTGGAAGCGAGGCATGAAACGACGGAAGTCGCCCTCGGGGATATCCTCTAATTTCGTGATTTCACCGGTCAGCAGACCTCTGCCGATGGGCGAGTAAGCGACCAGCGGGATGTTGTACTGCGCGCACGCTGCGGCGATGCCGTTTGTAAGCACATCTGTCGAGAAGAGGCTGAGCTCAACCTCGACGGCGGCGATCTTGGCGTGCTTAACGGCTTCGTGGATTGTCGCGGCAGACACCTCTGACAGACTGATACCGCCAAGCTTTCCTGTGTCGATGTACTCCTTCTGAATGACTCCAAAGGTGACCTCAAGAGGGACGTTTGGGTCGCGACGAGCGCACTCAAAAACGTCAACCTTCTTGCGACCTTTGAGCTGGGAAATGATGTTGTCAAGGGAGCGACGAACCCCTTCGGGGCTACCGTCAGGGTGTAGGTTCTTAACATTGACACCGCCCTTCATGCTGAGGACGACTTTGTCGGCGTCCTCGGGGTACTTGGCAAAGTAGCGCTCCAGGAGGGTCATGCTGTTGGACTCTGGGGTTCCATAGAACTCCCCGCCATTCCAGAAGTTGTTTCCGTTTTGAAGGGCGGCACGCATCGCCTCGAAAGCCTGCTCATCAGGAACAGGCTTCGCTCGCCAGGTGAAGCCCATAAGGCCGTAGCCGATTTGGCCGATTTCTTGTCCGGTGATCTGAACCATGCTGCTGGTGTTGGTAATTTGTTGTGTTTGTGATGTAGGTGGACGAGTGTCAGTGTGACTTATCGTGTACTGCGGGGTTGACGTGGTGTTCACTAAATTGGTAGAATTGATGTGGGTTGGTGTCTAATGGAAAGGATAGGCTTGGTGGAGAGATTAGGTTGTATATATAATAATCTGGGACACAGTAAAATGATATCACCGATATATCCAGCAAGAGGGCTAAGTCGGACCACCGTCAAGCACCCAATTCTATTGATACAGTACCTCAAATCATGACGATATGAGAGCCTGTTCCTGGCATCAGCTCTATCGTGTCCGCAACAGTTGTACCAATCGATTCTGATTGGAGGTGCCGGGGTTAGCCCGCCGGAGTTAGACGTACACGTTCGTCCATTCCCGACCGGTCGGAATTGTGAGCAGCTCACCAATCCGTCAGCCTGGGTTTAATGTACTCGCCAGCTACTAGCGCCGATCACCTAACGCCGCCTCCCACCCGATGTCCTTTTAATTGCACTATCTTTCAGAAGCGGTCGGCAGTAGCCATGTCAGATCTTTAATCCTTCCGGAGGTCTCTCGGGCGCGACGTCCGGTGTACATTCATTCCCCTTGACTGCGGTGTCAGTACCAACAAACCGCCACGTAGTATCACAAAGCATCTGGGGCGACCGGTTATCTGCTAATGCTCATCCCGCAGAACTTGATGACGGCATATTTGCACTACGTAACCGCAACGAGTGCCATAAGTCACCTTTCGACATTCTCGCCAATTTTTTTGCAGAATTAATCACCAAGCCTAAGTCCGTACTTTCGGCTGTGTAACGATATTGGTCTCTAAACCTGAAGTAGTGGATGCTTTTGAAATTCCGAAGACAAGTTTAAAGTCAGGTTAAATCGATAACCAGGTTCGGCCGATAACGTAGGGCTTTGTTCTATCAATTCCGTGAAAGATGGTTGCTCAAACAACTGAGTAAATCATATATCAACCAGCTTCTCAATGACAGCTTGTTGCCGAGCACTTTCTCCTTTCATATGCATGAAAACAGGGTCGATCCTTCTTTTACCATTTTCCTTCTCTACAGTCACAGAGGATGCAGTTGCCTGAGCTTTCTCTACCTGAAGCCGAACGGAATGGACCTCCTCTGCCATCTTCCTTTCCTTCTCGACCCTCATCCGGGCCTTTTTGGACTGTTGCGTGGCAATCATCATAGATGCCCCAGTCGATGCAATACTCGGACTTTTCTTTCCGCTTCTCCCGCCCTCGACAACAACGGCGGTAGCGGAGGGGTAAGTGGCAGAGAAGATACGGACGTCAATGGTGCCTGCAACAGGTAATCCTGCCGCTTTACGCCACCAGGCAGGCAACTCCGCGAGGCCCACGTCAACCAGCCCCTCGAGGGTGATGGGCATCTGATGTGTGTATCGGCAGTCCCTGCCGAAACTACATTGTCCCGTTTGGCACCAATGCCGGCAGAGACTGCCAGCAGGGCGTGAGGCTTTAGGTTTGCCAGCTTTGACACCCTTTTTGTTACCGGCAGTGTTGTCGCTACTGTAATTAGCGTTGATTTGAGCCGGAGTCGCAACCGGTGCCGAAGCTGACCGGTTGAGGGTAGGATGGTAAACGGCAGTCGCCGTAGCAGTTTGGCCCATGCAATCCTTCTCGCTACCCGTGGCCGTGTTCTTCTCCATTTGCAGATCCGGTCGCCGCTTGCTGCTATTCTCATTGGTGGAAGCGGAGGAGTACTCAGCTCCCGAGAAGTCTTCGGTTGAGGCCGACTCCGTGTCATCCGCCCAGTCAAGGACACGGCGAGGAGGCAGCGGTATCACGGGAGGAGGAGCCCGAGTCGGAGCTTGAGCTGGCTGGCCAGTCTTGACGGTTGCAGTTGGAACAATGTAATGGGCAATCCCAGGAGAGCTTGGGCACCTGTAACGGGTCAGTCAACATGCTTAACAAGGCCGGGTAAAAACCTACTTCACTGCCAGAGGCTTCTGTTCTTCTTCCGACTGTACCATTATTGTTGCCAGAGGATCCTTGTCTTCACATACTCGATTTCCATACTGGTATTCAGACGGCGACATAAAGTGCAGTTGGAAATGGCCTGGCGGTTTGGTGAATTCGCCAAGGTTGGACATGCCAACTGTCTCTCTGATAGTCATGTCCCGGGGCAGCCCGACGATTTCGACGTAGCTTGGCAGCAGGTCAACTGGTATCAAAGGTACTAAAGTGCTTTGGTTGACTCCTTTGCGGATGATGAAGTGCTCCGGCCATGGAACACCGGGCCAGTTGTCTTTAGCCGGAACTCCATCGTTTTGTGGGTTGTGCATGGACTGGAAGAGTCCTCTCTTACCCTGATTAGGCGGGTGTGCTGAATCAGTCTTGTTATACTTGGAGGTCATGTTGTCAAATGAATAAAGAAATTGAAGTATCACACCTGAGAGACACTTCGCTCGGGGATGCAAATGCTGGAGAGATTTGATGTTAAAACATACTTCTTTTTAGCACACCCAGACCAGAGAAATACGAGACGTCAGCCTCTCTTTCTATGTTTTTCGTTTGTACTCAGCAAAGTAATACGGGTATGGACTTTTCTGGCTATCTGCGGAAGTATGCGTGCATCCGTTTTCGATGTTATGGATAGAACAAACAAAAGTGGACACGCAGAATTATACGCATCAAACAGACTGGATGTAGCCTTCCGTAGCAATCACTCAAACCATACCCGTACCATCCGACTTGAATTTCCTACTTGCTCACTTGCTCACCTGTCCTCCACCCGAATTTTGACATCCAGCCCATCTACACAGAAGCCTAATTGCCTGGGCCCATCCTTGAGTTCAACCTCCCTCTTTACCCATCTGCCGCCCTTAGTCTCCTGCACCGTGTTTGCTTCCGCCTCACCGCCACTCCCGGTAGTGAAGGCGGCGTCCTCTTCGTCGTTGCTGTCATCCGCGTCTTCGTCCTCATCAAATCCAGCCACGGGGTCCCATTCACCCGTCTCCCAGACCAAGCGCAACCGGAGAGGTTCCTTGCCAAACAATCTGCCGGCAATTCCCTTGACACCATATATGTCTGAGGATTTTGGAAGGGAAATCGTTTTCGTTGTTGGTTGTTGCGTGCCTTTGAGCTCTGAGGCGAGATAGGAAAAATGCACGGTAATAAGGCGCGCCTCGAGGTAAGTAGGGTTTATTTCATCTCGGCGAATGATATCTGGGGCGCCATAAATGGCGCAGAGCTCTGCGTACCGGGCATGCTGGGCGAGAACCTCAGGTTCTGCTGCCTCGGGGACGGAGGCAAGCTGTTTCGCGATACGAGAGAGGTAAAACATTTCAGCATTAGAACGGTCCGAGGTTGAGATAGAGGTGAAATTAAGAGCCTTAAGGCAGCCCAAACGCCCAATGGTCAGCATATATGCCTCATCTGTAGACTTGGTCTGGTTTCCGCCGCCACCTGCGCCGCCAGGATCGGGGCGCTCATAAATGGGATTATGTGCAAACCGGAGGGCAGTGAGACCTGGGAAGGACGAGGGGAGCGCATCGACGAAGAACCAATTTGTGACGGCATTATAAGAGATATCGAGATATTGGAGGCTTGTCGGGAAGACGGGCGCCTGACCTGAAGTTGAAGAGATGGCGGAGATGTTGTTGCCTTTAAGATGAAGGTTTCGAAGGGAGTTGAGGGCTGAAAGAGATGAAAGATCTGAGAAGGAGGTGAACTCGTTGAATTCTAGAGTCAGAGTTGTGAGGGTGTCGACGAGGTGACCGAGTGGGATGTTCGGGAGCGCCGAAAGTTGATTCAAGCTACAGCTCAACGTGGCCAGAGATGGAAGCTTGCGTGAGATGTCGACAAGAGGCTTCCAACTCAACAAGGTTTCTTCGAGTTCCAGCTCATTGACGTTCGTGAACGCCTTTGTCTCCTCATCTTCAATAATTCTAAAGCGGTTACCACTAAACGCGCGTTAGCACTGTCATATTTGGCAGGGCGGACATGGTTGACGGAACATACTTGAGCCTTAGACTCCTCAGGCTAACTAACTCCTGACATATCCGAACGACCTGTATAAACTCTTCAAACAGGTTCCTGCTCAAGTCTAGCTCGATGATGAGCGGACTCGTCTCCTTGACACCCTTGTCCCCAGGCGCGACGTCAACGGCAATGCAGGTCCCGTCAAGGATCACAATGGTCAGGTCCTCGACGCGCGCAAGCTGTCGCCGGATTTTGTCGAAGCCAACCTCTTCAGCGGGCTTCTTGCCAAAGAAGACGATTTGAATCTCAGGCTCGCGCTCGGCCGCGGCTTCAGAGGCATACTTACCGTTCAGTGCGGCCACGAAGCTCTGTGGCGCGTCTGCGGGGCGAGTTGGTCGCACAAATGAAGCGGCGGTGGGGGATTTGGAAAGGCCTAATGAAACGATAAGAAATTATGCGTGACTGACAGGAGGGGAGAGGTTGAGCACAGGTGAAATATCTGACGTCCTTGTGTTGGCCATCGTGTTTTCCACGTCCGGAGTCATCCCATTCCACCCCGAGCCATGTGCCTGAGGTGCCAGCGACTGAGCCTATATAGCGGACTGTACAGAGAGCGCCATCATAGGACCGTCTCTGACCAACGTAACTATTGGATGCCATTCTTCTCGATTTTTGGTGAGTCGATGTCACCGATTATCCGATCAGCTGCCAAAGGGCATATCCTGGACCCTAGTTGTATCGCTACGGTGTGCAGGCAACAATTTTGGCATAGTGGAAGTGAGCTGGAGGGATCCCAGGAGACCACAATTGTTAGTACCGACGTTTTCACAGCGCGCCAGGCGCACTCATACATGGACAACGATTAAAAAATATATATCAAAAAATCGATAAAACTACGCGTTACTTGCATAATACCGCCAAAAATGAATTTAAACTGTCGATAAAACATATGTCAAGCGTACACTCATTAAGGTATTTACAGCTTCGACTTGGTAGGCCCCACAACCTTGATCAGGGCACGACCGTTGCTCAGGACGACCTTGCCTCCCTCAACTTTGGTCTGGAAGCGGATCTCTTCCCAGCCATCCTTGACCTCACCAGTCCTCCAGGCATCCGTCACTAGCTTATCGCCTGGCATAACAGGGCTGGCGAATCTTGCCTGGTACTCCTTGATGTTGGCAGGGTCGCTACCACCGAATGCCTGCAGCAGGCCATGGGCCGTTGAGTTCCATGAGTACAGGCCATGCATGATGGCGCCGGGGAAGCCCATCTTCTTGCCTGGCTCGGGGGTTGCATGCAGCGGGTTGTAATCGCCATTGAGGCGGTACAACAGCGCCGACTGCTTGTTTGTCTGGTGCTCAAAAGTGGCATCAGGCTTCTTGTCCTTCGGCGGAGGGAAGTTCTCGGTCGCGGGGCCCTTGGGACCACCCCAGTTGCCTTGGGCGACGTAAAAGCTGCTAGTAATTACACTGGCATAGTTCTCGTTACTGCCGGCCTCGACGAGATCAGTCTGGGTCTCGACAACAGATCCTGGACGTCCCTTATCGTAAACGCCGAGGACCTTGGTTCGGACTTCGAACTTCTTTCCGGCCGAGCTGGTGGGGAGGGGCTTGTGAAGCACAATCTTGCGCTGGCCGTCGACAACCCGGCGGGGGTCAAACGAAGGAACGTTGGGGATTTGAACAGCTTTTTGGGCGGCATAGAAGTCAATCACATCCTGGTGGTTGGTCTTGAAAGCTGGTGGTGTGTCAGTCGAGGTGCAGGCACTGAGATACTTTGTCGCGGAGGCCTACGAAGGATGATAGGATAGGTAGGAAAGACGGCGAAGTTCGGGTGTAGTTCCTGTTATCATAGCATTAGATGGAGGCATGATCGAGGGAGTTGGGCGAAAAGGCAAGACTTGCATAAAGGAAGTGCAGCTCCTGGTCGGTGCAGCCAACAGTGTTGGCGAAGAGGAGCACATCGCGCTTCACCCAGGAAACCTCCTGGCGGGGGTACTCGAATCCAACACCGGGGCCGCTCATCTTGACTTTGCAATCGACGTCTTGAAGAAATTGAGGGAATGATTAATCCAAGCAAGGAGGTTCAATTGGAAAAGTAAGGGAGAAGAATCTGGTCAAGTTGCACCTCGGCCGAGCTCTGGGGTTTCGCTGTGGTTTTAACTGGGCGCTGGTTAAGCTACCCTCGGCGCAGCTTTGGCCAGCTAACCGCAGCAATCCAGTGCCAATGAAACGTTCCTGAGCAAGTGAATTGCCAATGCCGAGGTACAAGTGTGGGGGTGGAGTTGAGCCATGCTGACAACCCCGGATCTGGACTTCGGGATCTTAGACGGCAAGTGGCCTGTTCATGGAGGGGCTTAGTTCGACATCAACCTCATTTAGATCGCGTATCACTGATCCGAATAAGATCGTGTGATGTTAGTTGTAAATTTCAAAGATTGTGTTTGCTAAACTAACTTGAATGGGCTGATGGTTATTGATGATTTCACCAGGTGGAGGGCCCTATACCTTCGTTGGTGTCGGCTATCGGCCGTTACTAGCCCCGAGACGCCGTCATAGCCCTGGTTCGTGCCGTCCTTACCTTAGACCTGGGAGCTCTTTCCTTAGCAGTTGTTTCTAAGAGAGCTCCCAGAGGCTTTCTCATCTAGGCACCATTGTTTTGATCAGTTTTATCTTCTTTCTCTGTTTCTTCTGCATCTCACAGAAAGGCCTTATCAGTCTTCTTTTCCTCATTATCATAAAACGTCCCAGAAGGTGCATCCAACCTTGACCCAAGGCCAATAACATGACGCCTTTAGAGCCAGCACAGCTCGAGAAGAGCGACGGTCTCAACTTGCCTAGGCCTTTCGATCAAGACGACCGTCGTATCATTGCTCAAGAAGTTGACAAGGTGATGAATAAGAGAGCGCAGACTGGGAAGAAGTTGCTAGAAGCCACAGTGCGCCTGACCGAGTTAGATGGCTCCGATGCACAGCAGCAGCAACAGAAGTTGCTTCAAATTTCGCAGCGCATGAAGGCTCGTGAGCAGAAATTCAAGCGCCGCCAGAACAATATCTTGTACGAAAGAGAAGAGCTTTACAAACTGGACCCTTCCAATCTCAGAGCCGACGACGTCAACCTCATGAAGGCCATGGTTGCAAAGCTTAATTGTCAAACTAAGACATCGGCGCCAGAAAAGAAGTCGAATGCACACCGAAATGTCGACAATGAGGCATTCCACCCTGCTTCGAACCCCGAGAATTCGTTCAGCGGCAATGACAGCTACTGTACCTTCCAAGATGATATGGATGACCAGACCTCTCTTAACACCGTGGACATTGTGTTCTAGAAGGGCAAGAATACCACGAAAGCTATGGATAGCAAGTGCGACAAGAGAAAGCGAGAAGAAATCTCTTCTACGCCTTCCAAGAAGGCGAAAAAAGAATGCATAGGACAGGGTATGCTGTCCTCGAATTTGGGAGTTGCTCCTGCAGATCGTGCCTCGTTACCCAAGCAGCACAACTGGAACGAGAATGGGGACACGAACGATGAGGATAAAGGACAGAAATACAAAATCACCAAGACCTTTTCTTCCAAGAATGTCAACGCACTGAAACAGAACAAGGGGTGGCCTTATGATCTTGCTGGAAAGGTCGCCGAAGAGAATCAGGAGCGCAAAAGGTCCTCTTCTTCCACAATTAGCAATATCAATGTAGCCAAAGATGGAAATCGCCAATTCGACCTTGTCAGTCTGTCTCCCGGGCTGAAGAAGAAGAACAAGCACAGAAGGTCCAAATCCTCTTCCATCATTGAGACTGCAGTGGTGGAGAATGATACGAGCACCCTCGTCAAACCTATCGCCGAGGTTTTCGAGAAGAAGAAGAAAACGAAGAAGGACAAGAATTCCAGTGACTCCTTGGACAACGAAGAACATAAGGAAAAGGAAAGCCAGAGCAGTAACAGTATTCCCTCTTACGAAGAGGTTCACATTGAGCCTAAGAAGCACGAGGAGTCGCAGAATGCCACATATATCGCCATCAGCGAAGCGGATGTAAAGAATCGCTCTTCCAACGACACCGCGATACAGACGAAGCACGAGGGCTTTTTGGTCCAAAAGCCCATTAAAACCACATACGAACAGGATCCTACTGCTACTCGCAAGAAGAAGAATAAGAGACCCCGCAGAAAGATGTCCCTTCCCACCAAAAAAGATAATGGCGAGGATTCTGGATTGAAGGGAATTGAAGACAACAAATCCATCGCTTCTAATAGTAATTTTGCGGCCGATGTCGCGCATACCCATCATGAACAGATTCAATCCGATCGCCCTATCCTGTATACCAAATCCAGCAGTGGATACACCTTCAACCCTTTTTCGGGTCTAATGAAGTACAGCACCATGAATTCCGAACCAGCAATCGCTACAACAAAGAAGGTAGAAGGCGCGGAGAAAAAACCGAAGGCAGACATGAACAATATGCCCGGGTCGAGCGAGAAGAATGTGGGCAAGGGAGCCAATGCAAAAGATGTGATCTCAAAAACTGGGAAGACTGGGAAGACCGATATGCCTCATCTGGGCCCCCAGGAGGTTGCCATGCTCACTCCAAAGAAGGAACAAAAGAAGCGGAACCGGTCTAAGAAGATCAAGATGCCACCCAGATACTCCCTCTCACGCCCCAGGTTAAGACATCTGTTTCGGTTATCAGTGCTTCTGGGAACCTTATTCAGCCTATCAGCTCTTCCGCTGCCCTTTTCGGTAGTGGGCAGTACTCTCCAGAACTCCAGAAGAAGGTTGAACAAGACAGACAGCGTCATGGGCGAGATAGAGAGGCCTTGCTCAAGCTGATGAGATTCTAGCACATTGCATACCGCAAGCTTGTGGACGAAGTGTTTTACAATTACCTGCATATCACCCGTCACAGGAAATTTTGGGATGGACTAGCATTGGAACTAGTCTCTTAGGTACCTACTTTAGGTGTAGAAGTTGATCAATAAGAATAAATTCAGTGTAAGTTTGACTGCAACCTATCGTATGATATGTCACGTTGAAAAAAGGAAATGTCGTTCGAAGGGTTTTATCGCCCCTAGGGCGATAGTCCCTGCCGTAGTATACAAAGAGTGTAGATCCTTACAAGGCAAATAAGCCAAACCGCATCATACCCAACAAAGGTGGAGCTTAGTACCGTCCCTTAGCACGGTCACATTCTTCTAGAAAACGATAGATGCCCTCCAAGCCCTCATATTCATCAGAGCATTGCTCGCTTGTCTTGGGAGTTGGCGACATGCTCTCGTAGCCTTCGGGGTCGGACATCCAGGGGTTCTCTTCCATTTCGTCGATGAATGCATCCTCCAGATCTATGTCCAAACCAGAAAGCGACCGAAGGGAACCCCCGGGTGAAGTAATTGTTTTGTTATCTTCACAATCGGGTGCGAAGGGGAAGCGAAGTGCCATTGGTACGCCAGAGCCGGCCTCAAAGCCGGCATCTTGACCAACCGCACCGCGCTGAACACCATAATCATCACACAATCGCTCAACAGTCTCAGCGTCAACACCAGGGAAACGCACTCGTAGCACACTTCCCTTTTCCATAGTGATGGGTAGGTCGCCTAGCAGGGCAAGCCGCTTCAAGTCGGCGAAAATAATAGCAAGGTCCTTTACGGCGCGAGCAAAATCGACGGACAGGACATCGAGGAAACCCTCCTCGTTGAGAGTAGTGGCAGGGGCAGCGGCGCCAGCGGAGGTAAAACCGGCGGCGGCGGCAGCACTCAGAGGGCTGAGGGCCGTGATGGTAGGGTTGAGCTTGAAGTCGATAAAAGCACCTGGATTGCCACGGGCGGTGCCCATCATCTTCACGTATGCGGCCTGCTCGAGTTCTGAGACGGCACGATAACAAAAGTCACCCCTAGCGTTCGTGCCATCATAACGCACTTTCTGGCCGGAAAGGCAGAAGGCCCGCATGGCAACGGAGACATTGTGGACCACCTGCGCCGGGGCGGCGGGGGTGTGCGAAAAGTACCGGGCTCCACCACCAACACTGTAGCCGCCCTGGGTGCGTGGGAGAGCGCCGCCGGTAAGGTTCGGTCGGAGAGTACTTGCAAATGGAGCCCGTCCTGTCATCCGCCCGACACAACGCGATGTATTTGAGCTCGGGGATGACGCCCGGTTGAATCGTGGGGCGGCATTGCCGTTACCTCCGGCAGTGGAGATCCATCGGCGGACGGTGTTATGGACACTCTGTTGAGTCGAGTACCAACGTCCTGCTCGCTTCTGTCTAAGAAGAGCGGCAGGGTGAATGGGCTGACGGCCGGTTGGCGTGGAGCGGATGGGAATAGAGGCAAATTCGCCTTGGGCGGCGGGACGCGCGGCATTGGCAAGTTTGGTCCGTATGGCTTTAGTCGTCTTAGTGATGCCTACGCGGAGGAAGCGTAGGGCTGCTGGAGCCCATATCTTCCCCACGGCGGCAGACATCTTGGCTGGTAGTTTGTGAGTCCTTGGCTCACAAGGCCGTTTGTGAAAGGGACGTTCGCAGTCCGGATCGTTTCGATGTTGTCAGTAGCTGGAGGAGTAACGGTCCCCTAGGATGACGGGTGTTCGCGGGGAGCACTTATATGGGAGGCGGCGATAAGATAGGCTTCGCCACTTCGCTGATCACGGAGATTTCCGGACGCACCGCCACAGATGATTTGGGAGGGGCTAGATACTAACCATAACCGGCTAGCTCGCTTGACCAAGCCCGGACCCCACTTCTTCTTTTTCTTCTGCCTTTAAATTTTCCCAGCGAGCTTCTGCAACCTTTACTGACTTCCCTTTCTTCTCATCAGGTCAACAATTGTGACCTTTGCCTGTCTGTTGCAATGCCGCACTGGCGCGACAGGCAGGCACTATTATTTAATGGTAAGCGCTTCTCCCATCTTCTAACCTGGTGTCTTTTTGCGAGGATGATAGTTCTTTTTTGAATATTCCGAACCAGACTAGCGCCATGGTGTTTTTATTATCTCTAGAATTACCCTGAGCAAATTTCTTCAAGCATGATCTTTTTGCTCCTGTATCGCGTAGACCAGAAGTTAACGCGTCCTAGATTTCTAAGGAAGGACCCTGGTCGCTTCAAGTTGGAAGCTAAGAACCCCGTGTCAATCTTATCAAAAAGGTATGTTACAGATTTTCAGCTGTGTACAGCTTTTTCATTCCACGTCAAAACCCCTCTCTATATGATGAACACTTCGTACACCATAGGGATTCCTCATGCAGAATACATAATGTTGAATCCGGTGCAATAGTTTCAGCCTTGTCTGATCTAGAGCCTATGAAGCACACCTTTTGATTTGCATTTATCTAGAAAGCACTAGTGCTAACTCAATTGGATAGGTGAATACAGAAACTCTTCCCTATTATGAGGCATTGCCCTTGTCATCCCTTTCGCGATGCGCCACGCATGAGGAAGATTTGAACGAACGGGCGGACATAAACGAACTTCGGTGCCCCTCGCCAGAAACAAACAGGTCGTACAAAACCTGTGGTGTTGGGTGCCGGAGCTTCTTGTTGATATCATTCGTCACCTGATTGTGGTCACCAATTAAGCAATAGGGACATTGGGCTTGCGTCATGTCTGGTCGTTACAGAAGTGCTGACCGGAAAACGCAGGTAAATACTTCTTGGATTATTCCCATGTTTTATGCGGCAATGGGTTGCTTCACTCTCAATATTGTGATGAGTTGTCAAGTATTCACACTGTTTGACTGGCTACACTTCGGTGTTTGCTGGACATGAACACACTTAACACTTTCTGATACTATTGAGGTATTTATGATCCGTATATCTACAATAGTACCCCATCGCTAACGTTTTGCAGCCTAGCTATTGGTGTTTGCTTCATCGCCGTATATGCTGTGCTAACTCAGCTCGGTAGGGAAGACACGCTTCGTGCTTGATTGCTTTGCTATGATACCCCAATGGTAGGTCATATTTCTTCCCTTCGCATGTCGCCCACCCCCTCTCAATGATGACCCAATATTAGCTCTAGTACTGAGTTCATCCTGACGAAAAAAAATACCATTCACCTTGGAGAACTGATTGAGAATGTTTTCATCAACTATTACTGTTGCACGTTGTTGCCAAGATAAGAAGCTAATTGGCGACTATAGGATTCTCCTTATATCTGCAAAAGATATTCTCCATAGCTTTGATAAAAATTTATGACATTTATTATATTGTGCATCAACACGTTCTCTGGCAAGCTTGTGAAGTTTAATCCGTTGTCCATTTGTGTCATTTCGCTTTTTGCGCCAATTGGTATCGCAGTTTCTGCATGCCTAATGCTTAAGCTGTAACCGTGCGTTCATCCCAACAATGCATCTGATTAAGTCCCAGTCGCCGTTGGCCCCGACCCAATCGGTGACAATGATGCCTGTAGCCGCATCGCCCACGTTGAGCTGATGAGGGCCCTTGCCCGGCTCGCCGTGGCTCATACAAAGATACTCGATAACGGCGGGATTGACCTTGGCAGCGATGCGCTCAGGCCAGCAGGTGGCATTGAAGAAGTTACTGGCGCTCAAGAAGTTGACGAAGAAGGGTAGTGGCGGAGCGTCGGCGTTGAACTCAGGCATGCCCGGGAGGTGGAAGAACTGCTCGGCTGCGCGCTCAAGCTGGCCACGAGAGAAATTGATCTTCTTTTCGACGTTGGTCGACTGGTCAATCTCGTAAAAGTCCTGGACGCGGATGAGGCCGCCGCCGACGGTGCCGTCCTCGCAGTTGTCGGGCCAGTGCTGGGCGTCAATGGCCCACCCCCTACCATCATGCTCGCCACGTAGAGACTCTTCGAGGCCGAAGCGACGAATCAGCACAATGCGGCCACGGCAGTCGCCGAGATGCGGGATGCGCGGTTCAATGAACCAACGGTGAGCGTCACGGCCGACGTAGCGGTCGCGCAGATAGTGGCTCAGTTGCTCGTCGTTGCCTTTGCCCGTGCCCTCGCGCTTGACAGACATGAGGACGGTCTCAGAGGGGTTAGCGTCAAGGTAGGCGTAGATATCCGAAAGCATGTCGGCGAAATATTTGTTACCCGTTAGAGAAATAGGGAAAGCGGAGTGCACGAGGGCGAGGTCATCGTTGTCTGGGTTCACGGAGACGCGGATGTCGAGGAAGCGCACACCGTTGTCAAGCTGCTCGCGGACGCCAACGGCCTGGCAACGCACCGAGGGCAGCGCTGTGTGGCATGTTGGCGAGTTGTGGGTGCCAGGGACAGAGAGGAGAGAGAGCGGGTAGTGGTCTTGCAACTCATGCATCCAGGCATTGAGATTTGCAGAAGACATGATGGCTAGGAAAGCGCCAGCCGGTATATAAACAGCTGTAAGCTCGAGGGGCGCATCGTCGAGCTTCTTCATGATAGAGGTACGATTGGAGGGGCTCGGAGCGTCGACCTCATAACGGTGGCCCTCGATTTCGAACTGGAGCCGGATGACCTCTTGGCCACCCGTGTCTGCGGCGCGGATATCCGTGGCGTTAATTGTGAAAGGGTCAACATGGACGTCTACATCCTCCGTCGTATGGGATTCCCCCTTGGCGACCGTTTCTTTTGTTGTGAAGTTCGTCGCATTGATGAAGGAGGTGATGGTGCCAAGGGTGTTGCCAAAGACATCCCCGGTGCGAACCTTCTCGGCCTCGAAGCGCTCGATGCGCTTGAGGGCTACGGGCCGAGAAGTAAGGTTGCGGATGGTAAGAGACGCCATGACTATGGGGATATCGGTGGAGGAGGGGAAGGGAAGTGAAAGACAGAACCCCATGGAGGAGGATTTTCACGGGGTTTAGAGCCTCCGGCGGGCTTCATGTACGCGTGTATAATGGGGTTCAGGGTATCTAGGGAGGGGTTACTTGCATGTAAATCGGGGCACCCTTCTGCTGAGGCGACTTACACCACGCCAAGGTACCAGAGGGGTTGCGGATGGTGCGCGGTGCTCCGTGTGGTATGTAGGTGGGATCAACTCTCTTCACGCATGCTCAGCTTGGCTTCTCCCAGCAGGGCAAGTCAAGACTATGTCAAGCCGGCAGCGGCTTCCTAGCGCAATTGAGGTTGGAAAATAGAGACGGACCCGCCTAGCGCAGCCCGTTTTGTGTAGAGCTGGCCACTAGGGCCCTGAAACTCTCTGTGATTCGCCAATGGTGACAGACTGAGACCACCTGAGGAATCGGCGCTGCCCATTGGGCCACAGGGAGCTGTTCATTGGAGCTGAGCTCAGGATGAAGGGCCCCAGCAAGGATGGACTAGCAAAAATAGTTTGACGCCAAAGGCAACAGTTCGGATAAACCAGCAACTGAGACAAGATAAAGACCGCTGAAATGTAGGGTAGGGTACGGCCTGAAGATATTTGAGTCATGATTCCCATCAGGCCTCTATATTGGCAAAGTCAAAAGAAGAGACGGTTCGGCCAATACGAGGCTTTGACGCTGTTCGGCAAGACGTTCTTGGTTTGCTCTACATTTGAGGGCTACATTGAAAGGTACACTACTGAAGCATTGCAACTTCCGCTTACAAAACAATGAAAATCGCCATCAAAGCAACTCCTTGCACATTAAACTCAAAGACATTAGCTAAGTCTGGTCATCTATGCATATTAAATCTGTACCTTAGAGCCATTCCATTATGCTTACGTTCGCCTCAGAGCTCCAAAGACCCTGCCTGGGTTATGAGCCAGAAACTTCTGAGAGCCCAAGCCCGAATCGGCAGTTGGATCATGTCATTGGATAATTCAGGGCAAAATCCATCCCCTGCCATACTAATCCGTCAATACGAGCATAATACTCCACAGATCACGCTTCTGCCTGATGAGTGGACACAATATGAATCTGCCTTGTGAGCAGAATCCCCAATATCAGCCGTGAATGTCTCCGAGCGGTTTATATAAACTCCTTCTGTATATCTCAGATACTACTTTCTCTTCCCACCCTCATAACTTATACTTTGACCCGTCTCCTTGCCGTAAAAATGGTGTCTGTTCGCTCTGCTGCCATCGCACTCTTTGCCGCCTCAGTCACTGCGCAAAAGCTTCAACCCTGGGATCAAAAGAACTTTGGTTACTCAGGCGCCCAATCAGATTTCAACGTCAGCACATACTACGAGGTAAACCTGGAACCTTGGCCGCGTGTCTCTCTCCTCTTCAATCACCTACGCACATACAGCGGTCTTTACGTCCAGTCCTCTGGAGATTTCGTCACCGACTACGAAGTAAACGCTCACGGCGTCGGAGGCGCGATTGTAGCCTCCTACAAGGTGTGCGGCGCCAAGGGCAACTTTACCTACGTCCCCTTTATCAACTCAGAAGGTACAACGGGCGTGTTGACAAATACCATCATGCTTGATGCCAGGGCATCTAAGAATGGGGCGAAGACTGCGAGAATCAATGAGATTTATCCCATATACCCTGGCGATGTAGTCTTCAGCCCCAACAACACCTCGCCCTGCCTATAGTGATGTGGGCGATTTTGATGATAAGAAGAAAAGCTTCGAAGAACTATATATATATATATGTATTGGATTCTATATGTTCTTCTTTCGACTGAAACGGGCGGGTTCTTCTGGGGCCAGGAAGCCGAGTTGACTGTTTCATCACGCAGTTCAAAGTGAGAACACAGTAAAGAGAACAACCGGCCTGCCATTAAATTCAAAGACACTGAACTAGACCGATTACCTTTCGAGCCTTGTGATGTGTTCTGAGCCACTTGCCGTGCAAGGTCAGGGAACCTAAGTGTTTTGTCAAGCATAGCAACATCCGAGTACTCACCTCGCTATATCCAATACTTCAATAGGTAATAGCAAAATGAAAACCATGATCTGTCTGCCTAAGCCGAAAGTAATTCATCCAGCGCCCAGCATTCCGGATCTCGAAGTTAGTAAACATGGTCCATAAGCAGCCTCAAAGCAGGTCAGATCATCACAAGGTCCCGGCTACCGATAGAGTGGCTCATCCAGTGATGCTCCAGATTTTGTTGGAGAAGACTTCCGGCAGGGATAATAGATCCTACACTCGTTCGCCTTCGCATTCGCCTGCGAGATGCGGTACTATTACGCGGGTAAGGCGGTGTACGGGCCACTTTGCATCGTCGAACAAAGAAATGAAGCAAACAGTTCATGGTCACTATGTTGAATGCTTTTTCGAAAGCCAGGGATTCGGTGCCCGGATGGTTGGGACAGGGCCTCTGACCAGGGAGCCAACAACTGGTGTGGACCCAACCAGCCATTTGGAACTGTCAAGAAGAGAGAGAACTCAAGATAGTCCGAACTAGCCTTAGTGATTTAGTTAGCTATTCATGCCAGTGCTGGTTAATGTCGTGCCATTGTCAGCATGGCAAGGAAACATTTTTGTTTTACAACACAGAATGCGCTTCAAGAATAGGTGTACGATGGAACAGCACGTGGGAAAACACTACTCTTGAAATAAATAGATAAAAATTACAACCTCAAAACATATGGGGAGCGGACAACTTGAGGGCTAATAGTGTGAGATGCAAAATTTTAAGAGCTGGTTATCAACTGTCATTACACCCAATGTGATGTGACTTGATCTCTCCCATCATTCATGCACTAATACTATTCATAGACAAAGACGTTCACTTCTCTGCACAAGTTTTATAGGCTTCCAACTAGTACTTCGTCACTTTGCCCTGACAGTAACATTAGATGGCCAATTTTTAGGAATACTCTTTTCCATCGAAACCTCTCCAGTTACCCAACCTAACTTGGGCTAAAGAGAAGAGCAGATCACGTCCAAAACGTGTAGCTGGGTAGGCACGGGGAATAAGAGGGTAGGACAAGTGGGGACAAGAAATTGGTCAAGCAATCTCTACTCTTCACTTCGAGCCCGCTTGCTCTTTGGTTGATCTAATGGGCCAAGCTCGGATGCTCGTCGCCGTCGATATGGCGATGACGGACGAGTCGGTATAGACGAGCCTCTTCTCCGACAAACACAAGGTGCTGTCTGTCTCTTTTCTTGCGTTCTTCCATGGACGATCTTTTCCATAAGTGATGCTGTGCCGATGACGTTGGAAGAACCTTTGATCGTTATACCTGCGTCGATATCTAACTTCAGTGGTCTTGGGCGGCCACTCTCGTCAATCATGGGTAGTCCAGTAGCCCAGTCTTTTCCTTGGATAGTTTCGACGTCAGCTTTTGCGATGGAGTTTGCCTGCTCGGAAGGAGAGCATGGTAGAACAACGAGGTTTCCATCGCATGCCACATTGATGTGTGTCGAGATACGCAGCGAGATCGGTGACAGTTCGTCATGGCTATCTTCTGTCATTGCCCCAGTATCCGGCAACTGTGAGTATGGGATACTTTCAAGTGTTTGATCACCAATGTCGTGTGCTACAGTTTGGCGAGCGAAATAGGTAGCAATATTGTCGATTATGGTCGACTGAGTTGCAGTTGAGTAGGCTGGTGGCTCCTCTATATAGCAAGACTCATTTTCTTTGCACGTTGATAAAGAGCTGAGGGTTGTAGGTACAGCCAGGTATTGAGCCTGCATACTTTGAGTTTCTGAATCCATACTGAGTTTGGGTTGGTGTCAGGTACAAGGCTACTCCAAATTTAAGCAGACAATTGAGTTGTGAATGTCACAGGTGACTGCTGTCAAACCATGTGTACTTCCTGAGAGGGAGGCGACAGGAGCGAGTGGCAAAAAGTCGAGGCTGTGGAGGTGGTTTGAGTGGTAAGTATGACATTTGAACCTCACGGAAGAAGTAGCACTGTCATATATACATTCTAGTCGAATTGGAGGGACAGCGAACCGAAACTTGAAGGGCTTACAACTGTAGCGGAGCCATACTAAACAAGGAAAGAACACCGCCTGTTGAGAAAGCCAAGACCCATATCATACAATGCAGGCATGAGTAACTAGCTAGGCCAACGGTGCAGAAATAGGATGTCAAGGAACATGATACAAACAATTTGAGTGACACTGCCCACCTTTTTCCTTGGCTCAGTAGCATCAAATAATTTCCCATTGTGATATCTTCATATCTAACAAGCAGTACTAACTCTCGGGTAGCATTGCATGGTGATATGAACCACTTTGCCGAGGCTGTCATCCTATTGTTGGGAAGCATGCTGTCTATTGTTCTCCGAGCTAGGGGGGCACAGTTCATCAATTTCCACAACTACAACCGCCAGCGGAAGGCATGAGCTACGATAGTATGAGCCGTCAAGATAGCCTCGCAAACCCACCAGGACATGTGCGGCCGATTACTCGTGAGTCATTACATCTGCGTCATCATCATCTGCTGCACCTCCGTCTTTCGGCGTTGCGGCGAAAAGCGTTCGTGACAGAAATTTAGGCAATGGCTGGATATTCATAGAGCTAGGATTTGTGTCAGTCTTCTTGAGCTGTTACCTTACGCATAAATGTCTGTGGGAATATCCCCTGCTCCATCTGAATAGGTGTTGTGAAACAGGCAGACTCTGGGCTTCAACTGTGGTTCGAAGGCCATTGGTGTTGGGCAGCAGTTGAAGTTGGCGGAAATATACCTGGATAGCGGGACCCTAAGGTCCTGGAATGCAAACAAAAATGTCGGTTATTGTACTAGCTCCTAATCCGATCGAAAATCGTACAATCGGTAACGGATAAGTGCTGTCCTGGGCAAGCAAACATAGACCATGTGGTATCCGGCCATAAGACGCCAACCGCCTGCCTAATTCTCCGAAGCTCGGGAGGCTTTCCTGAAGGTACCTCTGGGAGGAGAAAGTCTATTGTCTTATCCACGTACTCAAAAATTGAGCGGCGCAACCAACAATGTACACTTACATAGCCGTTGTCATATCAGGACACAGTGGTAGTCGTTTGCAACTGAACTCTTTCAAATTCAAATAACGCCTTTATTCATTCGCTCTCCAGTCCTAGAAGAATGTTAACTCATTCATGTTCGACTTAATTCGATGGCGCTTGTTCATTATTTTTACAACCCTCCGGACAGCCAGGGCTGACTGACGGTTAACAGTCATTGTCTCTGCATCATTGCTTCCGAGAAAAAGTCTCCCCCCGTAAAACCCTGGAATTCAATCTCTATAGTTGCAATGCTGAGTTCCCATGATGGTCCGTCGCCGCACACGCAGACAGAGACCATTTGCATATCACTTAGTCTCTCGTCATGAGATCAACAGTTTTCAAAGTATCTTCCAGAAATAATGCTATGATATTTCCTTTGTCAACTGCAAGGAAGACTCCATTTTGTCAGACATGCTTTCATGTCAGCAGCAAACCAACAGGCAGTAGGATACTAGTGTATTCGTACATTCCTATGGGTGGGTGGTTTCTGGACGCCGGCCCTGGACTCCTCCCCCGTTAGTTAAATCGGAGGCTGTGGTTAGGCCTAAGAGGCTCATTTGTAACAAAATGACCTGGAGAAATCGGTCATTGCGTATTAGTGACGTTCTCTTAATAATAACATTGCCCTAAGCGGCATCAGTCTAATAGCACAACCTCGGGGATACAGTTTTCCGATGTAAAGACTACCTATCGCAAGAGAAACTCCGGTTTCCAAGTATTCAAAACAAGAGAAACAAGCTAGCTCTTGGTTTAGCAGTACGGGAAGCTTGTTTATGTGCAAGGTTTGACGGGAGCACTTGATGTCCTGCTGCCGTTAAACCCAAGACTAGCCGGCAACGAACGGACTCCCAACACGCTTTCTACTTCTCCGACCGCACAGGCTTTATTTAGATATGAATTATCACCAAAAAAACGTCAAAGAAATACTGGTGGTCTTGATTCAAATTACTCACCACTGCGGCTTAACAAATCTTGATGTGAAGCTTGCCTCCCACTGGGACGCTCATCAACATTCTGCTATCAATAGAACCAAACGGCTTATGTAGGTTGAGAAAGGCTCACCAAAGAAATCAAGGTGGAGATGACAGAAGTTTTGCAAGGCTAGTATCGGCTTCAAGTGCACCATCTGTAGACTGCCAGTTGCAAACTTGCACATCACTGACATTCAACAGGCCTCATCGTAGCGTGTTCATATCAAGATTTACTTTAATGTAGATGAAGTTCATCTTTTCTCCCCTTGCATTAGCCAGTACGACAAAGTTTCGTAGCCGGGCCATCTGTCCAGTCGGAAACACCCCAAACCTATGCCATTTTGATCTTGACGAAGAACTGCATGTGGTATTCTGGATTTAAAAACGATGCCAATCGTCAGTCACAAATCCAGTGGCCAGATTATATCAACTTGAGCCGGCCGCTGCTAGCTTTGGAAACAACTCATAGAATGAAAATAGTGTAGTCGAGCTCTGGGACGGAAGCTAGAAAAGCAATACCAGTAGTCTCAAAATTTGTGGAACTCCTGTCTGTAGTAAGTAAGCTGAGTATCAATTCACACCATGAGCGCCCAGTCACCTCGAAGTCGCGTATTATAGATGCCGTGGTGCCGATAGTCTGGTATCTAAAATTACCGGATACTTTCTAGCCCTTTTTGGTTACGCTTTGTGAATATCTGAGTTGAAGGGCTGATGCTATGATTTGTGCCATGTTTTGTGCTCCCTGGTTCCATTCTGTCTGGGCGGGTGCTGAATATGCGTGACCACACCTCCTGGGGGAAAATAAAAAGGAAACAAACAAACACCCCTGATTTGCCATATTGAAGCAAAATTCAGTTGGTGAGTACTATATTATTGTTGGCACCAATGTTGGCCAATCGAGCAACTGGCTATGCTCCAAGTTTTCTGGGGAGGGCAGCGACGTACCGAAGTCATCTACTCCACGCGGAGCTCACTCCGAAGCGCCTAAAACGTCCTTCGTAGTTGACGAGGTTATGTAATCCGGGTGGCGCGTAACACTGGTAAGACAGATATCATGGTACTCATTGTTAAATGGTGAGACTTTTAGAGACCCATAACCGTTGTTGTCTTGGTGTGAAGCATGGAATTTGGTTAGAACGAAATTAGTTGACAACGCATGTGTTCCATTGGTACTTAGAAAACATGCCACATGAGCAATCAAGTCAGGTATTCGAGAAACTCGTCTCTATTCTGGTAGCCAAATGGTCTACCTATCTACAGCCCATTTCCACACCTGAATGATCTCTTCTGACTCTCTCCCAGTCATCATCCATACCCGCAAGAGATGGGTCGGCTAGAAAACTAGGAAAGAAAAGATGTTGAAGTTCTTTTGTTTCCCCGTTAACGCCGATGTATATGCTTTGTTTGTTGCCCCTTTCGATCAATCCGAAGGGTATCTCTCATAATGCATTGCTCTTTTCAGAGGAAAAAGGAAATTTCAAAAGATTCGCAGGATATGCTCCTGATCCCGCTTGTTTGTCTTTGTTGAAAGACGCCACCGCTCCCATTGACCAGAAAACTTATTGTTTAACACCTGAAGAAAACCCTACCAAAAGACCTCGTTGTTTTGCCTTTACCCGCAAAGGCTTGAAACCGGGATTCGTTGAGAACCGTACGCCATATTTGAGTGCCTGTCCGCATGAATATCAAAATTATTATAAACGTCTAGGTCGTTGCAATGCAGGAAGCTTGTTGAAGGAATCCTGCTCGGTCCAGTGCCATGTATTATCAGACACTTAGAACTTGAGAGCCTTGGGCTGCTCCCAGGTGAAGCTCTGGTTGGTACCGAAGTGGCCGTTCTTGGCGGTCTGGAGGTAGATGGGGCGGTCCAGGTTGAGCTCGCGAACAATGACACCGGGGCGGAGGTCAAAGTTGTTGCGGATAATCTCGACGAGCTCGTCGGAGGTCTTGTCGGAAGTACCGTAGGTGTCAACGTAAATGGAGAGGGGCTCAGCGACACCAATGGCGTAGGAGAGCTGGACGAGGGCACGGCGGGCAAGGCCGGCGGCGACGAGGGACTTGGCGATCCAGCGGCCGACGTAGGCAGCAGAGCGATCGACCTTGGAGAAGTCCTTACCGGAGAAGGCACCACCACCGTGGGCACCCCAGCCACCGTAGGTGTCGACAATGATCTTGCGACCGGTCAGACCGGCGTCACCCTGGGGTCCACCAATGATGAAGAGGCCAGAGGGCTGGATCTGCTTGGGGGTTAGCATTTGTTGTGGAAAGCATCTGCAAGCGAGCGTGACTTACGTGGTAGATGGTCTTGTCGTCAAGGTACTTCTCGGGGATGACCTTCTTGATGATCTTCTCCTTAATCTCCTTGCGGAGCTGCTCAGTGGAGATGTCCTCGGAGTGCTGGGCAGAGACGACGATGGTGTCGACGCGCAGGGGGACGACAGCACCGTTGTCGTGCTTGTACTCAATGGTGACCTGGGTCTTGGTGTCGGGGCGGAGCCAGGGAAGGGAGCCGTCACGGCGGGCAGCGGACATGGCAGCGTTGAGCTTGTGGGCGAAAAGGAGGGTAAGGGGGAAGAGCTCAGGGGTCTCATCGGTGGCATAGCCGAACATGATACCCTGGTCACCAGCACCGAGCTGCTCGAGGGCCTTCTCGTAGTGGAGACCCTGAGCGATATCGGGAGACTGCTCCTCAATGGCGACGAGCAGGTTAAGGGTCTTGTAGTCGAAGCCCTTGGCGGAGTCATCGTAGCCGATGTCCTGGACAGCCTTGCGGACGACCTTCTGGTAGTCAAGCTTGGCCTTGGTGGTGATCTCACCGAAGACCATGATCATACCGGTCTTGGTAGCAGTCTCGCAAGCAACCTTGGAGAGGGGATCCTCAGCCAGGCAGGCGTCGAGGATAGCATCGGAAACCTGGTCGGCAATCTTGTCGGGGTGACCCTCACCGACGGACTCGGACTATCTCGGAGAGTTAGTAGGGAGCCAGATTTTTTCCTCCTTCTCACCGCCTGGGAGGGGAGGGGAGAATCTTACGGTGAAGAGGAAGTTGCCCTCGTTGTAGTGCTTGCGGCTGGCAATGCCGTTGCCGTTGACACCGTTGGGAGACATTTTGATTTAAGAGGGGGGTAAGAGGGGGGAAAGGTGAAGAATAGAATAAAGAAAAGGTATCGAGAGAAAGAATCGGTACGGTGAAAATCTACCGACGCGGGGCACCGAGGGGCTATGAAGGTAGCAGGGGAAAAAAGCTACTTCTGGGTCGAGGGGTTAGCTTGCTGTGGTGGAGAATGTGGCCTGGAGCTCAATGTGAGGTCAATTGCTTACCTAGAGGAGAGAGAGGACCAGAGGTAAAGCTTGTAGATGTGGAAGAGGAAGAAAGAGCAAGAAGAGAGGGCGGGAAATGTGGCCGTTCGGGTTTTAAAAGAACAGAGAAAGAGAGCGAGCTTGGGACGGTTGGGAAGAAAAATCTCGCTCCCCTCTGGCAAAAGCTCAAGCGGATTTGACGCACTATTCGTGGGAGACCTCTACCGAGAGCCGGAGCGGGTGCAATATACTTTCGGTAACACACAATTATTGTTGACAGCAAATGTACACCCGCCCGCCGACCCCTCCATCCCTATGTACCAGCCCTGTCGAAGGGGGGCCCCAAAATTCTCCAGATTGCGCCATCCTCACGACTTCCTCCCTTGACCGCCTTCCAGCATTTCTGCGTCCTGCGGGCTCACCCCTCTTGAGGCCACCTAACGACACCCGTGGAACCGCTGTGGTTACCACCACACAATGTAGTGTCGAGGTCTACGTACTAATTAGCATATACAGTAGCAACGGATCCGGGGCCAACCCAGCCTCCAAACACCAAACCGTCGAGTTCCCAGCCTGGGGACACTAAGATTTACACAGTGACTTGGAATACGCACCCTCAACGATACCCATCCTTGCCTCCCCGAAGGAGCTCGGGCTCAATTCTGTTTCGTTTTCCCTACTGTGAAGGTTGGGGGGGGAGGGGAAGAAGGCAAAAGCAAAGTTGCCGTGTCCTTTTGGCCGCCTGCCTCAGCTAAGATGCAATCGCGCAATCACTCTTAGCAATCACGGAGTTGAAACCCTCTGGAACTCTATTGTCTTTGACTCTGCCGGTGTCACCATTCATCCAACTGAATGCATTGTCTGATAATCTGTTGCAGAGTCTCCATCAAGCGTAAGCAATTTGTAGCCAAGAAGCATTGCGCCCCTTCCTTCGCGAGCGCGTGCGAGAGGAGGGGAAGACATTTCCGCATCGGAATGCCCACGGCACGCGCCGACAGCCCGTTAACATTCCCCTTGTCAATCGTATTACGAAGGACGTAAAGTAAATCCGTCCGTTGACATTCCGTTGTCAACTATATTATGGAGGATGGAAAATAAATCCGCCCGTTGGTGCTATTCCTCTCGGCGCATTCCTCCTGCAGACTCGCATTCCGAGGGAATTGCGATAACGCCTACGCCCCCATCCCTCCAATACCTCTCTCAGCGCTTGCAAAGTTCCTAGACAAGGGTGTAGAAGAACGTGCCGACATTGTTGAATCGTCAGACAACTGAGAAACCCCTGTCGAAACAGGCTAGGCCTGTACATGTAGTCAGGCCTGTAGCAGATCTTCCGTCTGGGCGGTGAGAATGTGCCCCTCCCGCACTTCACACGTGCTAGTGGCATTGGACCGAAATTCCGCTGCAAGCCGTGTGGCCACTTATTGTACTCTGAACGAGTGGATGCCTGGCCGAAGGAATCAAAAAGTGACAGTAAGAAAGAAAAAAAAAAAAAACGGCAAGAAAAAAAAAACGGCTGCAGCTCTTATCGCAAGCTATCTATCCGTATCGCAAGGAAATTTTTTCCCCCCCTCCTTGGCATGTCGTCGGCTGGGCCACCGATTACAGGTGAGTTACATCCAACGTACGTAGTTAGTTATATGTATATACGAAGTCCAACTATATACTGCCTTTTGATTCCTTAGCGTTTTCAGCCACCGACTCATTGGAAGTGGCGCGCAAAAAAAAAAAAAATAGGGCGATCACCGTGACCCTTGACGTGCGCTCGTTCCTGCATGGCGGGGTAATCCATAGAAACTGCCCTTTTCAAACCTGCGCCAGTGACTTTTTCGGTCGATCCTGAATCAAGCACCAGACTTGGGCCGACAACACCGCAAACTCTTTCTCCCGTACTTGAACTTTTTTTCCCTTACATTGCAGCCTGCAACCCCAAACCTCAAACCACATCCCTACACGCCAAAATGAGCAAGTACGGTGTGATGGTCATGGGCCCCGCCGGGGCCGGCAAGGTGAGTTCCCTTCCCATCATGCCTTGCTCCCTTCCCCCATCCATACCTGTAGGATGCCCCGTGGCCGGGACTCGGCTCCGTTGGTGAAACCGGGCAGGCCTCCGTCGCCGAGGCCGAGAAATGAAGCTTTCCCACTTCCCCGACCCGCGGCTCCGAAGACGGAATACTAATCCTCCCGTTTACAGTCCACCTTCTGTGCCTCCCTCATCACTCACCTGAACCTCAACCGCCGCTCGGCCTTCTACGTTAACCTCGACCCAGCTGCCGAGTCTTTCGAGCATGCGCCCGATCTCGATATCAAGGATCTCATCTCCCTCCATGATGCCATGGAGGAGGTTGGTCTCGGCCCCAACGGCGGTCTCATCTACTGCTTCGAGTTCCTCATGGAGAACCTCGACTTCCTCACCGAAGCCCTGGACAACCTGACGGAAGAGTACCTCATCATCTTTGACATGCCCGGCCAGATCGAGCTCTACACCCACATCCCCATTCTCCCTGCCCTCGCTCGTTTCCTCTCCCAGCCAGGCTCCCTCGACATCCGCCTCTGCGCCGCATACCTCCTCGAGGCTACCTTCGTCGTCGACCGCGCCAAGTTCTTCGCTGGTACCCTGAGCGCCATGTCCGCCATGATCATGCTCGAGATCCCCCACCTCAACGTGCTGTCCAAGATGGACCTCGTCAAGGACCAGGTGCGCAAGAAGGACCTCAAGCGCTTCCTCACGCCCGACACGGGGCTTCTCGACGACGATCCGGTCATTGCGTCAAGCGAGCTCGACGACGGCCGTGGCGAGGTCCACGACAAGGATCTCGTCATGCGCGGGAAGAGTTTCCAGCGGCTGAACAAGGCCGTTGCCGGGCTCATTGAGAGTTTCAGCATGGTCAACTACCTCAAGCTGGACGTCACGGACGAGGAGAGCGTGGGCGCTATTCTCAGTTACATTGACGACATCATCCAGTATCACGAGGCGCAGGAGCCCAAGGAGATGCATGACGACGAATTTGAACCTCAGGACGATGAGTAGGCCCTTTGGTCCAAGTTCTTTTACGATTATGCCATAGATTCGGTCTGGATATTATACCATACCATGAAAAGCCCACCTGGGCCGATGGAGAGAAGGCCAGGGACGGGGAGTCACAGGAAAAAGACTTTGGAGGTATTTGGGGTTGCTTGCATAGCGTTGGCGTTGGTATTGATAATTTAACATTGACTCATTCATAATCGTATACGGCAATGTGCCTGACGGCATGCGCCTGCGTCTTGAAGCCGCGAGGCCTTCTTCTGACACCCTTGGTCGTGCTGTGTATATCCAATCTGGCCCCTCTAGACCACAGCCATGCCCTCTGCGGCTCCGAGTCAACTGCCATCACGGCCTTCCCCGGCCCTCAATACCATGGCAGATGCCCAAACAGTTGTATATCAGTTCCATAACAAGCCCTTTTTAAATGTACTCCTAGTATATCTTCCTCTTTCATCCTGTTATTCATCGGTGCCTCCTTCCTTGAAACTGCGTCTCCTCTTCGTATCTCTTGTACTCGGAAATCCACACATCCTTCAACGCCGTTGCGAAACCCACGACCTTGCCGCCGACAACGACCGCATCCTTTGCCGTCTCCCAGACACCCCTCTGCACCACAGCCGCAAGAACGGCGACAACGGCACCCCAGAAGGCGATCCTCAGCACGAGCGCAGTCCAGAACGCCACGACGCGGCGGATCCAGTTGAGTACCACGACCGTCGCGGCCAGTAGCGCGAGCAGGATGCCGAACGACACAAGCTCCGGGGAGTCTTGCAGAAAGGCGAGAGTCGCGTCGACCGCGGGCGCGAGGTAAGGGTACACCGTGTCGAAGGCACGCGATGCGGCGGCGACGAAGTGCTGGCGCAGGATCTGGACCGGGGAGGAAGGGTGCAGGGCGTTCTTGTTGATGAAGTCGACGGCCTCTGGGGGCAGCAGGGAACGGAGAAGAAAATTCGTCACTGAGGGATCGGCCATTTTGGACATTTCAGGTTTTGCGTAGTATGGTGACTAGGTTTTTTTTTTGGGTGCTGTGCGTGCGTGTGTGTGTGTGTGTGTGTGTGTGTGTGTGTGTGTGTGTGTGTGTGTGTGTGTGTGGTTGGGTTTGGGGAGAGTTCGTTTTGGCAAGTTTGTTTTGCTTCGAATGGTCCGCTGGAGCAATTGAGTCTTCTTTGCTGATAAACAGTACGAAGAGAAGCCTTAGTTTAAGGGGAGACAACTATACGCCAAAAGGCAATTGTGGTGGGCTCGCCGCAAGACAAACAAACAATGCCGCGGTGTGAGGTTGTAGCCGCGCAGAGAAATTGGACCCTTGGAGCACGAGCCTGTTGGCGATATGCGGTGAACCGGTCGGGGTAGTAGTGGTTGTCGTGTTGTTTTTTTAGTGGGGAAGAAGGGGTGCTTGTCACAAGCATGTGGGTAGCGACTGGGGAACTGGACTAGCACGCCAGATGAAAACGACTTATGGAATCTAACCCCGAGCACCTTCTGAGACCGCCGAGACAGACTAAGGGAAAGTCCATCAACGACTGGAAAGAATAAACCCATAAGAGTGGATTAGTTGAGACTAGCTATAGATAGCATGCCAAAAGAGATGAAAAATATACAAAAAAGTGGCCATCTGAAATCCACGTTGTGTTTGGCATAAACCAAGCTGCAGCTCGTCCGTCGTACCAATGGGCTTGTGCTCGAGCTCTGCCTCCAAACCACAAGCTGAACTTCCCGCAGTAACGATCCTGGTGACCAGGATGGATGCTGGGACATGCAGCTTTGTCCAGCCTGCCTCAACTTGCTGAGAAATGCAACAAGTCTTGCCAAATCGTCCGCTCGTGAACACCAGGTTTCGGCTTTCCGCATTAATAAAAGGGCCTGGAAAATTCCAAGAAGGAAGAGATGGCATTCTTCGTAGGATGAGGTCCATGGCGCCTTTGATTTGCTTCCTCAGGCCCTGAATATAGCTTCCATTGAACCTGTGATTGACGAAATCTTGAAACAGACCCAGGTCTAGAATCACATCGTTTGCTTCTTGTATAAGATATGGGAACCTGGTTCGAGGACTTGACACAAACTGCCTAAACTGATTCTAATGCAAAACTGCGCTGTTGTTCACCTACATAACCGCCTGCGGTAACGGCTTGCTTACATGTTCCTAACACGGGCACTCGATACTCCACATAGATATTGAGCATCATCTAAACAAAGGAAAATATGTTTGTCGCCATCTTACAGGCAAGAAGTGGGATACAAGAAAGAAAAAGGCTAAGGGAGTAGCTCCCAAAGAAGTACAAGAAGGGTATCGAATCTAAAAACTATAATCGCATCAATCAGCCTATGGGTGGAAGTAAACGTCTTCCACGACGGCAGCCTCCCTGCTCAACTGCAACCTCTCGCCTGCTTCATTTGACATTATCAGTTATTCGTTTTTGCGCGCCAAATGTCAATGTCCCGACCAAGCCGCTGTGCTGCGCCGTGCAGCTATAGCCCTGCCGCTTTGTGGTTACCAGAATACTCCAAACATACATTGTTCAAACAAATACATCGCCTTCTCATGAGGTTTCACCCATCCCTTCTAGAATTCGGCGCGCGTTGTCGATACGCCTTCTGTACATCCGGCCCTCTGCGGAGGCCTTGCCAGCTTCGCTCAAAGCGAGTACGCAGCGCCCCAGACTAGCCACAAAACGCTCGACAAGGATCTGGTCTTCCTTGGCCAGTTGCTGCATTGGCGCAAGCTGGTCCGGTCCGTGGATGTTCTCCTTATCGCAGACGCTAGCAGTCTCGCTCATAAGGGCATCCGAGATGCTCCTGAGCTCCAGCTCAGGCGACCCTTGAGGTGTGAGGACGCCAACAACGTTCACCCGCGTTCTACCCGCCAAGGGAAAGCTGCGGTTGGTTCCAGTAGAATCAAACGACGCGCTTCCCGCCCGGTGGCCCATGGTCGCCTGGGTGCTCATAGGACGATGAAAAGCAACCGAGCCTGCACGCGCCCGGGTTCGCATCTCCTCAAGCACATCGCCACCATTGATACTTCCAATCGTCGACCGTTTGGTGGTCGAAGGACTCTCCGTGTGCTCACTGATTGGGCTGATGCTTGGCGGGGTAAGAACGGGCTGTCTCAGATCGTCCTCAGTAGCACTGCTGCTGATTCGACTGGATCGACCATCATGCGCAGTTGCAAAAGAATCCATGGTCGAGGTTGTGTCACCACTGCCTCTCCGGTTGTACGATTTCGGGCGGAGCGACTCATTAGACGACGTCAAAGGTCCGCGTGTTGTCTCAACAGAATCCTCGGAACTGAAGCTTCCTCGGCGGCTGTCCTGTCGTGCCATGCGTTGCTGGCTAATAGTGCCCATGGCGCTGTGGAGGAAGAAATGCTCATAATCAAAGGCATCTTCTCGGTCTTCGTGCGAGACAGGAGACTGGTACGTATCGTGGTAAAGGGAATCCCCACTCTCACTATCATACCCGTCGTCCTCCTGTACCTGAACACTGTCTTCAAATCCATCTTCGGTGTGCATGTCGGACAAATCGTCGTCGTCAGATCCCATATGCGCATTTGCTTCCATGGCCTCGAGGGCCTTTTGTCGCTCCTCCAAACGAATCGCCTCTTGTGCCGCTTCGTAATCCCCAACGACAGACTCCTCATCCTTGATCGATGAATCTCCACTGTCGATCTCTCTCTCCTTCACATGATTCTCTTTGTTACCATCGTCGTCGTAGGACACTTCGCCGTTCCAAGTATCTTCTTCTTCTTCCAGGGGTGTAGAAGATGGCTCAGGCGAAGATTGTCTTTGAGTTCCGGCATACCACTGGTCGACCTGGGAGTGAGTAAAAGGGCTTGGGGTCCGCAAGCTCTGGAGACTGCGTCGTCGCATACTATCCGCCCGCGCCTGCTCTCTCAGTGAGGAGATCTTGCCTTTAAGGTCCATGACCTGGCCTTTTAGGTCACGCATCTGCGCTGCTGAGGCCGAGCGTGTGAGCGGTTTGGCTGGGCCACCTAGTGCAGAGCTCGAGCGACTCTCTCGCTTGGTGGTGCTGTCGCTCCCTGAGTGGAAATCTGTCGAAACCTCGTCTTCACCCAGAGTGTCTAAGCCAGCCTCATGAGCCGCTTTGTATCGCGGTTGCACGTCTCGCCCGGAGTTTAGGTGTTCCAGCGTGGTGGCGTCAGAGGAATACTTCCTGTTTGGAACGGGCTGGCGGTATCCTCCGGCTGCGCCCATTGCACTCGCTGATCTTTTTGGAACTACGCCCGAGTTCGCTAGCTCAATGTTGATTGAGGAATCACTCATCATCCTCCCGTGGCCATATATGGAGTTCGGGGAAGTTGCTGAAGAAGTCGATCTCATCATTGGTGGAGAAGGGGTTGAGCCAGCACCATCAAACGAAGATATCGAATTCGTGGAGACGCTTAGCGAGCTTCGCGCTCTCGAAAGGTTACCCTCCATTGTCTAGACTAGTTAGTATAACTTCGTCTGGGGGATACCCAACAATACGTACTGTTAGCCTGCGTTTGGCGTTTGCAAGAATCTGTTCGGCTCTTCGACTTATCAACGCGGTTGAATACCTATCGGGATCGTTGAGAGATGCCCTTGTGGGTTGTGAAATGACATGGGCTTGATGAACAGAAACATCTTCTGCGTACGATTCTGCCACACTTTCTTCATCATCGCCCTGGAAATTGCTGTCATCAACGCTAACTGCATCGTCGAAATCGGCGAACACGTTGTTGTGATCTTGCATGGTTGTCACTGTGCTCATAGATTCGGCTGAGGATCGTCGCTCGTGCGCGCGGGCCGCCCGCTTCTTAATACTCTCATATGCCTTTGTTGGCGAAGGGTACCGCTCGTCAGCGCCTCGATTACTGGGTCGTGCCCAAACGATAGAAGATGGGCGTGAATTTTTGCCTGGCGTGCTCTCAACCTCGGTAACCTCACCAATATCGGACAGCATCGTTCCATTGCCGTAGATGATTGGTGTCGTGGGTGTAATAGGACCGGCGATGTAGGCGCTTGGAGGGAACTGGAACTGCATGTTCATGTCGGCTGCCTGAGAGTTCTTCCACATGGTGAGGGGAGAATGGGGTCGGTCGGGGGAAGGCGAGCGATCGTAGTCGGGAAGAATCATATCCGGATTCGTCAGAGTAGGAGAAGAGGGCAGCGGGGGGTATGACGAGGTGGAGCTTGAATGGGCATGGCCGCCATGGTGAATAGTCTGTGTCGCCATGGTCGCGTTGGCCAAGTTTTACAAGCGATTCAGGTCTGGTTGTGTGGCCTCCTGGGCGCCTGTTTATCTGGATCGCGCTCGTTGATTGTCGTTACAGTGGCCGTGGAGTCGTGGGAAAAAGACCGAGTCGGGCTCCAACCAACAAGACGGTTTGAGTGCAATTAAACTGGTGAGTCTCCGAAGGCGCAGTAAACTCAATTGGACACTTATTCTTGGTATACGAATACAAGACAAGATGAAAGCATTTGGGCAGACTTTTGGGAAAGTTCAGACCAATCTTAAAGTCAGCCTGATCCGTGGGCCGTCTGGTTGGTAGTGTCGGATGAAATAAAGCTGATTCGGAATTCCGTTTCCCAGGGTCGAGCGCAGAAGTCAAGCTTGCGGCGGAACCTAGGTACAACCGGACTCGCTCCAAACGAAGCGCGGAAGATGACGACCTGGGAAGGCAGAAATATTATAGGTTGATTATAGATGACGGAAAGCGACTGCTGGGAACAAGTGGCCCGGGGTTTCGTTGTAAATATGCGAAATGAGGGGTGCCGTAGCTATGCCGGGTGCTGAACGTGGAAGGAGGCTATAAACTGAAAGGCCGCTTGCGGGCAACAAGACGTCGTTCGTGGGGGGTCAAAGACCGTATGCGTGCGCAAAACAGGCAAACAAGCTGCCGGGTTCGGGTTCGGGGAGGTGACCGGATTGAGAAGCTATAGATGCTGCTCAGAGGGTCGTTGATCGGAGATTCGACGTCAGAAAAGTTGACGGGCTGATGGTGATTGACGTTTGACAAAATCTGACAGCTTTCTCCTTCTTTTCCTCCTCTTCGAATCGTTGGCTCAGGCTGTTTGGATCCGGCTGGGGGGCGACGCGACGGCCCTGGGTTTAAGGGGTTGCAGTTGACGGCGGTGGGCGCGAAAAGGCGACTGGGCCCAGCAGAAAGGTAAAGGTACGGGTATGTCTAAAATGATCTGGGCAGCCGACCAATCAAGACAATCAGGAGGCCGTGAGACATGCGGCCGATGTCTTGGGGCTTGTTCTTGTCTCTCGCTGAGGTGCAGCAGCAGTAATGGACACCTGCAGACTGCACAACTTCAATACGAGAAGATGAGTAGCTAGAGATGGAGGGTGGAAGTTCGCAGCGAGCAGATAATGATTTCTGGGTTTGCTTTCGCAGGCTGATCTCGGCTGGGTGCCCTGGGCCAGGATGATAAGATTGACAGGCTGCGGGAGATGAGCAGTCTAGGGTCGAGGACAGCTCGCCAGTGCAGGAGGTAGAAAGGCTCAAGATACTCGGGGTGACAGTTTATGATGCCGAGACGCATGGAAGAAATGGCGAGGGATGCGCACGAGTTGATCGTGCCCTACATAGCACGAGTTAAAGCGAATGAACGGGCTTGGAAGACGGGCTTGACTTGACATTGACTTGACGCTTGACCAAGTGACTCGCGGAGGCTAGACCGAGCCTGAAAGGACCGTCAAGTGCGTGGTCCTCCGTGAGGTATTAGTGGGTGCTATAGCCTGTACCTGACTGCCGAGAGACACTCTGGCCTCGGAAAGGATCGACGGGCAGTGAGTGAATAAGAAAAAAGTAATGAAAAGCAAAGCACGGTCAGACAATCATCAATTAAGCAATGACAGCAGGTGGATGTCCGTCACCCCAGCCCGGAGCCGTCAATGGAAAGAGGCGTTTTCTACTAGTATGTCCGTCTTCCATGGCCTGGTTTCTCTCCTGTCCGTTACTCCAGGATGAGGCTATGTGAATGAAGTGGGCAGCGAACTCACTCACTCACTTCCCTATAACTCAGTGTGAGAGAGACAAGGCATCATATCTGTACTTCCGTCACGACTGGAAGAACTGTACTGTTTCTGGGTCTTCGTCTCGAATCGATGTCGCTCCAGCCAACTAACTCGCTTTTGGGTGCCACCAGCTACCTGTACATAGTACTAGTAGTAGTCGTAATTCGCAGGTCCAGTCAGAGAACAGGCATTCCCCATGTCTGGCAGCCCTTTCCTCTTCGTAAAATTTTCCAAATTTCTTGCTCCAACAAAGAAGCGGAGCCCATGGTCGCGTATCCTGGTTTTGGACCGGTTCCCCCTGGATTGCACCCTTGGCTGCAGTGGCTTGCAGCATGGTTGCGCACATGGGGGCCCACATTGCTGGTGCTGAAGCCTGGGTGCCTGGGAAGAGAGACTTTGTGAAGGACTGAAAAGGCGTGTGTGCGTGTGTGTGTGTCCAGGACCCTGGCATACCATTCAGATACCACCAATCCTAGACGCTGTTATCATTTACGTGGGTGCCTGAGTCGCCTAGCCCTTATTGGGACAAGCGGCCTTGTTGTGCAATGTTCCTTCTTCAAGGTCCTGGGGCTCCTGCCCGTCAAGCAAAGTCTCACTCGAATGAAGTTGCAGGCTGATTGGGCCCAGGCGTTGGGGCTAATAACGCCTTGGCTCCTAAGCACTGACCAGCGGGTGGGCTCCGCGGCAGCGGGATAAACACCTTTCTACCCAAGTGATGGCTCCTGAAGTCCGTAGTTGTCCCCTAACCTCCGGCGACCTTCTTTCAGCTGCATCCCACCATAGTCCGAACGACCTCTCAAGCTCCCTGCCGAAATCGTAGCTGTGACTTACATGGTCTAACGGTGCTCGTCCGCCGCCTCAGTTTAACTTTCAATGTGGATTCCCTCAGTCACTACCTGCAGCTATCGGCCTTTCGAAGGAACGTCGTCTGAGCTTGACTGATATTGTAGCCTTTCGACACGACTGATATGCTTTACCTTGGAGTCCGTGGCCTGGTAGCGACATGAAGGGAATCATGGTTATTCCCTGGAGTGGATGCATCGCCCTGAGGAACAGCTTATTTTATCTTGACGATCTTTGCTGTGACGGAGATCACACTTTGAGAACTAAAGCTCAACGGCCTTAAGTGAAAGAGCTGATGATCATCCCCACGAGAAGAGGGGGAAAAGTCTGCCGGAAACAGCGCTGCTTTCTAGTGGGAATTCGTTCAACAGTATTGCACGGTGGAGTCATAACAGCTCTGGTAAGACGAATTTCGGCAATTGATCAGCCTTCCGCATCCAGACCCTGACGTGCCTGACTCTTCTGGTCTATTTTGTGCATGCCATAGATACTAAATCGGGGTGGTGGGTGCCCCTAATTTGGCTGGTTCTTCTCGCGGGGACACCGTATCAAACCAGCAGTGTAGGTAGCCGGTTCCTGGACTTCATCATCCATACCCGTCTGTCATCATTACAAATGGCACCGTTCCGATCAAAGGTGCCAGGCCAGGGTTTGCGTTGCAGTACGTAGTAGTGTATAATAGAGGCAGACCCGGGCAATGTTACTATGTCAGTACAACGAAATCATCACCGGTAACGTTGTGGAGATGGGTGCCCCCTTTGTTCAAGGGATGTTGGATGACCGAATATCAGCCTCCCATTTTTGGCGACAAGTACAACCCCTTTCAGGTCCTACCACATGTGACACTTGCCGCCTACGGCTCAGCCTCGTGGACGGCTCGTGGAATGCTCATGTGCCACAGCGGTCTTTATTGGCGTCGAACTCCCAGCTGCTTGGAGCACACAAATCCCAGATCGCACAAATCTCCGATTGCAGGTGGAGCTACCAATCCAACATTTTACTACTAACACCAACGGTCCAGCCGAAGCAGAGTAGCTGCTGGGTCTTCTGGAATGTCTCGCAAATTACACAAGCATGTCAGCCCATTGTTGGACACACCATCGCTTCCGGCCTCCTTTCCTTTTGGATACACTGTGTTGCATTCAATCCTGGATGCATTTGCCTGTAACACCTCTAGACCCAGAGGAGCAAGTGGCCGATGACATGGTCGCCAGTGAGGCCAAAGACTCACCTCCATAATACGAGCGCATCTTACACATCTGGCCTGCCGTTTCTCCTGCACTTTCAAACTAATGACGCCATTGGTCTTCAATCTGCTGCAGACACCCATTGAGATGGCTGTTATCATTCTTACGTATATCTCCTACCCTTGTAGTATCTCGTTAATCTGGTAATATTTTTGCCTTTTGGGATTGCCTCGCGTAGAATCTGAGCGCAGAGCCAATCTGCAGAAACATTCGGATGCGATCTTGCGATTCTCGACGAGCTGGCGGCATCCCTGTAGTGCTCGAACTGTTGGACAATGCCAGCGTAGCTAGCATTCCAGAACTGGCATGGGGAATGTGAGAGAAAACTTGAGGTGGAACGCCTGCGAACGTGATACCCGAAACAGGCTTCTTCCAACTGCACAGCTTGGGATAGTCAATCGCTCGATACAGGTAGATGATGGGTCGTAAAATCATTCCATGGATGTGTAAACCAAAGAGGAGATTGAGGTGGTATGCGGATGTAATCTGCCACATACTAGGGACGCGCCGGCGATTGGGGCTTGCGCCCGGATCTCATCGCCTGACTACATCTCATCTGGTACTCATCCTGTCTTGGCCGATCCATTTCTTATGTAAGATAAAAGTTTAATATACCCTGGTTTGGGTTTGCAGCAGCTGGTAGTTGATCTGCGTTCGACAACTCTCACGTCAAGCAGCCGTGATCGTCGCCGTGACACCGGTACTGTTACGAACACAGAGTGTGGTTTTACACGCCGTGAAAAGGTCCGGATTTATAGCCCGCCGCAGGTGTGTTTTCAGATACGGAGCGTCAACCCTCCGCTCCCGGCTTGTTCCTCCCTCCTCCCAACGAGACAATGTCGAGACAATGTCGGCGAACCGCGATGCCGCGTCGTAACGCATGGCATGTGTGTATGCTCTTTCTACTCATGCTTTTGGCATGGAATCTACCAAGTTCGGTTTCCTCGTGTAAAAATTTGACTGATCTAATGCAAGTACCAATCCCATTGACAATGCCACAAACAACGTGTGTATGTCTTCTCTATGTTGAAATGTCTCCGCCTATACCCATTTCTTGTATGCTTTTGTTTTTCTTTTTACCCAGCCGTGATGTGAACTTCAATGATCCTCCCGTATGATGAATCAGGTATAAACAATCAGAATGCTTTTTAAGCCAAACCGCAACCCTTTTTATGAATTTTCGCCCCCCGTGTTAGCCTTGCGGCGTGTTCTCGAACCTCAGAAACCTTCTTAGCCCTCGGTAAAGGCCTCGCTTCTGGCCTGCGCAGTGCTGGCGTCCTCGTTACCGTTATCCTTCGTCGTAGGGCGGTTGGCAATGAGACGCTGTAACAATTAGTGGTCTGCCTTTTAGTAAGCATGTTTGTGATGGATGAATACTCACAACCAAGTTTCGCAGCAGGCAAGCAATAGTGACCTTGCCAACGGAGGGAACGTAGATGGCAGCCTTCTCCTTCACCGTAGGGGCGTCGAAGTTGCGGAAGGACGAGAAGTTGATGCATACGGCACCCTCGCGAATGAGGTCTGTGTTGATCTTGTACTTCTCGCTGGGGACGCCGCCAATAATGACGTCGCTGATGGGCAGGACCTCCTCCAGACCCCAGCCTTCCTTGTTCGTAACCTGGTGACGCGGCTGCTTAATGCCCTGTCCACGAGTGAAAAGTTGGACACCAGTGATGTCGACCGAGTAGACCGTGGCGCCATCGTTGGCGAGCAGGGCAGCTAGGGGGCGACCGTTAACCTCGGAGCGGTTGATGACGGTGATGGTCTTGCCGAAGAGGCGGTTGCCGGAAGCGAGAATGGGGTTGTAGATCTGCAGGTGCTCAAGGATCTTGACAACAGCGAGGGGCGTGCAGGGCAAGATGGACTTGCGCAGGTTCTGGGGCGGGTCCAGGAAGCGGACGTTGTGGTACATGTTGTAGATGTGCTTGTGGCAAAGACCCTCGACATCCTTAGCCAGCGACACAGTCTCCTGGATATACTTGTCGTGGATGGGGTTGCCGGGGAAGATGGGGTAGTAGACGATAATGCCGTCGACCTTGTCATCCTCGTTGGCCTCCTGGATTTTCTCCTCGAGCGCCTCCTTGTCTACACGACGCAGATCAAAGTTGAAGCCGCTGAAGAGGCTCTTGTCAGCTACCTCTTTGCACATTGTTTCCCGCAAAAATGACTTTGCAACACGCTAGGGCGCGCCTACTTCTCTACGCAAGTCTTCTGAGACCACTCGGCGTACTGGAGCGCAGCCGGGTCATCGTTGGCAAGGAAGGCCACAAGGGTTGGCTTGAAAACACCGCTGCCCTGCACCTTGGCGAGGGTCTCATGGACCTCAGCCAGCAGGCGCTTGGCGATAGTGTCGGCCAGAATGACCTTGCACGTCTTGGGGACCTCAGAAGCCATATTCAAGTTGTGATCGTCAAGACACTTGATGTGGCCTTGTAGAAAGTCAATTAGTGTGTCTTTCTGGATCGTAATGATTACTTACTATTTATCTGGTAGTTGAGTGAGTGCCTGTCGGAGTCTACCTCCAGATTAGTACTCGTGAAAGCCCCACCATATTCAACCCCGCGATGTCGCGTTCTTGGGGTAATGAAAGCGAGGAATTGGAATACTCACTGAGGAGAAACGTTTACTCTTGAGACGAGCGAGGACGTTGATTAGGTTCAAATTGGGCCAAGGAGAGTAAAATGAGGCGATAAAAATGAAAGAGGACGGTTCCGTAAAATGACCGTGAATGGCTCTGAGTCTATGGAGGGGCACACGCTCCGACTTCGACCTCCAAATTTTTTTTCCTTGCTGAGAGAGGACCCCGCGGCCCTTGCGCTTGGTATTACCCCTCCATGATCTATTGCCTAAAGAGGACTAGCTCCGCTATGCATTCGTCTACGAGCACATACTTGAACTTGCAAACAACAGTACACAAATGCTTTCATCGGAGCAAATTTTCAACTTAGAAGGCCAATTTTTGTACCTCTTTGGCAGTAGGTATTGGCTATTTTTCTTAGACATTAACCGCTACGGTTTGCTTTAGTGCAAATGCTAGAGGAAATTCAACAGGAAAAAAAGAAAAACAAACAAGGTTCAAAACACTACCGTTATCGGACTTTAGTTCCTCCAGGTCGTGATAAGGTTGATAAGATATACACCGCCTTCCGAAAGTGTATCCCCCACCACCAACGCCTGAGTAATTATCTCACAGCCAGTCCATCACCGGCTTTCGGTAGTGACGTGAAGTCAATATCGCCTATTGTGATTTACTGAACAACCTAGCCGTTGAACCGGCATATCTTGCACAACACCACCCTTTTCACCTTTACTGAGAGTTTCGACAGAATAGAACCCAGGATCGGTCTCTCAGCCTCATATACAGCAGGCATTTTGAGCAGGTGCGGGGAGACGTTCACAACCAAGTGTGGGTGGGCATCGCAACTTCACACCTTGACTCAAACACAGCCTCATCTACCATCTCCCTTTACCTTGGTTGTCAACAAATCTTCACGCCATAAGGGGTTTTTATGAAAGGAAAACCGTCGGTGTATTAAACCAGCCCTCAATTCTGGGATCTCTTGAATCAAAAGCACGCCATATTAGACCGCGCGGTTGAACGCAATTCAAAGCCATGGCGGACTTTCGGAAACTGGCGTTAGAGTATGTCCTCAGTGATGATGCAAACAGGCATTTGGAAATTTCAAAAGAGGCTGCTGCAGGTACGTCTGTCCGAGGGACTCGCACCAGCATAGCAACTTGAGTAGAGTGCTGACTATAGATTCTAGCAATCCAATCAGCACCCAGGCCCAGCAATCCAGTAGCACGATGGGTTGAGTCCATTCGGCCATGGATGCCAAGCGCCAATGATGATCAAATGGAAGATGGCGAGGATGGAGAGTCAAGCGGTGACGTTATTGCCCGGTCCAAAGGTGAAGGCACTCGTTGTCGAGGCGCAAGAATGTGGATGCTGACCATTCTCCTCTCTAGCTTTGAGCTTCTTAGCCGGAACTCTAGAACACCTGGACCCTACCTTCCTCAAGCCAGACCAGGGTAAGTTGATATTTATCGCCGAGCGTCCTGATTGCTAACAACAAGTCTTACAGTCAACCTTCTTGTTGCATTCTTTGGTAGCATGTTCAAGGTCGATCACAAAGCTGGCATCATGCCGGCAGCCAAGGCACTCGATAGAACAGCGAGTATGAAGGCTTTCCAGCCCCAAAAAGGCAATGATATCATACTCAGCGTATGCAGTCTCGGTGAGGACTTTAAGAATCAGGTCGCAGAGACCCGTGCCACAGTATATGAGCTTTTGGACCATCTGGTCACCAACCCCGATGTTGCAAGTGATTTGCAATATCAGCATGGAACCACTGCTGGTTTCATGACGGAGCTTCTGCAGCTTTGCCGCAATGAGCGAGACCCGAAATGTCTGATGATCTGGTTCGGAATTTTGAAGACGTTCTTGGTTGACTACGCGCCTGTACAAGAAGTCGTCGATGAGATTTTCAGCATTTTCTCAGCATACTTTCCGATTTCTCTGAGGACATCGCAGCACCCATCGGGAATCACCGCTGACGACCTGAAATCTGCTCTGCGAGAGTGTTTCTCGGCTCATCACCGCGTGGCGAGCAAGGCTATACCGTACCTGGTTGGTCGACTAGACCAGGGAGATAGTGTAACTGTTAACGTTAAGGTAAATGACTCGGCTGTGACGAAGGGGTCTATTGTTGACATCGGGACAGGTTGATATCCTCAAAACGTTGACCGCGTGTTTGAACAAATACGAGCACGTTCAACAGGGCATTACCCCCTTCGTCGAAAAGATTTGGAGCAGCCTTAAGTACGAAGTTCGTAATGGAGAAATTGAGGACACCATTAATGCCACTCTGGAAGTCATTCGAACTATCGCCAAAAGACTTACTGGGGATGAACTAAGGGATTTCGCTCTTACTGTTCAACGCGACTGTTTGGAGGATCTGGCCAACCCAATTTACACGGCAGCCTCGGGAAAGCTTCTTATTAGCGTCCACAGCGCAAAGCCGTCTGCTTTCGCTCTCATGATTGCCCCTTCCGTCACCCATATTAAGGAAAATCTACGCCATACGAAGTCGCCTGAGCACACGAAGAACCTGCTGATCTTGCTCAACTCCCTACTCGAGCTGCGTCAAGTCCTCATTGGCGGCGATGTGGAACTCAACGCAGAAGATGCTGCAGCTTTCAGGTCTACAGAGCCAATGCTTGCGCCGCTGCATAAACAAGCATACTTGTCCCCGTTCCAACAAGCAGTCCAGGAAGGAGCGCAAAAGGAGGAAATTACTATTGGACAGCAAGCAATCAAGGGCATGGGTTTGATGGTTTGCCAGCGTGCTGCACAAACAGGACATTCCAATCAGCCCATGCTTCCCGAAGCCACGCTTTCAGAGATCTGTGACGACCTGGCTAAGGTCATCCTCCAAGCACCAGAGCGATACGCGACGGACGAGCTTCGATCCAATCTGGTCGATGAGGCAGTAGTTGCTCTCCAGAAGGCTACTATGGCTTACCCGCCAGCCCTGAGTAAGCTTATCGAGGAAAGCTTCAGGATATGTGAGCCGTACATTGCTTCTCCCGAGACAACGTCAGTCATAGGCCTGGTTGAAACACTACAGCAAGTCATCCCCAAGCTGGCCTTCATTAGCTGTTCTGAGGTACCTCGGCAAGGGAGGAAGTTTGAAAACTATGTCCTTCTTCTTAGCATGTTACTCAAAAACTTGCAGTCGATGCTTGATGTCAAGGCCCCACCTCAAGTTTGGTCAGTGTTTGCCTCTGGAATCCACATGACAATGAGGTACTACCGCGACGCAACGCATGCATATATCCCGCGGTCCGAGGCACTCAATTTCGACGACAAACGATTCCATCCCGAGACATGGGTTGATTACGTTGCAGGGCGATACCCTGTTCTACCTCGTATTGACAATGACAAGTCCGAACCCGCAGCCGTTGGGGAGACGATGGACATCGATAGCGAGGAGTCAGGTCTGGACAATGCAAGTGACGAGCTGCATGGAGACTTTATCCTCATCAGTCTGTTTGTCGTGCGACAGCTTTACAGACGCACCACCAGGATAATCAGCTACGCCGATGACACTGAGCTGTCATTGGAGCTCAGTAGTGATTTTACCAGCAAAGATCCGGACGGCCGCAGCTTCGAGGACCGCTATCTACATTTCATTGGAACTATGGCCACCTTTGTCATTCGGGAAATGAACGAACTGGAACAGACTGCTTTGCTCCTGAATGAAGAGGTTGTGACCCTCTTCCGTGGCGATGATGAATATCTTCACAGTGATCCTGTCCAGGTACACCCTTGGGCAAATGCACACCTACGAGACGCAATGCTTCGAACGTTCAGTCCTGAACGCTCATACAGTATGCGTAACCCTCCAAAATTTCCGATTAGTGGTTTTAGTCACGGCCGCACTGTCGTGCTTTCCCTGGGCATTGTTCAGCCTCTGCACCCCACAGTGGTTCAGCGTTTGGTAAGTCTTGTTCCATATATCAAAAAGAAATAATTCATTGACCCCCAATTAGGTTGAAAGGGGAACTGCTCACCAAATCCTAATTGCCGGACTTCTATCGCGTGATCACTCAGCATCACCACGCTCTCGCCATGTTGTCTCTGCCATCCTGACTATACTGGCCAACAAATATCCCATTGAGAAACTGAGCGAGATTGTAACCATGATAGAGCATCAAATGAACTTTGTGGTCGGTGATGGAAGTCTGTCCAAGGAAGAAGAGAGCCAAACTGGCTTTCTTGAGCACGAGGCGAACAGGACTCCTGGAGGAAACCCAGCCCAGGCTCGTGCCAATCTGGCAAGGCCAGTATATGCAATCACCGCCGGTGTTCTCAGGCGATATACGGGCAACGCCTTCAAGCAGGTTCTATCGGCTATTCAACAGGGACCTGCCAACAGAGAGACTGGCCATATACTTGCTCGCAATCTTGAGATTGTGTTTGCCCCTTATGAGAGTCTGAAGAGGGACTATTTTGGACAAGTCAAGTCTCTGTGGCTTCAAAGGGCCTACTTTGAGCTCGTTAAACCGATGTTGGCCAAGGCCTGGCCGGCCGGCTCCAACAGCCCCGAAGACACGCTGATAGCTGCGAATTACAGTATTGCGGTACTCGCAGCAGTCAAGCACATTCCCTTCGCAATCTATGAAGATGACACAGAGGACCTGGTAAGGTTAATCCTCTGTGCCATTCGCTACCTGCCTTCTGGCGGAGATGTACAAGCCGGCCTCCAAGTTTTGGAACAGATTGCACAAAAGTCACCCGATCGCATCAAGCCGTTCCTGAAGAGTGTAATCGATGCTTGCATGTCAATCTGCACTCGAGGCGGGTCTCGAACCAGTGATGACTCCTCGTGGATGCCAGCTGGCTACATGCCGTTCGACCACTCTAGCATTCACCAGGCGCAATGCCGATGCCTCGTCATCCGTCTTCTGGGTCTTCTTCCCCCACAGTTTGAGCACAGGCATCTGCTCGACTCTGCATCTCATGTCCGCCGTATGTTGTCGCAAGCCTCTGGTGACCGCGTACGTGAGGTTCGCAAGGCTGCCCTTGTGGCTCGTGCGGCTTGGGCCGAAATCAACTAAGGCTTCTGGACATAATTGCATAGATATATAGGTGCCTTGGACAGGTGTAGTGAACTTTTGGTGCGGCCTGGAGGTACATAGATCCATCATTATGGATACCATGCCGGCTTGGCAAGGCGTTCAGGGGCTACGGTCGAAGCTAGACTAGAACAACGCGTAATGAAACGAACATCAAGCTTGACAATGCTATTTGGACAATCATGATTTAACACTGAGCCAGAATGCCTGAATCAAGAAATGGGATAAACCTATGAGTCGCAAAGCCATGAAGCTACCTGCTATAGGAATTTCAGATCGGGCAGTGGCCCCCCGATTCACACTAACATGCTAGACCTGGCTTCCATTATCTTGCAAAACGGAAAGCCTGGCGCAACCGTCTCTGGCATGCTGTAAAGGCAGACGTGCGCGCTAGAAGAGCCCGCATGATGACGATACTGGGACACAGTACTAGTAACGACGCCGCTTTAGAATACGTCCAATCGATACAAGTTGCAAAGTTGCAACTAATGTGGCATGCTTCTGGACGCTCCTGTTCAATCCACAGGACAACAACTTTGTTGCATGTAATATAACAAACATTAAAACCATCACTGGCCAGAGCTAACCAACTACGCCTTGCGTCTCTTGCTGGAGCCCTTGGCAGCTGCCTCAGCACCGCTTCCTGTCGCGGTACTCTCAGCATACAAGGCGTCTAGGAAGTCGGCAGAGTATGGCTGGGAGGAGGATTTAACACGCTTCGCGTCGAGCTTGCCGATGACGGGAATATCGGTCGCCAGAATCTCCTGGAAGGGCGTGGCGACGAAGTGACCCTGGGAGTCGAACCACTCAGCAAATGGCTTTGCAAGTTCAATTGTCTTCTTTTCGCCGTTTTTCGAGGTGATGGTAATCTTCATGTTGTAAATGGGAACGTTCTTCTTTGTGGAGGTTGCAATATTGATCTATGCCGCCCCAGTGTAAGTCATGATTCTAGTACGGAGAGTAAGAGAAAGAAGCGTATAAGGTTCAATATTACCTTCTCGCCTGAAGGAGAGGTGCCCTCGTACACAGTACCGGCCTCCTTGAGCCAGATCCAAAGGGTTAGAGCACCGTTAAGAATCGAGTAGATCACAACAGCGGCGGCTGTGTAGTACTTTGTGCTGTCGAAGCCAAACTTGTAGTCCCAGCCGAAGCAAGCAGCGGCAATTAAAAAGGCACCCCATCCGAGTGCAAGGCGAACATCGGTTAGGGTGTGAGATTGGGTAAACTTAAGAGAGTTGAGGTAGTTGGGGAGCGCATCGTCTGAGGTGTTCTTCAGATCTGGAGACATTGCAGTGTTAGCGCACATGCGACAAAGAAGCTGATTAAGTGGAAGAGCAAATACGTACCCGCTAGATTATGAACTGTTATTCTTTCTGAGGATGACATTTTGGCTGTGAATTTTCACCGGGAGAAGAATTCTGCTTCTTGGGTTTTTGCTTTCTTGCGTTGTACAGAACTTAACGGGCATGGAGTTTAAGTTGGTTTTATGTCTTGTAACCTCCAGCCTGGCTTCCGGGAGCTAGGACAGCTTGGACCCATGCGCGAATCCAAGACAAAGGTGAAAGTGGAAGGTGGTCTTTCGGCTGAGCGCTAAAACGTATTTCCGATGGAGCTCACCCTCCGCCCGATGATAGAGTACAACGTCGGCTTGGAGCTCACAACCACTTGGCTATCATCGCAACTACAAGCGCCACCACAATAATTTAATTATTTTGCCCGGTTCTTCGAGTCAATTAAGCCCAAAATGGCCCAAGTTCCGGTGCAGACGATTCACCGGGATCCCCAGTTGTTGTACGCATCCCTTCATGCATGCTGTTACTCGCTTACCTGCTAACCAAATGGCTCGTCAACTAGTTACTGGATTCTGTTCCCAATTACCGTTGTCATGATCTTGACCGGTATCCTGCGACACTACGCAACTGTGTTGCTCGCAAATCCACCCAAGAAGCTCGATAAGCCGGCGCTCCGGGAGCAGCGCGCGATGATGCATGGTGTTGGCGTTCGCACCAACCACCACGTTCTCTCCAAGAAGTCGTTCGAGGCACGCCGTGATACGCTTGTCGCCGCCTACGAGTCCGGCGCATATCTCAAGGATCCTGACCGTCAGGGCCAGCCACCTGCGAACCCGCTCACGGATCCTGGTGCGATGGACGGCATGATGGGCATGATGAAGAACAACATGGCTATGATCATCCCCAACACGCTTATCATGAGCTGGATCAACGCTTTCTTCAGTGGATACGTCATTAGTATGCTTGGCAATTGCTTCCCGAGGATATTTTACCGTTGCTAACAATAGCAGTGAAACTGCCGTTTCCCATTACCATCAAATTCAAGAGCATGCTACAGGCTGGTGTCGCGACCAAGGATATGGACCCCCGGTGGATGTCCAGCATCAGCTGGTACTTCCTCTGCATCTTTGGTCTGCAGTCTGTCTTCAATTTCATCTTAGGAAGTGACAATGGTAAGCTTACATCCTCCGTACGTTATGATGGGCAGCACACTGACACCATGTAGCTGCTAGCCAGATGGCCCAACAGATGGGTCAGATGGGAGGTGCCCAAGCGGCTCCGCAAATGTTTGGCCCTGGTGTCGACCCTGACAAGCAATTCAAGGGTGAGGCTGAGAATATTGCTGTCGTTGACCACTACTCTGTTTTGGATGAAGTGGAGCAAAGGCTGCTCTCGGGTATCAAGTCATAGAATTGTAGAGCAATATACATCCGTGCCGCCATGCGCCATCCGCATTTTTTCCGTAACCAAAGGCCTTTACACCGGTGAGACATTAAGGACCTCCCAAATACTACTCGCTGCCCTGTCCGTCCCACCAGAGGCATACGCCCAGACCCTCCATTGCCATTGTGCCCTTCACCTTATAAGGTGGTTTGGGCGGAGCGGCCTCCTCTCCTTGACTGGGGCCCGCGGGCGTTTGGTCGTGCCACTCTTCGTCAATAACCTGGAATCGAACCATTTCGTGGTTGTCGTAGAAGAGCCTGTCGCCTTCAATATTCCAGATCCAGAGCTGTTCTGAGTGGTTGCTTTGACGTGTCAGCCTGCGCTCAAACATGCGTGCAATAGCAATGGTCTAGCTCACTATTCGGCACCTTCGGGAAGCTCATCAAAGGGGATGAAAATATCGTCAAAGAAATCCGTTCTCAGGTTGATACCGGCTGGCGTAGAACTCCTAATTCTGCCAATCATGACTTCTCCCTTGAATGGTCTGAAGACAATCATTCTAAACTCAACTAGAGAAAATCAGCTGCAGTGTTACTCGCTATGGGAAGTGCCTTCGCCCACCATTGACATTGACAAGGCCTGTGCCATGACCGATGAGGCCTTCTGATGTCCACAGGATGTCGTATAGGCAGATGCAGAGCCCGATCTTCTGGATGACCTTGTTCGCATACTTTGCATTGATGTTATCCTCAATGGCATTCATACTCTTCTTGCGGAAATCTTCTGGTGCGATCTCCACCAGATCCGCGATTTTGGTCTGTAATCGTATTAGTGACAAGCCTCATTGAAATTTGCAACATTTCATTTACCAGTATGAACATGATGGGTGCTGGCGTCCTTGGGGCGGAGATGACGGAAGAGAATGATACCAAAGAAGATATAAAACGTCCTCAGATCACCGTCGTTCCACAAGAACGCCCGAAAAAAAAAGACCACACACAATTGTCTTTGGAAGAATGTCTGATGAGTCTACTTGGCTCACTCGAATCGCAAACTCGGCAAAATCGCGGGGCGCTTGGCGTGGAGTGGCCACCGTCTCACCGCCCTCCAGATACGATTGCAAGGTCTACCTGGTCTGTGCGGCGCATCGACTCAGCGGGCCATCCCCTAAGCCAACAATCAACCCGCTTACCCAATCCGCCGGAACTGTTATTGCGGCAACCGAAACCACCTTCAACTTTGCCGTGGAAAGTTGCTGGACTCCACCTTCTGCTCCAGCTACGCGTTAGGGAAACTGCAGACTGCATCAAGCTGCGTCTTCAACCTTGCGCTTCTCTTCTGCATTCTTTCATGTGTGCTTTGTACTTTAGCCTGAGTTTCCGACTTTAAGGTGATACGAATTTTTCAGTCAAATTGCGTCAGGCCATCTTTTCTTTGGTTTCCAGCATTCAGATACCATATCAACCACGCTGGGGATTCCCAAGCAAGCGATTTTGTCTTCAAACCCATCGAGTCTCAAGCTCGATTCTCCTCCTACTGCCGAATATCTCATCAGCATCGCGACGGCTCGAACCGAATCCTTCAAAACGCAGCATCGGCGTTCTACAGATAAGATGTCCGGTTACAACTACGGACCGCCGCCGCCACCGCCCCCGGCAGCACAGGCGAGTCATCCTGGCTACAGCCATCATAGTGGTCCTTATCAACACCACTCTAGAGGGAATGGAGCTCCCGCCGCTCGGGGCGGGCGTGCGGGTTACTCGTCGAATGGTCGTCCCGAATACCCGCCAGCCCCTCAGCCTCAATACGAATATAGTCGACAGCAGCCATATCCTCAGCCAAGCCCTGGCTACCCAGCTCAGCCCACCAGCGGCAGCTATCCTCCCCAGCAGCAATGGCATCAAGAACACGCCCATTCGACGCCCCAGCATGGCGCTCATGCTCCTACTCCGCTCTCAAGTTCCAACTACCACCCCAACTATGCCCCCCAAGTCTACTCCCATCCTCAACACGCCCAGCCGCCACCGCATCAGCCAGGATATGGCCCTCCACAACAGCAACAGTACGGACAACCATATCACAACCCTACACCATACAGTGCTCCCCAACAGTGGGCTGGTCATGACCAGCATGCCCAGAATCAGTACGGCGCTGGTCGCGGCCGTGGCGGCTATGGTAATGATCGTGGTGGCGCCCGAGCTCCTAGCATGAGTGCACCTGCCCCAGTGGCCTATGGCAACGAAGGAATACAGCATCAAGTGGGCGGTGGATACAGCCAACCATATGGGGACCCTCGCGCTCAACAGGTCCCCTACGCAGCCCCCCCTCAATACCCGTACCACGCTCCTCCTCCTCCTGCTCCGCACGCGTCGGGCCCTTCGCACGAGCCCTACTACAAGCAGGATGGGCAATCCGGTCGCGGTCGAGGCGGCTTCCGCGGAAACAACATGCGCGGTCGAGGTTTCCATCATGGCAACGACAGAGCGCGTCATCGTTCTCAAGGCAATCATAACCACAACCATCGCCAAGACGGAGGTTTCCACAAGCATGACAATTCCGCATCAGGCAAGAAGAAGAAGCGGAAGACTAACACCCTGGGTCTTACTCCCGGTCAAGACTCGGACTCGGAAGACGATGAGATGGAAGAGGAGACGCTTCGCAAGCTCATAGGATCAGATGCACTGCAGTAAGTTGAGTTAAATATACGGCTAATCCGTGACTGACGTTATGTGCCAGAGTAACTGATGTTGCCGCTTACATCGCCGAGCGGAAGAAGCGCTTCCCCACGGCTGCAAGAGTTAAGGCAAAGAAGTCTGCCGAGGTGGCAAATGGAAGCAGCGACAAGTTTGCTGCTGCTCTGGAGAAAGAGGAGAATCTTGCGAGCAAGCTGAGAAAACAGCTGGAGAAGGTGGAGTCGTCTATAAAACGCAAGCGTGAACAGCAAGACGAGGGTGATGAGATGAGAGACAGCTCCCCTATTGACCTAAAATCTGAAGACGACGAGCCAGAAGTCGTGTCTAGTCGTGTTCAGCAGGCCCCTCCTCCACCTCCTCCCGCAAAGAAGGCAGATGTCACAAAACATTGCAAGTACTACTCGACAGGGGGCACCTGTGGCAAGAAGGGCAAGTGCCGTTTTGTCCACGACCCTGCTGTGAGAGAGGCCGCAATCAAAGAGCGGGAGGCAAATAACGGCCAGCTTACGATCCAGCAGCGTTTGATCCTCAACGATAAGGACCAGGAAGACTTGACTGTACTTCAGTCAATACAATATTTGCGCGAAAAGGGTTTGATGAAGGATGAAGAGAACAACACCCCTAAAGGCCCAAATGGGCATCATACATCTGGCAACTCAACCCAAACACGTCAACAAAGCAGCTTGCCAGCTGCCCATTCATCACTCCCTCCGCCGCCCATGAAGCATCATAACGGCCTCCCTCCACATAATCCGCCTCCGTCCTCACTCTCCACCGGCAACAGTGGTTCCACTGTTCGATATAAAGGCTGGAATCTGAGTGGATATGGGAACTCAGGTCTCAAGTCGGAAGATCTCCCATAGTGTTGCAGATTCTTAGCTGCTGAGACTCTTGGGTGTGCGCATTGCGCCCAACACTTGCGTATCCTTTGACATTCGGTTGAAAAGTCAACTAACTTCCGCCGAGTTTGGCGGATTTCGGCGTTTCTGAGGGTCTCTTGCTTTGGCGGAGAAGTCAACCCGAACAGCAATCTGCAGCAGCAGCAACATTTGCATTTTGTATTTGTCTTTCACACAGATGCGTCAAGATGGGTTTAATAAGGCAGCAGAAGTTTTTCTAGCTGTCTCTTATACTTGTTTCTATGTTGCTTCCTCATCGGTATGGGCGGTTGCTTATTGGCTTTTTTTTTCCCCCACCGCCGCAAGCCGCTAGGTTTGCTGCGCGCAAAGTTTGCGGCCGTAGATCGCGTGTAACAACAAAAAACAACATCAGGGCAAGGCGAACGATATCATTGTCGTTTCTCACTAGACTTCTTCAGCAGCACTCATCCCAGTGGTTTATCGTGGTGGAAAGAGCTTAGTAGCTCCAGATGAATGCGCGTGCAAATATTAATGCCTGGACATGGAAGAGATTGACAAACATTGAAAGGCGTTCAGGGTGGACAACAACCTAAAGCAGCTTGACTTGATACCCCATGGAAGTTATGGCATTGGGGTTTCCATAGACTGAATACGAAAAGAACACTACATTCCAACAGCAATTTGGCCTCGCAATATGGCCTCGCATGGTTCTGCTACAGTTCAACTTGATTGTATAAGTGCATCAAACTGCTACGTAAGACAATTTCCTTTTTACATGAAACTGCGTGATTGCATTACGTGATTGCGGCTGAGTTAATTCCCTTCGCAGAGCTGCCAAGTCTCGGCAGTCGTTGAGGGAACCAGAACCAATACTCCTCCGGAAACCATGAACTTAGCTCTGACCAGTAAGCTGGTGCAGACGTAATAATATTAGGCTATTGTTTGTTGGCCCCTGAGGTATCGTTGCGCGCAAAGCACATATGTACCCTTTCCGAAGGACAAGTCGCCAAATGAAGCCGACCGTGCAGTGAGAATGTCCCCCGACCTAGTAATGACAAAACAAAATACAAAACGCCGTCGCTAATGTGATGCTACCGCGCTTACCGGTGCAAATGCCCATGGTGCCCAGGTCCAGTCCCCTGTGATACCGTCAAGCGTCAACTTGGCTACCGCCGTCCTCCTCGCTGTTGTTGTTCCCAAAACCTGCGCTTGCGCTCTTCTTTCTCAGCTTTGAGGCGTTTTTCTAATCTTTCTTCCTCCAAATCCTCCCTACGAGCCACGCGTTCGGCCTTGATCTCCTCCTCCCATACGTCATCCATGCCGGCCTCCATGTCTGAAGAGCCATCCGAGTCGTATGTATATCGAGGGCCGCCTTCGTCTTCATCGTCATCGTACTCAATGAAGTCGTCCAGGTCCTCATCTTCCTCTTCCTCATAGCGTGACCGTTTGGCGGAGCCGCCATAGCGTGGTGCAGGCCGGGCATTAAGAAGAGCACCTCCTGGAGCCGGCTTCTTTTTGTTGGAAGTTGCACCAGGTCTGGGACGGGCGGTACCCGTATATCCCGTAGTGGCCACAGCAGCCTTCTTCAGTTTCTTCTCTTGCTCCTCCTCGGCAGCACGTGCCTTTGCTGCAGCTCGGGGGTCTCTCGCTCTATCAACTGTTCCATTCCTCGCGGCCCCACTAGTACCGCTGCCATTACGTTGGGGAGCACCAGATGATGGTCGAGCAGTGCCTTGGAATTTCGACGGCTGTCTTGCCGCCGCACCCTTGGCTGTAGCGATCTTGGCATCCCTCTTTGCCTCCTTTGCCATTTCTTCCCGCTCTTTTTTAGTGAGGACCTTTTCGACAGGCTTATGCTGGATTTTGCCAACCTGGCCCATAGACTCCTGTGCCTTCTTTGCACGTGCTAATATCTCAGCAAACGATCCCTTCTTCGGAGCGGGGCCATCCTTTGCAGGAGCTGGAGTCGAAGGCGAGGGTCGGCTCGGAAGCGTAGATGAGACCCTGGAAGTAATAGATCCATTAGGTGGTCGGCTACTGGACGAGCTGGGCTTCGAGGTGATGTTGCTGTTTCCCTGGGGTCTGGATGTCGACGATGTTCGATCTAAAGGCCGAGCAGCGCTACCTCGATAACCAGTTGTTGTAGTCGTCGGCTTGTCTACAACTCGGGTGGCGGATTTTGGGACACCAGCAGGCTTCGAGGCCGACGACGAGCTAGGCAATGCAGTGCTCGTTCGCGGTGTCTTATTTGAAATTGCGCTGCGCAAATCATCATCGGCTTTCCGTTTCGCGGCGGCGGCGACGGGGGGCCTTGACGGCGCAGGCGATGTGCTTTGTGACTTGTCGCCACTTATTTGGGCGAGAAGATCTCCGATCTGACAGAAGCGGACGATTCGTTAGCAAAACAAGCGATTGCGAGCGGAAAACGCGAAGTCACGTGTCGTTGTACTTACTGGCATGGTGGTGATCTGTTAAAGCCAGATATCGTCAAGCAAGTGTCTAGATCGCTTGCACCGGCCGTCAGGATGCATTAGGCAGAGGCTTGAGTCATCAGTATGGAAATTACGAGAACACTAGGTTTCTGCGATTCAGCGAGCCTGCTCCCCTCCAAGACTTAGAGAGACGTAATTCAAGTGGTGATAGAACTACGACTCCAAATTCCGAAATCGAAAATCGCAGAAAATGGAAGGATGGTCGCGTAGCGCACTCAGCAGACGTCAGTAGTCGTAACAAACGAAAGATGGCTGTCGGGGGAAACAAAAGGAAGTGGCGTTGGAGTTGGCAAGTTTATATCTATTGGACGGGGGGGTGGAATCAGTGGTACTTCCAGCACCATTCTCTAGGCCTTGGCTTCCAGACTTTCGGAAGGTAAGGTTCCTCCTTTTCCGGTACCGAGCCTCCATTACCGCGCTTTCCACTGGTGGACATCAAGGTCCCATGCACCTGACAAGGTTCATCGGAGCCGACAGAAACGTGGCTAGCGAAAATCTCATAGAGGACACCGCCACATGCCCCCAGCCACTGAAAAATTGACCCCCGCCCTAAGCCCGCCTTAGGGTCGGCTATTCCAATTTTGAGCCCACACCTGTGACAAAAGGCGAAACTTTTTTGTGCATCCAACTTAGAAGTGTCAACCACCGTCAAATATCCTCCTAGGACTCGAAGATTCAGTCTCCGCCCAATTCGCGGTTAAATTGATTGACCTCTCGTGTTCTCGTCAACAAATTGTAAGTTTTATCCTGATGCCCTCTTCTCGTCGACACCGTGACTGTCTACATTGCTTGTCGGTCCTCGACGTTGCCCCCAAGTATCTTGAGAACATTGTCTGACCAGTTCGTCGCAGAGATACCTCATTCAAAATGAAGCACCTCGCCGCTTACCTCCTCCTCGGCCTCGGCGGCAACGCCTCTCCCTCTGCCAAGGATGTCAAGGCTGTCCTTGAGTCCGTCGGCATTGAGGCTGATGACGAGCGCCTCAACAAGCTCATCTCTGAGCTTGAGGGCAAGGACATCAACGAGGTTAGTTTCATCTCGGCGATTGTTGGTGGTGAAAGATTTTGCGCTAACTCAAGATACAGCTGATCTCTGAGGGCTCCAGCAAGCTCGCCTCCGTCCCCTCTGGTGGCGCTGGTGGTGCTGCCCCTGCTGGCGGTGCCGCTGCCGGCGGTGCTGGCGAGGCTGCCAAGGAGGAGGCTCCCAAGGAGGAGGGTAAGGATTCATGCCAGTTCCAATCTCACAATGCCATGGTTTTGCTAACCCCCTTGCAGAGAAGGAGGAGTCCGACGAGGACATGGGCTTCGGTCTCTTCGACTAAATACCCTGCTTACGACCCTGATGACCGGCCGTATGCCCCGATCTCATCAAAGAAGTCACGCAGCAGTTGGCCGATGCTTTCGCATATCGCAGGCATGGAGGGATCACCTCTGGGTTGGACTTCGGCACAGACTTGTGTAGGAAAACCGGCTAGATTCGGACAATTTAAAAGCTTGCTTCTTCTTTGAAAATGTTCTTTCCGCTATTAAAATCGTGATCTCGTTGATTTGGCCTTTTGATCGCACTAGCCTTGTTGGCGATCTGGCGTGCAATACCGCAACGCGGGCAAGGGAATGTTTATCACTATTAATTGCCAGCAATATCTGCGCGGGGCATCATTAGTAGTGTAGGGGGTCAGGTGGCTGTTGAGTGCACGAATATTTGTGGACCAATCCAGGAGCTTTGGCCTGTCCAACATGAGTTGGCAATCAAGCCCCCTCCGGCCTCAGGCATTGTGTTAATGCTTTTGTGCAAATTTCATGCGACGAGCGAAGAATGTGTCGCTTCACATTCCGCCTAGTATCCTGTTGCCCTGACAACTTAGTGTCTCTAACATACGCTCTCATTGGCCAACCCCTGCTAGCCCCAAATACTGGGAACGTCTTCGAATTCGACAAGGAACCGACACTTCCCCCCCAGCAATACAAGATGCCAATGACGCGCCGCATGAACTAACTTCTTCCCCGTTTTCAGTCTTTTGGATCATGGGCACCATCGACACGTAAAGCATCCCTTAGTCGACAGCAACAACATTTCTCTTTGGTGGACGGTGGCCATCCGTGAAGACGTGGAGGGAACGCGCCGATTTGCCCGGATTACTTTATTGCTCACAATTGCAAAACAACCGACTTCCTCGACTGTTCTGATTGAAAATGGATATCGCGACGGCTTCTCCCACCCCGATGGGTACCGCTGGGACCGGATTGTCACGGAGACCTTCGCAGAGACAAGGCCTCCGCAGGCTACCGTCGCGACCGCACCTTAGCCGAAGCGAATCAAACCCTGTACACGCGACAGCGCCCGCGCCCACTCTTTCCAAGAAAGCAGAATCGCAACAATACGCCATGCACGACAGCTCCGACGATGAAATTCCTGTGCCTATGAAGCTCAGTGCTCTCACCAAAGCCTTACTAAACGATGGTGGCTCTGCCGAACCCGAACGTGCACCCTCGCCGCCAAGAACGCGCCGGCGCGCAAGCAATCTCGCCGCGTCTACAACATCTGCTACTGAGGAAAGACGGTCCCTTCGATCCGGAAGTGTGCATGCCTATGAGACTAGATCTTCAAAACACTCATCCCCAGTAAGGAGCCGGGAAAATAGTCCCGTGCGAAAGAGAGTTGTCAGACTCAGTACTACACCGAAAAGTCTTGGCCAACTAAACCCCACGAAAAGGCGATCTACCTCGCTCTCGCGATCCACGACACAGCGTCCTCGTTCGAGGAGTCGACCGGAAAGTCGAGAACAGTCTTCAGACGAGAAACAAGAACCACCTCAGGATGTAAATACCCCTGCGCAAGGTGTCCGAGTTGTCCGTATTGCTGCTGGATCCTCTGGCAACAGAAGCCGACTTACCAACTCATCCGGCCATTCGCGGCGATCCGGCTCCCACCTTGAACAGGAGCACTCTGAAGAACCAGCAACTGTGGGTCGACATACCGCTGGTATCAACCCTGGCAGCATTTCCCGTCACACTTCTAATGTCGGAAGAAACATCAAGCCAGAAGATAACCTCGCATTGCAAAGTTCCATGCGTGTCAAGCGCGTCGGTAAGGTACCAGGAAGTTTCCTAAGTGGCCCTGCACGACGTGGCCGTAGACGACAAAGCGAAGAAGAAGCGGATGCCAATGGTGATGGTGAAGGCCTAATTTCTGGTCAAGACCACGACGGCCATGGTCATGAGATGGAAAACGACCTCGCATCTTCCTTTTACGGAAACGGCAGGCAACTTGCGTCAGGTAGCCCAGTCGCCCTCAGTGATCCTTCAAGAGCAAGTCATCGAAGACCTGTCTCATATGCGGAACCAGTTCTTCCTGCTCGACTTTCACCCCAAGAGAGGGTAGAGCCAGAAGAAATTCATTATAGGCTACCCCCTCCTCGTCCTCAAGTTCCATCAGCTCATGATCAGGAGAACGAACTAGCTTCTATACGCAGAAGTTCTAAGCCTCCAATCAGCATCCTCGCTGAGAAAGAGGCCGAGAAGCTCCCCAAACGACCTCTTAACGTTGAAGCTGCTCAACACCGACCTGCCACTTCTCCGGACCGGAAACCTCTATCCTCTCTCGCTCAGAACACGCCCCGAAGGCCGGCGCCACCTCCTCCCCCAAAGATGTCTGTACTTGATGCTGCTACTACGTCGGCTGGTGCAGCTACTACAACTCAAGCCAAACAGAGGCGAAACATTCTTCGCGTCAATGGAAAATCCTATACAAGGCTCGACTGTCTGGGCCGTGGCGGTAGCGCTAAGGTCTACCGCGTTACTGCCGAAAACGGAGCGATGTTTGCTTTAAAGAGAGTGTCATTGGAGAGTGCGGACGAGACAACAATTCGAGGTTACCGAGGAGAAATCGACTTGTTGGGCAAGCTTACGGGCGTCGATCGAGTCATTAATCTCTTTGACTATGAGATGAACGATGAGAAGAGGATGCTGACTTTGGTAAGTTCACGTGCCGCAACATGTCCGGGCCCTGCTAACGCAAGTTTTAGCTCATGGAAATGGGCGAATTGGATCTCAATACTCTTCTCAGAACTCGTCAAAACCCCGAATCGGCCAAATTTGATCCGGTTTTTGTTCGGTTTTATTGGAAGGAAATGCTTGAATGCCTTCAATCAGTTCATCAATTTGACATTGTTCATTCTGACCTCAAGCCCGCGAACTTTGTCCTTGTCAAGGGTCGCTTGAAGCTCATCGATTTCGGCATTGCCAATGCTATCCAGACAGACGAGACTGTCAATGTCCACCGCGAAACGCAAATTGGCACTCCAAATTACATGTCTCCGGAGTCGCTCATGGACTTCAATGCACCTCGAGGCGGTCGCGTTCCAGGACGCCCTAAGCTCATGAAGCTTGGAAAACCCAGTGATGTCTGGTCACTAGGTTGCATCCTTTACCAGCTCGTCTATGGAATACCTCCCTTCGGCCATATTGCCAACCAGATGGCAAGATGCCAAGCAATCATCAACTGGGATCATGTCATAGAGTTTCCTGCCAGAGGAATGGGCGGCATTCCGGTTCCCCCTTCCTTGATACGAACCATGCGGCGGTGTTTGAACCGTGAGGTTCACATGCGGCCAACCTGCGAGGAGCTTCTCCACGAAACCGACCCCTTTCTCTATCCTAATGAGCTTAGTGAAAAAGCACTCCCAATCGACGAAGAGCTCCTTGGTAGAATCATCCAGAGCGTCGTTACGAGATGTCGAGAGCGTATGCCGACTGAAGCCGAGGCAATGTCGGTATGGCCTTCAGCCTACTGGGCCAGTGTTAAAAAAGCCACGAATAGATCATGAAAACGTACAGGCGTAATTGTTGGAAAGTTGTAAGAAAAGGGCGTTATATGGCTGCTTGACTTTGGAATAATGATCGTGGGTAACATTCATAGCTTGGAGTTTCTTGGGGTTGTTGTATTACTTCTTGTTCAGCTGCTTGTCGCAGCTCTTTATTCCTTTTACACCTTGTTTTGATTCCTATAAGATTGAGGCGTTCAGTTACAGCATAGCACGTATTCCAACATTGGATTGGATCCGACGTCTTCACCAATTTCAGTTCAAGCCGTCTGGCAACTATTTTAAGCGCATATTCAGGCTACATGTCCGTTGCGTGAACTTGTTTTGTTTATCTATTGATACAGTCCCAGTTTAGGACGAAACTAGTACAAAGAATCATACGATTCTGTGACCTTATACACTTTTGCGTCGTACTCAAACAATACTTGGCAATCACCCAACCAACGTTCGAGCTATACCTCGATCTCATCGGGGCCGTTGATCTTCAATTCGCTGATGGCCAGCGTTGTGTAGCGATGTTTGCTCTTGACCGTCTTCACTTTTCTGTTCCTCCGCTTCGTCTTTTCCTTAAACCGCATGGGCTCGCTCTCAGTTCCCGTCACCACGGCCCGGCATTCGTATAGTCGCTCGTCGATATAAGGGGCACCCTTGAGAGTGTAGTCTCTGCTTCCGATGACGGAGGCGCGGTTAAGACGGAGAATGTCGCCAGGCACAACTCCAGGCATCTTGAAGGGGAGACGGACGCTGTCACCGGGCGTCACGAGGTAAGGGCGTCCGTGGATGTGGAAGGTGATGTAGTGGTTCGGCTGAGCAGCCAGGAAGGGGAGAACAGCTTGCACCTGTTCAGAGATAGGCGCAGACGGCGTTTTAGTCTCGACGGCTGTTTGTGCTATTGAGGGCTTCGCGGCGTCTGAAGGGGCGACGGTGGTAGGCGCATTCTGGGCGTTAGCGGCCTGGGACTCGACGATCGGCGCCGTGGAGTTGAACCTCCGAGCTTGGATTGGGAGGAGAAATGCTGGTGGGAGACGGGTAAGGGGTGTCCGAAGCTCCAGAACGGAGCGCAGAAGAGATCGGCTCATTTTTTTGGATAGTGTCGTGAAGGGGTTGCCAATTGGACCTGGCGTGTTTGTCCAATTGCTTTCTGACGTTTCGCGCGACCGGAACCCATCCAACATCGAGCTCAAAAAAGTTCTGGTAAGGTTGCCAGGTCCTTGGGTGTCGTCGGACAAATAGTTGTTCCCCACCTTGCACTCTTGGCATGCGCCTCCAGAATTTTTGAGGTCCCTCTATCGATAAGGTGAGGTACGGGACTTTTTTTTCTTGGAGCCAGGACCCGCCACTTCAGCCGGCATCGACAACAATCGCCCATTGTACCGGGTTTCTTTTGAAATCGTTTCTATTATTCTCGTCATTTTCTGTCATCCGTGCAGCACATCGCTTCATTTATATATCAAGTGTCATTTATTGTATCAGTGAAGTCGCCACGAGCGCAAATCACCCAAGATGCCTCAGGTACTGTTGGTCCGAATCTTGTGCAAGAGCCCAAAAATCTAACTATTCTGCTTGTAGAACGAGTATATGGAGCGCTGGAGAAAGCAGCATGGTCGCCGTCTCGATTACGAGGAACGAAAGCGCAAGAAGGAGGCGCGTGAGGGCCATAAGGCGTCGAAGGATGCGCAGAACCTGCGCGGTCTCAGGGCTAAGCTTCACGCGAAGAAGCGACACAACGAGAAGATCCAGATGCGCAAGCAGATCAAGGCCCACGAGGAGCGCAACGTTAAGACGAACAACGAGAAGGAACCCAGCGAGCCCATGCCTGCCTACCTGCTTGACCGAAACAAGTGCGTTCCCTGGATTGGCATAACATGTTGATAGAGGGCGGTCTGGCTAATGTGACATACAGCCCGAGCAATGCCAAGGCAATTTCTTCACAGATCAAGAACAAGCGTGCTGAAAAGGCAGCGAGAGTAAGGACATCTACTGCCCCGTCAACTGCTTGGGTTTGGCACTGACAAGGCGATAGTTTGCGGTCCCTCTGCCCAAGGTCCGCGGTATCAGTGAGGAGGAGATGTTCAAGGTCGTCAACACCGGCAAGAAGACGCATAAGAAGTCATGGAAGCGTATGGTGAGTGATTAAATAACCTCTCTTCCGTATTCTTTTTCTCGCTGGATATTTGAACATTCATACTAACGAACACGATAGATCACCAAGCCTACCTTTGTCGGCCAGAACTTCACAAGAGCGAATCCTAAGGCCGAGCGCTTCATCCGTCCCAGTGGTCTTGTGAGTTTCCTCCTGCGTCCAAATACTTGCCAGACGATGGTCAGCTTGCAGACCTAGACATGTGGCTTACTTCTCTTCTTCTTTTCAGCGTTACAAGAAGTGCAACTGCACGCATCCTGAGCTTGGTGTTACCGTTCAGCTCCCCATCTTGAGGTACGCTCTTCAACGGCTAAATGATGCCAAGGTGGAAGCTAACTTTGGAACAGTGTGAAGAAGAACCCCAATGCTCCGTTATGTAAGACGCACCATAGCAATGACGTTTGATCCTTTGAAAGCTAACTGTCCCTGCAGATACTCAGTTGGGAGTTTTGACGAAGGGAACTATCATCGAAGTCAACGTGAGCGAGATGGGTCTTACTACAGCATCTGGTAAGGTTGCTTGGGGTCGTTACGCGCAGATCACGAACGTGCCCGAAAATGAGGGCTGCATCAACGCCGTCTTGCTTGTTTAGATAGAGTATGGTTGAGGAGGAGGATTAAGGGGTATTGAACTATAATTGGCGTCTGGAGTTTCGGCACCTCGAAAAAGGGGTTGGGTGGATGCCTTGAAAGGACGATAAGATCAACTAAACCTAGGTAGATGAAACAAGATTCCCATTTGTGCCTGGAAAGAAATCATGAAGAGGAACTAGTAGAGCTAAGGCTCGGAAGGCAAACAGCAGGTTTCTTTTTCGTGCGGCTCGCAGGGGAAAAAGCACGTAGAATATGTCTCCAGCATCCACAGGGTTTTCTGTAATCTCACTCCGAGCGTTTAGGACGAAGTTGAAGGAGTCGTTGGACACTTTGCTCCAGCTCGGTATACAAGAGTCTTCTATGAGGAGGAGAAACGCAGTCATATTTTTCCAAGGCTCGTGCCGGATCAAGCTATATGCAGTGTGAGCTTTTGACATGAATCACTGAATCATTTATGATGTAGTGGAAGAACATGCCAGAGCCTCTGTTAGTCACTCCAGACCGACCAAAAAACACGGTTTACCTCCCTTTCATAGCTTCTAGGCGGCTGTAGCAGTCGTCGCTTATTATGACCCTTCCCCAGTGATGGACACGCAGTATCCTTCCATGAGCCCTAGGAGAAATGTTTCCTCTAGGAATTATTGGCTTACAGGAGGGAAGTTAGCCATCGGCTACATTCAGTTGTGAGTACAAGCTTGAGGTAGTGCGTTGCTCTCACAACAACATTCTGCAAATAGAGAACCTCAACTGTCCCTTTGGAGCAAAAATTCGTCGCAATATAAAGAGTTATAAGAGCAGCGATGGCAGAAGGTTACGAATCAAGAAAGAATGGCGTTATTGGTACCACAACTCGAAGGTCATGTTAACATAGCAGTGAACTAACTTCACAAAACACGAAAAGAAAGCCCACCATGAAATTCGATGCGCCTGGTATGGTCATTTAAATATCAAATAGTCATGATTTATCCAGCTATATTCCTAAACCTCCTTAATATTGTCTCACCCATAAACCGTAAGAAAAAACAATCATCATGATGAACTGACTGTTCGAGACAGCGAAAAGTCTAAGACATCTTGTCTGCGGGGCTCTCTCTCAAATGGTATTATTGTCAGGGCTCTCTGGCCAAGACATAAATCAAATAGAATGTCAGCCGCAGCTGAAAGCCAAGTGCTCCCAGATCATAGTGCATGTAAGCCAACGGGGAAATTGCCCCACTCCGCTTCGTCGATAGATCCGCTGCGCTGTCAATTCAGCTTTCATCCATAGCGGATGACAGTTCCTCAACATAGGTTGGTGGTCAGAGTGCCCCAGAGCGAGAGAACCTGTTCAGACCAGCCTCGCAGCCCTCTTGTATCTGTAATTTACGTGTTACTGTAAGTTGAGAATGCGTGTCGCCGCCCAAGAACACATGCTCATTGTTGAACACCTTGTGTGGTGGACGTAGATTGCTCTCCAATCTTGGCAAAATGACGGATTCTCCGGAGACATACGTCGAGCGGTGAAACTTTAAACAGACTATCACCCGCTGGATGAGTGACGTGCTTCCCTGCCTGTGCTCAGGCGTCGTCCACCTCAAGCCTCCAGCATGAAATGCTTCGTCTCCTCGACACCGAAGTTTCTATTTAAGATTCCATCAGTACGCGTTCTACGCTCCTTATTTGCAGAAATGTAAATGTAGACTTACAGAGTGAGGAAAAGCCTTGCAAACTCATCCACATCAAGTGGCCTCGCCACCTTGGCAACTTCATTCACGAAGAAGCTGTTAATCATAAAGAGCGGCTTCTCGCGCCACGCTGAGAAGAAAGCCGGTGACGACTGAGCATCCCAGAGATGCTTCGAGAATGTCCACCGGTGCGGCGCCATCCAATTTGCTGGGTCGGGTTCTTTACAGCCATCTCCTGTTAGCATTCAATCTCTGGTCGATAACGTAAAAGGCGTGATGATCATAAGCCACAGAACAAGTGACGCACGCATTCAAAGGGAAGGGAGTGAAATGAAGAGGGAAAAAACTCACCAGCCTCACCAGCTGATTTTAAAATCTCAAACAGCGATGTGAACATATGCCCCATCAAGATCGTCCTCCTGACACTCTCATTGAAAACCCACACCTCCCACGACCTCGGCGGCCTCTGCCTCACCGCAAGGTCATCCAACAAATGCACGTCGTCGAGGTTATCTCTCAAGCCCTCCAATTCCTCTAGCCACCTCTTCAGCACGCCCATATCTCTCTCAGCCTGCGCCCGCAGTGCTATGTCTCCGTCAAAACATCTGATGGTCTGCAGCATCCACAGCGCCTGCGTTCGCGCAAGCTTGTCATGGCCCGACATGGCCGCCGATGCCGCCGCATCCTTGGAGCTCTTGAGCACCTCGGCTGCACCCTCGCAAATAGCGCGGATAGCCCAGCCCTTGTTGGTCTCGGTACGACCTGCATAGGCGGAGATGGCGGTATAGGCAGCCATGAGCGGCCGCGGCGTCCCCCGGGTATGGCGGTAGAGGTGACGGTGGAGGAAAGGGGTCTGCTTTGTCTGGGCAAATGTGACGTGCATCTTTGTACAGTAGTTTACCAGGAAGCCGATGCGCGAGTCGGGCTCGTGGATCTGCCATGGCTTGAAATCATCCTGCGACATACACTAAGTGTTTGGTCAGGAACGGTGAGGAGTAAAAGTATATGTGGATGAAAAGATATAAATCAAGTTGGAAGATGATGATTTATGGTAACAATCGTGGTTGAAGATGGGATGGGATGATGATAGAAACAAAATGAAGATGAGGGAGAGCTAATGAGAACAGACTCGATTTCTTACCAGCATATCATCCTTATCCATACCGCAACACACTGAGCCCATATATGGTACTTCAGGTACGATGGTTTTAGGTACCGTTGGGGGCTGCGGTGTCTCCCATAGCTGCATCTCTCCCCCCTGCACCGGGTCCGCATTCAAAAAGTCCATGACGGAGTTGAAGTCGAACGGCATGTTGGCGTCCAAGTTCAGGTTAATCGACGACGCCGTCGTAGTCGTTGCGTTGCTGTCGGTAGGCTCAGTCATGACCAAAGTTCCGTTAACAAATGTGGGCGATGCTGTCGAAGAGGTGCCGTCGAGTGTGTTGAAATCAAAAGGGTGTGGCGGCGAGATACCGTTATCCTCGAGGTCCATAGCTTGCAGCGGGTCGTCATGGCTATCGGCACTACTAGCAGTGGCAACGCCATTAGGAGGCAGGTTCTGGTACACGCAGGAGAAGTTCTTCTCAGCACAGCGGGTGCACCGCGGGGTCCGCTTGTCACAACGGCGCTTGCTCCGTACGCAGGCGTTGCAGCTCTTTTGCCGAGACTTGTCAGCGGAGTCCGGCTCACCCAGCTTGGGATCGATCGCGGACATGTTGCTTGAATTTTCCGCTCTTAGTGGAGATTTATACAGGAGCGTCAAAAAGAGTACGAGGTGAGGATGAACAATCAGTAATCGGTTTTGATGGGCTATGAGAGGAGGAAGTTGGAATGATGTTGGTGAGAAATGCCCGCCAAATTCACTCGATCGTAGAGGTTTTCTGTCTATCTGATCCGTCGTATCCAAGAAAAGGCAGGTCAGCTTACGCGGTTGGTGGTTTCATCGGTGGTCGAACTGGGCATTCGGTAGGATGGCGGAGTTGAAGGATTGGTCGGAAGGACCGGAGGTTGGAGGTTTAAACTCCGCTTACTAAAAACTCCGCTGACCGCGGCCCCACTCGGTCCTCAAACTCCGCAGTCACGGGTCGCCGAAACTCCGCCCGGCAATTGCAACACACGACCCCATGGGGAATGGGTGAAGCCGGCTCACTCTGAGATCGTCTATTTCCACTCAAGGGATCCCCTCCCATGAGTGTCAAACCCATTCAATATTCTGCTCAGTACATGGAATCGCCACCATTCCTTTCTCTCCACGAGGTTTTGACAGCCCAGGTCTCGACTCGCTCTCACAATTCCGTTTGCGGAAAATGTGACCCCGCAGCCCATGCAAAGAACACCAACATGCCCACGAGTGTGGCACGATGGCCCAGAGTCTGTTAACTCGGCGATGACGGAAAATGCGAGGTCGAGACCCTCACCGAGCCACCAACGTCAACCGATCAAAGAGCCCCCTTCCAAGACAGCTGAAAAACCATCACTCCACCAGTCGGCGAACTGATCACGCTTCCGTTACCATGTGGCCCTCTGATATCGCCCCGAATCCGAATGCAGCAGTGACATAACCAGGAATGAACCGTCCGTTTGCTTGACGTCGGCGACCACCATCACCGATACAAACCATGTCCTTCGACAAGAGGATATGCGAATACCCCGGCCCGAACATTGCCTCGTCCTGGCGATCCGAAGCTGCAATACCGTTTCCGGGGCATCGAACCAAACGGGCCTCGTCAAAGCCCCACGCTTTGAAAGTTGTGATTCCATAACCCATGTCTTCTTAGGAGCTCACGCCAAATACCCAATAATAGCCCACATCCATATCATTCCGAACCCGTTGAAGTTCGTCATAAGCTTGCCGCCACTCCAAGGTCTAGACTTGTTCCTCCAACCGAGCATGATTTTCTCTCTCGCCATTTACATTCAGGATTGCAATTACCGACGCACTGTCATACAGCTCGCCAATATACTCCCTGTGACACCGTCCATTTCCCCTTTTGTCGTCGTAGCCTAGGCTAAGGAGCCCTGTGTTCGGCGCCAGGTCATACCGTTCGCCTAAGCATACCCTTAACGACGTGCGTGACCGGCTTCATCGAGTACACTGACTATTATTAGCGGTACATACAACAAACGGATATGCATGTGTTCAATACTATTTTGTAGCCCTGTCTCTTAGCACTTGACGAAGAGGACTGAGAAAAACCGTGTTGAAGCTGAGCCGCCTGGTGAGTTCAAACAGACCAGTACCCGGCTTTCTCAGAAGAAGCGACCAAGGACATTTGACCATTGTAGTATCTATACCCTTGCAACACACAAACGTACCTTTCAAATATTGAATATCGGAAGCTGCCTCCCGCATGCGGCACCATCGCCGCCTCACAGCGCACGATTGGCGAGCTACGGAGGTTTTTCACCAAGGCAGCATCATGAAGTTTGGGGGAGGAAAGGGGACGGACCCAAGAGCATAGGCACTACCTTAGCTCCCGCATACTCGTGCGCCTGCCTCCTTTTTTTTTCCCGATCGCCCGGGGGTCCGCTCATCACATGTGCGAAGGGGGGGGGGGGGTTCAACGGGGTACGATGCTGTGCGATGGCAGGCTCGAAACCAAAGCCACCTCGCGGTAATAGCTGTGGAATCATCTATTGCCCAAAAAGGGGGGCTCGTGGCACGGTACCACCACCAGGGAAAGGGGACGAATGGAAGAGAAATCGACCATTCATCCGCTGGTCCATTCCACTGGGACAGCAGCCCAAACAAGCCGCCCATTGCAGGCATCCGTCAAGACACCCGCAACGTCCGATGGGATCGGGCTGTTGTGATCACTCAAAAGAGGGTTGTTCTCGGCATCTCTGTCCACCCCTCACGGACGCCGTCGATAGCCAGTGTGATGTTTTCTTCTTCGGACCCTTGAGACCCCATGCTAGGATCGCGCATAGGAAGGCTAGTCTAGTAAGGGGAGGGCCGGCAAAGGCTTGATTTTTTTACGGGCCCGGACCGAACGACGGCGGCATAGAGACGGCGGCGAAAGTAGGTCACCGCAGATTGGTGCCACATGTATTACTTTGTGGCTGAAACTGGTCAACGCACAGCCCAAAGGCCCTTAAAGGGCATATCTTTCAGTCTTCCTGATTGTAATCTCCCTTCTCCCCTCCCCCCCCTAAGCCTAGGGTGTTGACCACTGCGCCTTCCCTTCCTGTCACGTAAGAACCGCCCTCCCCACCAAAAGAAAATAAAAAAATCAAGGAGAATAGCCGAGGTTTGCGAGGGCTTCGTTACACGTTACTCGTTCAACCATACTGGCGGCACCGTGACACATGCTTTGAATCTGTTTTTCAAACAGATGGTGATTGGCTCCTGTATCCGATTCCGACACTCCCAGTAGTGACAAGGCACTTAGTTTCGGCACCATCCCAGAACGTCTTCTCCCTGGTTACCAGTGACTTGGTAAAAGGAAAATGCATCTGCCGTTCGATGTCAGCATTGCCAGCGAGCAGATGGGCGACGCAAGGGGCAAATGCCACGCACACCAAATGCGAGCACCCGGGAAAGCACAACGCCACGAGGTAAATTAGTTTGCTGCAAGCAGGTGGACGTCCACCGCTCAAATGTCTCAAATGTCTCAAACACCTTAAAAGGGTGGTGGTGGTGGTGGTGGTGGTGGTCTTGTTCGTATTTGGTAGGTGTGACTACTTTTTACACACATGGTTTTACTGATTCAGCAAAAGATATGGCCTGCCGGGGTACTATCTCTTACTAGGCCTAGTGATAGATCATAGATCACTTCGGCTTGTTCCAGCCTCTTCCACTAGAGGCCAAGCCGTCCACCTGAGTGCTAACAGATCGAAACTGAGACGGCGCCTTGATGGAGTAGTTGGAGCCTGTCTGTTGTCAAATCGGACAAAAGAAGGAAAAACGTGTCGCAGTTGGCCCATGCAGAAAGGCCGTAACGGCCTGCGATTAGCAGGTCGTCCATCCGTCCTCTCACAGAAGAAAGTTTCATTGGCGCCTTTTAACAGGACTAAGGCCGACAGAGTGCCGCACGAGCGCGCTAATGTGGGTTGGTGGTTCTCTCTGCGACCGAAAGGTGTGTTTTCTCACCCTAGATTGCTTCATGTGTACGCATGTCTAGATGGCTCGACTGTCTGCCCCAGGCATGGAAGTATTCACCATTTGAGGGGTACCATGCAATTACTTGAGACAGCCATAATGATTTGGAGCCCAACCGTCACCGAACCAGAAGAATGGGGGTACTTTTCCCAGCAGGAACAGGTTCATTTCTCTGATCTTGTCGCCTCCATTTCGTCAGTCGAGGTTAGCCGGAGCCAGTCGCAGTAAGCTTTGGAGCCTCCCATTGAGCGGGACGCCCGGATCTGTTGTTGCTCTGTGCTATATGCTTGGTCCAGGTGGAGAAGTTTCCCGGCGTCGATCATCGGTCCAAAGGCCCACAAACTGCGTGTGTCAGTAGTAACCTTTGTATTCGGCAAAGAAAAAATAAAAATAAAAAACAAGAGAAAAAAGGGGGAAAAAGAAAACGCCAGATGTTGCTGTTTTCCTGTCAACAGGGTCGCGGCCGAGATGGATCAAACAAGAAAAGGTTTTTCTAGACGACGTCAATTGGTCACGCACGCCTGATTCACGTGGGAAAAGAGTAAATACCACGCCGTGTTTTGGCCGTTTGACCATCATTGCTGTTTTTGACGCTGTATGAGACATGGCCTGAATGCCCACGAAGCTAAAAACCGTTGACGGCATGCTCGCGGCGGCCCAATCTCCCCCAAAGTATTGTGTTCTCCTACAGAAGGATGCTTTGCTGGGGTCCGGGGGTTTGCGATGCCAAGAAGTCGTCAATGGCGGAGTTAGCCCCGAAAACAAAGCGTCAGCTCTCAACCCAATGATGGTAGCCAGAACCCCGGCGCAGATGCCGTCTGAGGATCCATTGGGCGTGGTGTGTTGCATGTCGCATTGGGGTGAAAGGTTGAAGCCAAAACATGTATCGGTACATAAGGTAGCTATGTCGTCTGAACTTTGCGGGGCGGCCGTGCTGGGTACAAACAGGGCTGTTCCGTAGTTGTGGCGGACAAAGGCCCGAACACCCAAGTCTCGGATATGTTTGTCTGTCATATCAGCATTGGCAGCCATCTGTTAACTCTGTCGTTGACACCAGGGAAAGATGGTTATATCCATTCTTGACCACGCGCCTGCGACAGGACAAAGCCGTTTGGCGTCCCAGGTTTCTCCACCTGTCTTGGCCATTGCATTTCCTCGTGCTTGTTTGGACAGCCTGAAAGGCAGCAGCGTTCTTGACCAGGCCGCCATTAATCAATGGCTTGATGGTCTAGCCTCGGTGCAAGCCATCAACGCGACGCCATCGAGGCCATCACCGAAAACGGCACCTCTTCGTACCAAAGGTGCCTAGCCGCAAGTGTTCCAGCCGCCCCTTACTCGGGGCGAAACCTTGTTCCTCCGTCTTTGACTCAAAGCCCATGGCTCAAACGGTAGAAGTCGAATGCGGCTTTGAATTTTCTGAATGAATCATAAGCTGTCGAGGGAGTGGCCCGGACCCTGAGTGGCAGAGCCAGTGCGTGCCTCCAAGACTAGATCCCGTCAACCCCACGTCTCTGCCCAGAAGACGAACAGGTGAGCACTGCGCATGCTGGTGTGATGCTTTTGCTGCCTCTTTTTGCTGCCTTATCTTGCCTGCCGGTATGTTCGTTCCCAAT